CACTTAGAATCGTTTAGCCTATTCAATGTGCTAGTGCTTGGTTAGTGTCTCTACATACCTCCATTTTCGGAGTAGCCATCAATAAAACAATTTAATTAAAAAAGTATTTTTTTTAAATTTGGCCTAACGTGAATATTCTGTCCTCCTCTCTTTTTCAAATTATTGATCTGTGGAACATTCGCCATGTATCTAATCATATATCATTTTTATATCATTTTAAGAAGAGGTCTTTTGATTGGTATAGCCTAGTTGATGACAATAATTATTGTTGTATTTTCTCACAAGACTCTGATTACACTCAAATTAGTGATATAATGATATAACATTTCACTTCTTTACATCAAGTTTCTCAGTACAACTAAGATTATACCTTAGAAAAAGGAAAATTCATACTTTTGAATGTTAATATAAAATATATACATTTTCCAATTACCCCATTTTTACCATTGAAGACAGCGTCACATTTAACCCTTCAGCCTGTTACATTTAACCCCGCCTACGGGTCATGCTAATTTTATCATAAACTACGGATTGCGGCACCTAAAGTAAATAATGCAGTTACACAGGACAAACATAGGTACAAGGTATGCATTAAACAATGGTCATTTTTACAAGTAACAACTGATACCGACTTGATGTTGGAGGTACACTCCGCTAAAACTCATCACAACTCAACTCCATTGAGATGTACTGTATATGGAGTTACATTTACTCAGCAAGTAGAAACATAGCCTAGTTGGAGCAGGTAGATAAAAGTAGAGCCTTCCCACTGGGCACACACTGGTTGAATCAACGTTGTTTCCACGTCATTTCAATTACGTTGAACCAACGTGGAATAGACGTTGAATTGATGTCTGTGCCCAGTGGGTTGTGCTTTGGTCCCACTGTTGTGTCTTTTTAAAGGGTCAGCTGGCAGATGCCCCATTTGAAGATTCAGAAAGTAAAGTGATTTGGTCGTAAACAATAAACCTATTTGGAATGCATTAACCAAATGCCAGGCCACAATAGGCTTATTGCCAATAATTTTCTGGATATAAAAAAAACGAATGAAATAAAATGGCCAACTTTTTAGGCTACTGGCTAGTAGACCTAATAATAGATTTATAACAGTAGGCCTAACTTTGATGCTGTGTATGGGAGTATTTTATGGAATGTGACAAATGGGTGTCTAATTAAAAAATAAAACATATTCTAGTATAGCATAATTCATTATTGGCTATGGCTGTAGATACAGATTTCGTGCTTGGTGGAGTCCTCTCATTATTTGCCTGGGAGTTTGATGCATGGTTATTATGCATATAGGCCTATGAACAATATATTTGTTTAAAAAAAAAAAAGAGTTGACAGTCAGGCTTTGCAGGGGGGTGAGGCCACGGAGAACTATATGATATTGATTCTAAAGCTTAAAAGCTGATTATCAAGATTATGATCAATAATAATATTATGTTAACATTACGTGAAAGTGGTTGATCGTTTACTAAAGTTCAATAAATTGTGTGGCCATGGGATTGGGACATGATGGGGCGTTGTGCGACAAAACAATATTTCAAGAATATTGTGTGAACAGGTTGCCATCTAGTGGCAAAGGCAACAATGCACCAAAAACTGCAACAATGTTGCAACAAGTTTCAATTCCGTCAAGCCACTATGGCTACATTGTTGCAAAACCACTTTGTGCATGCAATGTAGAAACAAAGACATTCCTAAGAATATCTAGACCAAAAACAAATAATTCTAGAACTAAATTGTTCTGTCAAAGAATAAAGACTTTTATTTTTTATGTGTGGAATTAGACATATATATTATTTCCATTAATGTGGAACATAATAACACATTACCTCATTTATATATATAAAAAAACAAATTAATAAGAGTGTATTTAATTGACTGACAGATAATAATAGCTAGGGGAAATGACAACAGCCTTTATTAAGTCATATTTAGCTTATCCTCCAGGGACATGCAGACACCAATGAAAGTCCCTCACTAAAGTGTCAAATAAAGTGTTTATTTGCTTCTTATTGCATTAGGCCTCTTCCCAATGTTATGATGCCTGTCTGAAAACACTGAACTAATGTCTCAGACAGGACTGTTACCATGACTTCCTCTCCTATTATTGTCTGTTTTTGCCGGTTTTAGGGCAGATAGGGGATATGAATAGTGGAGCAAAGATGACTTAGTTAGGTCTGTGGTCAAGCATAACTACAGAACAGATGAAACAGCAAAAGAAGCCATGGTATTTCTCCAGACGGGGATGGGTACACAGGAAATTGGCCAGTGTTACCTAGTGTTGATTTTTCAGTGTAACATTTTTAGTGTTGATTCAGGTGTTAAATTCAATCTGAAAGTGTTAAATTAACACTCATTGGTGTAAAAGAACCCCAGTGTTGGTGATAATATAACCAGTGTTAAACCAAAACCATGCCCATCATTATCATATTTCCCAGCATGCTCTATTGCAGGCTGTTTTTTGTTTTTTTTTGTTTTTTTTCAATATCTATTTTTTTGCATGTACATTGATTGATTAATTAATCTGATACTACTCAAATATAAATAACATACATTTTTCTAATCCAATCTGTTCCTTGCACTTTGCACCCGTTACTGAAATGGTTGTTCCAGTTAAGATGGTTTAGGTAGTCTCACATATTATTCTTCCCAACACGGCAGTCACTCTGAATGCACAGGTGAATAAAAATTGAATATCCCCACTCTGGCTGGATTCCAACAGGAATTACACATCAATTTGCAAGCCAGCATGCTAAATGTGCAACCAGATGAAAAAAAACTCTAGACCACCTTTACTCCACACACTGAAACGTGTACAAAGCTCTCCCTCGCCCTCCATTTGGCAAATCTGACCATAACTCTATCCTCCTGATTCCTGCTTATAAGCAAAAACTAAAGCAGTAATCACCAGTGACTCGGTTAATAAGGAAGTGGTCAGATGACGCAGATGCTAAGCTACAGGACTGTTTTGCTAGCACAGACTGGAATATGTTCTGGGATTCTTCCGATAGCATTGAGGAGTACACCACATCAGTCACTGGCTTCATCAATAAGTGCATCGATGACGTCGTCCCCACAGTGACCGTACGTACAATCCCCAACCAGAAGCCATTAATTACAGGCAACATCCGCACTGAGCTAAAGGGTAGAGCTGCCACTTTCAAGGAGTGGGACTCTAACCCGGACGCTTGTAAGAAATCCCGCTATGCCCTCCGACAAACCATCAAACATGCAAAGAGTCAATACAGGACTACGATTGAATTCTCATTGACAGGGCTGTAATGGAACAGGTTGAGAGCTTCAAGTTCCTTGGTGTCCACATCACCAACAAACTATCATGGTCCAAACACACCAAGACAGTCGTGAAGAGGGCACAACAAAGCCTATTCCCCCTCAGGAGACTGAAAAGATTTGGCATGGGTCCTCAGATCCTCAAAAAGTTCTACAGCAGCACCATCGAGAGCATCCTGACTGGTTGCATCACCGACTAGTATGGCAACTGCTCGGCCTCTGACTGCAAGGCACTACAGAAGGTAGTGCGTACGGCCCAGTACATCACTGAGGCCAAGCTTCCTGCCATCCAGGACCTCTATACCAGGCGGTGTCAGAGGAAGGCCCTAAAAATTGTCAAAGACTCCTGCCACCCTAGTCATACACTGTTCTCTCTGCTACCGCACGGCAAGCGGTACCGGAGCACCAAGTCTAGGTCCAAAAGGCTTCTTAACAGCTTCTACCCCCAAGCCATAAGACTCCTGAACAGCTAATCATGGCTACCCGGACTATTTGCATCTTTTACGGTGCTGCTACTCTGTTTATTATTTATGCATAGTCACTTTAACTCTACCCACATGTACATATTACCTCAATTACCTCGACTAACCGGTGCCCCCGCACATTGACTCTGTACCCCCTGTATATAGCCTCCCTGCTGTTGTTTTATTTTACTGCTGCTCTTTAATTATTTACTTAACACTTTTTATTTTATTTTATTAAAAACTGCATTGTTGTTTAAGGGCTTGTAAGTAAGCATTTCACTGTAAGGTCTACACCTGTTGTATTCGACGCATGTGGCAAATAACATTTGATTTGATTTGATTTGTAGTGTGACTTTGCAGGCCTGATGTGGCCTGTAAACCATTAGTCTTAGCCCTGTCTAAGCTGGGGGAGGGGGTGGTTCTAAGCTAACATATGGAATTGTCTTAAAATGAGTATACCAAGGATAATTTAGCTATTTGATTTCGACCCCTTAAGATATCAAAAAATATATAGAAAAATTATTGGATGAAACATTCAATTTGGCATTACTGCTATTAGCCAATAGAAATGCATTGAATAACAGATTCACTACATGGAACAACAGATAGTCTAGCTCTGCCACCTTTCACAGCAGATGCAGAAGGGCGATATCGGCGAATGCGGTGGATTTAGATGCAGCCCATGCAAAAAACCACATATCTCTAGCTTAAACAGACAGATTTTGATGGGGATTTGTGTACTATGTTAATTAGATTTCCGCAGGGGAGTGACCATTGTGGGCCAATATGAAATACATATTGTATGTGTTAAAGAATTTAATTTAAATGATAACATATTCACTAAGGATCTCACTTGGTGAAGGCCACATGACTGAACATGGATGAATGCAACAACCATATCTCTGTCACTACAAATACAGTCATGGGTGGTAACTCTACACTTCACTCAAAAGGCAAGGCACTCTGGGAAACATGCAAATAAGGCTTTACACTAAGCAGTGTGTTAATTTAACACTGAACAGTGTGGACCCATATTGACACTGGACCAGTGTTAAAAATGTAACACTGTCAGTGTTGATTTAACACTGGATAATTTGCTGTGCAGCATGAGGACAACAAAGTAGCTTTTAAGACAGATACTTTGCTGGTGGAATAACAAATAAAACGGACTGCAACCCATCGAAAGTTGATGATTAAAGCTTTAGAGCAAAGTGCAGTGAACCAACCACACACGAGACAAAGCGTCCACGGGACAGTCGAACCGGAGGAAGTCTCGTTTTTCACTGGTTTGCATAACTTTCTGATTCATGAAGTTCCAGTGTGGCACCGGGTGACCCGTAACGCCAGAATGTGGTATTATTGTGGTGTCCTCGGCCGTGTCAGGCACTCACCGTTCATTGGGTTATATTTGTTGGGATTTTTGATAGCACCTGTGTCCTTACACCCACAATGCTTGGATTTCAAGCCCCCCTTCAAGCCTCAAGAGGACCTCCAGTTCTGCGCAATGTACAGGAACTTCGGCTGCTGCGACTCCGCGAAGGACCAAGAATTGATGGCAAAATTCTATAAGATCATGGACAATTTCGACTATTATGGATATGCCAACTGTGCTGGGTACGTGCAGGACCTTCTCTGCCAGGTAAGCAAAACGCGGGTAAAGGTCGATACTTGGTTTTGTTTTCAGAATTACATCATCCAGCTGTTCTTGGCGAGCCCCGGCATGTTTGTAGAGACATATAATTGTTATACACTCGCACATTCATCCAAATGAGATAGAATAGTCGATCTGACGTGCATTATTACTGTGCGTAATTGCGTAATAAAATGCGTAATAGCGTAATAACAGATTAACAATATAGCATGTACTGCTGTTTGTCAATCACTGCATGATAAGATGCATGTTGTCATAACAAGCGTATCTCCTCAAATCGAAAGTGTACGTGCTTCACAGAACAAGGCAAATGTCTAACAGGACATGGGGGCTGCACAAATGAAAGAGTTGGGTTGGTCCCTCACTCCTCACATTTCTCTCCTCCTTTTCCACTCCCCTTCTTTCTCCCCTCCTTCAGGAATGCTCTCCATATGCAGCTCACCTCTTTGATGCAGAGGACCCCAGTACCCCCATCAGAACCCTCCCTGGCCTCTGCCCTGACTACTGCTCTCAGTTCTGGCTCAAATGCCGATCCACCATCACCTTGCTCTCTGACGACCCGCAGCTAGCCGAAGCCGAGTCGGACCAGTTCCGCTTCTGCCAGCACCTGGAGCTGGAGGACCCAGACTACTGCTACCCACACCTCCTCAGCAATGAGCAGCTGACGCAGAACCTGGGCCACGTCCGGGCCGACCCCGAGGGCTGCCTGCAGCTCTGCCTGGAGGAAGTAGCCAACGGGCTGCGGAACCCCCTGGCCATGGTCCATGCCAACGACGGCACGCACCGCTTCTTTATAGCCGAACAGGTGTGTGTGTGCTCACTTTCCAGAGTTGTTGTATTGCATTGTGGTATTATAGTTGTTGTATTGCATTGTGGTATTATAGTTGTTGTATTGCATTGTGGTATTATAGTTGTTGTATTGCATTGTGGTATTATAGTGCCGGTTTCCCAGACACAGATTAAGTCTAGTCCTGGACTAAAAAGTCATTTCAATAAGTCTAGTCCTGGACTAGTCATAATCTATGTTTGGTAAAACTGCCCGTAGTCTATTGATTTTGTGTATTTTGTTGTATGTGTATGCTGACCTCACAAAATGTATTTCCATGTAAATGGACAATAAAGTTATTATCATATCGTAGGTGGGCCTGGTGTGGACGTACCTGCCTGACCGCTCCAAGCTGGAGAAGCCCTTCCTGAACATTACCAAGGCTGTTCTGACGTCGCCCTGGGAGGGGGACGAGAGGGGCTTCCTGGGCCTGACCTTTCACCCCGACTATAAGTACAATGGGAAGCTGTACGTGTACTACTCTGTGGAGATCGGCTTCGATGAGAGGATCAGGGTCAGCGAGTTCCGCGTCTCCCCTGGCGACATGAACGTGGTGGACCACGCATCTGAGAGGTACAGTTATCGATGAGTCCCAAATGGCACCCTATTCCCTATATATAGAGCACTACTTTCGACCAAAGGCCAGCTCTGGTCAAAAGTAGTACACTATATAGGGGAAAAGGTACCATTTGGGGTGCAACCTGTGTTGTGCTCTGGCCCCAAAATGGCAAGCTGTGTTGTCCATCACCAAGGTGGTTGGGCTTTGCTGTTGTTATGAAGACTCAAGGGGTGCGGAATGGATTTACAGTACAATAGGTTTTGCATACAGCTGGACATACAAATAGATATATCTACACCAATGTGTAGTAGTAGGCCTAAAATAATTGCTGTTGTGCATAACACATGGTAGATATTACACATTAGTGGTGAATAAGATGAGATCCCCCCACCAACAAAGTGCTTGGATAAGCAGTATTTATTCCATCATTATTGTACCTCAGAGAGATGGGTGCTCCCGCACTGACTTCTCTGTCTCGTATCTGTCTCTGTCTCAAACGCCTTCTCAGGATCATTCTGGAGGTTGATGAGCCTGCTTCCAATCACAACGGAGGAATGGTGATGTTTGCTGATGATGGATACCTGTACATTTTCACTGGAGACGGGGGCATGGCTGGAGACCCCTTTGGGAAATTTGGAAACGCTCAGAACAAGTAAGAGAAGAGAGGAAAACATGTGGAACTCACATTCATGATGTCATTTTATGGCATTGACTCATATCACTTTTTAACAGTTAGTTACAGCTGTTACTATTAACACGGTTGCTAATAATAAGTTACTAGTGTTTACTAAAAAAAACATTGATAAACCGCAAATACAATAATCATACTCACAGAAAGATGTTCCAAAAAGTTTATACTCCTCTCTTCTGCAGGTCAGCCCTGTTAGGCAAAGTGCTCCGTATTGATGTTGATGACAATGATAAGGGTCCCCTGTATAGGATCCCTTCTGACAACCCGTTCGTGCATGAGCGCGGGGCGCGCCCTGAGGTCTACGCTTACGGGGTGCGCAACATGTGGAGGTGCCCCTTTTTTCAACATTTCCATTATATGCTTTACTTCATGAAACGCTACACCTCCTTACACTTTATATACCATGACAAAAAAGTGTGGTAAGACTTTACATTACTGCACCGAATAAAGGAGTAATGACTTGGTAATAAAGTGTAATCTAGTTGTAATTACTTAAGTTGTTTTGTTGGTTGACTTGATCTTGTTTCTCCCATGGAGGTGTTCTGTGGACCGCGGGGACCCTCTGACGAAGGAGGGGAAGGGCCGTATCTTCTGCGGGGACGTGGGCCAGAACAAGTTTGAGGAGATCGACATCATAGAGAAGGGAAGGAACTACGGCTGGAGGGCCAAAGAGGGCTTCTCCTGTTATGACAAGAAGCTGTGCGCCAACAGCTCTCTAGGTGGGAATCCTGTAGCCTGATCCAAGATCAGTTTGTGCGGCATAGCCAACTCCAATGCCCATTGTCATGCCGGCATCCTGTGGGTCACTGGGAGATGAAGGCCTCAGTGTGTTTTGTTCTGTGACTTTCTTCAGTTGAAAATGTTTTCTGTTTTTTATTTTGTACACTGTACTTTATTTATCCTTAGACAGAAATGGAACCAGAGTGGGAAGAGATTGGAAGGGTGGATGTAGGGATTGAACTCCGTTCTCCAGGGTCATAATGTGCTTAGAAGGGAAGTGCTCAGGAGGGAATAAGCAGGGAATCTGTGAATTTAACCAGGAGTTCTGGAAAACCATAGGCTCTGTACAATTTACTTCATTTGAAAAATAAGTCTCATATCTCTTCCTCCTGTTCTCTTCCAGATGATGTACTCCCCATTTATGCCTACCCTCACAAGATGGGCAAGTCTGTGACTGGCGGATATGTGTACAGAGGGTGTGAATACCCCAATCTGAATGGCATGTACATATTTGGAGACTTCATGAGCGGGTAAGGCTCCTTACTGTACGTGTTCATCATTTTAAGTCCAATCCGAATCCTAAAAGTGTTTATGGATGTTTGAGTCCCTATAGCAGGTGTATTTTCTTATGTTTTGAAAGTTGTGTTTTATGTTTTTGTATATATAGCCTATAAGGAAAGCATACTGAAAATGAAAGAAATTCTAAATAAAATGAAATGTAGTGTCTCCTCCCTATAGGCGTATGATGAGCCTCCAGGAGAATACGAACACGGGTCAGTGGGACTACCATGAGGTCTGTATGGGCATCGGTTTAACCTGTGCCTTTCCTGGCCTCATCAACAACTACTACCAGTACATTATCTCCTTCGCTGAGGACGAGGCAGGTATGAGGAGTCATATTAAACCTCTTTTTGTTTGCACATGGTCACACAGGCAATGGAAACGTTTTTTTAAGCGTCAGATCTCTAGGATGCACACATTTAAGGCCAGTTTCCCAAACCAAGATTAAGCTTAGTCCTGGACTAAAAAGCATGCTCAATGGAGAATCGCCAATGAAACTCTGAGTCCAGGAAACCAGCTAGAGTGTCAAATGATGTGAAATGTTCATTTTTCTGTCTGAACAGGAGAACTGTACTTCATGTCGACTGGGGTGCCCAGTGCCACATCTCCCACCGGTGTTGTTTACAAACTGGTGGATCCCTCAAGGTAAGGATTTAAAGCCACAATCTGCTATTTCAACAGCCTAACCCTGTCACTGTGTTTGGTAAGGTGAGGGTTTAACAAAGTGTCGTGGCCTACTGCTCTTCTCTTGAAGATGGCAGAAGCCTAGCATCAACGTCATAGACACACTTTTAAAAAGAGACAAAGACAAAACAAGTCAGTAAAACGTGTTAAGCATCTGTTCATGATTACTGATCTATTTTAAGTCAGAAGAATGTTCCGCATCATAATCGTTCTGCCTGTAGTTCTCAATCTGATTTACATGGTAAATTATTTTTCTCTGTGTGTTCTTTGTTCTTATAGCTTAACTGCTGATTTCTGTTTTGGTGATCGTTGAGGTTTTCTTACCCTCTGTCGGGGTCGGCTCACTCTCCCTTTCTCCATATTTCTGGGTGAAAGAAAAGAAAGAAGGAACAGAAAAGAAAGGGTGTTGGCAGTGGTGTGAAAGCCCTTTCATTTCAATCTCTCTCTCACTGACTTAGGTCCAAACAGTTTTGGCCGCAAGATCGCTTTCCCTTTCTTGCATACCCTCTCTTTTGGCCGCAGCACTATACTGTTGTGTCAAGTTATTTGTTTCTCACTCGCTCATGAAGCTGATTTTAATTACTCTCTACCACAGCAATGTTTGGAAAAAGCCTCATTCTGGGAGGGAGACCACCTGAAAGCTAATCAAATACATCTAAAGAGCCAAAGTCTCAACAGAGGCTGATGAAACTGGGATGAAACTTTGACTTCTCACCCTCTTATTTAGTTTTCTTCCCTGCTGAGCTGAAGACTTTTGGTATTTTGTCTGTTTTAGACGGGCACCGCCAAGACAATGTCACTATGACCCGCTGCCTGTCAGAGTGAAGAGCAAGCTCATCAAGTTCAGGCCAAAAGAAAGTGAGTTTACTGGCTCTCAACATTATCTCAGTCTGTCTGCTTTTATTTTGTTCATTATATTTAGCCCCCTTTGCTCAATCAAACACGTACAGTATGTCAGTAGATCTCACTGCTAGATCTAGATTGTCACTAGATCTCCCAGATTATGAAGTCATTTGAGAGACATTTTAGGCACAAGGCCTCTGAGATTGCCAGATTCATATTGCACTTTTATTACACTGTGGATAGGCCTACATGCTAATTATAACCTCATCTCCCAGATATATATATATTAGGCCAGTCTATGTAGGTATCCTAAATCTGACCTCTTCTTCTATTCCACAGCATTAACAGGAGTTGAACTACCGACAAAGCGTCAAAAGCTCTCCCCGCCAGAAGAACCCATCAGACCCCATCCCACTGAGTCCACAGTAAGCGAGTCCGACAAGGACTGGCTTCAGGAGCTCATGGACATTCTAAAGGAGCAAGAGGCTGCCGCCATCACCACCACACTGCCTCAAACCACAACCACTACCACAACCAAACCGCCCAGGCACACACAACGGAAAAACCGCCGGAAGAAGGGCAAGCACCGGTCGGAGAGCGGGTTGGCGCCGGCAGCCGCGCCTCAGAACGGGGCAGTGAGACTGGCGGGGGACGAGCAGGGGCGGGACGACCGAGGGAGGGTGGAGATCTTTGCCAACAGTGAATGGGGGACGGTGTGTGACGACCTGTGGAATACGAAGAACGCGGCAGTGGTTTGTCGGCAGCTGGGGTTCCGATTCGCCCTGAAGGCATCCAAGCACTCTGAGTTTGGAGAAGGGAAGAGTCTCCGGATTCTTCTGGACGATGTGCAGTGTGAGGGCACAGAGGAGAGCCTGCTGGACTGTCAACACACAGGCATAGGAATGCATAACTGTGCCCATTATGAGGACGCGGGGGTGATATGCGGGAACTCGGACTACGTTGATGCCTAGAAATGAGAGTCGATTGAATTTATTCCTGACTGTGGCCTAAGTGATTGTAACTAAAACCAAGGAATATTGCTGTCTAACTTTTGTCTAATTGTTGTCGATGTTGGCACTTATAGGTCTACCTCTTTTCATGAAGGTAATGTAATGCTGATTTAATTGCTGTGTTAAAGTCTTAAAGGTTTTCTATTTAAATGTAAGACTTTGCTCATGTAAGACGTTGCTTTCTCTAAAGGAAATTCATCTAAAACAGTAATTGAATGAATGTACTGTATAAGGATAAGGAATACCAGGTTATTTAACTCTCTCATGATCACATACTGAAATAAATGCTCCATCCAGACTCACAAGATATGTGCTCATTTGACATGGAAAAAACATACTGAGAGAGAGAGAGAGAGAGAGAGAGAGAGAGAGAGAGAGAGAGAGAGAGAGAGAAATGGGATAAAGGGGAAGAGGGAATAGGGTGGAGTGACAGGAGAGGATTAACAGTGAAAGTCACAGGCAAAAGAAAAACTGCCAATTTGTAGCCTGGAATCCAAATGAAATATCACTCCGTTTCTCTATTCAGTGTGGACTGGCTCCACACTCCAGGCTAGCCTATTTGTCCAAGTCACCCTGCTTGGTTCTGATGTCTGAAACATTGAGGACTGATGTCATGACTAGGCAGGAAATATGTGTCTGAATTAATTAGATGACTGGAATAAAAATATGGTCCTAACAACATTCGTCTAACAACATCATCATAACCTATTGGCAGTGCTTGACTTGGACTGAAATAGGTGCCAGTACTCATTTTGGGTGCAGTAATCTCGGTTACCCAGAAGTAAACGTGAATCTGTCCACAGAAAGTTATGGGTGCAGGGACTGTTTATATTTAGGTGCAAGAACTCCACAATAATTTTGAGCTAATATTCTATAAGAGGTGCAAGAACTCAAGCAGTTGAAAATGTTCGGTGTTCGTACTCAGCTCTGGTGAACTCCTGCCATTGTCAAGCACTGCCTCTTGGCAAAGATAGGGCAGAATCACACTTCATCACACACTTTGCTTTGCAAACCATCAAACCAATTTCTCTTTTTGTTTTCTGGATATTTGGTTTGCCAACTACCATGAGCACTGAGCAGGGTTCATTCAATGACGGGACTCCCTAAAAACACGCCACTTTGATACAGGTTAGGTGAGCATTTCCGTAAAGCCTAACCCTTTATCTAACCTTAACCTAATTCTCCTAACCTACTACGTTAATTCTCCTAACCTGCAACGAAAAAGTCGCAGCTGTATCGAAGTGGTGTGTTTTTAGGGAATCTCTTCAAGGACAGTTTTATCCCCACTTGGAATTCTTTGCAGCCTGAAGAGAGAGTGGGCACGTTCGAGCTGATCACTTTTGTCAAGTCAGTGCCTTTCAAAGTGTGTTGCATTATGGGGATAAAGATTGTCCAACTTGCGCCTACATAAACTTAACTCATAAACATAACTCATGTGATCAAGTTTCTGCAGTTGCTCTTCACCATCTTCCATCCTGCAGCCATCGCCTGCATTGTGGGAGGCTCTATTATCAAACAATCATTAAGGTGTTTTTGTTTGACCCCATGTGAACATGACCAAAGACATGACTGAAACAGGAACAAACTTTTCTGGGATTCATGTATACAGTGGATATATACAAATCAATGTGATATTTGAGGCTCTCTTTCTCACTCTCTAAATTGATTGTACAATGTACACCAGTCGGTGCCGTTTAAGATGAGGAGGACGATTATTGTTTTTATGACCACGGTCTTATTGCTATTACAGCATATTCCATTCACTCAGCTCACTGTAGGATTGATAGGTTTAGGCTACTACATGATACTAACATTTTGCCTATACCCATTATGAGGTTGCTACAACCTAGCTTATGAATGAAAGTTTACAACGTAGGTGCACAGGTCGAGAGACATTTTAGTAATCAAGGTGACAGACATTGACACATTCAAGACTGCCTTGCACAATCTTGCCTGCATCTAGCTGATCTAGGGTGTAATCATTAGTCCAACAGTTGCAAACAAGAGTTTCTATTGGACAAATTCAGGTATGTTTATCCCCGTTTCGTTCCGTTTGCTTCCGTTTAAGAAAAGTTTTTCAACAGAATCGGTGGAATGAATACACCCCTGATCACACCCAAACACAGTTTACTTTCAAAGTAGCCACATACAAACAGCATGAGCCCTTAGATTGTTGGATAATTATTTATTGCATCTACGCGCTCTCCTCCTCTCACATTTTCCCTTCGTTTGTGGACTTCAGTGTACAACACATCAGCTGTCTATGACCTGGCGAAAAAAGCTTTCCAATTCAAATCTTCAAATCATAACCGCTAACCGCTACACACAGCCTACATTGCTGTCACCATATTAGCTAACATCAAGTCAACATAGCTACTAGACCTAACACGTTGGTAAACCCGCTACAATCATGCAGTACAGTGTACAGTTAGCAAGCAGTTTAGCAGTTACACCGTCAAGCTTACCTTGACTTGGAAGAGTTGCAGAGTTGGATAGCCTTAGCCAGCTAGGTAACATAGCATCCCTCTCTGTTTGAGCCGGGTGTTTGAGTAGGCTAAACTAGCTATCTGCATTCGCTAGCTAAGTAAGAGAAAGTATATATATATATATATATATATATATATATATATATATATATATATATATATATATATAGCTCTCTCTCTCTTGCGTCTCCTTCATTTTTGAAGAATGTTTTATTTTATTTTTTATGCTCTTTCTCGCTCTTTGAGTCAATTACTCACCACATTTTATGCACTGCAGAGCTAGCTAGCTGTAGTTTATGTTTCAGTACTAGATTAATTCTCTAATCCTTTGATTGGGTGGACAACATGTGGACAACATGCTGCAAGAGCTCTGATAGGTTGGAGGATGTCCTCCGGAAGTTGTCATAATTACTGTGTAAGTCTATGGAAGGGGGTGAGAACCACGAGCCTCCTAGGTTTTGTATTGAAGTCAATGTACACAGAGGACGGAAACTAGCTGTCCTCCAGCTACACCATGGTGCTACCCTACAGAGTGCTGTGAGGCTACTGTAGACCTTCATTGCAAAACAGTATGTTTTAATAAATTATTTGGTGAGGTGAATATATTTAGTATAGTTTTATCTAAAAAGGATAACTTTAATGTTTCATTATTTTTATTTTTATGAAATTCACTGAGGATGGTCCTTCCTCCTCTGAGGAGCCTCCACCGATGTACACACACATATGATTTAAGTTTGTGAGTGTGTGATATGGGGGTTGGAGAGATGTTTATTTCGACATTATAAAGAAAAACTTTTGTAAACAATGGCAACACTGCCATGTTGATCTGAGCCTTGCTGTTGAAAAAAAAAAAACATTTTAGTGTCTGACTTTCGGCTGTCGCAGCTCCCCTCCGACTTCTCTCCTCATAACAGTCGGTTGCTTTAGCCTTACCACTCAAACACTGCCCTGAAGGTCAACGCGCGGTAAATGTAGGAAAACTAGAGGACTGTCTCTCCAATTACTAATTTGCATAGGATTCTACCACTGAACCATATGGTTGGACACATGGCAAGAAGCTCTAGCTGCTACATGATTTTATAATAAAATATCGAGGGAAATGTTTACAAATTATGTCTTAAAATGAGAGAAGTATTGGACAAGTTTTTTTGTGAAACTTTTGTACTTAATTTTCTAGCTAATACAGAACGGTAGTGCCAAAATCGGACTGAACAGCAACATTGGCACGCAGCTTTCGTTTCCATAATTGTATAGCCTTGCTAGCTTAATATGTGCGGTGAAGTGTTGGTTATTTAAATTGTCACAGCAAAATAAATCGAAATGGCGCTATGACATCACGTGATCAAATGCCAATACATTCTAACATTCTAAGTTCTACAACCGGCTCCATAGCTCAGTGGTAGAGCACTGGTCTTGTAAACCAGGGGTCGCGAGTTCGAACCTCGCTGGGGCCTACTAGGAAATTATAGCTTTTAGGTAAGGGTCAAGAAAGGTTTTCTAGTCAGTGTATCTAGTCATCCACCTGTGTCGCGAAGTTGTTGTTCACACAGTTGCCATATTTTGTCTGCCATTTGCAAGTTTCCAAAATTGCAGTATGGGGAACAGTCCCCTAGATAGCTCAAAGCTGACACCTTGTGGTATGCAGCAGAATAGCACATGGGTGAACGCCAACCTCCGTTTTTACCACTACAACCACACTTTATACAAGTTTTAGGTCTTAGTACTGTAAAATTACACAATAAACACACTTCAATCATAATTTCACCCTCCACAGATTTACAATACTAATACTAACAATGCTATATACATAGCAAAAGTTGTGGTTATTGTACAGAATTCAATTATGCTAAAGAAAGTGTAAAATAGCCCAAGTGTCCCACTTTTCAAAGTCTTCAGTTGATGACACCCTGCTCATATGAATCAGCCTGTCTTTGTGAGAGGGAGCCTTCATCTGCTTTGACCAGGGTCATTGATATGCCAAGCATTAAATCACATATAGTTGAAGTCGGAAGTATACATACACCTTAGACAAATACATTTAAATTCAGTTTTTCACAATTCCTGACATTTAATCCTAGTACAAATTCCCTGTCTTAGGTCAGTTAGGATCACCACTTTATTTTAAGAATGTGAAATGTCAGAATAATAGTAGAGAGAATGATTTATTTCAGCTTTTATTTCTTTCATCACATTCCCAGTGGGTCAGAAGTTTACATACACTCAAATTAGTATTTGGTAGCATTGCCTTTAAATTGTTTAACTTGGGTCAAACGTTTCAGGTAGCCTTCCACAAGCTTCCCACAATAAGTTGGGTGAATTCTGGCCCATTCCTCCTGACAGAGCTGGTGTAACTGAGTCAGGTTTGTAGGCCTCCTTGCTCGCACACGCATTTTCAGTTCCGCCCACACATTTTCTATAGGATTGAGGACTGGGCTTTGTGATGGCCACTCCAATACCTTGACTGTTGTCCTTAAGCCATTTTGCCACAACTTTGGAAGTATGCTTGGTGTTGGTGAACACATAATAAGGAGAGGGAGTACAAACCATCGACGCTAGACAGAGAGGAATTTGCTTAAGCAAAAGGCAGTTTATTAAACACAGAGATATCTGTTACTGTTAGCTAACATGCATGGGATCCTGCTAATTAACATGCATGGACCTAATCATATAGCACTCTATTAGTGTCAGCTGAGAAGGATGTTTAAACAGAGTTTACAGCATTACTTTATACAATGTAACATAAAGGAAGGGGTCCTTCTTCTAGTCCCTTGATTGGTTCCCGAGGCGTAGGAGGCGGGTCTGCTCTGTCCAGAGCAGATGCCCCATTGGTGCACGGCAGAGTCCTCTGCCCTTGGCACCCGACCAGTAGAAGGGGGGGGGGGGGGTGGTTTGAGAATGAGTGTGCGTCCACAGTGAGATGTCTGTGTGTGTCAAAGGAAACTCGTGAGAAGCAACTGGTGGGGGCCTTGGGCCTGAGGTGTGGGTGTTGTCCAGTTTATCGTACTCCTGTAAGATTAGGCCATCTGGTGCTCTGTTCTTTGTTCGCTACTAAAATGTTATGCACAGACAACTAACACACTGTTAGTATCAGACACATGACACAGAACATTTATTGAAAACAAGCTCCTAACACAATTTGTCTTGCACAACCTCTTGCACAACATATTACTCAGATCAATCTATAACATTTTATATTTACTACGACATTGGGGTCATTGTCCATTTGTATGTGAAATAATCTGTCTGTAAACAATTTTTGGAAAAAATACTTGTGTCATGCACAAAGTAGATGTCCTAACCGACTTGCCAAAACTATAGTTGGTTAACAAGAAATGTGTGGAGTGGTTGAAAAACAAGTTTTAATGACTTCAACCTAAGTGTTTGTAAACTTCCGACTTCAACTGTATTTGCTTGTGTCTGACATACGCTGGTGGCTTTGATTGACGGGTCCTTTTGCGGGGGTGTGTGTGTGAGTTTGCTGATTCTCTCTATATGTCCATTTAGAAAGTTTCCTAAAGTAGCCTGTCTGGACTCTCTCCTTAATAAGAACCAAACGCTCCGGTCATAATTTAATCTTGTAAAAGGCCTATTTTCCTTAAGCCATTTTGTCACAACTTTGGAAGTATGCTTGGGGTCATTGTCCATTTGGAAGACCCATTTGCGACCAAGCTTTAACTTCCTGACTGATGTCTTGAGGTGTTGCTATCCCCACAGCATGATGCTGCCACCTCCGTGCTTCACGGTAGGGATGGTGTTCTTCGGCTTGCAAGCCTTCCCCTTTTTCCTCCAAACATAACGATGGTGATTATGGTCAAACAGTTCTATTTTTGTTTCATCAGACCAGAGGACATTTCTCCAAAAAGTACGATCTTTGTCCCCATGTGCAGTTGCAAACCGTAGTGTGGGTTTTTTATGGCGGTTTTGGAGCAGTGGCTTCTTCCTTGCTGAGCAGCCTTTCAGGTTGTCGATATAGGACTGGTTTTACTGTGGATATGGATACTTTTGTACCCGTTTCCTCCAGCATCTTCACAAGGTCCTTTGCTGTTGTTCTGGGATTGATTTGCACTTTTCACACCAAAGTAGGTAGGTAGGTAGATAGATAGGTAGATAGGTAGATGGATAGAAAAGCGTAATTCAGAGTACACAGACAAGATACTCCAATGCCCCATTGTGACATAGCTACTCGGCTCCACCGTCTGCAGGGGACGCACAGTCCAAATATTAACAAGATAGATTTATTTACAAAGATGCCATTAGTTAGAATCAAAATAAACAATGACAAAATAGCACATTATGGGGGATATTGTAAAGTAACACAACACCCATTTTCTCTGAATGAGACATTTGTCAAACATTTTCAGAACACAATGTTCTTGTCATGTATAAATGACAGATGTCCATTGAAGGATTCTGAAAAGTTTGACTTGGGTTGCATCCCGATTCTCCACCCTTCTCCCAAAGTGTTCACTTACACACTACAATTGTAATCATAGATTTAAAAGCAGTGGATTCATGTAAACATTGGCTGTAGGGAGTTTACCCCCTTGTTAAATCCATGACAGGCAAGTGCACACTTGGGAAAAGGGTGGAATATTGGGACTCACATTGCTCTCAGGTAGTGATGTCATTGATGGAAGTGCTGCTGTTTTGACTCCTCCACTGTAGAACCTGATTGGAGAGTCTTTCCACCTCTGTCACCTGGGCTAGGAGCTGAGCTAACGCAATTGTTCTGAGAAAGAGAGAGTACAATGCATAAAATTAACATGAACAATCATAGTACAGTATTAACAATAATATGGGACATTCTGGCTCAGACAATGCTTACTTACTTTACTTACTTATTAACATGAGCTAGTATAAATGTAACAAGGGGTAGGCTTGTAATATGGAGGATAAAAGGGGTCAAGAGGAAGATAAGAGGTTTTCTATTGTAAAAAAATGTAGCTACATGTATTCTACTGAACACAACCCATGGCAGAGTTTAGGACTTGCAATACATCTGGCCTGGGGATTTGATTGAAAGCACTCACCAGATTGCTCATGGAATCATCAATGGTGGGAATAGTACGAACAGTGTTCATCTTTGCCTCCAAGTTCTCAATGAAGTCCACCGCCATCCTCATGACCTCCACCACATATCTATAAAACAGGACCATCATTCCTCAGTTAACTGGGAGAATAACATTTAAAAAAGGTACACTCAGCAATATAACATCATCATACACATCAGGGCGCCATCCTATGTACAGAATTTAAGAATATTGTAAACACACACAGGAAAAATAAAAGGTCCCTCGCCTGTGAAGATCTGCCTCTATGGGCAGGTTAGTCTGACACAGTGGTTTCATCAGTCTTCGGCGCAGGCTTGCCTGTTCTCTCAGCACATCTTGCAGATGGGAGGTGAATTGCTGCAATGATGTAAACCTTTGACCTATAAGAAACAAATGTACTAATTTATTATTTGACTATTTCATAAGTCTGGCTGTGTCCCTCCAAATAGTGTATGCATTAAACATGTTTGTATCTGAAAATGTTGCTACATACTACCTTTAGAATCTCAAGACACCACTATGCAAAAGTACAACATCCACACTTACTCAAGTAAAATTTGTGAGTGACATCTGCGCTTTCTTTTTCCAACTTCAACAACTCCATTTCTAGATTGATCTAAAACAAATAGAACTAAGTTAGGTAAATGCATATCACTGCATCAGACAGGACAGGTGTCTGGCACCAAACCAGGGTTGTAGTCACTAGGCACCAAATGGAAGAAAACGGACTGGAACAGGGAGGGTCTACCTGAACATGTCCAATAAGAAACTTGTTTTCTTGCTAAACGTTTTGCTATCGCGTGCACTAATTAATACAACCCAAGAATACAGTGAGGGAAAAAGGTATTTGATCCCCTGCTGATTTTGTACGTTTGCCCACTGACAAAGAAATGATCAGTCTATAATTTCAATGGTAGGTTTATTTGAACAGTGAGAGACAGAATAACAATAAAAATATCCAGAAAAACGCATGTCAAAAATATTATAAATTGATTTGCATTTTAATGAGGGAAATAAGTATTTGACCCCCTCTCAATCAGAAAGATTTCTGGCTCCCAGGTGTCTTTTATACAGGTAACGAGCTGAGATTAGGAGCACACTCTTAAAGTGAGTGCTCCTAATCTCAGTTTGTTACCTGTATAAAAGACACCTGTCCACAGAAGCAATCAATCAATCAGATTCCAAACTCTCAACCATGGCCAAGATCAAAGAGCTCTCCAAGGATGTCAGGGACAAGATTGTAGACCTACACAAGGCTGGAATGGGCTACAAGACCATCGCCAAGCAGCTTGGTGAGAAGGTGACAACAGTTGGTGCGATTATTCGCAAATGGAAGAAACACAAAATAACTGTCAATCTCCCTCGGCCTGGGGCTCCATGCAAGATCTCACCTCGTGGAGTTGCAATGATCATGAGAACGGTGAGGAATCAGCCCAGAACTACACGGGAGGATCTTGTCAATGATCTCAAAGCAGCTGGGACCATAGTCACCAAGAAAACAATTGGTAACACACTACGTCGTGATGGACTGAAATCCTGCAGCGCACGCAAGGTCCCCCTGCTCAAGAAAGCACCTGTACAGGCCCGTCTGAAGTTTGCCAATGAGCATCTGAATGATTCAGAAGAGAACTGGGTGAAAGTGTTGTGGTCAGATGAGACCAAAATCGAGCTCTTTGGCATCAACTCAACTCGCCGTGTTTGGGAGGAGGAATGCTGCCTATGACCCCAAGAACACCATCCCCACCGTCAAACATGGAGGTGGAAACATTATGCTTTGGGGGTGTTTTTCTGCTAAGGGGACAGGACAACTTCACCGCATCAAAGGGATGATGGACAGGGCCATGTACCGTCAAATCTTGGGTGAGAACCTCCTTCCCTCAGCCAGGGCATTGAAAATGGGTCATGGATGGGTATTCCAGCATGACAATGACCCAAAACACAAGGCCAAGGCAACAAAGGAGTTGCTCAAGAAGAAGCACATTAAGGTCCTGGAGTGGCCTAGCCAGTCTCCAGACCTTAATCCCATGGAAATTCTGTGGAGGGAGCTGAAGGTTCGAGTTACCAAACGTCAGCCTCGAAACCGAAACCTTAATGAATTGGAGAAGATCTGCAAAGAGGAGTGGGACAAAATCCCTCCTGAGATGTGTGCAAACCTGGTGGCCAACTACAAGAAACGTCTGACCTCTGTGATTGCCAACAAGGGTTTTGCCACCAAGTACTAAGTAATGTTTTCCAGAGGGGTCAAATACTTATTTCCCTCATTAAAATGCAAATCAATTCATAACATTTTTGACATGCGTTTTTCTGGATTTTTTTGTTGTTATTCTGTCTCTCACTGTTCAAATAAACCTACCATTAAAATTATAGACTTATCATGTCTTTGTCAGTGGGCAAACATACAAAATCAGCAGGGGATCAAATACTTTTTTTCCCCTCACTGTACCTGTTGATAACTTTACCTTGTCAAGCTCCCGTTCCATAGTGATGTGCTGTTCAGCTTCCAGGAGATTTGGGGAAAATACATGGGGTTCTCTAGGGACAGTATCAACATCCTCCTGTAAGGAAAGAGACTCTGCTTAGTGTGGTGGCCTAGGATATCGGTAGAAAAGTAACTACAGTGCATTCGGAAAGTATTCAGACCCTTTCACCTTTTACAGATTTTGTTACACAATACCCCATAATGACAAAGCATAAACAGGTTTTAGGATTTTTATTTACGTAAGTATTCAGACCCTTTACTCAGTATGACGCTACAAGCTTGGCACACCTGTATTTGGGGAGTTTCTCACATTCTTCTCTGCAGATCCTCTCAAGCTCTGTCAGGTTGGATGGGGAATGTCGCTGCACAGCTATTTTCAGGTCTCTCCAGAGATGTTCAATCGAGTTCAAGTCCGGGCTCTGGCTGGGCCACTCAAGGACATTCAGAGACTTGTCCCGAAGCCACTCCTGCGTTGTCTTGGCTGTGTGCTTAGGGTCACTGTCCTGTTGGAAGGTGAACCTTCGTCCCAGTCTGAGGTCCTGAGCGCTCTGGAGCAGGTTTTCATCAAGGATCTCTGTCTGTAATTTGCTACGTTAATCTTTCCATCGATCCTGACTAATCTCTGTCGCTGCCGCTGAAAAACATCCCCACAACATGATGCTACCACCACCATGCTTCACCTTAGGGATGGTAAAAAATAAATAAAAATATGTGGCCAGGTGATGAGCTGTGCCTGGTTTCCTCCAGACGTGACGCTTGGCATTCAGTCGGTAGAGCATAGCGCTCGCAACGCCAGGGTTGTGGTTTCGATTCCCACGGGGGGCCAGTATGAAAATGTATTCACTCACTAACTGTAAGTCGCTCTGGATAAGAGCGTCTGCTAAGTGACTAAAATGTAAAGAGTTCAATCTTGGTTTCATTAGACCTGAGAATCTTGTTTCTCATGGTCTGAGAGTCCTTTAGGTGCCTTTTGGCAAACTCCAAGCAGGCTGTCATGTGCCTTTTACTGAGGAGTGGCTTCCGTCTGGCAATTCTACCAAAGGCCTTATTGGTGGAGTGCTGCAGAGATGGTTGTCCTTCTGGAAGGTTCTCCCATCTCCACTGAGGAACTCTGGAGCTCTGTCAGAGTGACCATCAGGTTCTTGATCACCTCCATGACTAAGGCCCTTCTCGTCCAATTGCTCAGTTTGGTCGGGCGGCCAACTCTAGGAAGAGTCTTGGTGGTTCCAAACTTCTTCCATTTAAGAATGATGGAGGCCACTGTGTTCTTGGGGACCTTTAATGCTGCAGAAATGTTTTGGTACCCTTCCCCAGATCTGTGCCTCGACAAAATCCTGTCTCGGAGCTCTACGGACAATTAATTCAACCTCATGGCTTGGTTTTTCCTCTGACATGCACTGTCAACTGAAACATCTCAAGGAGGATCAATGGAAACAGGATGCACCTGAGCTCAATTTCGAGTCTCATAGCAAAGGGTCTGAATACTTATGTAAATAAGGTACCTGTTCTATAATTTTTTATACATTTGCAGAAAAAATCTAAAAAACTGTTTTCGCTTTGTCATTATGGGGTATTGTGTGTAGATTGATGAGGAACATTTTAATGTAATCAATTTTAGAATAAGGCTGTAACGTAACAAAATGTAGAAAAAGCGAAGGGGTCTGAATACTTTCGGAATGCACTGTATACACTCTTCTTCAAGGGTACCCAAACAACCCTCCTAGAGATGGCAACCTTCTTGCATACTTTTGCTCCAAAAACACAATCTAATTAAGCAATAAGGACAGAGGAGGTGTTGGTATATGGCCAATATACCACAGCCATGGGCTGCTCTTATGTACGACACTACGCGGAGTACCTGGATACAGCCCTTAGCCATGGTATATTGGCAAATATACCACAAAGCCCAGAGTTGACTTATTGCTATTATAAACTGGTTACCAACACAATAAGAACAGTAAACAAGTAATTTTGCATCATACCCGTGGTATATTTAAATGTAAATGACTTAAATGTAATATTTAGGCAATAAGGCCCGAGGAGCTGTGGTATATGGCCAATATACCACGGCTAAGGGCTGTTCTTATGTACAATAACAAGGAATGCCTGGATACAGCCCTTAGCTGTGGTATATTGGCCATATACCACAAACCCCTGAGGTGCCTTATCACTATTATAAACTGGTTACCAACGTAATTTGACCAGTAAATAGTATTTTTTGTCATACACATGGTATATGGTCTGATATACCACGTCTTTCAGCCAATCAGCATTTAGCTCTCGAACCACCTGGTTTATAATCTCTGTTATACCACGGTGTAGGTGTGTTTTGCATCAGGTGAAAGTTGATTGCATTCGTTTTGGAACTGGGCGTGAGCCAAGTGACCTGTTCAAAGACCACAGCGAAGTCAGCTCTAAAACAAAAGTGACGTAGGAGCACGTGGAGTAATGAGTAGGATTCTGTGTTCACATGCAAAAGTGATTGCTTTTGATCAAACGCTTTATCTGCCATCCCAATGAAAACTAGATTTAAATTTGAACATATTTTATGGAAAATACATGTTTCTGAACGATGCACCATGGTGCCTTGTTTACAACATGACAGAGCAGCACAGATTACTGTTCGATTTGAGAAGGGCACTCCTCCCTCACCGCCTTTGCCCATTCACGCCATGGGCCATAGACCAGTGTGGCTCAGCATAACCGAATCTGCCCAACGTCTGATATACCACGTCTTTCAGCCAATCAGCATCCAGGACCCTAGCCAATTCTCGAACCATGATGCTCGACAAAGACGTGATTTTGAACGTATGGCTACTCGAGACTAACAGGACCCAAACTACCGGGGTTTATACTCGAAAACATAATTTTACTAGCTAGCTCACCATGACCTTGATTAACTGATTCAGTTGAGTTTCAAAAGGGATGGAGCAAAAAGTATGCATTCTCTAGCTCTCCAGAAATAGGGATGGCCACTCCTGCTCGGCATGCACTCACCTGGGAAAGAACACCTGAGGCGACACACCTGGTCAAAAGACTTGCAACAGGCGTCACTGAATATGGAGCAATGACCCACGGATTCATTTGTAAGAGTGGTGGGGTCAAACCTTGGAAAATGTGTAGCTGTAAAAAAGCAAAGATTCGTAGTCAATATAACAAGCATATCTTAGTTAGCTAATTTAAGCTATGTTCTCTAGTGTTGGACTTAGCTTGTTAGCATGTCCAGTCCACACTCGGATTCGTAGAGCCAGGCTAGCTATGTTGTGCTAGCTACTGTACTGTTAGCTAACTGAGAAAGCGACGTTTGTCTACGTTAAGAAAGCAAACCTAATTTTACCACATTCCCACAACTACTAGTTTATTATATAGTTACCCATATACACCAACATATTTTACAGTGTAAGTCAATTTGTCTGACCAATTTTCGACAAATTATTTTTTCAAATTTACCCCGCCAATGTTGTTGTTCCTTTGGTGAAGAAATGACTTCCGGACTTCCGCTCTAAAGTTCCTGTAGTGATGTGCAGTTCGCGAACGATTCGTTCGTTTTTCTGAGTGACTCGTTCATATTAGTCGTTCGTTTGACCGCGCTCCTCCGGCTCAGTGGCTCCAGAGACGTTCTCCGACCACCAACTAATTATCTGTCTGTCATATGCGTGTATGAAAATAGATAATGAGCATAGAGAAGAAAAATACATTATTGATGTATTAATTGATAGGGCATGGTGCAAGAGTGAATGCAATTAATTGATTATTGAACGTTATGATGGACACAGCCTCTGCTCAACAAACTCAAACTCTAGAACAAATCGTTGGAGGCCTGCAGTTCGCGAAAGACATTGCGCTGCTTTTTATTTTACCTTTATTTAACCAGGTAAGCCAGTTCTCATGTATCACCCTCACTGCAGTCAAGCAATGCATTCCGCCAAGAGTCGCTCACAATCTAGTCTGGTTGCGGCCACAACTAGACCTCGTTTCAAATGTGTCAAGACAATCTTATTTGCATGCCTAACAATTAACAAATGTACATGATTTACACACGTTTACAAGTCTGTCACAAATGACAGCTCCAATAAGCCACCTATGAAAGACATGTAAACGAGAGGCTTGTAGAATCATGCCTCTTTCGAGTTTTCAGTTCGCCAATAGGGGGTCCTGCGTGCTCTGGGCATAACTGACTCAAATGAACGAAATTAGTCGAAAGATTCGTTCTTTTGACTGAACGAGTCGAAAAGATCCTAACTTCCCATCACATTACTGCCATAACACAGAGCCGGCTCATTTGGCTCTGTTCACGTAAAAGAGCCGGCACATTTGGCTCCCAAAAAGCTCTTCGTTCAAAATGCTTATAACAATTAGTGCTGAGCGATTAACCGAAATTTAGTTTTTTGGGGGGGTTATTAAACAACTCATTGACCGACTTCGGTTCAATTACTTGAATTCCATTTAGTTCGTTTTTTGTGTGAGCCCGACGCGACGTTTATCTAGAGAGAAATCAAATCATTCACAAGAGAAATCAAGTAAATAACTATGTGGGACGCTGGGCTGAAGGTAGTTCTAGTTTTCATTAAGCAAATATTAAACTTAGTTTAGCGCAGAAACGTGGTAATTAAGCACTATGACCATAATCCATTGCGCCATTTTTTCCCGGCTCAAGAGACTAAGACGACGCGAAGCGAGAGGTTTCACTTTCGCCAAAATCTATCCAAAATAAACCCCTATGGGTTTATTTTGGACCTGAGCTTGTCGCCTGCCTTCCCACTTTTGGGACAACGACTCCCATTGTTAGGATATAGACATGAGCATCTCGTCATTGTATACAGATCTCTGGACGGATACACTTTCACACCTGCTACATTGGGTTAGATACACACAGACCGCATGAGAGGTGAATTTATCCTACACAACACAACGACAAGACAGTTCGTGAAAGTATACCTTATCTACTTTGAAGAACTAGTCAAATGATTTCGCCCGACAGTTCTACAGGACAATAGGCAGGCAGGCTAGCTAAATAGGATGACTAAAGACAGTACTGTATAGGGAACACATACCGTTGGATTGCCTGACTGGTTGACTGCTACTGCCTAAAGTGATATGATTACTTTAAGGAATTAAAAAAATAACTAAGTAATATACACAACATATTTTATTATTTAATGTTTACCCAATGTCTACCCAATGTGTACCTGATAGAGAATGGAATATTTTCAATGTTTTGGCAATGAATGTTCACTATTTTGGGTTTAGAAATTTCAATTAAAAAGCTCTAAAATCATTGTAACCTCATTATTATATAAAATACTCAAACCGAAACGGATATTTTTTTTAAATAGTCAAATACAAACCGACGTAAAAAACACTAATCCCTCAGCAATATTAAAATCGACCTAGAAGTTCTAAAACCATGAAAAAAATACAAATATCCAATGTAAAGGCTAAAGGGTAGGCTACCATTATTTCAGATCGTGAAATTCGCGTTCAAATACTTTTTTTTACTGACCAGATTATTAGAAGAACAAACAATTACGCGCTACAGAAAAATCAGCGTGGGTCAGATTGCCGCTCTCCCCACGATTTATTTTTTATGCAATGAGGATTCACGCTCTCTAGAGAATTATTTTGTAATTTATCTGCAGAAACACCTTTTTAGTAGCAGTATGCAAATCAGGGAGCCAAATGAACGGCTCTTTCACCGATGCGATTCGGTTCATCAAAAAGATCCGTTCAAAGAGAGCCGTTCGCGAACGACCCATCACTACTACAAACTGCTAGCCTCTCAGCGACATGTTTGTTGTTGTTCGAGAAACAGGATTAGCTACAGTATGTCCTAGGCGAGTAGCTAATTGTTTAGGTTTGACTAGTCCAACAATCCCCATAGTTATATTTTACTAATATGTTAGTTCATGTTACCATTAGCAGACACGTAATGCACGAGGAGGACTTAAAATCAGCTCGCAAGGTAAGTAACGTTGTTATCTAACTAAACAAATCCCAGTTGGTCTAACTCGCTATCTATGCTAACAGTATCCTCTAAATATTTACCATCATTTGGGATAATTGTATTTGAAAGTACAGATATATATTACCCTTTGCTGCTAATAGACAAAGTACTCCGTAAGTCAATAATATGCATGAATGTCTCAAAGCTTGCCTCAGACAGTAACGTTAAGTAGTAAGATGGCTAGCTACTGCTGCAAGCTAACTTCTTACATCTGACCTCATGATCCTTCTTTCCTTGCTTGTCAGCTAATGCCTAAACGCCTACAGCCGTGACTGATTTTGTGTTCATGATCTCTTTCAGGGGCCACACTGAAAACCAAGTAGCGGGCAGACCCACAGTATCTGGCACCACCATCACAGTAATAGGCTAGCTGATTACAAGTGTGTGACTGATTGTCAAGTTGAAGACCATCACTTAGAAGGACTGCATCAGCGGGTAACTACAACAAAGATGGGGAACAATGCAATCAAAGCCCATCTGGAAAACTCACAGAAGACTGGGATCTTTCAGCTGACAGGGAAAGGTCTTCCCGAGGTAAGTCATACACACACAGTGTCCATCCTATAGTCTGCTTGTTAAAATGTCCGCACTCCACAACAGCCTTTTAACTGGTGCTTTGTTTATTTAGCTGAATTCAATTCAGTTGTGGTTATTGTCTTGGACGGTTTGTATGTATGTATTTTTTGCCACTAATGTATTTCAGTTCCCTGAGGAGCTCCAGAGGTTGACTGGAAACCTACGGACTGTAGATCTGTCCTCCAACAAGATTGAAGTGCTACCTGCTGCCATAGGAAACTTCCTTCAGATGAAGAGTCTGACTTTAAACCGTAATAAACTCAGTAAGTGGTTGTTGCATCCTCAACGTTACCGTCTGTCACACTACAGCATCCGTTGACAAATTCTTGAAACTTTGCTTTCACTGAATAATTAATGCCTGTTATGTGCATTGATTATTGATGTGCATTCATCTGCTTCAATCAATCTCTATAGCTAGGCTATACATTAAGTGTGTGTTTGTTTTTGTGGGTACACAGCAAGTCTCCCAGATGAAATTGGAAAGCTGAAGAAACTAGAGACTCTCTTGCTGAACGGGAACCACCTGACGCAGCTCCCTAGCACTGTAGGACAGTTGAAAGCGTTGCGCACCCTCAGCCTGTCAGGGAACAAATTCCGGGAGTTTCCTGCCGGCCTTGGCTCCCTACGACACCTGGACGTCCTGGACCTGTCTAAGAACCACATCCAGGCTGTGCCTGCTGAGGTGGCGGCCTTGCAGGCCATTGAGATCAATCTCAACCAGAACCAGGTAAGCAGGTGTTTATTGGTGCATCTCAAATGGCACCCTATTCCCCATACATTTACATTTTAGTCATTTGCATTCATCTTAAGAAAACCAAATATCTCAGTCATAGTAAGTACATTTTCCCTCAATAAAGTAGCTATCAGCAAAGTCAATGCTAGTACGGGGGAAAAGAGTCAAGTGCGAGTGTTAGTTCACGAAAGGAGATGAGGGGTGCTGTGAAATTATTTAATACGCTCTTTGAAGAGGTAGGGTTTCATATGTTTTTGGAAGATGGGCAGGGACTCCGCTGTCCTAGCTTCAGGAAGTTGGTTCCACCATTGGGGTGCCAGGACAGAGAAGAGCTTTGTCTGAGCAGGAGCTACCCTCCCGTAGGGGTTGGAGGGCCAAGAGGCCAGAGGTGGCAGAACGGAGTACTCTGGTTGGGGGGTAGGGTTTGAGCATAGCCTGAAGGTAGGGAGGGGCTGTTCCTCTTGCTGCTCCGTAGGCAATTACCATGGTCTTGTAGTGGATGCGAGCTTCGACTGGAAGCCAGTGGAGTGTGCGGAGGAGTGGGGTGACATGGGAGAACTTGGGAAGGTTGAACACCAGGCGGGTTGCGGCGTTCTGGATAAGTTGCAGGGGTTTGATAGGACAAGCGGGGAGCCCAGCCAACAGCGAGTTGCCTTAGTCCAGACGGGAGATGACAAGTGCCTGGATTAGGACCTGCGCCGCTTCTTGTGTGAGGTAGGGTTATACTCTACGGATGTTGTCGAGCATGAACCTGCAGGAGCGAGTTACTGCTTTGATGTTTGCAGAGAACGACAGGGTGTTGTCCAGGGTCACGCCAAGGTTATTTGCACTCTGGGAGGGGTGCAGCGTGGAGTTGTCAACCGTGATGGAGAAGTCTTGGAGCGGGCAGGCCTTCCCCAGGAGGAAGAGCAGCAGCTCCGTCTTGTTGAGCTTGAGGTGGTGGGCCCAACATCGAAGCTAAGTTATCTGCCAGGCACGCAGAGATGCGTGTCGCCACCTGGGTGTCAGAAGCGGGAAGGAGAAAAGTAGTTGTGTCATCTGCATAGCAATGATAAGAGGGACCATATGAGGATATGATGGAGCCGAGTGACTTGGTGTATAGAGAGAAGAGGAGAGGGCCTAGAACCGATTCCTGGGGGACACCAGTAGTGAGAGAACGTTGTGCAGACAGATCCTCTCCATGTCACCTGGTAGGTGCGGCCTGCCAGGTAGGATTTAATCCAAGAGTGTGCAGAGCCTGAGACGCCCAGCCCTGAGAGGGTGGAGATGAGGATCTGATGGTTCACAGTATCCGCTTTGGCAGTGCGAAGAGCCTCCGTGACCTGGAGGAGTGCAGTCTCGGTTGAGTTACCCATCTTGAAGCCTGACTGGTTAGGGTCAAGAAGATAGCTCTGAGAGAGATAACGAGAGTGTTTATCAGAGATGGCACGCTCAAGTGTGTTGGAAAAATAAGGAAGAAGTGATACCGGTCTGTAGTTTTTGATGTCAGAGGGGTCAAGGGTTCGTTTCTTGAGGAAGGGAGCGATTCTGAAGTCAGAGGGGACGCACGCAGCCAGTGGTCAGGAATGGGAGAAGGTCTCCAGAGATGGTCTGGAGGTGGGGATGAGGCCAAGTGGGCAGGTTGTCGGGCGGCCGGACCTCACTAGTCGCAGGATTTCATCTGGAGAAAGAGATCAAGGCATAGGGTTCTGTGTGAGTGGGACCGGTGGACTCAATAGGCTGAGTGAAAGAGGAGCGGATGTCGTCTACCTACTTTTCAAAGTGGTTGACAAAGTAGTCCGTAGAGAGGGAGGGGGTGGAGGATTAAGGAGGGAGGAGAAGGTGGAAAATAGTTTCCTAGGGTTAGAGGCAGAAGCTTGACATTTTGAGTGATGGAAAGGGGCTTTAACAGCGGATACATATAGTGCACCAATTTTAACCAGGGATCTATTCTAGAATCGAATCTATATAAATCTACACTGAACAAAAATATAAACACAACCATTTCAAAGATTTTACTGAGTTACAGTTCATATAAGGAAATCAGTCAATTGAAACATGACTGTGAATACAAATATGCATCTGTTGGTCACAGATACCTTTAAAAAAAGGTAGGGGCGTGGATCAGAAAACCAGTCAGTATCTGGTGTGACCACCATTTGCCTCATGCAGCAAAAATCCCGCTCCTCTTCAATGGCTGTGCGAAGTTGCTGGATATTAGCGGGAACTGGAACACGCTGACGTACACGTCGATCCAGAGCATCCCATACATGCTCAATGGGTGACATGTCTGGTGAGTATGCAGGCCATGGAAGAACTGGGACATTTTCAGCTTCCAGGAATTGTGTACAGATCCTTGCGACATGGGGCAGTGCATTTTCATGCTGAAACATGAGGTGATGGCGACGGATCAATGGCACGACAATGGGCCTCAGGATCTCATAACAGTATCTCTGTGCATTCAAATTGTTATTGATAAAATGCAATTGTGTTCGTTGTCCGTAGCTTATGCCTGCCCAAACCATAACCCCATCCCACCATGGGGCACTCTGTTCACAACATTGACATCAGCAAACCGCTCATCCAAACAACGCCACACACACCGTGAAGAGCACACTTCTTCAGTGTGCCAGTGGCCGTCGAAGATTAACATTTGCCCACGGAAGTCGGTTATGACGTCGGACTGCAGTCAGGTCTAAACCTTGGTGAGGACGACGAGCACACAGATGACTGTTTCTGACAGTTTGTGCAGAAATTCTTCGGTTGTTCAAACCACAGTTTCATCAGCAGTCCGGGTGGCTGGTCTCAGACGATCCCGCAGGTGAAGACGCCGGATGTGGAGGTCCTGGGCTGGCGTGGTTACACGTGGTCTGTGGTTGTGCGGCTGGTTGGACGTACTGCCAAATTCTCTAAAACAATGTTGGAGGCGGCTTATGGTAGAGAAATGAACATTCAATTCTCTGGCAACAGCTCTGGTGGACATTCCTGCAGTCAGCATGCCAATTACACGCTCCCTCAACTTGAAACATCTTTGGCGTTGTGTGACAAAACTGCACATTTTAGTGACCTTTTATTGTCCCCAGCACAAGGTGTACCTGTGTAATGATCATGCTGTTTAATCAGCTTCTTGATATGCCACACCTGTCAGGTGGATGGATTATCTTGGCAAAGGAGAAATGCCCACTAACAGGGATGTAAACACGTGTGCACAAAATGAGAGAAATAAGCTTTTCGTGCGTATGAAACATTTTGGGGATCTTTAATTTCAGCTCATGAAACATGGGACCAACACTTTACATGTTGCGTTTTATATTTTTGTTCAGTGTATATAAATGATTATCCCAGATTTCAGTGGTGTCTGCGGAGGTGTCCACCTGCCAGAGGCTGAAGGTGCTGAGACTGGAGGAGAACTGTCTGGAGCTTGCCTCCATCCCCGTGTCCATCCTCACCAACTCCCAGGTGTCCCTGCTCTCTGTGGAGGGCAACCTGTTTGAGGTGAAGAATATGCGGGACCTGCAAGGGTATGAGAAGGTGAGTCGTGAAACAGAAACAGCTCGTTGCCAAATGAACGGTCAAGGTTAAAGCAAAGAACAGTCAAGATGCTGCACTAGGCTGTCTTAATATCTATTGTAAACAAAACAGCTCATGCATTTCAAACTCATCGGTTTGAAATATCTTTCCTCCCCATTGTTGACGTAATTTTTTTGTGAGCAGCGTAGAAACAAAATACTGTTTCCCAAGAGTGGTGGGCTAGCTCAACAATAATGGGATTTCCTGTTCAACGTAAGGAGGATCAACTAAAGAAAGTTGTGGCTCAGACAGCTCTGGTATTCTTTTTCAGTCATAATCCCTGCACTTGACATAGTCTATGGTCAAATGTAGCCCCAACCACTAAATATGACCACCTGCCTATTATAATATTCAAAACTTAGACCACCATTCAGTTCTTACTCAAAGGGCTTATCTCATAGTTGTCATTTTATCCGTGGTGTCCCAGCCTCAGATGTGCCTATTGTTGATCTAATTTGTTGTTTACCCCACAGTACATGGAGCGCTTCACTGCAACCAAGAAGAAATTTGCCTGATCAATAGAAAGAGAGCATCCCGATGAGTCCAGCTTGTGAACTACCCTCAAGCACCCTCTCTGAATGGTTGTGGCTTACCACAGTAAATATGGCTTCTGCACTGCTGCGGCAACAGGTAACAACAAAGGAGAAGGACCACCATAGAGAAGGAGGACTGATCGAGAGCATGCTACAGAACTGCGTATGAAAGCAACAGGACACCATTGATGGTTACAGAGAACTATGTGAACGATGGACAGTGCACTCACTTTTATGATATTCATAAATTGCATCTTGAATACTTAGCTACTAATTTCTGACCAAAATGTTGTCTTTAGTTATTAACCAAAGCAGGTTATGCTTAAATAGTACAGTGGGCTAAAATGGTCTATACTGGCTTTTAATTGCCTCTAAACTATTACACACACACTACAATAGCTGCAGAAGGCAAACTCCTCTGCTTAGTATCGAGCAGTGTAGATTGTCCAAGTGTTAACTGTTTTGCCTGTCAGAGATGGTACCTGTGCCGGTGGGCAGCAAGCGAATTAAAGCTGTAGTACAGAGTCACAGAATGTCAAAGCAGTGACTGTTGCTCTACATAGACCCAGAATGAGAGAACTCCTTTATGCACAGAGGTTTGCTTACTCTGTGGATCTGGAATGGGCAGTCATATTTTCTGGTGCTAGGGTCCTGGCCATTTATTTTCAGTTGAAGAAGGCTCCGCATCTGCAAGCCGTGCATAACGCCCTGGACCAGAGCTTATTTTTCTGGTGCTGGGAAAGAATGAAGAAAAGCACAGCGGTAATGTAAACCAACCCATTCGACTCTTAGCATGCATACTCTTTATATTATTATGAAATGCTTGGTAGTCTTATTTGGACTTGATTTGTATTATTTATTATCTTCAGTTGGTCTGTTGAACACTTCCTCACTATTTTAGTATTTTAACTCTGTAAATGAATTGTCTACATTTTTAAAGAAGTGTGATTATATAAGATAAAAACCACAAAATGACCAACTCCACTTTTTCTAATTTTGACCCTTAAAGAAGTGTTAATGGATCCTCTTCACATTATTTGGTCTGACAAGGGCCTCTGCACCTCAACCTGTATTACTAGATTGACGACAACCTCAGAGGATCATTCATATCCGTTTCCTAATCAGTGTTGCTGATCAATGGTGCACTTTCTATGAAAGTATGAGTTGCAACAGGCTGTCATGAACAAGAATTGTAACTTGTATGTAAGAGAATTGTAACAGAATACTCTCCCATGAGTTGTGTCAATGTACTGTACTAACAGATTTATGTAGAATTACCCAACTTGAATGTTTCATTTTACAGCTTTTATTATTTAATGTTCCTATTTAATATTTTAATTGAGTTTTTTTTCCTTAAATCGGATTCCATTTTGTTGCCATCCTAGCTTTATTCAGGAGTGTACAGTGTTCAGACCACTGTACACATCAGATTGTCAAATAACCTTATTTTTGTGTACTACATGCAGTAACCTAATATACCCTGCATCTCATCACACATTTTCCCATTAAATATAATAATTACAATTGCCTGTCTCTGTAGGTTCAATAGGTGTTACACGAACAGATTTTGATACTTTGTTTTATATCACGTTACTGAGAATCGTATTTCCCGCGCTCTCTCACTAGGCGGCAGTCATGCACATTGACGTTCCTCAGGAGACTGAGCGCTTCATCCAGGGGCGTATTCATTACGATAATTCTGTTGCAAAACGTTTCTTAAACGGAAGCAAACGGGGCGGGAACCTATCTGAATTTGTCCAATGGAAACTCGTTTTCTGGTTGGAGTAAATAATTAGTGTTGCAGAACTGGCATAATGAATACACCCCTGTTGTAGTAAGGGGCTAGAAAAATGTGTAAATCAGCCTAGACAGATACCACGTCAACTTATCTAAAGAACTGTGGCCGGTTACGTAATGAGGGGAAGAAAACAACATATACCTTGTTTATCGTCCCGGACAGGAATTTACTGGTATTTCGGTCTCGGTGAATTATATCAGCGCCGCTGGGTGAATTGTTCCCGATAAATCTCAAAGTATTTCCTTTCTAGTTCGGAAAAGTACTTTGGAGCCACGGCCCGAAGGGACATGTAGCTCAGGTCATCGACTGTTAAAAACTTGGGAATTCGTATATTTGTGGAAAAGAGGCTCAAACTGTGAACCAGATGTTGAAAAGATGACCATTTATCTTTGGATCATACTCTTCTTGGCACAAAGTAGTAGAGCAATCCATGGTAAGTTTGAGCAATTATCACTAGACTGCACGGCTACGTCTCATGAATTTCTAATTAGGCTATACTGTTGAACTCCGTTTGGCGGAATGCGTTTGTTCAGCGTTTGTTTGTCAACACCGATCGATGTTATTTCAGGGGTTGATAGTCCAAAACAAGGGACCAACACCACCGCTTAGGTGTTCTGCACACAATTGAGTGTTCTCTCTCCAAAAGTTACAGTAGGACTCCCTATCAAGACCTGGGTCAAATACATTCTGACAAATACTTAAGGATTTGAGGTGTTTAATTTATTTTGGGGTTTGCCGTTTTGGGCCTATTCCATTGGCTCCAAGTATTTAAAAGGATACTATTTTTACATAGGCCTACAGCAAGGATCATCAACTAGATTCAGCCGCTGACCGAACATAATTATAAATTATTTGTAGACTCCAAAAAGCCCAAACAGATATAATGTTTGACTGAAACATAATAATGTCAAACCTTCCTTACATTTGTATACGTTTACGTGTCTATCTATTATGCGTGGGAATACTTGGGAACAGATTAATGAAATTAAAAGGGCTTGGAGTGGATTTCCTGGTGTTTTTACAGACGTAAAAATGTATGCACACACGACTGTAAGTCGCTTTGGATAAAAGTGTCGTATTGTTATTATTGTTATTATTATTACTTTTATGTCCAACAATGAAAAAAAATGTTTTTTGCTCAGAAAACTTGGTGGGCCAAATAAAACCACTTCTCTGCTGATCCTCTCAAGCTCTGTCAGGTTGGATGGGGAGCGTTACTGCACAGGTATTTTCAGGTCTCCAGAGATGTTAGATTGGGTTCAAATCCGGGCTCTGGCTGGGCCACTCAAGGACATTCAGGGACTTGTCCCGAAGCCACTCCTGCGTTGTCTTGGCTGTGTGCTTAGGGTCGTTGTCCTGTTGGAAGGTGAACCGTCGCCCCAGTCTGAGGTCCTGAGCACTCTGGAGCAGGTTTTCATCAAGGATCTCTGTCTGTACTTTGCTCCGTTCATCTTTCCCTCGATCCTGACTAGTCTCCCAGTCCCTACTGATGAAAAACATCCCCACAGCATGATGCTGCCACCACCATGCTTCACCGTAGGGATGGTGCCAGGTTTCCTCCAGATGTGACGCTTGGCATTCAGGCCAACGAGTTCAATCTTGGTTTCATCAGACCAGAGAATGTTGTTTCTCATGGTCTGAGAGTCCTTAAGGTGCCTTTTGTCAAATTCCAAGCAGGCTGTCATGTGCCTTTTACTGAGGAGTGGCTTCCGTCTGGCCACTCTACCATAAAGGCCTGATTGGTGGAGTGCTGCAGAGATGGTTGTCCTTCTGGAAGGTTCTCCCATCTCCACAGAGGAACTCTGGAGTGCTGTCAGAGTGACCATTGGGTTCTTGTTCACCTCCCTGACCAAGGCCCTTCTCCCCCGATTGCTCAGTTTGGCTGGGCGGCCAGCTCTAGGAATAGTCTTGGTGGTTCTAAACTTCTTCCATTTAAGAACGTTGGAGGCCACTGTGTTCTTGGGGATCTTCAATGCTGCAGAAATGTTTTGGTACCCTTCCCCAGATCTGTGCCTCCACACAATCCTGTCTCGGCGCTCTACGGACAATTCCTTCAACCTCATTGCTTTGTTTTTGCTCTGACATGCACTTTCAACTGTGGGACCTTTATTTAGACAGGTGTTCCTTTCCAAATCATGTCCAATGAATTGAATTTGCCACAGGTGGACTCTAATCAAGTTGTGGAAACATCTCAAGGATGATCAATGGAAAAACAGGATGCACATGAGCTCAATTTCGAGTCTCATAGCAAAGGGTCTGAATACTTACGTAAATATGGAATTATTTTTTTTCCTTTTTAATACATTACAAAAACCTGTTTTCACTTTGTCATTATGGGGTATTGTGTAGATTGATGAGGATTTTTATTTATTTAATCAATTTTAGAATAAGGCTGTAACGTAACAAAATGTGGAAAAAGGGAAGGGGTCTGAATACTTTCCGAATGCACTGCATATTTAGTATAGGATACATTTTCTGCCATCTGTAAGTTTAAGAAACATTTCCTTTTGCCTTAATTCCTTTAACAAAAACCCACATCTTTAAGATATTTTATAATGAAAGTTCACAGAAGTAACCAGTAAAGGTAGACCTATCACTTAGTTATAGTGCTTTTACTGATATCAATTTTGTTTATGATTTTTGTGTAACAGAATTTCCCAAAAATTGGTAACGAGGAAATGGTCACTGAGGAAATGTTGGGAGTCTACTGTTGATGATACTTATAGGATTTTTCAGAGGTTGCTGTTGACGCAGATTCCACAGTAATTATTGGGGTCAAATTTGTCTTCACTTTTGTGGATTGGGGTGATCAGTCCTTGGTTCCAAATATTGGGGAAGATGCCAGAGCTGAGGATAATGTTAAAGAGTTTCAGTATAGACAATTGGAATTTGTGGTCTGTATGTTTTATCATTTCATTTAGGATACCACCAACACCACAGGCCTTTTTGGGTTGTATTTTGTCCTGTAGTTGGAGAATCCAGTGGGTTCTGGTAATCTTTAATAGCTGTTTCCATGATTTGTAGTTAATCATGTATATGTTTTTGCTGTTTTTCTTTGTTATGGAGACAAAAAGATTTGAGAAGTGGTTTATCCATACATCTCTATTTTGGATAGGTAGCTCTTTGTGTTGTTGTTCAGTGTGTGCCAATTTTCCCAGAAGTGGTTAGATTCTTTAACTACGCTGATTTTTGACGTCTTCTTCCTTCTTTCTTAGTGTATTACTTTTTTGTTTTAGTGTTTCACCATAGTGAAGGTGTAGGCCCAGGTTTTCTGTGTTTTTGGTTGGATATGTTTCTCAATTTCTTTCTTAGGGTTTTGCATTCTTCATCAAACCATTTGTCATTGTTGTTAATTTTCTTAGGTTGTCTGCTTGACATTTACATTTGATAGGGAAGTTGAAAGGTTAAATATACAGTTTAGGCTTTCTACTGCCAAGTTTACACCTTCACTATTGCAGTAAAATGTTTTGTCCAGGAACTTGTCTATATGGGATTGGATTTGTTGTTGCCCAATTGTTTTTTGTGAGGTCTCTACACTACTTTCCTTCCAGCTATAGTGTTTCTTAATAGGACGTCAATGTTTCACAAGTTTGGACAGCACAGTACAGTACAGAAAAGTTTAGTATAGTACAATAAAGAAAAGTAGAGTATAGTCCTGTACAGTGGAGTTCAGTAGAGCACACTAGAGTACACTATAATATACTGAACTATACTCTACTTGACTATACTCTACTGCACTGAACTATACTATACTCTACTGAGCTCTACTGTGCTGTACTTTGATGTAACAACTTGTGAAACATAAACATCTATGATTGGTTCAGATTTGGTCCGGACCAACCAATTTTGGTCTTGTTTGGTGGCGGAGCTCATTAAAATAATAGCCAGTGTGTAGAATAATACCCAAATATGCAAAATAAGATATTGCATATTTCTACCTTTTTGTGTACCTATTTAGGATACATTACCATGAAGAAAATGACATTCATATCCATAATTATGCATTTATGTGTAGCATAGATCAGGGACCCATGATGCAATTCCGTAAAGGCAATTATTTTACCAGGTGTAAATCCACTTCACTTACTGTTCAATAACCAAAATATATTTTTCTAACTCAGGCTGTCATGTCATAGCTGACACCCCATTATTTCTGCAGACATCTTCGAATCTTAATTCGGAGGAGCTATTTAACAGAGTTTTTGGAAAATGTGGTCACATAAAAAACATTTTGTAGGCTACCTTTTGAGGGGTATCTAGCTAGCTTTCCTGTAATGCTCACTACTGCATGTGTGTTGGAGTCTAACATAGCCTTAGATCCCATCCATTATCTTTTCTTCCACATCATGTCATTTAGAGTAGTGAAGGACCCCTAGTGAAGAAGAAAGGACCACAATGAACTCTGGTGTCTCCTGACCTTTGACTTCTAGGACTCCTGTTCACCAAGAACCCCACCAACCTCACGGTAACCCAGGGCAACATGGCTCGCCTGGGTTGTTCCATCGAGGGCCTGAGTGAGCCGGAGATCGTGTGGATGAAGGACGGAGAGAAGCTGTACAGCACAGACCAGATGTACATCACCGTGGAGCAACACCACTGGGAGACCTTCCACAGGTCAGCGCTTTGGTTCAGTCTCCTACTGTGAGACCTTTATTGTGAGAACATAATGTGGGACTTTTATTTTGTTATCAGTCACTCCGGCTTTTGGGGGAAAGAGCAAGGGTTGATGAGTAATGCTTCAGTTTAGATTTTCTCCCAGTGTCCATGGTCATTCTTATCACCATCCTTACACTACCATTGTTTAGACGGGTACAGATAGGTACTCTACTCCATCTGACAGAACTAAGCACAGAGAGCAATTGGATTTCACAATGCTGAATTCAATCTATTTCACCAGAAATCATTGGGAGGCTGTTTTGCAAATCATCATCCTTATCGCAAGCAAACTAACCTTTACTTGAAGTGTTGCAAAGCACTGAGCTCACTCACCATCACCAGATGGAGCTATCCTGGCAGTTAGTTGAAACATCAGAGAAAGTGCTTCTAAGTTTAATCATAAAGCTGGTCAAATAACATTAATTGTAGCTTAAAGCATTGTTTTTTATCCTTCAAAAGTCTTCGCTCTTGTGTGAATTCAATAACGTTGTCAGTCTGCCTTAAATATGCTGTGGATGTTTGGAGGTATTACTACAGGTAATAGCCAACAGCATGTAGGCAGGCATGGCGTGTTATGGTATGAGTTTGTTCTGTGTTATGGAGAAACATGCGGTGTAATATCGTAAATAGAGGTAGTGATGCTGTTCCTGGCTTTGAATACTTTCTCCCCCTCTGACTCAACATCAGACCTGGGTTTAAATACTATTTGAAATCTTTCAAATACTTTGAGCGTTTTCTTTAGCCTGCCTGGAGTGCCATGTAGGTGGGATTTTCACTTCTGGGACTTTTCTATTGGTTCAAATTGCAATGGGTAAGCTTAATCAAGCAAATTATTTCAAATAGTATTTGAACCCAGGTCTGCTAAATATGGCAGAATAGAACTTACAGGATTTTAGCAGGTTTGGGTGGTGTTGGGGGAGGTTTAATAATCAGCTTGGGGATGCTTTGTTCCTGGCAGAAAGAGAAAGAACCTGTAAATAACATGGCTGGAGTGGAGACAGACAGTGGTCTACCCTTACCGTAACCGACACAGCAGGTAAACCAGACCCCAAAGAGGGGCAGGCAGGATTGGAATGCAGTCAGCTGCCTGTGACTGTGAGTAACTTAAAGCTTGAGGCAGACTGCTGGACCTGCTGGTAAAGTGAACTTGCATCGCCAGTGGCAGCCGTTTTCTGTTAATCTCATGCACATGTACTGGGCACTGAAGCTCAAAGGTCTGCAGTTTGAACTTCTCTAAAGTCTGAAACATTTTTCCTGTTTCCTGCTCATCATCACACAACAAGAATGTCCTAGATATCAGGGACATTCACCATATGCTATGTCTAGTCTAAAGAACTAGAATGATGTAATAGATATCATTTCTGTCATATTTCTGTGGTCCAGTGACTAGTCCTTCATTGGTTGTTGGTTGGAGTGGTGAGTTTGGTGACGATTGGTGTCAGAAGTGGGATACCATACCTATGAGTGAATATGACCTGTCAATGCTCACAATGGTTTCCTGAGTGACTACTAACATAAATGCACTGTGTACTCCTGCCCCAAGCTACTTTATTGATCCAATTAGTTAGTGTCCTACTCCATCCCTCAACATATCCTCAAGGGGTTATTTATCTTAGTTTTATTGTCTGTTTTTCTTCTCCTACCCAATTATGTGATGGGCTTTTACCTAAATGTTGCCTAATGGGTCTCCCCTCCTCTATCATTTTGAAATGTGCAATATTTAGCATACTCTCATGTAAAGTACTAGGAGAATCAATGAGTGTCTCTGTCTGTCCGGGTGGTTTCAGTGTGAAGTCTGTCCAGCAGCAGGATGCAGGGAAGTACTGGTGTGAGGTAGAGTTCCATGGCTTGACCATCTCCTCTGAGCCCGCCTGGATAACAGTAGAGGGTAAATCAATCAATACATTTAAATCAATACATTTAGCCCTCTGTCTGCATGCCTGCGTCTTGGTAAATCCATATGAATTCAATCACTTTTTGACAGCATCCCTTTTGATTTAAACACAACTTTCCATACATGTTTGCCTATGGAAGAAGTGGTCAGAAAGTGACTTTTTGGACCTGAACGCCGAACAATTCAGGAGATAAAGGTGCTCAAAGTTGACCCATTCTTCATACCATGAGACATCCATGTCTTCATCACTGGAAAACATAAACGGTTGAATTTGATGTAATTTAAAAGCTTCAAACAGGGTTGTCAAACTATTTTATAACTTCTTGAATTAAAAAAAAACCTTTTACAGTTATTAGTAAAAACAACATGTACACTTTTTTCATATTCGCATATGTTGTAGCTTAGACCCTACTTTACATCATCTGAAGTTTTTGTGTTGTGCCCGCCATTGGTTGAGACACAACATGCTCTTGAATACAGGGTGGGTGACATTTCAATCCTAGAAATAGAATTCGTAGAATGGACCTATCCAGCAATTTAGCTGGTACACTATTGACATTTTAATTTCTAATTACTACCACAAAGATGGCCGCTGGTCCACCCACCGCCTGTCAACTTAAATGGTCATGTGTATTCTATATTTCTATGATTTCAATGGGTTCCCTATGGAGGATTGACCGTATAATTTAAAACAACAGATAATCCAACCGTCTTTGTGGTAACATTCTAAAGTATTCCCATTTTAGTACATTTATCAGCCAAAACATGACAACAACCCTGTATTCAACCGGTGGCGGGCACAACACAAAAACCTTAGATTATGTAAAATAGGGTCGGTCTAAGCTACAACATATACAAATATTAAAAAAGTTTATGCGATTTTAGATAATTGACGTAAACTTTAAGCACCTTTTATCTCTTAATGTTTTGGCATTCAGGTCCAAAAAGTCACTTTCTGAGCACTTCTACAATGGGCAAATATGTATGGAAGGTTTCGCTCAAATCAAAAGGGGTGCTGTCAAGAAGTTATTGAATTAAAATGGATTTACCCCTCTCTCTCTCTCTCTCTTTCTCTGTTCCCATCTATCTCCAGGTGTCCCCCACTTTATACTTGAGCCCCAAGATGTAGCCACATTCCCTGGGGTGCCCTTTAACCTGACGTGTGCTGCTGTGGGCCCCCCGGACCCAGTGGAGGTGGTCTGGTGGCTGGGGGGAGTACGGAAGGTTGATGTCACTTCCTCGCCATCTGTACTCCATGTTAACGGTAAGTCTCTACCGGGCTGTTTCTCAATAGTCTTTACTCAGTCTCTTTAGTCTTTACTTGAATCCGTGCATCCTGTCTCCTCGCCTTCTTCTCAAAACACATTGGAGGAGAATATCACACTGGCTGGTTAAATCAATAGTGACATATGAATCATAAGAATATCAGATTTCGTTTTCACATGCTGTTAGTTCAGTAAGGTGGACTGCCATCGGTCTGTTGTAAGAGCTTCTCAGACATGAGTCATACATTACAAGGAAGAGATATTGGTTATATGGCATTCAAGCTGCTCCTAGAGATCTGCGCGTGAGTTGGAAATAGAACTGTTTGAATGGTAGAACGAAGCCAAAGGTTATTCTCAGTGGGTGGAACGCTACTGAAGGGCTTTCTTGCTCTTTCCTCTATGAGGGTTTACACTCAGATGTTATCTATGCTATGCTGATGTCTACCAGTAAATACACAGTACTTTTTTCTATGGGCACAGCACTGTATACAGCACAGAATGTATGACATGTATTTTTGTTGGCTATAGATAGGGAAACCTATACCCTCACCTGTAATATAATGTTTCCCCTTATCTGAAAGAACAAATGTTATGACTTGAGAGTGGAAATGCACTGTAATTGGTTGAAAACGCATACAAGTGTAAATGTTTGTTTGATACTTGTAGTCCACAAGAGTGGATTGACTGGTTTTTCATTAGAAGTCTGCTTCATTCCCTTCTCGTGATATGTAAGCCTTTCGCCTTAGTGGCTCGCCTCCTTCATTTCCTGCTTATGTTTAGCTGGTTCAGTTCCTCTGCCCTATGTAACTGGACCTGCACCTTCCTCTGCTGTTACTCTGGTGGATCTCATTCATCTCAATCAATATTGCTGACCAGAGTATATAGGTATTCCCTATTAGTGCACTACTTGACTTGACTTACAAAGACTTTGCTGCTGAGTTCTAATTCGGAGTCAGGAATGAAGAAACGGATGTTTACCTAGAATGTGAGAGTAGCCAGACGTGTTTCAGTCCAGCTGATGGTTCCCTGTTATGACCCTGGCATGTTTTTCTGTGAATGTCAGTCAGTGGATGACTAACCAGGTAGTGGCCCTCAGTGCCTGGTATTGTGTACTGTACTGTACAATACACACACACACACACACACACACACACGTTTGTTTTACTATCCTTGTGGGGACCAAACAATTGATTCCCATTCAAAATCCAATTTCCCTAACCCTTAACCTAAACTTAACCCTAATTGTAAACCTAACCCCTAAGCCTAAAATAGCCTTTTTCCTTGTGGGGACCGGCTAAATGTCCCCACTTGTCCGAATTTTCCTTGTTTTCATAATGTTCACAGTGTGAAAATTACTCATTTACATGGGAGAAACAGACTGTTGGTCAGGCATAGTAGCAGGTGACTGGTTTAATTCACTCTTGGCATCGACTAAACGCTTACCTTTAAAGGGCTCTGGCTTGCGTAGATCACTTAACACGTTTCCCTCCTCTGTTCCCTGTCCCTGTAGGTGTGAATAACAGCATCAAGTTCTACTGTGAAGCCAAGAATGCCAGAGGTATCTCAGTATCGCGAACAGGCACTGTGCACATTAAAGGTGAGAAATTAATGAATAATCAATGCTGTCATGAGTGTGACTAAGGCATTTTTCTAATTAGAATATGCTGCCTGATGAAGTTTGGTTAGTCAATGCACATTGCAGTATGCTGCTGTTACTTAGCTATTCTTGTCTGCTCCTCGTCCAGCTTCTGTGCAGAGTTGGATGTTTGTAAATCTAAAACCCTGTCTTTTCATTGACTGTAGTCCTCCCAGCAGCCCCTAAAGGTGTGCAGGTGGTCCATGTGGTGGAGAACAATGTCACGCTGGCCTGGAGCCCTGGCTTCACTGGACACTCTGACCCGTCAGTCTGCACCATCCAGGTAAAAATGTGTATTCAATTCTAATACTCCAGTCCCACAGATAAAAATGAACCAAACCAGCACAACTGAGATGTCCGGCCAGTGCTGTAGATTTGGCTAAATTATATTTAGATGTTCAATAAAGCAGTTATGATATATACAAGCAAACTGACACACTCAGTCAGAAGTTAAATGTATTTACTGATTTTTAAGAGATGTGGTTGTTGTTGTTGAAAGTAGTCTGTCAGTGCAATTTAGGATGGGAGTGACAACCATCAGAATGTATATTAATGCCTTGGATCAATGCTTAGCCAAGACTGAGATAATGAAAATAATTATTTCTTGTTTTTTGGGGCGGCACCTTGAGTATTATTATTTTTCATTCTTTGAATGAAAGAATTTGCCAATGAAAACATGACAATTTCACCTCAATGATAAGATAATGACATATCATGCATTTTTCACATCCTCTCACATTTATCCTAGAACTTAACCCTTATGGAATGTTTTCCTTCCTTCAAACCTCTTGCAGATGTCTAAGAACTCTGGGAGGAAGGTGGAACTTCCGGACCAGCGTGTAAAGGTTCCACCATTCCAACAGATCCTCAGTGGGCTGAACTGCTACTCCAACTACAGCGTTAGAGTGTGCTGTGACAATGAGGTTGGGACCTCCCCATTCTCTGGCTGGCTGGAGTTTCAGACACCAGAAGCAGGTGGGCGTCCAGTCAATAGAATAAATAATGACATATCAGCTCTTTTGTTTATCAACTGTTTTTCGTCATTGGCTGCACCCCAAATGGACTTCCTGACGGGCCGCCCCCAGGTGGTAAGGGTAGGTAACAACACATCCGCCACGCTGATCCTCAAAACGGCGGCCCCTCAGGAGTGCGTGCTCAGTCCCCTCCTGTACTCCCTGTTCACTCATGACTGCATGGTCAGGCACGACTCCAAACACCATCATTAAGTTTGCCGATGACACAACAGTGGTAGGCCTGATCACCAACAAAGACGAGACAGCCTATAGGTAGGAGGTCAGAGACCTGGCCGTGTGGTGCCAGGACAACAACCTCTCCCTCAACGTGATCAAGACAAAGGAGATGATTGTGGACTACAGGAAAAAGAAGAGGACCGAGCACGCCCCCCTTCTCATCGACGGGGCTGTAGTGGAGCAGGTTGAGAGCTTCAAGTTCCTTGGTGTCCACATCACCAACAAACTAACATGGTCCAAGCACACCAAGACAGTCGTAAAGAGGGCACGACAAAACCTAACCTAAGGAGACTGAAAAGATTTGGCATGGGTCCTCAGATCCTCAAAAGGTTTTACAGCTGCACCATCGAGAGCATCCTGACTGGTTGCATCACCGCCTGGTATGGCAACTGCTCGGCCTCTGACCTCAAGGCACTACAGAGGGTAGTGCGTACGGCTCAGTACATCACTGGGGCCAAGCTTCCTGCCATCCATGACCTCTATACCAGGCGGTGTCAGAGGAAGGCCCTAACAATTGTCAAAGACTCCAGCCACCCTAGTCATACACTGTTCTCTCTGCTACCGCACGGCAAGCGGTACCAGAGCGCCAAGTCTAGGTCCAAAAGGCTTCTAAACAGCTTCTACCCCCAAGCCATAAGACTCCTGAACATCTAATCAAATGGCTACCCAGACTATTTGCATTGCCATCCCACCCCTCTTTTACGCTGCTGCTACTCTCTGTTTATTATCTATGCATAGTCACTTTAATAACTCTACCTACATGTGCATATTACCCCAATTATCTAGACTAACCGGAGCCCCTGCACACTGTTTTTTAATTATTAGTAACTTTTTTTTTTTTTTTTTTTTTTTTAAATTCTTTCTTAAAACTGCATTGTTGGTTAAGCGCTTGTAAGTAAGCATTTCACTGTAAGGTCTACACATTTGTATTCGGCGCATGTGACAAATAACATTTGATTTGATTTGAAAATGGCACCCTATTCCCTATGTAGTGGACTTCTTATGGGCCATGGTCAAAAGTAGTACACTACATAGGGAATAGGGTGCCATTTAGAATACACACATTGTCAACCGACCGACCACATCACCAGCTGGACATCAAAAGCACATGATGATTCATGTAACAAAATGGCAGGTGGCGATCTTATCACAATGGGAAAATAACATCATGCTTTGTGTTTGTTGGCCCTCTGTACCTCACAGCCCCACAGCCGACTTTTCAAAGTTGTTACACTGTCAAAGTACTAGAACTTGAACTAAATCCTTTCATATAGGATACCGTCTAAGTTGATGGGTTTTAAATAAGGTTTGTTGTTGAGATAAGGGGTACATACAGGCAGCAGAGTGGTCATGGGAGGGAGTCTGATGAGGGGAGCAATGCAGTGCAGTGGTGGTTTCTGGGGGCGACCTTGTTTGTATGTTTATAAACTGGCAGTGCTGGACACAGGCCAGTCGATTCCAGGACTGTTGGTACAATGAAGCATTGTACATGCCCTCAATCCATATCAATGTGCTGCAGTGCTGAACTAAGGCCTGTTGCCTCAGTGTCACCACACGCTGGTTAGGGATACCATTACAGGGAGACCATGGCCTCTCATTTGGGGGTGAACTCACTCTTATAGATCAACCAATTTTTTGTGAGTGCTCTTAGGTCAAAGACACTGATTGAGTAGTGATTTCCCTCTCCCTGCAAATCTCTCCTGAGTTTAGAGCAGATGGTGTTTTAAATAATTAACTGACTGATGGCAGTAGCAGAAGTTTATAATTACAGCATTGACATATACCAAAACTACCTTTTTATAATGTTCTTTATGATAAAATGTAAGGTGTTCTAAGGTGTTAAATGTAGGTGTATTCATTAACACTGTGCCCCTGTGTGTTATTCCTCCCCAGTGCCCTCTGCTGCCCCCCGGAACCTGACCTTTGACCTAACAGAGCAGCAGCTGTCCCTGAACTGGGCGACCTTGGAGGACGAGGAGCTGCAGGGGAAACTGATGGCCTACAAAGTCCAGTGGAACCTGGGAAAAGAAGGACAGGTAGGATACAGCCTCATACACCTGTACACAACAGAGAGACAGCCTCATACACCTGTACACACTGGAGAGACCGCCTCATACAACTGTACACACTGGAGAGACCGCCACGTACACCTGTACAGGGGCGGTGTGTTCATTAGGGCGATATGGGCGACGCACTGCCAAATGGGAAAAGGAAGGGATTTTTTTTCTAATCAATTATATCACGGCAACAGTAGTTATCAGTGTTCTAATCTAGACGTCTGATCTGCCACTAAATGTCCAATCAGGCTAAAGTCGTGCTTCAAATGGCCCCGCCCCTTTTGGGGCGATTTCGACTTAGCTGATGACATTTGTGGCAGGGTTAGCGATAACTATTTGCCGAATATTTAGAAAAAAAATCCCTTCCTTTCCCATTGGCATGCGTCGCATATCGCCTAATGAAACCCCCCAGTAAGGGTACTGGCGTCTCTCGTGGTAAGTGTATGACAGTCTCATCGCCCCATGAAGTCTTCATAGACTTCATTAAAATCTTTTTTTTCAAATATCAGAGCTTTCAAAACAATCTCTATGGGTTCCGGGAGGGCTTGCACTTACGCGCTTTCGTCATACGTAACATAACCCTGACGTAACTAAAAAAGAGCGGGTAGCATCGTCAATCAATTCACGTACTACTGTCAAGATGGCTAGCGTTTCAGTGCAACTCGATTGTCTCTTTTGAAAGAAGTTCCTTTTTGTCGGCGAACAAATCAAGATAAATTGGCAACGAAACAATTAGGACCTCCCAGACCAAATTTAATAATTCAACAGGTTTCTACTAAAGGGGGAAAGTCCTACACCCGAGGATTTTCCAAAAATTGGTACGAACGAAAAACCTGGCTAGCAGGCTGCGATGTAGCTAATGCAGTCTTCTGCTACCCCTGCTTACTCTTTCACCCTGAAGGCGGCACGGCAGACAGCACCGCTTGGACAGCGACTGGTGTAACGGACATGCACCATCTTTCAGAAAAGATTAAGAAACACGAGCTGTCAAAGACCCACATGGATAGCTGTTTGAGATTGTCTGCTTTGGGGAGAGTGAACATTGCCACTCAACTGGATGAGGGATACAGGCTAGCTGTCCGCCGCCACAACGATGAGGTTAGCAAGAACCGCCACATCCTCAGCCGGCTAATCCAGTGTGTGAAGTTTTGCGGAGTGTTTGAGTTAGCTTTGCGAGGCAAAGATGAAACTGAGGGCTCCACCAACCCTGGTATTTTTCTTGGACTTGTTAACTTTGTGGCACAATTAGATGAGGTGTTTTATGGAAATGCATATTGTTTATGCAGTGTTGAGGAATGTGAAAGGAATTTTTACTGTGATAACTTATTTTGCTTTTGTAAGCCAACACATTTGAGATCAGTCAATAAATGCTTCTGGTATTGACTTATATGCTGCCCCTGTCTTCATGTTGTTGCTGGACATATCTTTTTTTAAATGTGTGTAGGTCACCTAAATCATCAGAAAAATTGCCCCCCCTGAGAATTTTTTCAGGAGCTGCCACTGCACCTGTACACTGTAGTGGAAATTCTAATCAATAATGAGGAGAGACAAGGTCCATCACCAATCAGGATATTACTTAATTCAAAACGTATTAATAAGGTAATAACGAGGCTGGTCGGCCCAACACTCTTGATTGTTGGGCTGAGAGCCCCGACACAAAGAATACAAAGATCATTTATAGCAAAGATACACCCTCTTAGTCTACATGACAAATACAGTGGGGGAAAAAAGTATTTAGTCAGCCACCAATTGTGCATGTTCTCCCACTTAAAAAGATGAGAGAGGCCTGTAATTTTCATCATAGGTACACGTCAACTATGACAGACAAAATGAAAAGAAAAAATCCAGAAAATCACATTGTAGGATTTTTTATGAATTTATTTGCAAATTATGGTGGAAAATAAGTATTTGGTCAATAACAAAAGTTTCTCAATACTTTGTTATATACCCTTTGTTGGCAATGACACAGGTCAAACGTTTTCTGTAAGTCTTCACAAGGTTTTCACACACTGTTGCTGGTATTTTGGCCCATTCCTCCATGCAGATCTCCTCTAGAGCAGTGATGTTTTGGGGCTGTCGCTGGGCAACACGGACTTTCAACTCCCTTCAAAGATTTTCTATGGGGTTGAGATCTGGAGACTGGCTAGGCCACTCCAGGACCTTGAAATGCTTCTTACGAAGCCACTCCTTCGTTGCCCGGGCGGTGTGTTTGGGATCATTGTCATGCTGAAAGACCCAGCCACGTTTCATCTTCAATGCCCTTGCTGATGGAAGGAGGTTTTCACTCAAAATCTCACGATACATGGCCCCATTCATTCTTTCCTTTACACGGATCAGTCGTCCTGGTCCCTTTGCAGAAAAACAGCCCCAAAGCATGATGCTTCCACCCCCATGCTTCACAGTAGGTATGGTGTTCTTTGGATGCAACTCAGCATTCTTTGTCCTCCAAACACGACGAGTTGAGTTTTTACCAAAAAGTTCTATTTTGGTTTCATCTGACCATATGACATTTTCCCAATCCTCTTCTGGATCATCCAAATGCACTCTAGCAAACTTCAGACGGGCCTGGACATGTACTGGCTTAAGCAGGGGGACACGTCTGGCACTGCAGGATTTGAGTCCCTGGCGGCGTAGTGTGTTACTGATGGTAGGCTTTGTTACTTTGGTCCCAGCTCTCTGCAGGTCATTCACTAGGTCCCCCCGTGTGGTTCTGGGATTTTTGCTCACCGTTCTTGTGATCATTTTGACCCCACGGGGTGAGATCTTGCGTGGAGCCCCAGATCGAGGGAGATTATCAGTGGTCTTGTATGTCTTCCATTTCCTAATAATTGCTCCCACAGTTGATTTCTTCAAACCAAGCTGCTTACCTATTGCAGATTCAGTCTTCCCAGCCTGGTGCAGGTCTACAATTTTGTTTCTGGTGTCCTTTGACAGCTCTTTGGTCTTGGCCATAGTGGAGTTTGGAGTGTGACTGTTTGAGGTTGTGGACAGGTGTCTTTTATACTGATAACAAGTTCAAACAGGTGCCATTAATACAGGTAACGAGTGGAGGACAGAGGAGCCTCTTAAAGAAGAAGTTACAGGTCTGTGAGAGCCAGAAATATTGCTTGTTTGTAGGTGACCAAATACTTATTTTCCACCATAATTTGCAAATAAATTCATAAAAAATCCTACAATGTGATTTTCTGGATTTTTTTTTCTCAATTTGTCTGTCATAGTTGACGTGTACCTATGATGAAAATTACAGGCCTCTCTCATCTTTTTAAGCGGGAGAACTTGCACAATTGGTGGCTGACTAAATACTTTTTTCCCCCACTGTAACAGATGTATGAATGGGTCACAAGGTGAGACTTGATATATGAGAAAGGAGTATCTCCCATCCAGATAGCATTTGCTATGAAGACTGTTTTTACTGTATGGAAACCAGAGTTTGGCCCCCAAGACAAGGTTCCTCTCATCATTATCCATACCCGAGCCATCTCTCCCTGGTACCTTACATTACACAAACACCAACTCAATCTATGGAATGCATGCTCAGTCAGACCGAGCCATCTTCCTCACATGAATAGAATGTGGCTTGTTTGGTTTATCACCTAATAATAATAATAATAATAATAATAATAATAATAATAATAATAATAATAATATGCCATTTAGCAGACGCTTTTATCCAAAGCGACTTAGTCATGCGTGCATACATTTTTGTGTATGGGTGGTCCCGGGGATCGAACCCACTACCTTGGCATTACAAGCGCCGTGCTCTACCATCTGAGCTACAGAGGACCACCTAAGGCATCGTAAATCTACTGTCAGTATTAACACAGACACATGAGATTTCTAAGAACCCTATTCTATTGCAGAAAACAACCATTTGATGCAATAACAGTATTACAACATAATCTTGTAATTGTTGCTCTCACATTCCCTCATTTTGAAAATACTCTCAAAATTTAAAAGAAAATTACAAGGTTTAAAGAGATATTAATACACATGTAGAAAGTGCATACATTCTTCATAGAGCAAGAAACATAAAAGCAATAATTCATTGTGACCGGCTGCTATAGCACGGGCTCAGCCTCCTCCCAAGAAACTTAGCACAGTCTCCCATTTCAACCTCCAACACATATTCTAAGCATTCTACCAATTTGTCTGGGGAGGTCATGATACACAGTCACCTGCACGAACCCATGAAGAAAATCAAAAGATGCATACAGTTTATATGATTCAAGACTATATCTTCATAGACAGTGAAAAGCAAATATTGAATGCATAATGCAGTGCATTCAACAATGGAGTTTAATAAAATAAACTTTAGTTATCTAGCACACTCCAATGGATCAGCATGGTGGAAATAACTATTGCCATCCCCATAACACCATCTGTAGAAACTAAAATGAGCATATCTTGTTGGACAAATCCTGGTAGGGATTCCCGGTTTAAGTAAAATGTCTTCAGTTTGGTGCCTAATGAACATGACCTAGGACAAGCATAGTTCCTGAGTATTAACATTATCATCAAAAATGTCATATGGATATATATCAAATAGATTAGGATCAGTTTTACTCTCCCTCCATTCACCAGGGCATGCTGAGAATAGTGTCAACATCTTTAGTACACACAACTTCTTTACCCATGTCACAATTAGTATAACAACAATCAATCCATAATACATTAATTGCTTCACTCATATAGTTATTAACATACTAACAACTTACTCAAATCAATCAGTCAGTTTACAAATCCTAATCAAAACCCAATTAACTATCCAAACCAAATTTAGAATGACAATTCTTAGTGATTCACATTGGTCCTGTCACTCAAAAGTTAAAACCCTCAATTTAGCACACATCAACACTGGCAGAATGTAAATTTATATTAACATACAGTATAATTATCCATAATTCTAGCATTAGCTTCCTCATAAGGAGAATAACTACCAATCAGTATCTCAATGCTTTCTTAGTCTAAATTACTATACATTTAGCAGTGTGTAGACATCCTTAATCAACCTGATACCCCAAATAACAATTTTGGACAAGTCCAAATCAATTACGGGCACAGTTGACCAACCCCTTCCATCCCCGGCACTCAATCTTCTGGCGTCTCCCCATTTTCTTCTTCAGATAGCTTTATAGTTCAAAATGGATGGCCCATGAAAATGTCCCAATATCAATTTCTCACATGGGCTGCCACCACCTTTACCACCCATTATGTATTGTCCATTTGCCAACCAGCAACATTTAGTGAAGTTTGGAACAGATCTCTCTTCATGCTCACTCCACATGGACTCCTGTCACACTCCTGAGAGAAAAGGCATGAGAGAAAAAGCAGTTGATAGCTTTGATTGGATGCTGTGTACAGGTTGCTGGCTCGGACTCAGGTCTCTCTGTAGAAGTGGTGCAGAACAGGGCCGTATTGAACGCCATTTTCTTCAACCGGTTAGAGGGGGTTTTGACGTTCACACCGTTCTTGGCCGAATTATCACTTTCATGCATGTAGATACCATCTGTAGTCACGATCACCATAAACTTGAGAGAGGACAGATCAGAACAACAGTTTAGTTCAGTTCATTTCTGATTCAGGAAAGCCAGACAAACATTGGCTATGACAAATCATTACTTTTACCAAGTATTCTTAATACCAATTTCTAATATACTCCCCTTATCACTCCGTCGGCTTCACCGCAGAGTCACAGGATCAGGAAGTTAGACTAACCCATCGGGAGAAATCCCAACTATCCAGCAGACCCAATCTGGTGAGATTTGTATCGAAAACAAAACAAACAACACAACAACACTCCTTCATATATCACTCGATACACTTCTATATATCACTCAAGGTTTGTAAAACTTCAATCCAAAATCCTTCAGAGGACTGGTAATTCCCCCATTTTGACACATGACTCACAATGTGATTAATGTGTAAAAACAACAACACTACTGGTGAAATAAAAACCAATTTAAAATAACAAATGCATAATAACTCCTTAAAGAAAAAATGGTACCCATACGGTCATAGGAAAATAGACTTAAAACAGCTTTATGATACGTATCAGTTTATGATACGCGACTTTGCAGAGAAAATGTGCTCTCTTGTCAGGACGCTGTTCAGACAAAAGAAAGACAATCCATGACATTCATTTGAGCTGATTTTAATAAATGAAACCATACATTCTCTTTGTTATCACAGATGACATAGCTATAGCTACCTATTGTATGTCACATTTATCTGTACATTCTCCTGGATGGTGCATTGGTTGAAATATCTGAGTCTGTGCTACTACTTCTGCTGCCTTGCTTCAGCCTTTTGGGTGTTGATGGGTGCTGCAGTGTTCCCTTTGTTTTCGGCCAGGATGTTGCTCCAGCATATTCTGTCTGTCAGTGAGGGACGCCAGTAGCTATGGAGCGAACCTTCGCACCGATGCCCAATCACTGACATAATGTCCCTCGCTTCTAAACCAGCATTGGCCAGTTTCTGGACTGTCGTGGTCCTAATGCTGTGATTTGTGTATGTAGTTGTACCCGCTGCCCTGCAGATCTTGGGTAGAAGTGCTGCCAGATAGTTCACGTCCATCGGCTCTGACGTGTACCAGATCGAGTCCCCGATACTCTCCTTCGGTGGAGATAAAATGCAAGGGCGTTCTCCGGGCATTTCGATAGATATTTCTCCAGTGATGCCACCGGGTATAGTGGGTTCCCTGGCTGCCCGAACATTAATCCCCTCTTGGACTCCCTGCCCCTCTTCCTTGGGTCCAGATGATTCTTTGTGGCCTCGTTATATATGAGAGTGGCATATCTGAGAGGGAGAATGCGTTGTTATAATATTGTTTTCCAGTAGCTTAATTACGAGTGCAACTTAGAAATAACACAAACAGGCAATGAACAACTGTTCTCGTCAGTTTTTACGAGGAATGAGTTGGGCTTTAGTTGTCTGTTCCCCTCTTTTCCTTTTCGACCCAGATGTAACTGGAGGTCGAACCACACTTTCTGGACCAGACCCCTTGGTGTACCGGAATTCAGAGCCTGTGAGTTTTGGAGCTGGGCCATGTCCTTATCGTGATGGAGGGGGGCTGTTTGTGATATATTTTCCTTGCCTTCTTAGCTGTTTGATGTTGCCCAGAAATGCATGATTCGAGGTGGTAAATTCAGTGTCCTTCATAAGGCACCAGCTGCGACCGATGGGTGGGTCATTTAGAAACCATTTTAGTTTTCGCAACAAAGTACCGATTTAGCCAGTCAACTGAAAAAAAGGTTTGTATGTTGCCATGACAAGCAGCTCAATTTGCTGTCTGTCTCGTTCAGACACATTCACTTTACAGTGGGGAAAAAAAGTATTTAGTCAGCCACCAATTGTGCAAGTTCTCCCACTCCCAAAGATGAGAGAGGCCTGTAATTTTCATCATAGGTACACGTCAACTATGACAGACAAATTGAGAATTTTTTTTCCAGAAAATCACATTGTAGGATTTTTTATGAATTTATTTGCAAATTATGGTGGAAAATAAGTATTTGGTCACCTACAAACAAGCAAGATTTCTGGCTCTCACAGACCTGTAACTTCTTCTTGAAGAGGCTCCTCTGTCCTCCACTCGTTACCTGTATTAATGGCACCTGTTTGAACTTGTTATCAGTATAAAAGACACCTGTCCACAACCTCAAACAGTCACACTCCAAACTCCACTATGGCCAAGACCAAAGAGCTGTCAAAGGACACTAGAAACAAAATTGTAGACCTGCACCAGGCTGGGAAGACTGAATCTGCAATAGGTAAGCAGCTTGGTTTGAAGAAATCAACTGTGGGAGCAATTATTAGGAAATGGAAGACATACAAGACCACTGATAATCTCCCTCGATCTGGGGCTCCACGCAAGATCTCACCCTGTGGGGTCAAAATGATCACAAGAACGGTGAGCAAAAATCCCAGAACCACACGGGGGGACCTAGTGAATGACCTGCAGAGAGCTGGGACCAAAGTAACAAAGCCTACCATCAGTAACACACTACGCCGCCAGGGACTCAAATCCTGCAGTGTCAGACGTGTCCCCCTGCTTAAGCTAGTACATGTTCAGGCCCGTCTGAAGTTTGCATTTGGATGATCCAGAAGAGGATTGAGAGAATGTCATATGGTCAGATGAAACCAAAATAGAACTTTTTGGTAAAAACTCAACTCGTCGTGTTTGGAGGACAAAGAATGCTGAGTTGCATCCAAAGAACACCATACCTACTGTGAAGCATGGGGGTGGAAACATCATGCTTTGGGGCTGTTTTTCTGCAAAGGGACCAGGACGACTGATCCGTGTAAAGGAAAGAATGAATGGGGCCATGTATCGTGAGATTTTGAGTGAAAACCTCCTTCCATCAGCAAGGGCATTGAAGATGAAACGTGGCTGGGTCTTTCAGCATGACAATGATCCCAAACACACCGCCCGGGCAACGAAGGAGTGGCTTAGTAAGAAGCATTTCAAGGTCCTGGAGTGGCCTAGCCAGTCTCCAGATCTCAACCCCATAGAAAATCTTTGGAGGGAGTTGAAAGTCCGTGTTGCCCAGCAACAGCCCCAAAACATCACTACTCTAGAGGAGATCTGCATGGAGGAATGGGCCAAAATACCAGCAACAGTGTGTGAAAACCTTGTGAAGACTTACAGAAAACATTTGACCTGTGTCATTGCCAACAAAGGGTATATAACAAAATATTGAGAAACTTTTGTTATTGACCAAATACTTATTTTCCACCATAATTTGCAAATAAATTCATTAAAGATCCTACAATGTGATTTTCTGGATTTTTTTTTTCTCATTTTGTCTGTCATAGTTGACGTGTACCTATGATGAAAATTACAGGCCTCTCTCATCTTTTTAAGTGGGAGAACTTGCACAATTGGTGGCTGACTAAATACTTTTTTCCCCCACTGTATATGGGACGGTGGAGATCGCAATTCAATATTGAAAAGGTCGGAGAGACAGACACGCTTTTCTCCTTCGAAAAACAACTGCTTCAATGGGGGTGTGGCAGATATCAAAACTTCTAATCTTCTCTCATAATGTGAGTTCTTTACAAAAATCTATTCTTAGAAAGGCCACATTCGTATTTTGTTCCTGTGGTGCCAAAGAAAATTATCCAAATTATTTTTTTCTCAGTATTCAGCAGTTCCAAAGCATAATGTGTGTCTTTGTGTGTTGTGTAAAACATTTAAAAAGGCCAGCACTCACTTGCGATGGAAGCTTTGTTTTACGTTTCTTAAACTCAAAGCATGTCTTAATAGACCACACGCTGACATATTTTGGTTGTTGTGTTCCAGGAGGCTCTGTTCTTTAAAGAGAATGTGGCCCACCTGTCTGGTGGAGGTCGTTTCTTCAACGCCACCTTCCAGGTGTCAGCGTGTACAGGTGCTGGTTGTGGGCCCTGGAGCCAGCCTGTACTTGTCATGCCCGCCTCAGGTCAGTGAGCCCCTCTGTCACTCTCCATCATTAGCCCGTCTGCCCCTCTAGCCCTGCCACTATCCATCTAGTAGTCTAGTTGTTTTGAAACCTATGCTCCAAATTTGAAGGTGACGGGGCGTTGTGTTGTATGTAAAGCTGTGTGTGTGTGTGTTCCACACAGCAGTGGCAGCCCAGATGCAGAGAGGCCATATGTGGGTGGGTCTTCTGTTGGGCCTGCTGGTGGCCACAATGGTGGGGCTTCTTTTGACAGTCCTAGTGCACCGCAGAGGGAAGGAGACACCGTTTGGGTATGCTGCCATTGCTCTCTTGCTAGACAAGACCAAAGCCTTTCAAATAAACATTATTTTCTGTTTCAATTCATTAGCATGAGCTGAAAGCACCATTTTAATGAATTGACTGACCTACAGTAAACAACAGCTGCTAAAGAGCATGTTTTCCCCCCAAGTACACTGACTTTACATATAGGCCTTCTGTCTGCAGTATTTACCAGAATCAGAGGCATTGTGTGAATATTTTATGACTGCAACCTTCCTTATTTCTTCCCTTCCTTAAAGTTATCACTGAGCTGACATGATTGGATGAGGGAAAGCAAGATTTCCACTACATTCTGTTCACCAATGTCTTTGCCAGATCAGTGGATTACCCCAAGGAAGGAAGGATGCATTTCAGAAGTATTCGAACAGGAGCGACTTTACTGCAAGGTTACAAAACCAAGGCAAAGCAGGAATAACAGCGCAGTCATAAAGTATTCAAACGAGGCCTCTGATTCTGGTAGATATTGCAGACAGTAGACCTGCCGGCGCCAATACAGTATGTGAACGCAGGACTGTGCTTGTCCTTGCAGGTCTGTGTTCAAACCCCCAGGGACTGAGAGCATGGTCTCCTTCACTGCAGCCAGGTCATTCAACAGGACCTGCCCAGAGCTCCCAGAACTCAGCTGTAAGTAAAGTCAGTCGTGTTTGGCTTACGGTCTCCACAAATAAAGTTGCCGCCCTCTATTGACACGTACTGTAGTGCCTGTAGTCAGTGGACCTGGATGGTGAATAATACATTGAATCGGTGTCTCCCACCAGTGGACAGCTTGGGTATCAATGACGATCTAAAGGCCAAACTGCAAGACGTCCTGATCCCAGAAAGACTACTGACCCTCGGACACATGTTGGGAAAAGGTTGGTGAGGGCTTCCTTGTGTACTGTTTCTATACAAAATAGCTCACACCCTTTAAATGTGCTGACTAAAAGTAGTGTTGACAAAATGTTGTGGATGCTAGCGGCTGCAAAAGAGAGCATTTACAAACGTCTGGCATGGCCTATAATCATGACTGTGTATTGCTAAATAACAAGGCAGACCTAATGTCTGTGTTGTGATGTTTTGGAATATGTTGAATTGTACCAAAGTGTTTATTGTCCCAGGATTAATGTGGCAGTGATTTTTCTGTGTTTGTGTAGGTGAGTTTGGCTCAGTGCGTGAGGCCTTCCTAAAGATGGAGGACAGTACTGTACAGAAGGTTGCAGTGAAGGTGCTCAAAAGTGAGTGAGAGACTATTGACTTTACATTTTAACTGCCTTTTTATATGAATGTGTACAGTCAGTGGATATTACATTGATACAGTTGAAAGTAGATTTAATTTATTCCCGGGATGGGACTTCCTTTGTGTGCACGTGCTTGGGCCTAATCATAGAATTACAGAATCTCTATTAATTTTAAAGGATCGCTGTCGGCCTAGTAGTAAAGATTTGTCGTCTAACTTTTAAAGTGTATTTTCTTTTAATGTGTCATAAACACAACCAGTCATGATGTTTTCATCTGATTGTCAAACAATCACTTCAAACGGCTCCTGTAAGCCTGGCTACCTGCGCATGTTCGTCCACTCTAAAAAAGAATTCCAGCATCCATACGGTGCACTGTGTACCCGCCATTTGATGAATGGAAAGAGACAGCTGTTACAAAACACCAAAAAGTGGAATGAATGACATTTGGCGATTTGTCAAAAAGGCCTAAACTTGTGTAACCTGAATTGATGCGTCCACTGCTGTTTGCGTGCGTCTCAGTCTCGGCCACTCATCTCTGCCTTGGCAAAATGTCACTATATTGTCGAACCACATAGCATTTTGGAGCATACTTCCACATGTTTTCAAGTCCATTCTTGCATGTTTTATGACATTGACATGCAGTAGGCTAATGATAAATAATAGTGTAATAGCCTACAGTTCTTCTTGGCATCTTTGTTTTAATTATTGTGATAGGCTCATGTTTTACCAGTAGGCCTACGGCGTGCCCCTACTATTTATTTTGCCAGAACTCCATACCGGCTTACTTTCACCCCTGATGTGAACTAATAAGTCCTTGCAAGTTGTGATAATTGTTATGTTTTCTGTCATTTATCCTTCAGCGGATATCAACTCATCATGTGATATTGAACAGTGCCTGAAGGAGGCTTCTCATATGAAGGACTTCGATCATCCTAATGTCATCCAGCTCATTGGTTAGTAGTGAATATATAAACCCATGACTTGGGCCAACGTTTATTTCAATTAAATTCATTACAACTTTATTTACGAAAGGCATTGCCAGATTACAAATAATAATATCTTCCACAAAGGAGTACAACAAGTAGGCTACTTATAGGTTCGGAGAAAGTGTTGTAACTGTGTCATTACAGCAACTCAGTGCAGTGAGTTGTTGATTATATTTTATAATTATATTGAATATATTTTGGTCCTCCAGGAGTGAGTTTGCACAGACGGCCTCAGCAACGGTTGCCCATCCCCATGGTTATCCTGCCATTCATGAAGCACGGGGACCTTCACACATTTCTGCTCTTGTCCCGCCTTGGAGATGAGCCCTTTGTGAGTGCCCCCTATACATTTTATACACACTTGTATGCATACTAAAATAGATACCCAATACTGGAATACATACACTGAGTGTACAAAACATTAGGAACACTTTCCTAATATTGAGTTGCACCGCCTTTTGCCCCCAGAACAGCCTCAATTCATTGGGGCATGGACTCTACAATGTGTCAAAAGCATTCCACAGGGATGCTGGCCCATGTTGACTCCAATGCGTCCCACAGTTGTGTCAAATTGGCACAAAGTGTTGCAGTTCTTGACACACTCAAACCGGTGCGCCTGGCACCTACTACCATACCCCGTTGAAAGGCACTTAATTACAGTGAGGGAAAAAAGTATTTGATCCCCTGCTGATTTTGTACGTTTGCACACTGACAAAGAAATGATCAGTCTATAATTTTAATGGTAGGTTTATTTGAACAGTGAGAGACAGAATAACAACAAAAAAATCCAGAAAAACGCATGTTAAAAATGATATAAATTGATTTGCATTTTAATGAGGGAAATAAGTATTTGACCCCCTCTCAATCAGAAAGATTTCTGTCTCCCAGGTGTCTTTTATACAGGTAACGAGCTGAGATTAGGAGCACACTCTTAAAGGGAGTGCTCCTAATCTCAGCTTGTTACCTGTATAAAAGACACCTGTCCACAGAAGCAATCAATCAATCAGATTCCAAACTCTCCACCATGGCCAAGACCAAAGAGCTCGCCAAGGATGTCAGGGACAAGATTGTAGACCTACACAAGGCTGGAATGGGCTACAAGACCATCGCCAAGCAGCTTGGTGAGAAGGTGACAACAGTTGGTGCGATTATTAGCAAATGGAAGAAACACAAAAGAACTGTCAATCTCCCTCGGCCTGGGGCTCCATGCAAGATCTCACCTCGTGGAGTTGCAATGATCATGAGAACGGTGAGGAATCAGCCCAGAACTACACGGGAGGATCTTGTCAATGATCTCAAGGCAGCTGGGACCATAGTCACCAAGAAAACAATTGGTAACACACTACGCCGTGAAGGACTGAAATCCTGCAGCGCCTTCAAGGTCCCCCTGCTCAAGAAAGCACATATACAGGCCCGTCTGAAGTTTGCCAATGAACATCTGAATGATTCAGAGGAGAACTGGGTGAAAGTGTTGTGGTCAGATGAGACCAAAATCGAGCTCTTTGGCATCAACTCAACTCGCCGTGTTTGGAGGAGGAGGAATGCTGCCTATGACCCCAAGAACACCATCCACACTGTCAAACATGGAGGTGGAAACATTATGCTTTGAGGGTGTTTTTCTGCTAAGGGGACAGGACAACTTCACCGCATCAAAGGGACGATGGACGGGGCCACGTACCGTCAAATCTTGGTTGAGAACCTCCTTCCCTCAGCCAGGGCATTGAAAATGGGTTGTGGATGGGTATTCCAGCATTCCACACACGGCCAAGGCAACAAAGGAGTGGCTCAAGAAGAAGCACACTAAGGTCCTGGAGTGGCCTAGCCAGTCTCCAGACCTTAATCCCATAGAAAATCTGTGGATGGAACTGAAGGTTCGAGTTGCCAAACGTCAGCCTCGAAAACTTAATGACTTGGAGAAGATCTGCAAAGTGTAGTGGGACAAAATCCCTACTGAGATGTGTGCAAACCTGGTGGCCAACTACAAGAAACGTCTGACCTCTGTGATTGCCAACAAGGGTTTTGCCACCAAGTACTAAGTCATGTTTTGCAGAGGGGTCAAATACTTATTTCCCTCATTAAAATGCAAATCAATTTATAACATTTTTGACATGCGTTTTTCTGGATTTTGTTGTTGTTATTCTGTCTCTCACTGTTCAAATAAACCTACCATAAAAATTATAGACTGATCATGTCTTTGTCAGTGGGCAAACGTACAAAATCAGCAGGGGATCAAATACTTTTCCCTCACTGTATTTTGTCTTGCCCATTCACCCTCTGAATGGCACACGTACACAATCCATGTCTCAATTGTCTCAAGGCTTGAAAATCCTTCTTTAACCTGTCTCCTCCCCTTCATCTACACTGATTTGAAGTGGATTTAACAGGTGACATCGTTAAGGGATCATAGCTTTCACCTGGTCAGTCTGTCATGGAAAGAGCAGGTGTTCTTAATGTTTTGTACACTAACCCTGTAACACTATAATACACTTCTGCCCAGCATGTGTCCAGAGAACTCAAGGTCTTCCACTGTTACATTTGACTGTTTAGATACAGAATGTTTTAAATCATTCCTTCATTTCCTGTTATCGACTGTAGAGGAAAGACCAGGTTGACCTGTGGGGCCAATTTATTTGTTGTTTTTTTCGATAGTAGACTTTGTAATTGATGTAGAGCTTCAAATCATGTTTTAACAAAGTAATCTTGCTGTCTCCCTCACACAGACAGTGTCACTGCAGATGCTCATACAGTTCATGTTGGACATCGCTCGTGGAATGGAGTACCTGAGCAATAAAAACTTCATACACAGAGATCTGGCTGCGCGCAACTGCATGTGAGAATCTACGAGCAGAGTAGACAGTGGCTTTATCCCAAATGGCACCCTATTCCCTATAGGGCCCTGGTCAAAACTAGTGCACTAAATGGGGAATGTGGCAACATTTGAGACGCAACCTGTCACTTTACTCTTTCCTAACTGGAACTCCCTCTAATATGGTTTAACACTGAATTTACTAGAGCTTTCTTTTGCCTGTGGGTTGGATTGTGACCATCTCCTGTCCTTTGTTCATAGGCTTAGTGAAAACTTGACAGTCTGTGTGGCAGACTTTGGCCTGTCAAAGAAAATCTACAGTGGCGACTACTACAGACAAGGATCTGTCTCAAAGCTGCCTGTCAAGTGGATATCTCTGGAGAGTCTTGCTGACAATGTCTACACTACTCAGAGTGATGTGGTACATACAAACATAGACGCGCCCTCATCTTGGTCACAGTACACACAAACTCATACCTTCATTTTCTAAATGATGGTGACACTGTAGGGTGGTAATATTTGAGTTTGGGATCCCCATCTTGAAATCCTCTTTGTGAAAAGGATTACATTTGTGTTTTGTTATGCAATTCAATGCATCATGGATAGGATGTTTATTTTGTTTCCAGACCAATCAATTTCATTTTTGAATTTTTGAACCATGTAGTGGCCCCAGAAGTTCACTGACTGAGTCCCTGTTTAATAGATAAGATGTTGTTTGTTTTTGGAACTGTCAATTCCTTATTTTTGACTTTAATGGCCCAGAAGTTAACTGACTGACTCTGTTTTCCCACAGTGGGCGTTTGGAGTCACCATGTGGGAGATCATGGCACGGGGGCAGACCCCTTACCCTGGGGTGGAGAACTCAGAAATCTACGAGTACCTCATCAAGGGAGAGAGGCTCAAACAGCCACCTGACTGCCGAGACGACATGTGAGTGGTCCACTGGGTCTGATCGAAAAGGCCTTCATCAGAACTGATGGGATCGGTGCTATACTTTTCAAATGACTTAAACAATCAAATTATCATCATTGGTGCCAGATTAATATTTTTACTGCCTATTTAACCAGGTAACTCATTGAGAACATATTCTCTTTTACAATAATGACCTGACAGTTCGAATCGTCTTCCTCTTTTTTTCCCAGTTACGAGATCATGCATAGCTGCTGGAGCCCTGTTCCCAAGTGCCGCCCCAGTTTCCAGCACCTGATTGACCAGCTGGAGAGGCTGTGGGCCAGCCTATCCCCAGGGCCTAGCTGTATTAAGGAGGCCCTTCTCTACGTTAACCTGGAGAATGACAAGGTGGAGCAGGGCGCAGGGGCACTGGGCACAGGGTCAGCAATGCCCTGGCAGTGTGTGGGGATGGAGGAAGATGAAAAAGACTGGCTCATGGTGTCTTCTGGGGTAGCTCTGGCTATCGGTGGAGACTACCGCTACATCATTGGCCCTACCTGTAATAGCAATGAAGAGGAGGACGGTGGGAGGCAGGTTGACTCGATGGATACCTTGCAGCAAGAAGTTAGGGATGAGAAATATGAAGACACGTTCATTAATGTGTGATTTTATATTTCGACCACCATGCTGCCTCCCCTGCCCTGACCGCAACTGACCTTGTGTACAGATTTCACAGACTGGCAAATTGGTTGTGGTGGGTTGGTCACTCACTACTGCCTTCCAGTGAAGTTTCTGAAAACAAATGGCTGCTCACCAGCATTACTTAATGGAGCAAAGTTGGATTGCAGTGCATATCTTACTGAACTTTTCTACCCATTTTATTGCAAGTTATTCTGTGTATTTTTGTACTTTAAACTAAATGACTTCACACCCAGACACACACAATCAGCCTTACTATTACTTTGACAAAAAGCACAGTACATTTAGATCTTGACTGATATACAGTTAGTTAACTTTTCAATGGAAAACTCACTGACAGAGGCATTATTTAGTATGTAGATACGCACCTTTTGATGTTTAGGGACTGAATTTATTAACAAATGCTCCCTATGTCCCTAGTGTGCACTGTACTGTAGGTATTGAACATTGGTATTTGTTGCTTTGCGAACTTACTCCCTTTCATACTGTTGAAAAGAAAATTACTCTTTGCAGTAAGGAATTGAGACCAAAAGCTCAAGAGAAGTTTCAAGTGTTTATTACCAAGGATGCCGTCAGCTGAGTGCATACATTTAGAAAGTTCACAACACATCTTATACTCTTCCCTCCTTTTGGTCACCACCCTCTTTTAGGTGTCACCTACCCAGCTATACATTTTATGACCCCAATGAGTTTCCCTTATCTACCCTGTGGAATGTCCATGGTCCTCTCTTTGGTTAGCTAGATGTCAGAATCACACCCCGTCCATCTTCATTGTCCTTGGCCTGACCCTGCTCCCTGATCCGAGGCAATTTCCTCTTATCTGATTAGGTCAACCTTTCCAAATTAGCATACAGTTTCATGGCCTAAACTTCATTAATACTCACTGTAATCACTCACTAAACAGGATACAAACAAACTACAGTTTAACTTGAAACATGTTATATTTGAACAGAATCCATCAATACCCTAAACTCAATATAAAAAGCAGCTCCAGTCCAAAAGTGTCTATTACACTCATTCTTAATCTGTATTCTTATTTAACCTTAGAATAACATTTAATGGGACCACGACTGTTAGAATCCCTTAAAGCAGTGGTCACCATCCTTTTCTGAGTCCAGATCACATTCTGAGTCCAAATGCAAGCAGAGTTCTACTGCTCAGATTTATATTTTATTTTTTACATTACTTTAAAAAATGTATGCTTATGCAACATTAACCTATTAAAAACAGTACTGTAGCAATGAGGTTTGTGCAGTAGGCTGTAGACCCAATACATTATCACTGCATATTGGATTTGCTTCAATTGCCCTGCCAATGTTGTTCGGACCATTTAAAAATATATACTGAACAAAAATATAAACGCAACATGCAACAGTTGGCATTGTGTGACAACTGCAGCACAAGGTGCACCTGTGTAATGATCATGCTGTTTAATCAGCTTCTTGATATGCCACACCTGTCAGGTGGATGGATTATCTTGGCCTAAGGGGAACTGCTCAATAACAGGGATGTAAACGAATGTGTGCACAAAATCTGAGATAATTTTTTTTTGTGCATTTGGAAAATTTCTGGGATCTTTTATTTCAGCTCATGAAACATGGGACCAACACTTAGCATGTTGCGATTATATTTTTGTTCAGTATAGATAAAAGGATAAGTAGCATATCATTTTTTTATGTTTTCATTTTTGTTCAGTGTATATTTCAAAATGTATGGTAGGCTATATGATCACACCAGTAATAGATCAGTTGTATTACTTGTAAGGCACAGCTGAGTGAGCATACATTTTAAATAATTATTTTGGGGGGGCTGATGGTGCCTGCATCTGATGGTCAGTCTCAGCGGAGGGAGAGAGCAGCAGACTGAGGGTCCACCTCTCAACGTCCCTCCACTCTCCCTTTCCTTTGCTGACCAAAAAGGAACACGGTCTTCCAGCTGATGGTGAAACTCGAGTCACACCGCATTATTTCTGCCTCATGCACAAATTAATGTTACTGGTATGAACAGAGAAAGTGAAATTCCTTGATATTAAAGACCCAAGCCTCTAATAATAACAACGCAAACGATACACTTTCCTACTCATTACAGATGCAGTGCTGGTTGTAGCCCGTGGAAGTAGGAAGAATGCGCATTTTATGGCTTATAAAAGTGTTGAATAAAAACTGTTGACAGAAGCTCTTTGCTGTATTCCTTGACAGTCTCTCTCGTCATGGTTTTAAACGGTTTGAAATCTCACAGTATCAACTTTGCTGTATGTTATTCTTTTTTTATTGCCTGCTACTTTACTGCAGACACTGTTATCTGAGCCATGTGATTAGCCAGCGGTAGGCCTATATAGCACTTGATTTGCTCTCCGGGGCCGTTTGCACCTTCAGACACATGAAATGGTCCAAAATGGGAACACTTCGCCTTCCCGGCGCGGAGGGCAGCTGAATCGGGTCCACCTACCGTCAACAGTGCGAGACAAATAAAATAGGAACGCAAGGCTTTATCGTTGGGTTTTTTACATACATTTTTGGCGATCGACTAGGAATGCCTTGGAGATCGACCAGTCCATGGCGAGGACCGGTTGGTGACCGCTGCCTTAAAGGGATACTTAGGGATTTTTGCAATGAGGCCTTTTATCTACTTCCCCAGAGTCCTATGAAATCGTTGATACCATTTTTATGTCGGTGCATCCCATTTGAAGGAAGTTTCTCACTAGCGCTAGCACAACTGCTAACTAGCGTTAGCACAATAACTGGAAGTCATAGCAGATACCCATAGACTTCCAGTCATTGCGCTAATGCTAGTTAGCATTGGGTCGCGAAACTACCTCCAACTTCCTTAATACTGGACATGGAGACATAAAAATGGTATCAACAACTTCATCTGACTCTGGGGAAGTAGATAAAGACCTCATTGCCAAAATCCCAAAGTATCTCTTTACATTTTTTGTCAATGAGTTATTTTGAAGAGTACCATTGAGAATTGATGAAACAGGATAATATGCAGAACGTTGTATGTATTCAATAACTAAGTTTACCAGAGTGTGAATATGGATATTATGTGTTAAGACATTAGCCTGATAAAATGGGAGTCTGTCGTTCACTGATGTTCAAAGTGCTTACAGAGACACCCTTGATTTTGCATTCTGGAGCATTCCATGTAGGCTATGGGATATCAAGGGACATTATGTTTTAATATGTATATTTTCAATGTATTTTTTGTATATTGTTATAAAATAATGTCCATAGATACAACCCAGATCATTAAAAACAAAGACTTATGAAGCTGATGCTTTGTGTTGTGATACTCTGACCAGTCCATCCTTACCAGCCAGTGCCTAGTTGTTTGACATTTGTACATAAAGCTACAATGTAATTCACACCTCCAAGTGTAAGTAAATAAAAAGTATTGGTTGTTTCATGATCGTATGGTATATTTGTCTTTATACCTTCTGGGAGAGCATGGAACTCACCCTCAGCCTAACTTCTATGTGCCCCAGCTGATCTGGATAAATGTAGTTAAAGAAAGTAATTTTAATGTAAATTGTTAGATACTAACCACGTTTTCATGCAGTAAAGTCATACTGTATAAAAAAAAAAAAAAAACATGACCGCTGTTTCTGTACAATTGTATAAATGCCGACAGAATTTGTTCGTTCGACATGGTGGGATCTTTTTGTTATGCGAAAAATGGCGGTGGAAACCCCTTTATGCGCAAATATTGATAATATAACCATCATATTGAAGTAAACTTGGGAGTCACGCGATGATATGGTGTGTGTGATCCTCCCACTACGACTCGGCAAACCATGTAGTGTATTGGGCTACAGATGAAATAAATTATGATTAACTTCACAGGGTAGTGAAAGTCCACGGTGATCTTGATCCTCCTTTTCCAATAAATATTGAGGGTCTTATTCTGGTGACATGATTGATGCTTGACAAAAAAATATTCTGTTTTTTATCCATAATAATCTCATCATTTAGATTTACTAGCCGACGGCCACTGTATCTGCGAGCTGTTGGCTAGAGCGCAGGTGCCAAGACCAGAGAGACTAGAGTTAAATGCGATGGAATTTGAATTGGGTACATGAAAAACGTAATGGTGGACTATGTAATAAGCACTGATTTGGTGGAAACACACCAATGGTGGGAAAATGCGCATATTTACTTCATGTGGATTATTGAATATTTTCGCATATAAATCTGTCGCCAATTGGATGGAAACCAAGTTTCTGAGATTTGTATTTTATCCCAATCCCTCCAGACACACACACACACACACACACACACACACACACACACACACACACACACACACACACAGAGAGAGAGAGAGAGAGAGAGAGAGAGAGAGAGAGAGAGAGAGAGTGGACAGGACATAGTCAGCCTGGACCAGTTTAGGGATAAAGTGCTCAAAGACACAACTGCAGGAGATCGCATCTAGGATTTGATACCTGGAACCCTCCAATTGCTAGCTCATATCCCACCAGATTTCCCTGACAGACCCGGGATTCGACCTGCCTCTAACTGCTATCCCATATAAACCCTTCGTAAATGCAGAATATATTTGCAAATGACAGGAAAATATGACGATGTGCCCTTGAGCAAGGCACTTAACCCTCTTTTCTCCCATAAATCGCTCTAGATAAAATGTAAATGTATATTTTCTGTCATGTCATGGGGCCCCCATTGATTTTGTTATGTTTGTGTCACTCAGATAGCATAAGAACATGGCAGAATGTGTAGAATCGCAGAAAACATCCTTTAAAACTGTAAAATGTTCTCTCAGCCATTGCAAAATGTGTAGAGATGCAGAAAACAACCTTTAAAACTGTCAAATGTTCTCTCAGCCCCATGCCAAAAATATGTAGCTCCACGCTAACTTTACTACCCCTGCTGAAAAAAAATCATACGGGAAACACTGCATTTCAACTGCCTCAAATTTAGTACAACTGTCTTTTAGCTTTTGCCTCAAACCAAAACCACTACTGCGTTGTTTATGTTGATCTCATGGGCTGTCAGTGTTTGAATCCAAATGAATGGACATCCCCAGCCCTCAGTTTTACAGACTCGGGATTGTGGCTATAATGATTGTAAATGCAATTTGTGCTGCGTTCATAACCAAATGGGAAGGTGGTATTTACCACATACGACTGGGAAAATCCACTTGTCTCCAACTGGTAGCCTAATTGCTAGTGGGGAAACCCTGTCTAAACCGGATGCAGTTTGATTGACATCTTAAGTGGAGGTCCAATTCACAATCGTTGCCACCTCGGCCCTCGATTTAGCGAGTGAAGAACTTTGATCACTTTTGGGGTTGATATGACCCACAGGTTGCATTCCAAACACTTAAAAGACACACCTGTTAAATGCAAACTATAGTAATGTGTCAAACTCCGGTGGCCGCGAAGTGTCAAATGTAATCAACAGGGGCTGCATTTTCGGCATGTGAGACATAATGAAGCTAGCTTGCTAAAACATATTTAGATGACATTGATTTTATCGTTGGCAAATTGGAATGACCCTCAAATTGGCTGTCTCGTAGTGAAGAGCCTACAACGTAGCTAGCTTCATAAACATGTATTGGAATTCTGAAATGTATTGGAATAACTACTTGAGTAAAAGTATTTGGTTTTAAATATACTTGAGTATCAAAAGTAAATGTAATTAGTAAAATATACTTAAGTATCAAAAGTAAAAGTATAAATCATTTCAAATTCCTTATATTAAGCAAACCAGACGGCACAATGTATGTTTTTTTAAATGTACAGATAGCTAGGGGCACACTCCAACACTCAGACATAATTTACATACGAAGCGTTTGTGTTTAGTGAGTCCGTCAGATCAGAGGCAGTAGAGATGACCAGGGATGTTCTCTTGATAAGTGTGTGAATTGCATTCTAAATGTAATGAGTACTTTTGAATGTCAGGGAAAATGTATGGAGTAAAAAGTACAATATTTTCTTTAAGAATGTAGTGAAGTAAAAGTAAAAGTAAAAGTAGTCAAAAATATAGATAGTAAAATAAAGTACAGATACCCCAAAAAAACGACTTAAGTAGTACTTTCAAGTACCCCCTGTATATAGCCTCGTTATTGTTATTTTATTGTGTTACTTTTTATTATTTTTTACTTCAGTTTATTTGGTAAATATTTTCTTAACTCTTTCTTGAACTGCATTGTTGGTTAAAGGCTTGTAAGTAAGCATTTCATAGTAAGGTAATTGTATTAGTAATACCTGTTGTATTCGGCGCATGTGACAAATAGTTTGATTTGATTTAATATATTTCGTTTTTTAGTTTTAGATTTGTGTATTGTTGTGAATTGTTAGATAGTACTGCACTGTTGGAGCTAGGAACACAAGCATTTCGCTACACCCGCAACAACAATTGCTAAATATGTGTATGTGACCAATAACATTTGATTTGATAACACCGAGTTGAAATTTAATTACAGTGAAATCGCAGGTAAATTCGTGCATTGACCATTTCAATCTGGTTAGAGCTGGTTGGCTAGCACATGTAGCTTCCCCCGAATAAGAATGCCCACGAATTTTGTCTGTCGTTACGTATACAGTCGCCATATAGACGTGTTCAATTTAGATTATATTTATACCCCAACCGTTCTGTCTTTGTTGAAGGGCCCCCTACCATAAAGCGGGGAGTTTCAAACCTCCCCATGGCAGCGTTCCGTACCACCTCAGCATGCATTTTCTCCCTCGGTTTTGAATCATGTGATACAAAAGCGCTGAGTCTGCGCAGTAAGACGTGAACGTGCGTCCGCGGAGCTGTGACGTCGTTCTACAGCACGCATGATTCCTCCAGTTTGGAGATGCGAGGTACAGTATATTATGCTTTCAATTGAGAAAAAGGAAGGGATTATACAAGGAATCGACGACTACCATCGCATATGTTGATCCATTCAAATCTGCAAAAGGTAATCCATGTCCTTAGTAAAACACATGATCCTGTCGAGAAAGACTAAATTGCCATTGCAAGCTCCAAGTCTTCTCTTTCTAGTCTGAGGATGTGGCCACCATGTTGAATTAGGAATCAGGCGCCATTGAATTCGATCGTGTTGTGCACGCGCTGGTGTGTTGTTGGCAAAGCTTTCGTGCTTAGGCCTTTCAGGCCCAAGCCACGTTTTTAGTCGTCGCAGAGCATGGCATCGAGGCCATTGCAGAGAAAGATTTCAATCCATTTATAAGTAAAGGATAGAGGACATACCATTCGTGCCACAACTTGGTGTTGTCAACAAACACCACAATGTATGCGATTACGGTACGCCGGCATCATGTTTGTTTACCTGTGTTGTCTTGTATGGTAATGAAAAATGGCCACCGTGAGGTCTTTGATTTCACGATATTATCGCTGTTTTTCAGAAATGGACAAGCTTGGTGTCGGTAGCATATGTATATGGTAGTCATTCTTAAGAGATGTCCTATCAAACGTTCATTATAACATTAGAAGGTTCAAGTACCCTACAGTTGGCTGCTATTTCATAACTTGACTTAAAAACGAATTATTCAAGTAAGTACACTTAAGTCGACGACATGTTTGTTAGTGTGTCCATTTTCGATCAAAAACATTGTTACGTCAACATCAAATTTCCTGTGAAGAATATGATTTTCTCTTATTTTTCAGGCAACGTGAGGGAGGTTAAATTATGTTCAATAATAGCCTAGGCAGCCATGGAGGGCGCTGGAGCTGCACTATGGTCTAGAATTGCTCGTACATAAAGCATCCTTCATTCATATGTGTACTGTCTTAATAAAACACACATTTCCAACACCATTTTAGGATATTCGGACGTTCAGCCAAGGGTGTGTAACATCCTATGATGTCTGAAAATGGTGGTGGAAAATTGTGTTTTATTAAAGATGTCCTCTGGTACTTTGGCGACAAAGTATTTTTGAAACCTCCCGCTTTGGGCTGGACGTGTCAGTGTGTACATATATGCATAATCTATGAGCAGAATTACTGTTTTACCTCAAAAAGCAACAAAATACATAATTTGAAAGCGGCTGTTTTCTTGAAGTTGTACCATGCCATTTTCCCTAAATTTCCCACATTTGAGTGACAGCTAGCAAGAGGCCTAACCAGTGTTATCCAATGACGTTGCATGGTGGGCCCAACCGCTCAGTGGACACAGCAGAGAGAGAGCACTCAATGACGTGGTGCACATATCTGCATATATGTGATGTAGTACACAATATTTGGGGACTACTTTTGGCTCGTGAGTGTTACTTTCAGAACTACTGGCTAAAAAGTATTAAAGTACAGGAGAATCTCTTTTAAGACGGTACCACAGAGATGGATAGAGTTTGACTTATAGAGGCCATAAGGCCGTTTTAGCATGGGCAGAGCCATTGAGGGCTTCCACCATTTTAATGTAGTCAACTGGGTGGGACTTCGAACTTCATTGGCTGATCCCTCAGAGTCATGTCCAACCGAGTAATCAGGAGTGATCAGCCAACTGTGAAGAAAAATTACCATTTCAAAATGGAGATCGCCTCAATGGCTCTGCTCGTGCGCTCACATGCCATAATGGGAACTATATAGGGATGCTTTCTCTATCCATCTCTGTGTACAGTACACATTTTCCCATGTTTTTACAGACTGCCCACCATTAAAGCTAGTTAAGGAGGAAAATTATGCCTTTGTACTACTTAGCACCATGAATAGAAGATGCTTTATTTATGAGCTGGTCCATGGGGGACACGAGTGTATTACGGGCTGGGCACATCAATCCTAGATGATAGTGCAGATCTAGCGCCCACTATCGGCTGCCTAGGCTACTTCAATAATAGGCCTACATTTACACATGAACAATTTCAATTTCCTTAGCTATCAGGAGTAAACTGGGGGTTTAATCAAATGCATGTTCATGTGTTATTGTTTTGATGATTAAATTACTAGACTGATCTACAGTTCTTTTGTGATGTGTTTCTTTTTTTGTGTTTAACTTTATTGTTCATTATCTATCGATACATTTTGGTTTGTATTTATTCTTAGTTGCATAATGTCCAAATATCTATGATTTATGCATTGTCATACTATGTTGTGTTGTAATTTATCCTAGTAGTCATAATTTGTCATATTTCCAAAGTAAGTAAATGTTTTGAGAAATGCATGTAAAAGTGTCATTTCTCAACGGTTGAATTGTTTATTTTTTAAACGTTTTTAACCGTTCTAATAATTTACCAAAATAGCCTTAGCACAGTTAAGGGGCCGATAGGGCTGGGCGATATATCGAATTAATTGGAATTAATGTTTTTGCGCGATATTCCAAATGTCTGTATCGCAAGAATCAAGGTTTTTGTTATTTTTCGTTTTTATGTGCGTTTATGTCCGCTTGTTCTCATGTATTTTGGGGCTCGTCTCCTCTATATAATGACGAGATGTACGTCTCCGCCCTAACAATGGGGGGAGTCGTCCCAATGCCGGGAAGGCAGGCCCAAAGAAACGCATTGGCCTTCTTTTGGACAGATTTTAGCGAGAGTAAAACCTCTCGCTTTGTCTCTTCATCTATGGTTTACGAAAACACCAAGCCCCTCCCCCTGCTTCTCACACCAACAAAGTTGAGAGATCACGTCTTCCTCTCTGGCAAGCGGTTTCAACTCGCTATTTGCATTTAATAATAATAATAATAATAATATGCCATTTAGCAGACGCTTTTATCCAAAGCGACTTACAGTCATGCGTGCATACATTTTTGTGTATGGGTGGTCCCGGGGATCGAACCCACTACCTTGGCGTTACAAGCGCCGTGCTCTACCAGCTGAGCTAGAGAGGACAACATTTGAGTTTTGGTCCAAAATAATCGGTAATATGGACACAAACACATTGAGACATTATTTTACTGTAATAGAGGAGAAGTTAACTTTTCAAACGATACCTTGTTTATGTCTCAACTACTCAAATTGCGTGCAGTGCATACACTACTAAAACGACAGTATCAATGAACATTGATTCTGGAAAATGAATGCAGAGATTGTCGCGCGCGGCATTGGTAACACGTACCGTTAGCAGCATTTTAGTCAGACTGTTACACTAGCTGTCTAGTCTGTGTTTTATAAATGTGCAATAAGCATAAAACACAATTATATAAGGCCACTTGATTTCAACATATGAACAAAGTGGACAGGCTAACATGCTTTTCAAACAGTTGGAGACAGAACACTGTTAGCTAGCAAATAGATCAAATTTAGCTAAACTTGAAATATAACTGTAAGTCGCTCTGGATAAGAGCGTCTGCTAAATGACTAAAATGTAATGTAAAGTTTAGCTGGCTAATCGCTAGCACGTGGGCTTGAGAGGTTGTTGATGAGACCTGTGTTAATTTTCTATAACCTAATGCCTGCTACAAGAACTGAGTCATTTTTAGTGAATGTGCATTATGCATATGTGGTTTTAGTGAAATTTGTAACAAAAAGGGCATTTTCGTAGACAGACTTGAAAGCCAGATCAGTTATTATTGCAAAAAGAAAGCAAGTTTAACTATTTTTATGAAATAATTATATTATTAGTGGGTCTTATGGTTGTGGAATGCTTATATTTATCCTAGGTATAACTTCACAAGCCCTGGATTCATTAGATTATTGCTGTCTGTTTTGAAATACAGTGTATTTGGTCTTTAATTGTACAACAATGCTTATTTAGAGAAAACATTTCAAAAATGTAGATATACAGTGCCTTCGGAAAGTATTCAGATCCTTTGACTTTTTCAACCTTTTGTTAGGTTACAGCCTTATTCTAAAATTGATAAAAATTGTTTTTTTCACCCCATCATCAATCTACACACAATACCCCATAATGTATTGGCTGATCCCTCAGAATTGTTTGCTAATTTATAAAAAATCAAAAACTGAAATATGACATTTACATAAGTATTCAGACCCTTTACTCAGTACTTTGTTGAAGCACCTTTGACAGCGATTACAGCCTTGAGTCTTCTTGGGTATGACGCTACAAGCTTGGCACACCTGTGTTTGGGGAGTTTCTCTCATTTCTCTCTGCAGATCCTCTCAAACCCATAGCACTCACATCTGTAGCCATGAAGTGCTTTGGAAGGCTGGTCATGGCTCACATCAACACCATTATCCCAGAAACCCTAGACCCACTCCAATTTACATACCGCCCCAACAGATCCACAGATGATGCAATCTCTATTGCACTCCACACTGCCCTTTCCCACCTGGACAAGAGGAACACCTACGTGAGAATGCTATTCATTGACTAAAGCTCAGCGTTCAACACCATAGTGCCCTCAGAGCTCATCACTAAGCTGAGGACCCTGGGACTAAACACCTCCCTCTGCAACTGGATCCTGGACTTCCTGACGGGCTGCCCCCAGGTGGTAAGGGTAGGTAACAACACATCTGCCACGCTGATCCTCAACACGGTGGCCCCTCAGGGGTGCGTGCTCAGTCCCCTCCTGTACTCCCTGTTCACCCATGACTGCATGGTCAGGCACGACTCCAACACCATCGTGTAGCTCAGTTGGTAGAGCATGGCGCTTGCAACGCCAGGGTTGTGGGTTCGATTCCCACGGGGGGCCAGTATGAAAAAATTTATGCACTCACTAACTGTAAGTTGCTCTGGATAAGAGCGTCTGCTAAATGACTACAATGTAAAATGTAAATGTAATCATTAAGTTTGCCGACGACACAACAATGGTAGGCCTGATCATCGACAATGATGAGACAGCCTATAGGGAGGAGGTCAGAGACCTGACCGTGTGGTGCCAGGATAACAACCTCTCCCTCAACGTGATCAAGACAAAGGAGATGATTGTGGACTACAGGGGAAAAAAAGAGGACTGAGCACACCCCCATTCTCATCAACGGGGCTGTAGTGGAACAGGTTGAGGGCTTCAAGTTCCTTGGTGTCCACATCACCAACAAACTATCATGGTCCAAACACACCAAGACAGTCGTGAAGTGGGCACGACAAAGCCTAATCCCCTTCAGGAGACTGAAAAGATTTGGCATGGGTCCTCAGATCTTCAAAAAGTTATACAGCTGCACCATCGAAAGCATCCTGACTGGTTGCATCACCGCCTGTTATGTCAACTGCTCGGCCTCCGACCGCAAGACACTACAGAGGGTGGTGCGTACGGCCCAGTACATCACTGGGGCCAAGCTTCCTGCCATCCAGGACCTCTATACCAGGCGGTGTCAGAGGAAGGCCCTCAAAATTGTCAGACTCCAGCCACCCTAGTCATACACTGTTCTCTCTGCTACCGCTCGGCAATCGGTATCGGAGCGCCAAGTCTAGGTCCAAAAGGCTTCTTAACAGCTTCCACCCCCAAGCCATTAGACTCCTGAACAGCTAATCATGGCTACCCAGACTATTTGCATTGTCCCCCCACCCCACCCCCTCTTTTACGCTGCTGCTACTCTGTTATCTATGCATAGTTACTTTAACTCTACACACGTACATATTACCTCGACTAACCTGTGCCCCCGCACATTGACTCTGTACCGGTACCCCCTGTATATCGCGTTCCTGCTGTTATTTTATTTTACTGCTGCTCTTTAATTATTTTTTAATTTGAACTTATCAATTTGTTACTTAACACTTATTTTTCTTAACTGCATTGTTGGTTAAGGGCTTGTAAGTAAGCATTTCACTGTAAGGTCTACACCTGTTGTATTCGGCGCATGTGGCAAATACAATTTGATTTGATTTGGATGGGTAGCGTTGCTGCACAGCTATTTTCAGGTCTCTTCAGAGATGTTTGATCGGGTTCAAGTCTGGGCTCTGGTTGGGCCACTCAAGGACATTCAGAGACTTGTCCCGAAGCCACTCCTGCGTTCTCTTGGCTGTGTGCTTAGGGTCGTTGTCCTGTTGGAAGGTGAACCTTCGCCCCAGTCTGAGGTCCTGAGCAATCTGGAGCAGGCTTTCATCAAGGATCTCTCTTTACTTTGCTCTGTTCATCTTTGCCTCGAATACTGGCTAGTCTCCCAGTCCCTGCCCCTGAAAAACATCCCCACAGCATGATGCTGCCACCACCATGCTTTACTGTAGGGATGGTGCCAGGTTTCCTCCAGACGTGACGCTTGGCATTCAGGCCAAAGAGTTCAATCTTGGTTTCATCAGACCAGAGAATCTTGTCTCTCATGGTCAGAGTCTTTAGGTGCCTTTTGGCAAACTCCAAGCAAGCTGTCATGTGCCTTTTACTGAGGAGTGGCTTCCATCTGGCCACTCTACCATAAAGGACTGATTGGTGGAGTGCTGCAGAGATGGTTGTCCTTCTGGAAGGTTCTCCCATCTCCACAGAGGAACTCTAGAGCTCTGTCAGAGTAACCATCGGGTTCTTGGTCACCTCCCTGACCAAGGCCCTTCTCCCCCGACTGCTCAGTTTGGCTGGGCGGCCAGCTCTAGGACGAGTCTTGGTGGTTCCAAACTTCTTCCATTTAAGAATAATGGAGGCCACTGTGTTCTTGGGGACCCTGAATGATGCACACATGTTTTGGTACCCTTCCCCAGATCTGTGCCTCGACACAATCCTGTCTCGGAGCTCTACAGACAATTCCTTCGACCTCATGGCTTGGTTTTTGCTCTGACATGCACTATCACTAAAAATCAAGGGGTCTGAGTACTTTCCGGAGGCACTGTATATTGTGAATCGCCCATAAGTAAAAAATAAAATAGCAATATGATTTTTAGGCCATATCGCCCAGCCCTCGGGGCCGAACTTCCTTTCTGCCCTGAAGAATGTTATAGTTCCTCTCAAAGCTTAAATGGATACTTTGGGATTTTGGCAATGAAGCCCTTTTCAGATGGACTCTTGGATACAATTTTTATGTCTCTGCATCCATTATGAAGGAAGTTATAGTTTTGCCAGCCAGCTCTAACTAGCATTAGTGCAATGACTGGATGTCTATGATAACAGCTAGCATGCCAGAATACTCTAGAGATCTGTCAATGTAAGGTAGCAGTATGAAATGATTTGGCTAGCTAGAGAGTTGGTAATAGCTTGCTAACTCAATTAGTTTCCTCTTTTAATTTTAATGTGGATTGGCCTTTTGATGTCAGATATTCATGATCATATCTTTATCATGCTAAATATCGCTTTATTATTGTTTTAGGATGCAGAATGAAGATCTCGACAGACAGATGTAAGAGGGCGTTCTGCCCTCGAAAAAGACCGTGACAAGTTCATGGCCGCCAACAAGAAGAAGAGAATAATGGTGCTTCGTGAGGAGGGGGCAGCTGCGCCCATGGCACTGCACTCGACTGCCTCTCCCCCTGACCTATTTGGTGCCCTAAAAACAGGGCAAGCAAGTGCAGTTGTAGCCAACGAGGAAGCAAATATTGCAGCAACATACACTCCAGGCTCTGTAATGGGTGTTGGTCTTACATTGAACTCCGCTGTCAGGTCTAATAACCAACCAGATAATTTACCACCGGAGAGCACCTGCAGAGGTATCAAGGTGATGTTGGACAACAACAATATGTGGAATGAGTTCTTCAGATGCAAAACCGAGATGATACTAACCAAACAAGGCCGGAGAATGTTCCCTTATTGCCGCTTTCGCATCTCTGGTTTGGATCCCTTCCAGAAGTACAATCTGCTCATGGATATCAACCCAATGGACAACAAACGTTACAAGTGGACTGGGAAAAACTGGCAAATGAGTGGAAAGGCAGAAGCCCATGTGCTGAGACAGATCTTCATCCACCCAGACTCTCCAGCTTCTGGTCACCAATGGATGCAGAACCCAGTTTCATTCTACAAGCTTAAGCTCACTGACAACACCATGGACCAGGAGGGCAATGTCATTTTGCACCCAATGCACCGATACTTACCGCACCTCCATGTGGTCTCAGCTGAAATGGCTACAGAGGATATTCAGCTCAATGGGCCTGACGTAATAACCTTCACCTTTCCCCAGACTGAGTTCTTTGCTGTAACAGCCTACCAGAACTTACGCATGTCTCAGTTTAAAGCGGACTTCAACCCTTTTGCAAGTGGACCCTCTTGGGCTCTAAAGCTGAAAACGAGTCCCTCCAATGATTCGAAGAAGAATGAAACCAGATCTCCCAATGAACTCAAGCCTATGAAAGGCTTGAATGGCCTGAAATCTTTGATGGCGGCAAAACACAGCTGTAAAGACACTTCAGCAGTAGATAAAGGACTCTGCAGCGCTGATGCTCAAAATGTTACACTTACAGACAGTGAAACCAGATCTCCCAATGAGCTCAAGTCTGTGAAAGGCCTCAGTGGCCTGAAGTCTTTGATGGCAAAACGTAACTCTAAAGACACTTCAGCAGTAGATCAAGGACTCCTCAATTCAAATGCTCAAAATGTCACCCTTGCAGATGGTGACAAATCTGAGGTCAACATTGATGGACCCAGCTCCAGGCTGAAATCTAGTCCCTCCAATGAGATGAAGAAAGACCCCAGCCAGTCTCCCAATGAGCTCAAGTCTGCGAAAAGCCTGAATAATCTTAAGTCTTTGATGGCAAAACGCAACTCTAAAGATACTTCTGCAGTAGGTCAAGGACTTCTCACTTCCGATACTCAAAATGTTATGCTTGCAGACAGTAACAAGTCTGGGGTCAAAATAAGTCCCTTAAATGAGTCGAAAAAAGAAGACACCAAATCTAACTATGAACTCAAGCCTGTGAAAAGCCTGAATAACCTGAAGTCTTTGATGGCAAAACGCAACTCTAAAGACATGTCAGCACTAGATAAAGGAGTCCTCAGTGCAGATACTAAAAATGTTACACGTGCTGACAGTGACAAGTCCTGGGTCAACGCTAATGAACCCAGCTCCTGCACTCCAAAGTTGAGATCAAGTCCCTCCAATGAGTTGAAAAAAGTAGAAACCACATCTCAGAAGGAATTCAACCCTCTTAGAAGTAATCTGAGGTTTTTGATGGCAAGACTCAACTCTAAAGACACTTTAGCGGTAGATCAAGGACTCCTCAGCTCTCATGCTCAAAATGTTACACTTGGAGAATCTGACAATTCAAGGGTTAAAGATAATGCACCCAGCTCTCGCAAGAAATCAAGTCCCTCCAAGATGAAGAAAGATGAAACCATATCTCCCAAGGTGCGCAAGCCTGTGAAAAATACCCGAAAGTCTTTGCGCGGAAAACGCAACTTCCTAAAGACTTCAGTAGCAGATCAAGGACTCACCAGCTCCGATGCTCATACTGCTACAGTTGCAGACAGTGAAAAGTCAGTCTGCAACAAAGAGTCGACTGATCAAAGTTCCTGGTAAGTTCTCATGTTCAGTAAGCTACATGTTAGCACTTTACTTTTTACTTTAAAATGCACTGCTAATCTTTTGCATTTCTCTTTTGAGCAGTACAACAGGTCCTCCCCAAAGTAACCTTGACTCAGCTGATTCGGGAGTGTCATCTGAAAATAAGAAGGTGCAATGTGGAGATAACCAATACAGCTTGCAATGTTGAGCAAACAGACACTAAGGGCATGGTTGCCAAAGGCAAAGTTGTGGAAGTAGCTGTGAATGACAATCTGTCCCAGATTCCTGAAGCGTTGTCTGGGAAAACTATTAAAAAGGTGGGAACCCAGGACAATGGGAATACAATTGACAGTGAAAAGGACCTCTTCATTTCATCTCAGTCACAGGAACCTGTGAAGACCCATGTGACAATCATTGACCATTCAGCAGATGAAGTTGAAAGCAGTCAAAAGGCTTCCCAGAGCACCTCAGTGAGCTCTGAAGCAAAAAGGACAGGTTCTAATGAACAGCAGCAGGGGAAGGCTAAACCACACAAACGACCTGAACCTGTGCCTTTGCCCCTGCTTGCACTCTACCTTCAACAGTTGAAGTCGAAATCCAGACCTGTTAGGACCAAACCAAAATCTCCTTTGCCTTCTACTTCATCCCCATCTTCTGCTGGCCCAGCCACCGACCCAGCAATGGTCCCCACTGGATATGCTGTTCCTCCAGCCAGTGATCCTGTAGTTCAAGTCACTGATCCTGCTGGTCCAGCTCTCGATCCCGTTGTTCCAGCCATTGCCCCCACTGGGCCAACCATATACTATGCTGGTGTACCCACCGATATTTCAGTCCCAAACACAGATTTTTTGGTTCCTGCCACAGACTCATTGTTACCAGAACCTGACCCAGTATTTACCTACTACTGATCTGTCATTACTTGTCCCTGAACCTACCTTATCCATTGCACTATCATCCCACACTCCACCCCTCATGTTGCCATTCCCTGACCCATTGTTACCAGCCCCCGACTCATTAATACCAGCCCCTGCCTTGTCATCCCCAGCCCAAGAACTGCCATCTCCTGTAGCCGTCACATTGAACCTAGCGGCTGATCTATCATCACTTACCTCCAACCATCCCTCAAATGCCCCTGCACTGTCATCAACACCTAGTGTTGCCACCTTGAAACCTGAGTGTACCCCATCATTACCATCCCCTGGCCCTTCACTAGGTGGCTTTGAGCCATCATCACCTGCATCATTACCAGATCTTGAACCCCCTTTACCTTCCCCTGTTCAATTGAAACTGGTCAAAGCCCTTTCCTTACCTGTACCTGCCTCGTCATTCCCAGCCCTTGAACAATTACCGGTCCCAAACCTTTTTGTACTCTCTTCTGAACTTTCATCACATGCATCGCTGTTAGCACTACCTGCCCCTGATCCTTTTTTAACAACACCCTTTATCCCATTGTTGCCTTCCGCTCACCTTAACCCATTACCCTTTGAGGCAGCCTCATTTTCATCTACCTCTCACCCTGGCTCACCTCCCTTGGACCCTGCCTCATCATTTCAAGTCAATTATGAACCATTAACACGCCCTTCTACACCGTCTCCACTCCCATTCCAGTTATCTCCTTTTTCATCATTAGGTCCTGACCCATTGTCACCAACCCCTTCACTTGCCGACTTCACTCACTTTTTCACGATCTCTGATGAGCTTGAGATGACTGAAGACTTTCCAAGCAGTGAGGCGGCTCCTGTCCCATGTCCTCATGTCCCAACTTTAATTACCCCTAGTGTACCAGTTAGTTCTACTCTACCAGTTGGTTCTAGTCAGCCAACCCAGAGCATTAAACCCCAGAGATCTAAGAAGAGATCTAGGAAAGGAGTGAAATCTGCCAAGGGTGATCCACTCCGAGTGATTGGTGGACCCACAGATGTCACCATGCAGCCCAACCTCGAGGAAGTTGAGGAGCAGCTGTTCGTCTCTTTCACCTCCAAGGTAACGCATAGATTGTTAAATGTATTTCCATCTGTCAGCATTTTGGTAACACTTTACTTGCATTCACAACACCTTTATGAAACGGTTTACAACACCTTTATGAGTGTTACAGGTCATTCATAACAACCTTCGTACCACAATTGTCAAAGAAAAGTTCATCATTCAATTAGATAATTTCAAGGGCTGTTTACTAAGTGGCATCCTGCCAAATTGAGAGATCACAAGAGAAGATGCACAACGCTCAATGCACACTGTCACTAACTGTTGACCCTTTGCTACTCCCAACCTGTTATGTGAAAGGTGTTATGAATGCATTATGTACACCCCCTTCAAGTAAAGTGTTACCGTTATTTCACGGTGTGTCACCTGTGTTTCCTCGGTTCTTGTTTAAGAGGCAGGTAGATCTTTAACAAGGAAATCCTTCCTTTGGTTATATTTGTTATGAAGTGAATAAAGTAAAGTTTTATTTGTTTTCAACAGTCCACACTTTATCTTTGCAAAATAATGCAGTACAATATAATACAGTATACAATATAATACAGCATATTATAAGCTGTACAATAAGACATAAGGGCTTATACAAGCTTATAACAAGTAACAAAGCACTATATCCATTGGTTTCAAGTAAAGTGTCATATATTTAAGTAAAGTGTTATAAATTACAGGAAGCACTTGAAGTCCACCTAGGAGAGCCTGCATGTGAGACGACAACTGCACAACCTGAGAAAACCCCCGAGGCGAAAGAGAATGGTAAAGAAAACAACAATTTGATCCATCATGTTCCCAAGCTGCTGTTATGTGACATCTGTTAAACTATTTGTCTCTTTCAGTTGGAGGACCGGAAACCACAGAGGAAAGAATAGCTGCTTTTGAGAAGGTTCTTTTGGAAGATCTGAAGGTTATGAAGCATCGGCAGGTCATACATCCTGTGTTGCAAGAAGGTAACCAAAATAAATGGCAGTGAATGACAGAGTATTTACTTTTTATTTTCAACAACTTACTTGCACACTAGCATGGGTCATGTCCCACTTTGCTTTTCATGACAGTGTTCCCGTCATGTTTAATCCTACTCATGACGGTAGATTGCTTTTTTATGATACAGTTGAAGTCGGAAGTTTACATACACTTAGGTTGGAGTCATTAAAACTCGTTTTTCAACAACTCCACACATTCTTTGTTAACAAACTATGGTTTTGGCAAGTCAGTTAGGACATGACACAAGTAATTTTTCCAACAATTGTTTACAGACAGATTATTTCAGTTATAATTCACTGTATCAAAATTCCAGTGGGTCAGAAGTTTACATACACTAAGTTGACTGTGCCTTTAAACAGCTTGGAAAATTCCAGAAAATGATTTCATGGCTTTAGAAGCTTCTGATAGGCTAATTGACTAACCGTGAAGAACGGGGGTGGCAGCATCATGCTGTGGGGGTGCTTTGCTGCAGGAGGGACTGGTGCACTTCACAAAATAGATGGCATCATGAGGAAGGAACATTATGTGGATATATTGAAGCAACATCTCAAGACATCAGTCAGGAAGTTAAAGCTTGGTCAAAATGGGTCTTCCTAATGGACAATGACCCCAAGCATACTTCCAAAGTTGTGGAAAAATGTGTTAAGGACAACAAAGTCAAGGAATTGGAGTGGCCATCACAAAGCCCTGACCTCAATCCTATAGAAAATTTGTGGGCAGAACTGAAAAAGCGTGTGTGAGCAAGGAGGCCTACAAACCTGACTCAGTTACACCAGCTCTGTCAGGAGGAATGGGCCAAAATTCACCCAACTTATTGTGGGAAGCTTGTGGAAGGCTACCTGACACGTTTGACCCAAGTTAAACAATTTGAAGGCAATGCTACCAAATACTAATTGAGTGTATGTAAACTTCTGACCCACTGGGAATGTGATGAAATAAATAAAAGCTGAAATAAATCATTCTCTCTACTATTATTCTGACATTTTACATTCTTAAAATAAAGCTGTTATCCTAACTGACCTAAGACAGGGAATTTTTACTAGGATTAAATGTCAGGAATTGTGAAAAACTGAGTTTAAATGTATTTGGCTAAGGTGCATGTAAACTTACGACTTCCAACTGTATCTAGTATACGCTTGAAGATCGCTTATCTGTCATCTGTCTTCTTTGAAGTTGGACTGAAGATGAGTTTACTGGATCCCACTCTGGTCATCGACCTGCAATACTTAGGTGTTTGTCTACCTCTACCACCACCCATCCTATGTCCAGGACCAAGCACTGCAGGATTGGCATCTTGTCCAAGTTAGTAGTCGTTTGTTGTTAGAGTTTCTGTTTTGGCCAAATGGTTGAGAGTATTTGTTCAGTAACCCGTTTTAGGGTTTTATGAAGATAAGTTAATACATATTGAAAGGAGCCATTGTTCATTGTCATATCTGTTTTTCAGGTGGTACAGTTCCCTTTGTTTCCAGGACGGGCAAGACAACAGACTTCACCCAAATCAAAGGCTGGAGAGATAAGATTGTCCCCTCAGACTCCTCAGCATCGTCCAAGCCTGAAGGTAATATTTACATAGAAATCCTTATTTTCTGATTTGATTTGATTAGCTACTCCTTTGTCGGAAATATTGCATGGTGCTTTAAAGGTGACAAAACAAGAAGAGGGGATAGAGTTGAGACTGTTTATTCTTGACGTTTTAGCTCAGACCAGAGCTTGTGAGCGGAGTTGAGCGGCTCCGCCAGAAACCGCTCCACGCTCACAGGAAAAAAAAGTCCTGCTTTAAATTCGCTCCATTCATTACAATCACAATTTAACCAACAGCCATCTATTGTTGTGACTACCTAGACCTACCAATTGGTTTTTAAGTATTGAAACCAAACCATACGGATTTGAATGAAAAGTATTTGAATAAACATGAAAAGGTGAATGTAAGAAGCGAACATCATTTCAAATAGGCTAGATGTCATATTAAACAGCATATAAACACTCTAAATAGGTCAGGAGCCAGACAGAGAGCCTAAGAAGGAACAAACATGAATTTATTAAGGCTATATTATAAAAATTATTTCAAGGCTATAGCCTACAAAGAAATACATTGTGAAGCGTTTGCGAGGGCGACGCAAAAGACTGGTAGGGACATAAAGCATGCAGCATTTAAACATTTCGTTGTATTAAATCTATAAATTGCACATATACAGTTGAAGTTGGAAGTGTTCATTCACTTAGGTTGGAGTCATTAAAAAGTTTAAGCTTGGTCGCAAATGGGTCTTCCAAATGGACAATGACCCCAAGCATACTTCCAAAGTTGTGGCAAAATAGCTTAAGGACAACAAAGTCAAGGTATTGGAGTGGCCATCACAAAGCCCTGACCTCAATCCTATAGAAAATGTGTGTGCAGAACTGAAAAAGCGTGTGCGAGCAAGGAGGCCTACAAACCTGACTCAGTTACACCAGCTCTGTCAGGAGGAATGGGCCAAAATTCACCCAACATATTGTGGGAAGCTTGTGGAAGGCTACTCGACACGTTTGACCCAAGTTAAACAATTTAAAGGCAACGCTACCAAATACTAATTGAGTATATGTAAACTTCTGACCCACTGGGAATGTGATGAAAGAAATAAAAGCTGGAATAAAACATTCTCTCTACTATTATCTGACATTTCACGTTCTTAAAATAAAGTGGTGATCCTAACTGACCTAAGACGGGGAACTTTTACTAGGATTAAATGTCAGGAATTGTGAAAAACTGTATTTGGCTAAGGTGTATATAAACGTAGTGCCTTTTGAATTCATTTTTAGAAACGGGAGTTTGGCCAGTTTGTGGCTTCAGGCTCATGCGATGGTGCCTGGAGAGCCGGCCAGCAGCGGAGAATATCATCTCCACACTTGCAGAGCCACTGGGGATGCTAAACACCCTTTTGGCCAGGCAGGGCAGAGATGCAGAGTTATTTTCTATTTTTCTATAGGTAGGCTTAAAGGTTTTTAGGCAAAATAACCCAATCAAAACGGAAAGCTCCTTGAATGTGGGAATATGCCAGGCCTTTTGGGCCAAAATCAATGATTGCCTATTGTCTAGATAATAGAAAGAAAATGAACGAAACGTTTAAGAGATCTGATTTAGTTTATAAGTACTTTGCTACAATGACACACAGTTATCTACCAACCTAGTTCCTTTCTTTTAGCATGTGCACATAGTAAGTACACCATCATACTTTTGGGATAAGTGTCTTTTCAGATTCCACAATAATTATTTAGTTGTGGATGTTTCATGTAGCCAGCGTGTAACAACTTCCATATCCCGTGCGTAGATCAATGGCATCCGGTCTATAACCTAACAGTTTAGCACCATACCAGCAGGTGGCTTCCAAGCCTTACAATTAAGTGGACACTCCCTCTCTTGCTCTTGGTCCTCATCTTTGTAAGTCACCTTGATTCAGCACCTGTGTGTTTTATCAGTTTCTTTATGAAAATATATATTTAGCGAACTCCATGACGGTAGCTAAAGCAAGGGGCTATTAGCAGCACACAAGTAGACTACAAATGCATGCTGGGGCGGGCATGCCCTGAGCTGGTGAAGTGAGCGCTACTGGAGTGAAAATGGAGTGGGTGAGAAGGCCGATGCTCCAGCCTTCGGGAATCTCGGTCCACGCACTAGTGAAATTGAGCACGCTCCGTTCCTCGCTCCGCTCACATACTCTGGCTCTGACGTCTTGAGAAAGGCCTTAAATTAACCAGTGTCTGCAATATCCCTTCTTCTTGTTTTTGCTATAGTATGTAGCCCAATAGGCTTTAAAGATGGCTTAAGTTCAGATGTGGTCCCGAAGAACCTGTCGGCCTTCTGCAGTGACATGCTGGATGAGTATCTGGCTAACGAAGGCAAACTCATCGACGAGCGCGCTGCCAGTTTCACCCAGACCACCGTCGTCACCCCTGTGACCTACCAGCTGCCCACCAAGAGCACCAGCTACGTCCGAACCCTGGACAGTGTGCTGAAGAAACAGGCACCGGCACCTTCTACCACCTTTGTCCCCCCATCCCCCCCAAAAAAAACTGCCCCTCGCATCCAAAGGACCTAAAAAATCGGATAAAAGGCAACAAAAACAACGCTCAAAGCAGAGCAGAACTAAACCAACTTCTGCACCAACACCATTGCACATTGCGCCACCACCACCGCCATTGATGGATCACGCAGCCCAGGCCATCACCCACGACGACACAATTAAAACTGTGAAAAGGAGAAAGAGGAAGCCGAGGGTGAAGACTCCTCCACCAGCCCAAGACTCTGTTGTGTCGAGGCCAGAGGTAGAAGAGCCACCTCCCGCTGACCTGGCTCCTGTGGAGGACGTCTCGGAACCAGAGTCTGCTGCTGCTGAGACCAGGGTTGTTGTTCCTGGGTTGACCAAGGCCTTGCTCAGACAGAGGGATCTGGAGGACGGAGTTGTCTGGGAGGGCAAGCATCGGACCTGTATCACAGAGGACAGGGCAACGGTCGCCCTCACCTCGCTCTTCACCTCAACGGTAAGATCAGTTACACCCATACACAATTACATCTGCTCATTGACTCATTTGTTGTGGTCTGACATGAAGGAGCATAGACATTTTGAAGTACATTCATAGCTTCGATCTTGTTTATTAAAATTATTTTGTGAGTGTGTTAAACCAATGGTAGCCCTGAGAAAGTAGCCATACTAGCACTAATTGTCTGCATTTACTTTCCTCTTTTCTCTTCAGGGCTTTGTTTGTGAGAATCCTACAGCTCCCATTAAGATGATAAAACACAGAGCCCCTCCCTGCCTCAATGCGTTCTGCCGGCTGGGCTGTGTGTGTGCCAGCCTAGCACAGGACCGTCGTATTACCCACTGTGGAAAGATGGAGTGTATATTTGGCTGCAGCTGCCTCAGGCAGAAAGTGGTCGTACTCAAAAACTTAAAAGGACCAGATTCCAGTGTGTCAGAAGAGGGCCCGTCCAAGAAGAGGAAGAAGAGGAAGAGGATGAGGATGGCATATAGTGAGTGTCCTCTAGTTTAGAAAACTACAGAATAAAACCTTGTTATGAAGCTCTTTGAATGGTTCAAATAAAGAAAGTTTTAAAAGGTTTCCATACGAAAACAACCTTTCTATACTACATTAGATTAAATACTTTGATGCACATGTCACAAAGTGTGTCCATCCTAATGTTGCAATTAAATGACGTATTTCTACTCATTTACCGGATTATTTTCTAACTTCAGCTCTCAGAGAGGCTGAGACGGTATCAGAACCAGCGCCGCGTGTGAGAACGTTGTGGAAGCAGACCGATGGAGAGACTGACCCCGAGCCCCTCCACGCCCCAACACCAGTCTATTTACCATGGCTTCCACTACAGGAAGAACCTTCAGCAGTGGTGAGTCGTAGAAGGGTGTCTATCTATCCAGAAGTGTTAGATATACCACTGTAAAAGTGGTATGTATATTCTTACCCCCCTGCCTTTTCTAAAGGTGAGAGAGGAAGAAGGGACCATGACATGTGCCAGAGTGCGTGCGTTCCAAAGCAAGAGCACAAACCGACCTGAGGACATTGACGACCACTGCAAACCAATAGACTCCGCACCAGGTAAGTTCAATGAGTCAAAATTGTCATCATTTTCTTAATCCCAAACATCTGTCTGCGATTATATCTATCAGTCAGTAAACCACATCAATAATTAGTTGCTTCCAACAATCATAGCCTGCCCTGAAATGCATTTCTAATTGCTGTTGACTTTCTCTTGATGTAGTGAGCCCTTCCAGGAAGTCAGAGAAGTCGTCCTCCCATGGTCCCCAGTACACGGAGCCCTCCAAGCGTCTGGAGATCATGTCTGAGTGTAAGTGGAGGAGCCTGGCGGACAGGAACTTTGTGCTGAGGATTGTGTGTGAGCACATGGCCCAGGACCACCTCACCAACCCCTTCTGGGTCAAAGGTTACCTCATCAAACCCCTGTCTCAGACCCTGAGGAACGACGGCGAGAGCCGCTCCGTCCACTACAAGGTACATATCTCTCAGGTCTCGCAACTGGACGGAGTGGAGGAGGAGAACGGTGAGGAGGAATGGATGGAAGAAGAAGAAGAAGAAGAAGAAATGGAGGAGGGGGAGATGGAGGAGCAGAGAAGGGAGGATAAGGAGGTGGAGGAAGGACGGAGCGTAGAGGAGAAGCAAAGCGAGCAGGAGAACAAGGCTGTGGGGAAGAGAAAGGGTCTGAAATGGAAGGGCCTGCCTTTTTTAACAGGAATTTCTCCTGCTGGCCTCCTTACTGCCAACCTAAAGCAGCCAGACATCTCAGACCAGGAACTTGTCACGGTAAGCATTTTAAATACCTAGAGTTCCCCCCAAAACATATCTGATGATCAGTTCATTTTCCTACTCTATTGATGTGGAATGGCACCCTATTCCCTATGTAGTGCACTTTCCTATGTAGTGCATAGTGCTCTGGTCAGAAGTAGTGCGCTACAGTGCCTTCAGAAAGTATTCATACCCCTTGACTTATTCCACATTTTGTTGTGTTACAGCCTGAATTCAAAATGGATTAAATATATTTTTTTCCCACCCATCTACACACAATCCCCCATAATGCCAAAGTGAAAACATGTTTTTAGAATTTTTTGCACATTTATTGAAAATACAATACAGAAATATCTCATTTACATAGGTATTCACACCCCTGAGTCAATTTGTAGAAGCACCTTTGGCAGCGATTACAGCTGTAAGTCCTTCTGGGTAAGTCTCAAAGAGCTTTCCACTCCTGGATTGTACAATATTTGTCCATTATTCTTTTCAAAATTCTTCAAGCTCTGTCAAATGGGTTGTTGATTATTGCTAGACAACAATTTCCAGGTCTTTCGATAGATTTTCAAGTAGATTTAAGTCAAAACTGTAACTCGGCCACTCAGGAACATTCACTGTCTTGGTATGCAACTCCAGTGTAGATTTGGCCTTGTGATTTAGGTTATTGTCCTGCTGAAAGGTGAATTCATCTCCCGGTGTCTGGTGGAAAGCAGACATAACCAGGTTTTCCTCTAGGATTTGGCCTGTGTTTAGCTCCATTCCATTTCTTTTTTTTTTATCTTGAAAAACTCCCCAAGTCCTTAACGATTACAAGCATACCCATAACATGATGCAGCCACCACTATGCTTGAAAATAAGGAGAGTGGCACTCAGTAATGTGTTGTATAGGATTTGCCCCAAACATAACACTTTGCATTCAGTACTAAAAGTTAATTGTTCAGCCACATTTTTTGCAGTATTACTTTAGTGCCTTGTTGCTAACAGGATGCATGTTTTGGAATATTTTTTTATCTGTATATGCTTCCTTCTTTTCACTCTGTCAATTAGGTTAGTATTGTGGAGTAACTTTTCAGTTTTCTCCTATCACAGCCATTCAACTCTGCAACTGTTTTAATGTCCCCATTGGCCTCATGGTGAAATCCCCGAGTGGTTTCCTTCCTTTCTGGAAACTGAGTTGGGAAGGACGCCTGTATCTTTGTAGTGACTGGGTGTATTGGTACATCATCCAAAGTGTAATGAATATTTTCACTATGCTCAGAGGGATGTCTACTTTTTATTTATTTTTACCCATCTACCAATAGGTGCCCTTCTTTGCGAGGCATTGGAAAACCTCCCTGGTCTTTGTGGTTGAATCTGCGTTTGAAATCCACTGCTTGACTGAGGGACTTTACATATCATTTTATTTCAGCTTTTCATTATTTATTATACTGAACAAAAATATAAACACAACATACAACAATTTTACTGAGTTACACTTCATAGAAGGAATTCAGTCAATTTAAATAAATAAATGTGGCCCTAATCTATGGATTTCACATGACTGGGCAGAGTTTTTCAAAACAAAAGGGCTTTATTATGTGACCGAAATACTCCTCCGCACCCCCTCCCCCTCAGAAGATCCCGCAGGTGAAGAAGCCGGATGTGGAGGTCCTGGGCTGAAGTGGTTGCATGTGGTCTGCGGATGTGAGGCCGGTTGGATATATTGCCAAATTCTCTAAAATGTCAGAGGCAGCTTATGGTAGGGAAATTAACATTCAATTCTCTGGCACCAGCTCAATTGCACGCTCCCTCAAAACTTGACACATCTGTGGCATTGTGTTGTGTGACAACTGCACATTTTATAGTGGCCTTTTTTGTCCCCAGCACAAGGTGCACCTGTGTAATGATCATGCTGTTCAAGCAGCTTCTTGATATGCCACACCTGTCAGGTGGATGGATTCTTTTGGCAAAGGAGAAATGCTCACTAACATGGGACTTTACATGTTGCATTTTATATTTTTGTTTACTATAATTAGTAAAAAAATAAAAAATAATAATAATTCCACTTTGACATTATGGAGTATTGTGTGTAGGCCAATGAAAAAAAATCTCAATTGAATCAATTAAAAATTCAGGCTGTAACACAACAAAATGTGTAAAAAGTCAAAGGGTGTGAATACTTTCTGTAGGCACTGTAGGGAATAGGCTGCCATTTGGGACACACCCTATATCTAGCTCTGAGGAAAATACACATGGTCCATTGCTCCTCACACTTTTCCCTGTGTATCTGTAGGTGAATGGCAGGTCCTACCCCCATGCCAAGATACAACTGGGCATGATGGGAGCCATGCACCCAGCCAACCGACTCGCTGCTTACCTCACGGGCAAGTTGCGGAGGCCTACAGGTCCAGAGCCGTCTATGGCGGCCTCCGTCTCATCACAACAGCACCCCTCAGAAACCCCTGAAGATACAAGGTGCTCCACGGGACAGCCGGTCCAATTGGCAGCCACTCCTACCACCAGTCTCACCATGGTTACCACCACCACCAGTGTTCCCTCTGTCGCTTCAGTTGCTGCGGGCCCCAAGTCCATTGGTGAGAACTACTTTTTGTTGTGTACCTGGAATAAAAGTGCTTTTTAAGCAATAAGGTCCGGAGAGGTGTGGTATAATTAAGCAATAAGGCCCGATATACCACCGCTAAGGGCTGTTCTTATGCACGACGCAACGCAGAGTGCCTGGACACAGCCCTTGGCCGTGGTATATTGGCATTATACCTCAAATCCCCTAAGTGTATTATTGCTATTTTAAACAGGTTTCCAATCTAATTGGAGCCGTAAAAATAAATGTTTTGTCATACCAGTGGTATACGGTCTGATATATCACGGCTTTCAGCCAATCAGCATTCTGAATGCTAATTGGCTGACAGCTGTGGTATATCAGACTGTATACCACGGGTAAGACGAAACATTTATTTTTACTGCTCTAATTACGCGCAGGTGTCCACATACTTTTGGTCATGTAGTGTATATTGGCCATATACCAGACCACCTTGGGCCTTATTGCTTATATATATATGACGGCTAAGGGCTGTTCTTAGGCACGACGCAAAGCAGTGGAATATCGGCCATATACCACAAACCCCAGAGGTGCCTTTTTGCTTTTATAAACCGGTTACCAACAGAACAATAAACAAGTATTTTTTGCAACATAGATTGTCTGATACACACTTCTGGAATGCTGTTTCAGCATCGGCATCTATCCTGTACAGTATATTTAAAAACGGTTTGAAACTACAGTTTTAATAGTTCAATTACAATTTGTTTTTTAGTCTGATGCAGAAAGCTGTTTTGCCCCCAGAGCAATTGAATATCCTTAGTCCATAGCAGTATCAGATTCATAACAGGTTCACACACACTAAATTATGATGGACAAGCGTGGGAGACTGAACCTCTACCTCCATCTCTGCTCCACAGTGACTAACCTGCCCCCAGCGGGAAAGGTCTTCACACGGTTTGTGGTCAACCAAATCAGCTCCTCACAGCAGAGGCTGCTCCTCACTAGTGATCCTCCACAGTCGTTGGGCAGTATTCAGCAGCTTGCCGTGCCCTCTACCTCTCTGGGAGAGGTAGCCTCAGGTAGCTCTTATGCCAGTTCCTCCACTGGTATACCCAGTCCTGCCACCATTTTTAGAAAGCCCCTCCCATCTATTTGTGCTGCTGTCTTGACTCCCCAGCCTCTCACAGGCTAACCGTTGGTCCCATGGCCTGCCACTTTCATATTGTCTATTTGTGGTCGTGACACATACACATAGTGGTAGCATAGCGCTGTGCATAACCTTCATCCTCCTTGCCCATATCCCAAGCCTCTGCATGATTCCTTCCCATCTCATCCTGGGTTGCTCTGATGTGGTGATTGTTCTGTGTGGTGCGTGGTTGTTTCATGTGCATCTTTTTATCCATGCTGTTTTCGTCATTGTTGAAAAAAACAATGCTTTGTTTTTCAGGTGATGTGTCTCTTCCCAAGACCTCCCCAAGCAGTGGAGTGGTTCCTAGTCCCCCCATGCTGGTGCTCCCTGACCCAGGGACCAGTAACGCTGTCAGGATGGCGTGTCCTCCTACATCCCAGACCCCGACCCCTCTCATCCCCCTGACCCCTCTCACGGCAGGGCAGAGGATGGTTCTACAGCCGGTGCGGAGCACCTCAGGGGCCACCCTGTACCGGAACCCCAACGGACAGCTAATCCAGCTGGTTCCCCTCAGCCAGCTGCAGGCCCTCAACCCCAACCTCGTAATGCGCAACAAGGGTGAGTGTCTGACAGTTGATGCTATTGATGCCAAGGCACTGCTGCTCTGTCACATGCAAGACTGAGTATGTTAACCCCTTAGACTCGTGGGAATTGGCCTATATGGATAGGGCTAAATTGAAATGTTTCTTGCAGAAGAAATATGGAATGCAAATGCATAACCATGGTAGCAATTAAAAGGGAACAGTTTGGAGATTATGGGAAAATTATTAGACTAAAGGCGAGGACACAACAGTTCACCTGACACAATACTTAATCCAAACATGACACTGTTGATTTTATGTGCATTTTACATTTACTGTACTTTTTTCCGCATATGTTGAAAATACTCTGGATACATTCAGTAACATGATAAGAATATTCTTGGAAAATGTGGGGTAGGTGCAACATAAGACAAAAAAATGACAAGGGTTTGAGTGAGAGGACTAACTGGTGTCTCCAAGTGGCCACACACCTCCAAAGTGTGCATAGTTCCTAAGAAATGTCAATACACTTTTATGACTCAAAGAACTGTCTTCAATTATAAGGTGTTTTTTTGCTAGCGGTAAGGTTGAGGAACTAGAGCAAGCACACTTGTAGTTGTTTTGTTTGGAACATAGCCCTGCAGCCCCGCCTATTATAAAATACGATATCACGGGGCAGTTCAGAGAAACCGATCCTAATTTTGGTGCGCATAGAATAGAGTCGAGTGCATTCTGATGCGTGGTCTGCGGCAAATTTTCTTAGAAATACAACAAACGCAGGCACATTGGGTTCAGGACAACCCAGGGTATAACGTCATTTTGTAACTGTACATCAAACATGGTGATCATAAACCAGGGTTTGTCAACTAGGTTTGGCCTCGGGCCAAATTTTTTCTGAGCTAATAGTCAGCGGGCCATAACATAATTAGTATATAATATTAGCACAATTAATTGGCCTACACTACAAATTCAACAATATTTTTAACACATCTGATTAGTACATAATAAATTCACTGACAATAACATAATAATTTCGACCTGATTACACTCATAAAATCACCATGTCTATTCAATAATTATTTTGTCTATTTCTCTGTGCGTTGATTGGTGGGGAAAAACAGGTCTACTTAGCCTACTGTAGGTCACACTACTTTTTTTAACGTCAACATTCGTTCAAGAGAAAATGTCGCTCTCAAGAAGTATCAAAAGAAAGGTGGATAATGAAAAAGTTTCAGGGAAGAATGTATAGAGACATATATGCGTTCATCTTACCATCTTTTCCCAATGCCAAGCCAGTGACTTATTTGCAATGAAAATGTCGCTGTTTGCAAATAATTCAATCTCAGACGTCATTATGAATCTAAGCATGGAACTTTCAAAGTGGCCTTCCTGCCCCAGACATAGGCCCGCCCCAGAAACATTGAAGTGTTAACTGGAAGCTACACACAGCTTTTTGGGCTGACACATTCTGTCACTTAAACGGGTTAAATCTCCAGTTACAAGGAAGAGGGAAAACATTTGTAGACATGGTGGAAAATCTTGAGGCCTTTACTAGGAAGCTTGAGTTGTTCGATTTGGACTTGTCATCTGGAAGGCTACTGCACTTCAGCACACTGAAGAAATGGCAGGCATAGGGACCAGGCCGCAGCATTGTCACAGAGGCGATGGAAGATTTCATCAAGCAGCTGAGGGACAACTTCTCCATCAGATTTGAAGACTACAGCATGCCCAAGGATATCATCGCGTTTGTACGTGATCCTCTCACAGTCCGCCCAGGTGGAGAATTCTCCTCCCTTGCTAAGAAAACGATACCCTCGCTGGATGAGGCTGCAATTCATACTGAGCTGATTGAAATCCAGACATTGAGCCATATTAGGGATGCGCTGAGGAGGGCGGAATCCTTGTGTGCGCTTTGGGTGGCATGCTCAGAGGAATACAGCACAATAAAGAAACGTGCATTTTATGTGCTAACAATGTTTGGATCGACTTACACCTGCGATTCCTCATTTTCCTCTATGAATGCAAAATGGACTCATGACAGGAACCGGCTTTCACATAAGTCAATAGAGGACTGCCTGCGCATCAAAATCACATCCATCACACGCGACATCCACAAGATCGTGTCCGAGGGGAAATATAACTTTACCCATTGAGGAAGTAACTTAGTGGGCTATATGACTGTATTCAGTCAATACTAACATTATTGTGAGTGCTTATTTAGGTCTCAAGCTGACAGGAGCAGGCTATTCCTATACACACATTCAGACACAGACATCGCTTATTTTTTCTTTAAATTATTGTTTTATGTAGGATGCTACATTTTTGGCCAGTTGCAATTGTAAGTAGGTTTAATAAATAAAATAGAAATCCCACTTATATTAGGCCATATTTTATTTTATTGTGAAAGATGCTGTTCAGTCTCATAGCCTACCTCAGCCAGTTAAGTTATTTTATATAGGCCTAGGCTCTAAAGAAATATACTACAATTAAGCCCTTGTTGTTTGTAAAGTCACTTTTAAAATGAAGATTATTGTTTTAAATGAATTACTTGACTGGTGTACGTTTTCTCCATCTGTTGCTGTGCAACACTTGCATAACAAGTTAGCTACAGTTGAAGTCGGAAGTTTACATACACCTTAGCCAAATACATTTAAACTCTGTTTTTGTTACGTGAATTTCTATCCCAATGTTTCAAAAATGAACTTATTACTCAGTCTGTATCCCAGAGGTTGTAAATCTCTAATAATCAGATCAAGCAGCCCAGCATACAATCATCAGGCTTTATTCATTGAGAACGTTCTAAAACAAAATGGTCGTACAATATTTTTATATGCACACATCAGAGAAAATAAATCCCTCCCCTCTGTATGCAGGCTGTAGTTTTCCACCTTATAATTGCTCTCCTGACCATCAGTTCTCTCTCACACACACACACACACACACACACACACACACACACACACACACACACACACACACACACAAGCCTAACAGTTTCTCTCCTCCCTAAATTCCTCAGTTATCTTGGTTTCTCAGTTGCCTGTAGACAGTTCTCCTTGTCCATTGTTGTCTGGTCTAACTCTTACTCACATTGCTAAATAGTAGCACAATGTCATAATCTTTACTGGTCCTACACTCACACATTCTAACACATTTCATTAATCATTAATAATTATTCTATCAGTTTTTCACAATTCCTGACATTTAATCCTAGTAAAAATTCCCTGTTTTAAAATTTACAGCATTTCCCACACTCAGACAACAATTTTTTTTAACGGTTGCCCAATTAGCGGGAGGCATGGGGGCAACTTCTTATCGCTCGCTGTGCTCAAGTTCAGAATGGCTGTCAGTCAAAACACAGAGCTGTAAAGCGGAGACACTGAGCTCTGACGTCACGTATAGCATGTTAATGTACAGCCACTGCGTTCCTATTTGGGCGCTTATCAGTGTAAAGGGTTAATTAATAACCATTTTACGAAACAATGATTTTGAACTTTTAGAGGACAGATCAGGGAGTTCTATAGTAGACTATGTATAATGTGAAGTTGTTACCTCCACTGAATGAGTGCTGTGTGAATACATACACTATCTGGAGCATCAGCAATTGTGGGTTCGATTACAGGCTCAAAATGGCCAGAAACGATTAACTTTCTTCTGAAACTCGTCAGTCTATTCTTGTTCTGAGAAATGAAGGCTTTTCCATGCGAGAAATTGCCAAGAAACTGAAGATCTCGTACAACTCTGTGTACTACTCCCTTCACAGAACAGCACAAACTGTCTCTAACCAGTTTCAGAAGAAAGTTATTTGTTTCTGGCCATTTTGAGCCTGTAATCGAACCCACAATTGCTGATGCTCTAGATACTCAACTAGTCTCAAGAAGGCCAGTTTTATTGCTTCTTTAATCAGCACAACAGTTTTCAGCTGTGCTAACATAATTGCAAAAGGGTTTTCTAATGATCAATTAGCCTTTTAAAATGATAAGCTTGGATGAGCAAACACAATGTGCCATTGGAACACAGGACTGATGGTTGCTGGTAATGGGCCTCTGTACGCCTATGTAGATAATCCATTAAAAATCAGCCCTTTCCAGTACAATAGCCATTTACAACATTAACAATGTCTACACTTTATTTCTGATCAATTTGATGTTATTTTAATGGACAAAAAAATAGCTTTCTTTCGAAAACAAGGACATTTCTAAGTGACCCCAAACTTTTGAACGGAAGTGTAAATTTTTTGTGTATTATAATAATTGAAAAGTTGGTGAACTTTTCTCCTTTTCTTTTCAGGGGGTTTGATCAGCTTAACCACACCTGCGTGCTTGGCCTCGGGGTCGACAGCCACCATTAACAGCTCCACCTCTCTCACCACATGGCAGAACAAGGGCCATGGTAGCAGGGCTCCCACCATCACCACCGTCCCTTTCACTGTCCCAAAGACTTCAAGCAGCACCACCACCGCCGCCCCTAAAACCACGCCTCATGAAGTCACTTCCTCCATATCAGGCTCCAAGTCTTTCAACATCCGTAACGTTAGTCTCTCACCCACTGAGACAAATAGCGGGACGTACACTTTGAAGATTGTTCCTCAGACGGGTAACAAGGAGCCCATCATCATCACGTGTCCCAAGGTGCCAGCCCAGCCAGCCCAGGGCTCCTCCAAGGTCATGCCTATAGTAGGGGGCTTTACTGTGCTGCAGCCTTCCCTGAAAACCACAGTAATTACTGTCAAATCCCCCACGAAGACTGTTATGGACACAGGTGTCAAAGCTGCCACCACCTCTACAGTGGACTCCAGTGTAGACTCTAAGGTCACGTCTGAGCTGTATAGTTGGATGCTGCCTCGCCAAAAAAACACAAAACCGTCTGTAAGCCACCAGTTTAAATTTATAAAAGCTGACACTATCTCCACAGCGGACTCCAATACAGACCCTAAGATCCAGCATGAGGTGGGAAGAGTGCTGCAGCCTCCCCCCAAAACCCTCAGACCCCCTATAACCCCGCGTACAAAGACAGGTGTCCAAGTTGCAGCGGATTCCAATGTAGACCCCAAGCTCCTTCCTAGGAAGGCTTGTGTCAATCATCCCTACCAGACCTGGACAGGGCGACAGAAGAAGAAGAAGAAGAAGAAGAGGAAGGAGGTGGAGGTTGTGGATCTGGTCGAGGATGAGGACGACTCTGATGACATGGATGAGGAAACGGATGAGAAGACGGAAAACTCATCTGACGAGACGGATTCTGCTAATTCCTGTGTTAATAAAGAGGATCTTACTGACGTCATCAATGTAAGAACTCTTTTAGCTTTATACAATACATGTCTATTTTCAGATTCCGTCACCTAAACCTTCTCTTATTCTCTAATTTTAGACTAAACAGTAGAGTAGTCGGTCTCTTTCTTGGTTTGTCTATTTGTGTGGGTAGGCCCAGCTAATTTAGATGTAAACAGTCTAGTTTTGTATAACTATATAGTTCAATTGTGCCATAGTTTTAATATTCAAGTCTGTAGTTTGTAGTTTGGACTCCATGATCGAGCTTCTTCCTGTTGTGTCCTGTAGAAGCAGCTGAAGCACAACGTGTTGGAGAGGCATCGGCGCTATGAGCTCCAGGGGCGCTTCCAGCAGCTGAGAGAAACACTGGAACTTGACGTAAAAGCTGCTAAAATTAAAATCCTCAAAGATGTAAGCACCAATAAATAAATAAAATCCCTTGAATTAAAGTGTGTGGGGGGTTGATACAGTTACATATTGCGATATTATTTTGCACCATATTATACTGAACAAAACTATAAATGCAACATGCAACAATTTCAATGATTTTATGAGTTACAGTTCGTATAAGGAAATCAGTCAGTTTAAATAAATTAATTAGGTCCTAATCTATGGATTTCACATGACTGGGCAGGGGTGCAGCCATGGATGGGCCTAGGCATAGGCCCACCCACTTGGGAGCAAGGCCCACCTACTGGGGAGCCAGGCCCAGCCAATCAGAATGATTTTTTCCCTGCAAAAGGGCTTTATTACAGACAGAAATACTCCTCAGTTTCATCAGCTGTTTGGGTGGCTGGTCTCAGATTATCCCGCAGGTGAAGAAGCCGGATGTGGAGGTGCTGGGCTGGCATGGTTACATGTGGTCTGTGGTTTTGAGGCCGGTTGGACATACTGCCAAATTCTCTAAAACGACGTTGGAGGTGGCTTATGGTAAAGAAATGAACATTAAATTCACTGGCAACAGCTCTGGTAGACATTCCTGCAGTCAGCATGCCAATTACACGCTCCCTCAAAACTTGAGACATCTGTGGCATTGTATTGTGTGACAACCACATTTTAGTGACCTTTTATTGGCCCCAGCACAAGGTGCACCTGTGTAATGATAATGCAGTTTAATCAGCTTCTTGATATGCCACACCTGTCAGGTGGATGGATTATGTTGGTGAAGGGGAAATGCTCACTAACAGGGATGTAAACATATTTGTGCACAACATTTGGAGAGAAATAAGCTTTTTGTGCATATGGAAGAGTTCTGGGATCTTTTATTTCAGCTCATGAAACATGGGACCAACACTTTACATGTTGCGTTTATATTTTTGTTCAGTATATATCGATACTTTGACCCCAAGTATCGATTTGTAGCGTCAGCTGGCGATAGTCGGCTGTACCGTTATTTTTCATCTTATATCTTGTTCTCCATCTTCTTTTTAAATAGTGAGCCAACATGTTTTCATAAATGTTATTTCCATGGCTCTCTCATGTCTCTGCAGCAGACATATAGTGAGCAATATGTTTGGAACATCAAATCATAATAAAATCCAAGTATCGAATCGCAATACATATAGAATAGTTAGAATCGCAATACATATAGAATAGTTAGAATCACAATACATATCGTATCGGCACCTAAGTATCGTGTTAATATCATATCGTGAGGTCCCTAGCAATTACCAGCTCTACTTTTGACCAGTATGGAATAGGTTGCGATTTGTGACTCAGAAAAGGTGTTATTTGTATATTTTGTTATTGTGGCCAATCAGAGCGGTGCTCTAGTTTTGTTTTGTTGAAGCAACCACTCTTAATAGATAACAAGTCAACTCTGTAATATAACCAGGCGAAGGAGGAGATCCAGGTCTTGACAAAGAAAAGTACCGACGTGGAGAAGCTGAGGAGTTCACTGACCCTGGAGAGAGCAGTTCATGTCAAGAAGATGTCCCAATTAACTGGTGATAATGGACATTACATTTGACCCTCCTCTCTCTCCATTTACTCTTATGCACTTCCTCTTTCCTCCTGTAACATGTCAACATTCTGTATTCTGTGGGTTTGCGACAACTAATGTAAAAATGGCTTTGTAGATAAATGCATTTGACTGACTGATTGATTGTACATTCAACCAATGTGTTTCCTCCACAGGAGAGTCTGAGGAACAGATACTGACGAACATCCAGTACATCGGTTCCCAACAGAAGATCGAGAAGCTGCACGTCAACTGGAAGAAAGAAGGGAAAGTCTCCTCTGCTGTTTCGTCCTCCTCAGTTGTCTCGTCCGCCTCAGTTGTCTCCACCTGCTGTGAGTCTGAGCAGAGACCAAGGCCTGGTCCCCTCTCAAAGAGGACCACGGAGGAGGCTAAGGGGGGTAAGAGCATGGGAGGAGTGACGGCAGAAAAGGAGGAGGTGGTGGCCCTTCTGGAGGACACGGAGGACGAGAAAACCGACAACTCCTCGGACGAGACCGAGGATTCTGACGATGACTACAACAACGACATTGCTAAAGGGCACGTCATTCATTTCATCAGTGTAAGAAATGTTATAATTTATTATACAACACAGTTCGGTTTCTGTTGATTAAATCTCTTCTCTTGAGAATTGTGGTTTTAGCGTTTTTTATTTTTATTACGGCTCATCTGTCTTTCAGGATGTTGAGGAAGAGGCTGTAGACATTGAGAGTGTGGAGGACAATCCAAAGAAGCGCACCACTCCACAATTGAAGGCAAAACACACTAAAGAGGTGGAAGGACCTTTTATTCCTTCCTTCAAATATGGTTAGGCTGTGATTTCAGTGTTCATGGTTGTAATTTGCAGTGTTTTTGGTTCAATGTTACCATTAGCACTGGGACTTGCTCAACCAATATGAGAGACAACGCTGTGCTGAGTTTCGGAAGAGCTTTAAAGCCCTGACAGAGACTTTGGACCTTGGCGACCCGGCACCTACTAATGTTTTCATCCTCGGGCAGGTAAGACTAAGGTTGCATCCCAAATGGCACCCTGTTCCCTATATAGTGCACGACTTTTGACCAGGGCCCATAGGACCCATAACACCTCAGAGCTTGCCTACGCTCTCCAGAGCTTTTACTGTTGAAAAGCCATATCCCATGTATAAATACAGTAAAGTACAGTCGTGGTCAAAAGTTTTGAGAATGACACATTAATTTTCACAAAGTCTTCTGCCTCAGTTTTGATGATGGCAATTTGCATATACTCCAGAATGTTATGAAGAGTGATTAGATGAATTGCAATTAATTGCAAAGTCCCTCTTTGCCATGAAAATGAACTTAATCCCCCAAAAACATTTCCACTGCATTTCAGCCCTGCCACAAAAGGACCAGCTGACATCATGTCAGTGATTCTCTCGTTAACACAGGTGAGAGTGTTGACGAGGACAAGGCTGGAGATCACTCTGTCATGCTGATTGAGTTAGAATAACAGACTCGAAGCTTTAAACGGATGGTGGTGCTTGAAATCATTGTTCTTCCTCTGTTAACCATGGTTACCTGCAAGGAATCACGTGCCGTCATCATTGCTTTGCACAAAAAGGGCTTCACAGGCAAGGATATTGCTGCTAGTAAGATTGCACCTAAATCAACCATTTATCGGATCATCAAGAACTTCAAGGAGAGAGGTTCAATTGTTGTGAAGAAGGCTTCAGGGCGCCCAAGAAAGTCCAGCAAGTGCCAGGACCATCTCCTAAAGTTGATTCAGCTGTGGGATCGGGGAACCACCAGTGCAGAGCTTGCTCAGGAATGGCAGCAGGCAGGTGTGAGTGCATCTGCACACACAGTGAGGCGAAGATTTTGGAGGATGGCCTGGTGTCAAGAAGGGCAGCGAGGAAGCCACTTCTCTCCATGAAAAACATCAGGGACAGACTGATATTCTGCAAAAGGTACAGGGATTGGACTGCTGAGGACTGGGGTAAAGTCATTTTCTCAACTCGTGGTCCTCTGTAGCTCAGCTGGTAGAGCACGGCGCTTGTAACGCCAAGGTAGTGGGTTCGATCCCCGGGACCACCCATACACAAAAATGTATGCACGCACGACTGTAAGTCGCTTTGGATAAAAGCGTCTGCTAAATGGCATATTATTATTATTATTATTATTATTCTCTGAATCCCCTTTCCGATTGTTTGGGGCATCCGGAAAAAAGCTTGTCTGGAGAAGACAAGGTGAGCGCTACCATCAGTCCTGTGTCATGCCAACAGTAAAGCATCCTGAGACCATTCATGTGTGGGGTTGCTTCTCAGCCAAGGGAGTGGGCTCACTCACAATTTTGCCTAAGAACACAGCCATGAATAAAGAATGGTACCAACACATCCTCAGAGATCAACTTCTCCCAACCATCCAAGAACAGTTTGGTGACGAACAATGCCTTTTCCAGCATGATGGAGCACCTTGCCATAAGGAAAAAGTGATAACTAAGTGGCTCGGGGAACAAAACATCTACATTTTGGGTCCATGGCCAGGAAACTCCCCAGACCTTAATCCCATTGAGAACTTGTGGTCAATCCTCAAGAGGCGGGTGGACAAACAAAAACCCACAAATTCTGACAAACTCCAAGCATTGATTATGCAAGAATGGGTTGCCATCAGTCAGGATGTGGCCCAGAAGTTAATTGACAGCATGCCAGGGCGGATTGCAGAGGTCTTGAAAAAGAAGGGTCAACACTGCAAATATTGACTCTTTGCATAAACTTAATGTAATTGTCAATAAAAGCCTTTAACACTTATGGAATGCTTGTAATTATACGTCAGTATACCATAGTAACATCTGACAAAAATATCTCATAACACTGAAGCAGCAAACTTTGTGAAGACCAATACTTGTGTCATTCTCAAAACTTTTGACCACGACTGTAAAGGGTAAAAAAAAGGTTTTGCGCAAAATAGTTTGCAAACTTTAAGGAGTTGGTCTGATGGGGATTCGTGATATAATCGGCCTCTCTCCTTGCTTGAGGAACAATAGAGGAGCAATAGAGAACAAAAGAGGAAAAGCTCACCCTCTATTCTGCCATGTCATGAGGATACCTGGACCACTATTGAGATACCTTTTAAGTAAATCAGATGATAAATGAGCTGAAAAGGAGACTGGAGTAGGACTTTAATATGGATTATTGGGAGTGTTAAGTAAAATAAGCTATGGCCATTTTAAATCTTTCTTGATGAATTCGTTTAGGAATATTCAGTCATATTCAGGGAAGTTAGCAGACTAATTCATTGATGCTGCTTTGAGACATACAGTTGAAGTCGGAAGTTTACATACAGTGGGGGAAAAAAGTATTTAGTCAGCCACCAATTATGCAAGTTCTCCCACTTAAAAAGATGAGAGGCCTGTAATTTTCATAATAGGTACACGTCAACTATGACAGACAAATTGAGAATTTTTTCCAGAAAATCACATTGTAGGATTTTTAATGAATTTATTTGCAAATTATGGTGGAAAATAAGTATTTGGTCACCTACAAACAAGCAAGATTTCTGGCTCTCACAGACCTGTAACTTCTTCTTTAAGAGGCTCCTCTGTCCTCCACTCGTTACCTGTATTAATGGCACCTGTTTGAACTTGTTATCAGTATAAAAGACACCTGTCCACAACCTCAAACAGTCACACTCCAAACTCCACTATGGCCAAGACCAAAGAGCTGTCAAAGGACACCAGAAACAAAATTGTAGACCTGCACCAGGCTGGGAAGACTGAATCTGCAATAGGTAAGCAGCTTGATTTGAAGAAATCAACTGTGGGAGCAATTATTAGGAAATGGAAGACATACAAGACCACTGATAATCTCCCTCGATCTGGGGCTCCACGCAAGATCTCACCCCGTGGGGTCAAAATGATCACAAGAACGGTGAGCAAAAATCCCAGAACCACACGGGGGGACCTAGTGAATGACCTGCAGAGAGCTGGGACCAAAGTAACAAAGCCTACCATCAGTAACACACTACGCCGCCAGGGACTCAAATCCTGCAGTGCCAGACGTGTCCCCCTGCTTAAGCCAGTACATGTCCAGGCCCGTCTGAAGTTTGCTAGAGTGCATTTGGATGATCCAGAAGAGGATTGGGAGAATGTCAGATGAAACCAAAATATAACTTTTTGGTAAAAACTCAACTCGTTGTGTTTGGAGGACAAAGAATGCTGAGTTGCATCCAAATAACACCATACCTACTGTGAAGCATGGGGGTGGAAACATCATGCTTTGGGGCTGTTTTTCATTGAAGATGAAACGTGGCTGGGTCTTTCAGCATGACAATGATCCCAAACACACCGCCCGGGCAACGAAAGAGTGGCTTTCGTAAGAAGCATTTCAAGGTCCTGGAGTGGCCTTGCCAGTCTCCAGATCTCAACCTGTGTTGCCCAGCGACAGCCCCAAAACATCACTGCTCTAGAGGAGATCTGCATGGAGGAATGGGCCAAAATACCAGCAACAGTGTGTGAAAACCTTGTGAAGACTTACAGAAAACGTTTGACCTGTGTCATTGCCAACAAAGGGTATATAACAAAGTATTGAGAAACTTTTGTTATTGACCAAATACTTATTTTCCACCATCATTTGCAAATAAATTCATAAAAAATCGTACAATGTGATTTTCTGGATTTTCTTTTCTCATTTTGTCTGTCATAGTTGACGTGTACATATGATGAAAATTACAGGCCTCATCTTTTTAAGTGGGAGAACTTGCACAATTGGTGGCTGACTAAATACTTTTTTCCCCCACTGTACACCTTAGCCAAATACATTTAAACTCAGTTTTTCACAATTCCTGACATTTAATCCTAGTACAAATTCCCTTACTTAGGTCAGTTAGGATCACCACTTTATTTTAAGAATGTGAAATGTCAGAATAATAGTAGAGAGAATGATTTACTCCAGCTTTTCTTTCTTTCTTCACATTCCCAGTGGGTCAGAGGTTTACATACACTCAATTAGTACTTGGTAGCATTGCCTTTAAATTGTTGAACTTGGGTCAAACGTTTCGGGGAGCCTTCCACAAGCTTCCCACAATATGTTGGGTGAATTTTGGGCCATTCCTCCTGACAGAGCTGGTGTAACTGAGTCAGGTTTGTAGGCCTGCTTGCTCGCACATGCTTTTTCAGTTCTGCCCACATATATTTTTTATAGGATTGAGGTCAGGGCTTTTTGATGGCCACTCTAATACCTTGACTTTGTTGTCCTTAAGCCATTTTGCCACAACTTTGGAAGTATGCTTGGGGTCATTATCCATTTGGAAGACCCATTTGCGACCAAGCTTTAACTTCCTGACTGATGTCTTGAGATGTTGCTTCAATATATCCACATAATTTTCCTTCCTCGTGATGCCATCTATTTTGTGAAGTGCACCAGTCCCTCCTGCAGCAAAGCACCTCCACAGCATGATGCTGCCACCCCCGTGCTTCACGGTTGGGATGGTGTTCTTCGGCTTGCAAGGTACCCCCTTTTTCCTCCAAACATAACGATGGTCGTTATGGCCAAACAGTTCTATTTTTTTTTCATCAGACCAGAGGACATTTCTCCAAAAAGTACGATCTTTGTCCCCATGTGCAGTTGCAAACCGTAGTCTGGCTTTTCTATGGCGGTGTTGGAGCAGTGGCTTCTTCCTTGCTGAGAGGCCTTTCAGGTTATGTCGATATAGGACTCGTTTTACTGTGGATATAGATACTTTTGTACCTGTTTCCTCCAGCATCTTCACAAGGTCCTTTGCTGTTGTTCTGGGATTGATTTGCACTTTTCGCACCAAAGTACGTTCATCTCTAGGAGACAGAACGCGTCTCCTTCCTGAGCGGTATGACCGCTGTGGTCCCATGGTGTTTATACTTGCGTACTATTGTTTGTACAGATGAACGTGGAACCTTCAGGCGTTTGAAAATTGCTCCCAAGGATGAACCAGACTTGTGGAGGTCAAACAATTATTTTTCTGAGCTCTTGGCTGATTTCTTTTGATTTTCCCATGATGTCAAGCAAAGAGGCACTGAGTTTGAAGGTAGGCCTTTAAATACATCCACAGGTACACCTGCAATTGACTCAAGTGATGTCTATCAGAAGCTTCTAAAGCCATGACATAATTTTCTGGAATTTTCCAAGCTGTTTAAAGGCACAGTCAACTTAGTGTATGTAAACTTCCGACCCACTGGAATTGTGGTACAGTGAATTATAAGTGAAATAATCTGTCTGTAAACAATTGTTGGAAAAATTACTTGTGTCATGCACAAAGTAGATGTCCTAACCGACTTGCCAAAACTATAGTTTGTTAACAAGAAATTTGTGGAGTGGTTGAAAAACAAGTTTTAATGACTCCAACCTAAGTGTATGTAAACTTCCGACTTCAACTGTACAGTACCTCCCAGAATTGCATCAAGTTTTATTTAGTAAAAAACCTCTTGTTTTTTACTAAATACCAAGTATTGTCTCTGTTATTTAACAGGCCCGAAAACAAGTAATTGACCTGAGAGACAAATGTGAACACCTGGAAAAACTGAAGAGTGCGCTGATCGAAGAAAGAGCAGCTTATATCAAGAAAATCTCCCAAAAATCAGGTAATGGGCCTTACATTTGACTCTCCTCTCCTCTCCAGTCTCTCCCTCCGGTAACAGTGGCCTGTTGTCTCTCTCTACAGGAAAGAGAGAGGAGCTCATCCTCAGGAAGCTTCAGGACATCTCTACCAAACAGAAGAACATTGACGTGGTGTTCAAAGGGAAGCGGAGAGGGGCGTCCTCAGCCCCCTCGTCATCAGTCTTACCCAATAAAACCATCTCACCAAGCAGCACTCAACAGCCTAAGCCAAAATCCCTGGCTCCCGGTCTCAAGTTAAAGGTGGTACCCACCCCTGTCCCCCGCTCTATCCCCCCACAGCCTGCACTCCAACGACCCAAGACAAGTCCCATCATCTCCCCACCCTCCAGGAAACCCCCCTCAACGTGTCATCTGTCGGGTGACAGGACCAGACCTAACATCCTGTCTCGCAGGAAACCACAACCTCCCCTAGGTGAGTCCCCCCTCGCTCTGACCCTGTTACTGTCTAGCAGCACCAAATGAGCCAGACTGACTGCAATAAGACAGACTGCAGATCTAGAGACTGAACTTCCATGTGAAGAAATAAAGCACTGTAAATCATTTGGATCTGTTTTTCTGCCTCCCCAACAGAGTCCCCACCTGTTCACGCTGGGTTTCTCCCTCCTCAAATGCTGTCTATAGTGGGTGGAGTGATACCATCTCAGCAGGGGATCACTATGAGCCCAGTGCAGCCTGCCAGTTCTCTGCTGCCGGTAGGACGCGTCACTGGAATCGAAATGCAACAGTCTCTAATACCAGGTAGGCTTATAGTGACTCAATGTACTCAGTTGCATACATTTTTTTTGTTGATTTGATTCTTCTTAAATGTCTCACTTTTTTTAGGTGTCGCTTCAGTCACCATCAGTATCCCCTCAATGTCACAACCCATTTCTCTCACTCCACCTCGTAATATCCTCAACAGGGGAGGTAACTTCCGACATGTTTTTACCGCTTGAATGTAGAAATCTTTGAATCTGATTTAAGTTAGCTGAATGTTATGCCATTGAGACAAAATGTATTTTGTTTCCTATTTTTCAGTTCCTCATATCGCCAAAGTGATTTCACTAGTGAAAGCCCCTCCAGGTGTGTCAGGGGGAGCTCCGAGGAGGCCATCCCCAGTGAAGGGTAGGGGAAGTGGGCTGGAGGACAGGGAGGTGCTGGGGAAGCAGCTGGACCACTCTGTAGAATGTTTAAAGATCAATGACGCAGACGGGAACTCTGATGAGGAGGACGAAGACAACGAAGAAGGTGATGTTGAAGACGAGAGTCTGACATCTCTCCTCAATGAGATCGTCTTCCTCAACCAGCAGATTACCACAGACGACAACAGCAGCCCCAGAGGTCTTCCAGTGGTCACCCACAAACCACCCACTGAGTCTGGGGAGGTTGGGACGGACCGGTCCTTACCACCACCACCGCAGGCAGAGAAGGAAATCATCAGAAATGGAGATGATGAGCGCTCCCTCAGCCCCTTGTTCCTGAGACTTGACGAGGACCTTCTGGGGCTCAAAGAGGGCCAGGGCCAGGATGAGGCTTCCAAAGGCCCAGGCCTGCCAGTGCCACAGGCAGAGGACCTTAAAGTGGGTTTTGGAACCAACGAGAAACCATCAGAGACAGGTTCTGCTCCTGCTCCGATTGTCAATGGGCACAGCCCACAAGGACCAGCATGCACTGCAAAAGGTCACGGTGCACTTCAAAAGGCGCTGACGCCACCGCCGCTGCTGCAGATGAAAGTTGGCGTGGCCAAGGTGCTGGAGTCCAATGATAAGCCGGGGGATGCCCTGGCCCTGCCCCCGCTACTGCAGATGAGGCCAATGCCGAGGCTAGCCCCACTAGGACTAAAGAACAACCCTCAGACGTAGAACTAAGAACTAACTAACTTAGGGTCAATGTTGTAGCCATCTCTCCTCAAGACCCTCACTCACATGGGTCGTAGTCATTGGTCACCAAACGGACAAAAACAGACTGAAACAGGGTTGGACTACTACCTGAACTTGTCCAATAAGAAATGTTCATTTTCGTTTTCTGTTGCGCCACGGTGTGCTATAATAAATATGACCCTTATGTGGCTCAACCAATCAGGGATAACTACATTTAATGGTCCAATGTAGCCATTTTATCTCTGTCAAATCATTTCTGGGTAACAATTAAGCAGTTTACAGTGATTGTTTTCAATTAAAATGGAAAAATAAACAAAAATAGCTTCTTAGCAAAGAGCAATTTCTTAAGCAAATTTGCGAGGACTATCTGGGAGTGGGGAGGGGAAAACTGAAAACAACCGGTTATTGGTCTATTGACTTATTTACCGCCTGGTGACGTCACCCCATCCCACCAAAACAGGTAGAAATGTATTTTCCAACCGCTCTTACACTAAAAGTGCATTATCAGAATTTTCACAATTTCACAGTATTAGTTCAACCTCATAGTGTGGAAATATATCTAAAACACAGGAAAATCACGTTATTTATGTCTTCTGCACATTTATTTTGTTTTATAAGCGGCACTACCTAACGTGCCTATCGGAAATCCAAAGATGTTTGTTTGTATCTATATATACTTGTATCTATATATTGACTTGAAATGCAAAGACTGACATGACACTGTTCTGACAGTCAGGAGTCATGTTTTTCTCTTCGAATCTTTGTTATCTAGGCTAGTATTCATGAAGTGCAGAATAAGAGTACACAATATATACAAAAGTATGTGGACACCCCTTCAAATTAGTGGATTCGGCTATTTCATCCACACCAGTTGCTGACAGGTGTATAAAATCGAGCACACAGCCATGCAATCTCCATAGACAAATATTGGCAGTAGAATGGCTCAGTGACTTTCAACGTGGCACCGTCATAGGATGCCTCCTCTTCAACAAGTCAGTAAGTCAAATGTCTGCCCTGCTAGAGCTGCCCCAGTCAAATAAGTGCTGTTATTGTGAAGTGGAAACATCTAGGAGCAACAACGGCTCAGCTGTGAAGTGGTAGACCACACAAGCTCACAGAACAGGACCGCTGAAGTGTGTAGCGAGTAAAGATCGTCTGTCCTCAGTTGCAACACTCACTACTGAGTTCCAAACTGCCTCTGAAAGCAATGTCAGCACAATTACTGTTAGTTGGGAGCTTCATAAAATGGGTTTCCATAGCCAAGCAGCCGCGCACAAGCCTAAGATCACCATGTGCAATGCCAAGCGTCGGCTGGAGTGGTGTTAAGCTCGCCGCCATTGGACTCTGGAGCAGTGGAAACGCATTCTCTAGAGTGATGAATCACGCTTCACCATCTGGCAGTCCGACGGACTAATCTGGGTTTGGCGGATGCCAGGAGAACGCTACCTGCCCCAATGCATAGGTTGGTGGAGGAGGAATAATGGTCTGCGGTTGTTCTTCATGGTTTGGGCTAGGCCCCTTAGTTCCAGTGAAGGAAAATCTTGTTTTCACCTTTGTGTCAACAGTTTGGGGAAGGCCCTTTCCTGTTTCAGCATGACAATGCGCACGTGCACAAAGCGAGGTCCATACAGAAATAGTTTGTCGATCGGTGTGGAAGAACTTTACTTGCCTGCACAGAGCCCTGACCTCAACCCCATCGAACACCTTTGGGATGAATTGGAACGCCGACTGCGAGACAGGCCTAATCGCCCAACATCAGTGCCCGATCTCACTAATGCTCTTGTGGCTGAATGGAAGCAAGTCCCTGCAGAAATGTTCCAACATTTAGTGGAAAGCCTTCCCAGAAGAGTGGAGGCTGTTATAGCAGCAAAGGGGGGACCAACTCTACATTAATGCCCATTATTTTGGAATTAGATGTTCGATGAGCAGGTGTCCACATACTTTTGGTCACGTAGTGTATCTAGAATCAGTTTAGCCTTTTAGATCATAAGGAATAAGCTGACAAGGATCTGACACTTAAATACGGGCCCTGATCTGTTGCTTTTCTTCCCCTTATTTTAAGGAGGAGATGCAGTGAATTTCGCATAATATTAAGCTACCAGGAACTCTGTAGATTTTAAGGGTGTCCAGTATGTTCTGGTTTTAGAGTATATTTGTTCCATCAAAGCAAGATGATCTGTAGACAGACAGCTGATGGTGCTGATGCTGTTTGTGTTCATAGTACTATACTGTACTGTTGAAAGTATATGACTGTTTCAGAGGCCCTGTCTCCATATTGGAGTAGAGTAGGCCCTGTCTCATATATCTTTGTGTTTGATGCAAGGAAAGTTCTCGGTCGTAGTGAATTTAAGCCTTAAAGGTTAAGGGACATTTTCATCTGTTTTTGTATGGCACACTGTTTGCTACACTAACCACTGTGTGCACTGCAGACAACAAATCTCAACATAGGAAACTTAATAAGCAATATCCTAATAGGTCCCTGTAGGATGGATAGGTCATTGAATCTGCAGTCCTTGTGACCTTTCTAAGAGCAGCTTTACTTGTTCACTGATGTGTGTAATAATCAGACCCTGACATTCACTATATAATAGGGGTAGAAATGGCTGTCCCAAATGGCACACTATTCCCAATATAGTGCACTACTTTTGGTAAACAATAGTGCACTTTATATGGAATAGGGTGCCATTTGAGGGAAAATGGATTCAATGTTAAATTGGGGGAAATGTCATTGCTGTAATTATTTTTATGCTGCTAAGAGGTAAAGCTTGCAGAATTAAAAGCCAACTCTCTTGTTAAACTGCATCAAGACTTTTTGCTAGAAGCATGAAGTGTAGATTGAATTTCTGTATAAAGTATAAAATACATTTCTTAATAATAATAATAGGCCATGTAAATAATTAATTTTTTCCACTTTTAAGACGATGGTTGTTTTTTTCTGATAATAGAGTCGTTTTTGTAAAGGTATTTCTGATATTTTTACATGGTGTCAATAATCGTTATGTTTAGGATGTTGGTATAAGAGAAAGGAAGACTCTTTGAAATAAAATCTAACAATGAATGTGGGCTGCCTAGATATACATTTCTGAAGCAGTTACATTATGTTATATGATTTGAGTAGTAATGTTACTTTAAAGATTAAGTGACTTACTATAACTCTACATCTTACTTGGGACATGTATGAAAAGCTATTACAGGAATATTGTGAAAGAACATGCATGGGTAACTGATTGTTAAAATGCTAAGTAATCCTGTCATGTTGGTTTCATTTGCCCTTTTTAAATATGTGGAAGGAGAGAGAGATCTGACATTTTCCCAATCGACCCATGGGATCTAATGGCAAACAAATGACCTTATTCATTACCGGACAATGTCTTTATTTCCCATATGAAATAGAATTCATAGCAAAGTCTGTCCCAAATGGCACCCCATTGTCTATATAGTGCACTATTTTTGACCAAAGCCCTATGGGCCCTGGCCAAAAGTAGTGCACTGTAAAGGGAATGGGGTGCCATTTGGGACGTAGCCATGATCTTTTCTTCTGACGTTATATGATGCCATGGTGTGATAAACAGCTGTGAACAAAGTTGCAGAACACTGAAGAGGTTCTCTCAAGTACAGCTGCATTCTTCAAGGGTAAGTGTTGATCAGAACTATCTCCCTGTTACGTCAGTTCTATTATATATATTTCAGTTATATTTCTTCTAAGTTGTCTAGAAGTTTGCTCAAAGTTGTTTATGAATGTTAGAATGAAGACATTTATTTTGCTTGTTATTGTTACAAAAGCATGTGATTTCATATCAGAAATTAGAATATTACTCTAGATTAGAGTATGTTTTTCCTTGTGTATTGACATTTTATTATAAACGTGATTTGACAGATGACTTGAATTTGTAATTGTTTGATCTGACACATTTATTCAATTATCAGTTGATACAGGAACTGTTGAAAGGAACATGTCTGAAAAGTACTCCTTCCCCAGATGGCTATTGCTAAGAAACAGCACATCGTCGATTATTGAAGACCTTTCCCTGCCCTTAGTCCCCTTCGAGGACTGCAGCTCAACCCGCAACTACGCTGCAACCATCATTCCCCCATTCTACCATACCCTCTCACTGCTCGGTATCTTTGGAAACATCTGTAGCCTGGTGATCTGCCTCAAACCATCTCGACCTTGGAGTATCGGCTCCATCGGAGTACTGAACCTAGCTCTGTGTGACCTAGCCTACCTGGCCTCCATACCGCCCAGGGCTATCTATGTAAGTGAGAACTATGACTGGAGCATGGGCAGTTCACTGTGCATCCTGAGTAACGTACTCCACTTTGTAGGTCTGACCTCCAGCACCATGTTTATCTGTGCTGTCAGCACCGACCGCTTCCTGGCTATTGTCTTCCCACTCGAGACCCGGATGGTCCGCACCCCCCGCAACGCTGCCCTGGTCTCCCTGCTCCTATGGGCCATTACATGCCTGCTCATTTACCTCAGCTATCCTAACATCAACTACAGGGTGCAGAAGAGCGGCAACCGCTACTGTGGAACTGTGGTAACCTCAAAGTTCAGGTCCAGTGCAATCACCTATAATCTGTTGTCCTACTACTCTGTGCAGGTATCTGTTCCCTTGCTCCTCATCATCCCTTCCTATGTGAAGATTATAGCCAGGATGAGGCAGTCACGGCAGCAGTGGGCTGCAGGCAACATGCAGGACAAGACCATCTGGCTGATTGCAGTTTTCATAGCCAATTTCTTTGTGTGCTGGGTACCAGGGCAGTTGCTCCATATAATAGCTTGCATCATCTTCTTCACCCTATATGACCACACTAATACGTGTATGGTGGCCAATGTGGTGAACCTTCTAGTGGAGTCCTCCCAGTTACTCTACTGCCTCAATGCTATTCTGGATCCCTTTATTTTCCACATCCAAGAGGGGCTTTGGGAGCTGGTCAGTAAAGCACTAGAGTCTGTTGGTTGTGGAGTCTGTTGGTGGAGGAATTATGCATGTAGTGGAATGAAACATTTTGGAGGACCCCCTTCAGTCAGTGTAGTCCAACTGAGCTGAGATGAAATTTGCTTTTAGATGCATTTCGTCTGCTGTTTGAGAGATTCCGAGAAAATGTAGGCAATGATGCATGCATTTAGCCTGGTTGCCAGTCGCTATTACATTCCAGACGGGGCTTTCTTCTAATATGAATATTTGAACATCTGTTTTTTTTCAATCATTTATTTGTTTTGGTAACATTTTTACAAGTATGTGGTACATTTTCACAACTCTTAATACAAAACTCAAACAGGCAGTTTTTAAACATCAAGCACATTTTCATTTTCAAAATCAGTCACTTTTTCATCAAACTTAATCAGTTTCATCAAGAAATACATGTTTCAAATTGCAATACATGTTCATATAAAGTACTTGCCTTTCACAATGCAATGCTCGCATTACTTTTGATATGATTGTCTTTTCATTTGTTAAAATACCTTTCTCTTACTTAATCCAACTGCTCTTAATAGATAATCACTTTGTCTACTATATACAGATTTTGAGAATAATAGAATGGAAATGTAAAGTATGATTTATATATATGACAGCTTTGCACACTCTTGGCATTCTCTCAACCAGCTTCATGAGGTAGTCACCTGGAATGCATTTCAATTCCAGATAGCGCTAACCCTTTGGCACATGACACAGAGTACAAGGAGTAGAACGAAAGTTAGTCCGACTGGTACCAAGACTAGCATGCATTCGTGTCTGGGAAACATTAAATATATTGTCAATGTCACTTCCCACACAAAGCCATGTTTGTTAAATTGAGGTCTAAGTAATGTAAAAAGTTAACTAAAACACTTAAGTTATGTGTTTGTCAGTGTAATGCCTGTAAATGAAAAGGTAAATAAAAGGTTAGAAAATAAAATATTCGAAAATTGTTTTACAATGTGACTAGAATTCTCTGTGTTTACATTTAAATTACTAAAACGCTCCATTCAACAATGTTTTCTTTCAAATGTTGCATTCTAGTGGAGAGGACTAAAACCAATTTACTGTAAAAGGGACAAGCTGCACATGAAATGGAGTGGGACAATTTCAACCACTAGATGGCGACATTGACTTGGTGAGCTGCTGCTGGTGAGATCTGGATCAGATTGCTTGTCCAAAGTAATCAACAGATTACTGTCAAATGTTGACGCTTGCAACTAGGCGAGACTGTGAGGTCTGCCCTGACAGTTCTGGCCCCAAACTTCTCAACAACGGGAAAGTAAAAGCTATACGTGTCGCAAGCGGTGGTCATTCAACCCTGCATGGAATAACCAGAAAAAGATTGATAGCAGTGGCAAGGTAGCTAGCAAGCTGGCCTGTCACTGACAGTGTTTGGGGGCTATGCACAACTAGGCTGGACAATAGAACGACGTTAGCAAGCTAGCTAGGTACTGTAGGCTAACGTAAATTACATGTTCGTAGTAGGCAAAAGCACTGGGGATATTCTTCTTGAGCATGTGGTTTAGCTAACGTCAGTATCTTTCTTGCCCATTGTGGGGACGCAAGAGACAGCTGGGACATTGGCTGAAAGCTTGGCTAGCTAGCTAACCAACTGGTATTGTGCCGCAGACCCCAACCCAGATCCAGTTTCACCAATAATTGGCAGTTCTCATCGCGGAGGGTGCAATGACACAAGACGAGGAGCCGCGGCGTGACTGACAGTCTTCTGGAACCCGACCATCGAAGTAGCTAGCTACTACTGTTGACAATCTGGGAACATGGACAAATGCATCCAGAGAAGTATCCCTCTCCCTGGATCAGAATGTAATGCAAGAAGGACGGATAGTGCGGAAAAGCTTTCTAGGCAGAGCAGGGCATATATGAACGGGAACCGCACACATCATGCCAACAGAGCACGCAACTCATTGAACCAGAAGGAAGCATGACAGCATATTAATGTTTATTTTATCTATGTATTTATTTTGCTGAATAAGACATGGTTTTGTCTGGCTATCACCACTGGTTCCCAGATTGTATGTACTAGTTCTATCAACCGATGTCTGAGAATTTAGATTTCAAGATGACGGTAGAGGGTTCCACAATAAAGAGTCGGATCAAAAATCTTCTCCGCTCGCCATCTATCAAATTAAGAAGGAATAAAGATCGGAACAACAAAGAGAATCTCAGTAACAAGGTATGTATCTGACATGGATAGGAACAGTAGTAGACCATTATAACAAGCTCGTAGGTTTGCTATCAAACACAACCAGCGACCTTCCAGGCAAAATCACGATAATGTTTAAAGGCCTAATTGAAATAGCATTTAACTACCGGTAAAATGAAATGCTCAGTACATTGCTTTCAAGTGGAAATAATTGTCTGGCTCCTCATAGAGTCCAGAAACCTTACATATTTAGGGAATTGTGTCACTGATCATAAACCAAAAACATGTTATTGGACATTGCAGGCTTGTTCCCCCATGTAGCAGCAACCCCGTGGAGGTTGTTCATAGCATAAATCCTCACCACTCATAGTAGCCTAGTTCTGCAGTCAACTCCATATCTTCATGAAATGTATCTCACACTCTGTTGAATTTGTTATAACTGTAGTGTATTACTAACCTAATTGCAGTTAGTGATTCCTATGGACAAAGGCTAGGATATTTGCAACTGTAAGTTGATTATATAGGAGAACTGTTTGCTCCCTTGGTGTTGACATGAGAAAATGGCATGTGACACACATGGCATGTGACACCTACCTCTCACAGACAGACAGCTGTGATCCTTCCATTCACATGTAGGCTACAAGCGATCTGTGTTTTATCTCTCACACAGACACACACACGTGAGGTGTGCCTGACTGAATCCCCTAAAAAGCAATGAAGAAAAAAACCATTAGCCAAGTTCAGCTGATAACAATAACGATGATTCTTATAGATAGGCTAATTCTCCATCTGTGACAATAATACTGTACATTGAAGTTTAAGTCCATGAATGTAATCAATATGACAAACTCTCATGTATAGGAATTCCCCCCTCTCTTCCATGAAGCTCACTCACTCACTGTGTCAAATACAATTTTATTTGCCACATACTTTGTAAACAACAGGTGTAGACTAACAGTGAAATGCTTACTTACTGGTCCTTTCCAAATCAAATTGTATTTGTCACATGCACCTAATACAGCAGGTATAGACCAATAAATACTGACATGAGGAATAAATCCACAGTGAATAACAAAGAATAAAAAATAACATGACTATATAGGGAGTAACAGTATCGAGTCGATGTGCAAGGATACGAGGTAATTGAGGTAGCTACACTATATATACAAAAGTATGTGGACACCCTTTCAATTTAGTGGATTCGGCTATTTCAGCCACACCTGTGGCCGACAGGTGTATAAAATCGAGCACACAGCCATGCAATCTCCATAAACAAACATTGGCAGTAAAATGGCCTTACTGAAGAGCTCAGTGACTTTCAACGTGGCAGCGTCATAGGATGCCAACTTTCCAACAAGTCAGTTTGTCAAATTTCTGCCCTTCCAGAGCTGCCCCGGTCTACTGTAAGTGCTGTTATTGGGAACTGGAAACGTCTAGGAGCAACAACCGCTCAGCCGCGAAGTGGTAGGCCACACAAGCTCACAGAATGGGACCGCTGAATGCTGAAGAGCATAGCGCGTAGAAATCGTCTTTCCTTGGTTGCAACACTCAATACCGAGTTCTAAACTGCCTCTGGAAGCAATGTCAGCACAATAACTGTTCATTGAGAACTTCATGAAATGGGTTTCCATGGCCAAGCAGCCGCACACAAGCCAAAGATCACCATGCGCAATGATAAGCGTCGGCTGGAATGGTGTAAAGCTCGCCGCCATTGGACTCTGGAGCAGTGGAAACGCGTTGTTTCGAGTGACGCTTCACCATCTGTCAGTCCGACAGACTAATCTGGGTTTGGCGGATGCCAGGAGAACTCTACCATAGTGCCAACTGTAAAGTTTGGTGAAGGAGGAATAATGGTCTGGCGCTGTTTTTCATGGTTCGGGCTAGGCCCCTTAGTTCGAGGGAAGAGAAATCTTAACGCTACATCATACAATGACTTTCTAGACGATTCTGTGCTTCCAACTTTGTGGCAACAGTTTGGGGTAGGCCCTTTCCTGTTACCACATTACAATGCCCCCGTGCACAAAGCGAGGTCCATACAGAAATGATTTGTCGAGATCGGTGTGGAAGGACTTGACTGCCCTGACCTCAACCCCATTGAACACCTTTGGGATGAATTGGAACGCCGACTGCGAGCCAGGCCTAATAGCCCAACATCAGTGCCCGACCTCACTAATGCTCTTGTGGCTGAATTGTAGCAAGTCCCCGCAGCAACATCTAGTGGAAAGCCTTCCCAGAAGAGTGGAGGCTGTTATAGCAGCAAAAGGGGGACCAACTCCATGTTAATGCCTATGATTTTGGAATTAGATGTTCTATGAGCAGATGTCCACATACTTTTGATAATGTGTAGGGCTGTGGCGGTCACGAAATTTCGTCAGCCGGTGATTGTCAAGAAAGTAACTGTCGGTCTCATGGTAATTGACCGGTAATTAACAAACACATTTAGCATCTCCTGGCTTCCACACACAGCCTACAAGCCACTGATGCAGGCCTTTGGAACATCTACGTTTTAAAAAAAGTTAAATAAATCCATGTAATATAGCCAACACCTTCACAATAAATCCATTATTTATTTTAGACAGGTTTAAAGAAACATGATATGAAGAAAAGTCTTCAGTAGTAGTCTATTTCAGAAGAACAGAATAGCATACTCTGAGTTGTCCTTATGTTAGGTCCTGATCTGGCTATGCCATATTGCTGTGGGCTACACTAGTTCATTTAGCAGACAAGATTTGGTTAGAATTCAGTGGCATTATTTTATATTATTTTATTGTATGATGAATACAATTGAACAAAGCTGAATAAAATAGAAAGGATATTTTCACCAAACAATTTGAGGGAGTTCACACATGCGGCTATTCTGTGTTGAGCAGTTAACAAAGAAATAGGTTCTCCTACAGTGGCTTGCGAAAGTATTCACCCCCCTTGGCATTTTTCCTATTTTGTTGCCTTACAACCTGGAATTATAATGGATTTTTGGGGGGTTTGAATCATTTGATTTACACAACATGCCTACCACTTTGAAGATGCAAAATATTTTTTCTTGTGAAACAAACAAGAAATAAGACAACAAAAAAACAGAACTTGAGCGTGCATAACTATTCACCCCCCCCCGCCCCCCCCAAAGTCAATACTTTGTAGAGCCACCTTTTGCAGCAATTACAGCTGCAAGTCTCTTGGGGTATGTCTCTATAAGCTTGGCACATCTAGCCACTGGGATTTTTGTCCATTCTTCAAGGCAAAACTGCTCCAGCTCCTTCAAGTTGGATGGGTTCCGCCGGTGTACAGCAATCTTTAAGTCATACCACATATTCTCAATTGGATTGAGGTCTGGGCTTTGACTAGGCCATTCCAAGACATTTAAATGTTTCCCCTTAAACCACTCGAGTGTTGCTTTAGCCTTTGTCCTGCTGGAAGGTGAACCTCCGTCCCAGTCTCAAATCTCTGGAAGACTGAAACAGGTTTCCCTCAATAATTTCCCTGTATTTAGCGCCATCCATCATTCTTTCAATTCTGACCAGTTTCCCAGTCCCTGCCGATGGAAAAACTTCCCCACAGCATGATGCTGCCACCACCATGCTTCACTGTGGGGATAGTGTTCTCGGGGTGATGAGAGGTGTTGGGTTTGCGCCAGACATAGCGTTTTCCTTGATGGCCAAAAGCTCAATTTTAGTCTCATCTGACCAGAGTACTTTCTTCCATATGTTTGCTTATTTTTTTCTTTAAGCAATGGCTTTTTTTCTGGCCACACTTCCGTAAAGCCCAGCTCTGTGGCGTGTATGGCTTAAAGTGGTCCTATGGACAGATACTCCAAACTCCGCTGTGAAGCTTTGCAGCTCCTTCAGGGTTATCTTTGGTCTCTTTTTTGCCTCTGATTAATGCCCTCCTTGCCTGGTCCGTGAGTTTTGGTGGGCGGTCCTCTCTTGTCAGGTTTGTTGTGGTGCCATATTCTTTAAATTTTTTAATAATGGATTTATTGGTGCTCCGTTGGATGTTCAAAGTTTCTGATATTCTTTTATAACCCAACCCTGATCTGTACTTCTCCACAACTTTGTCCCTGACCTGTTTGGAGAGCTCCTTGGTCTTCATGGTGCCGCTTGCTTGGTGGTGCCCCTTACTTAGCGGTGTTGCAGACTCTGGGGCCTTTCAGAACAGCTGTATATACAGTGGGGAAAAAAAGTATTTAGTCAGCCACCAATTGTGCAAGTTCTCCCACTTAAAAATATGAGAGAGGCCATTAATTTTCATCATAGGTACACGTCAACTATGACAGAAAAAATTAGATTTTTTTTCTCCAGAAAATCACATTGTAGGATTTTTAATGAATTTATTTGCAAATTATGGTGGAAAATAAGTATTTGGTCACCTACAAACAAGCAAGATTTCTGGCTCTCACAGACCTGTACCTTCTTCTTTAAGAGGCTCCTCTGTCCTCCACTCGTTACCTGTATTAATGGGACCTGTTTGAACTTGTTATCCGTATAAAAGACACCTGTCCACAACCTCAAACAGTCACACTCCAAACTCCACTATGGCCAAGACCAAAGAGCTGTCAAAGGACACCAGAAACAAAATTGTAGACCTGCACCAGGCTGGGAAGACTGAATCTGCAATAGGTAAGCAGCTTGGTTTGAAGAAATCAACTGTGGGAGCAATAATTAGGAAATGGAAGACATACAAGACCACTGATAATCTCCCTCGATCTGGGGCTCCACGCAAGATCTCACCCCGTGGAATCAAAATGATCACAAGAACGGTGAGCAAAAATCCCAGAACCACACGGGGGGACCTAGTGAATGACCTGCAGAGAGCTGGGACCAAAGTAACAAAGCCTACCATTAGTAACACACTACGCCACCAGGGACTCAAATCCTGCAGTGCCAGATGTGTCCCCCTGCTTAAGCCAGTACATGTCCAGGCCCGTCTGAAGTTTGCTAGAGCGCATTTGGATGATCCAGAAGAGGATTGGGAGAATGTCATATGGTCAGATGAAACCAAAATAGAACTTTTTGGTAAAAACTCAACTCGTCGTGTTTGGAGGATAAAGAATGCTGAGTTGCATCCAAAGAACACCATACCTACTGTGAAGCATGGGGGTGGAAACATCATGCTTTGGGTCTGTTTTTCTGCAAAGGGACCAGGACGACTGATCCGTGTAAAGGAAAGAATGAATGGGGCCATGTATCGTGAGATTTTGAGTGAAAACCTCCTTCCATCAGCAAGGGCATTGAAGATGAAACGTGGCTGGGTCTTTCAGCATGACAATGATCCCAAACAACCCGCCCGAGCAACGAAGGAGTGGCTTCGTAAGAAGCATTTCAAGGTTCTGGAGTGGCCTAGCCAGTCTCCAGATCTCAACCCCATAAAAAATCTTTGGAGGGAGTTGAAAGTCCGTGTTGCCCAGCGACAGCCCCAAAACATCACTGCTTTAGAGGAGATCTGCATGGAGGAATGGGCCAAAATACCAGCAACAGTGTGTGAAAACCTTGTGAAGACTTACAGAAAACGTTTGACCTGTGTCATTGCCAACAAAGGGTATATAACAAAGTACTGAGAAACTTTTGTTATTGACCAAATACTTATTTTCCACCATAATTTGCAAATAAATTCATTAAAAATCCTACAATGTGATTTTCTGGGGAAAAAAATCTCATTTTATCTGTCATAGTTGACGTGTACCTATGATGAAAATTACAGGCCTCTCATCTTTTTAAGTGGGAGAACTTGCACAATTGGTGGCTGACTAAATAATTTTTTCCCCCACTGTATACTGAGATCATGTGACAGATCATGTGACACTTAGATTGCACACAGGTGGACTTTATTTAACTAATTATGTGACTTCTGAAGGTAATTGGTTGCACCAGATCTTATTTAGGGGCTTCATAGCAAAGGGGTTGAATACAAACGCACGCACCACTTTTCCGTTATTTATATTTTAGAATTTTTTTCATTTCACTTCACCAATTTGTACTATTTTGTCTATGTCCATTACATGAAATCCAAATAAAAATCCATTGAAATTAGAGGTTGTAATGCAACAAAATAGGAAAAACGCCAAGGGGGCTGAATACTTTTGCAAGACACTGTATATGCTTAATTTAGAGGTATTAATGTAACTAGTAGTTCTACAAATGTTGGGCTATATGTTTAGATGCTTAATACATTGTAAGGCTGCATGATGAGACTCTAATGATGATTTGAAACAAGTCGCTTGAAAGGCATGAGTTCTGCTTTGTTTTTTGCGCAGAGGATCTTTCTCACAGGCTACAAGTGAAGACAGACACTTCCGTCACGCAAATGCGCACGTCCTTATCCAATTCTGAGGTGCATATTGAAGATATTGGAAGAACTGTCCACATTTACTTTTCGTCAGCCAACAAGAGGAGTAGGCCTAACGAACAGCACAAGCACTAGCCTTTGTCAGTCTACTATCCCCCATAGTACAAAAGTCGACCTATTCTATTCTGTGCGAGAAATAAATATTCCAAACATAGTCTGGGACAGTTGTCGGATGCGATAGATCCCAAATCAATACAACCAATAGCATGAAAAATATATATATATTACGCAATGAGGCTGACGCGACAGATCAGAACGTTTAGCTTAAAATGTGATAAACTACTAGGCTATTTCTTCACATTATAAGCACGGCAGTAGGCTATAAGCGCGAATGTTCCATTAGCCGTAAAACACCATTATCAAAAGTGACTGCAAATGCAATTGTGCATGTGATTCTTTTTTATGGTGAAAATGATCTTCCCCAAACTTGAAACTCACGCGCTGCTTAAGTATGCCAGTTAGGCTCTACACCCCTTGTAAAGCGGATTAATGTGCTTATTTTAAGAACTTATTTGGCCACTTTAGTTGTGATACAAACCTTATCAAAACATATAGGCCTATGGGCTAAGCTACATGAGGTGTCGTAAAAAAAAGGCAATGTTTCTTGCCTTATGCTGGGCATCATTCACAAGTGATAATATATAATTCAAAAGTGAAAGGCTAATATTGTCACCCATCAGACTATTCTTGATTTAATCTTGTCTTTACATATACTAAATAATATATGTGTGAAATTTGTTTTGATTTAGAATGGACCATTATCATGCACCTGTCTCAACAGGGGCAGCGGAAAAAATCATGTCATCTATACACTTAAATAGTGAAAGGAGGACACTTTTCCCGTGGTTCATTTTCATGCCAGCCAGGTAGGCTATACTCCTGTTGTAAATATAAGCAATGTGCTTAATATTAGGAAAGTTGAGAAATAAATATAGTAGGCCTAGCCTATAGAAAGCTGATGGGATCCTCCTCTTTAATAAAGGCCATCACTCTGTTTTCTCATGCAATTGCATAGCTTATAGAAATGTTGCGCAACATGAGCTCATGGGCTCTCATGAGAGAATGCCAAGAGTGTGCAAAGCTGTCAAGGCAAAAGGTGGCTATTTGAAGAATCTCACATTTCTAAATATATTTTGATTTGGTTAACACTTTTTTGGTTACTACATGATTCCATATGTGTTATTTCATAGTTTTGATGTCTTTACTATTATTCTACAATGTAAAAAAATAGTAAAAATAAAGACAAACCCTTGAATGAGTAGATGTGTCCAAACTTTTGACTGGTACTGTATATGGATGATTTATAAAGCCAGGCACATTTAATAGTTAGGCTATTGATTATATAATAATTAAGTTGGGGTTTCCTCTCTCCTCACTTTTCTTAGACAATAAGGCAAGGGCTGTTTTCTCGTCACCTCATTCTCCTGCTGCCTCCGCCGCATTGTTCTCATCACCAATATGCTGGTTAACTTTGCTATTATGCACATAGCAACATGGTCTAGGAAAAGGCGGCAATTCAAAAGCACACTGATGTGTTTCAGAACCGCGGACAGCGACCACTATCCAACACGGGAGAAAGCGAATTTGTTATAAAATTAATATTATTTTTATTTAGTGTTGCAACATTGTTCTTATCTAATATAACCATATACAATTTCAGTAGCACTGTGCCATCTCCACGGTCTCCACAATGGATTAGTCCACTCAGACAGGTGTCTTGTACACCATGATATACAGTGAGGGAAAAAAGTATTTGATCCCCTGCTGATTTTGTACGTTTGCCCACTGACAAAGAAATGTTCAGTATATAATTTTAATGGTACGTTTATTTGAACAGTGAGAGACAGAAAAACAACAAAAAACTCCAGAAAAACGCATGTCAAAAATGTTATAAATTGATTTGCATTATAATGAGGGAAATAAGTATTTGACCCCCTCTCAATCAGAAAGATTTCTGGCTCCCAGGTGTCTTTTATACAGGTAACGAGCTGAGATTAGGAGCACACTCTTAAAGGGAGTGCTCCTAATCTCAGTTTGTTACCTGTATAAAAGACACCTGTCCACAGAAGCAATCAATCAATCAGATTCCAAACTCTCCACCATGGCCAAGACCAAAGAGCTCTCCAAGGATGTCAGGGACAAGATTGTAGACCTACACAAGGCTGGAATGAGCTACAAGACCATCGCCAAGCAGCTTGACAACAGTTGGTGCGATTATTTGCAAATGGAAGAAACACAAAATACCTGTCAATCTCCCTCAGCCTGGGGCTCCATGCAAGATCTCACCTCGTGGAGTTGCAATGATCATGAGAACGGTGAGGAATCAGCCTAGAACTACACGGGAGGATCTTGGCAATGATCTCTAGGAACCAAGAAAACAATTGGTAACACACTACGCCGTGAAGGACTGAAATCCTGCAGTGCCCGCAAGGTCCCCCTGCTCAAGAAAGCACATATACAGGGCCGTCTGAAGTTTGCCAATGAACATCTGAATGATTCAGAGAAGAACTGGGTGAAAGTGTTGTGGTCAGATGAGACCAAAATCGAGCTCTTTGGCATCAACTCAACTCGCTGTGTTTGGAGGAGGAGGAATGCTGCCTATGACCCCAAGAACAACATCCCCACCGTCAAACATGGAGGTGGAAACATTATGCTTTGGGGGTGTTTTTCTGCTAAGGGGACAGGACAACTTCACCGCATCAAAGGGACGATGGACGGGGCCATGTACCATAAAATCTTGGGTGAGAACCTCCTTCCCTCAGCCAGGGCATTGAAAATGGGTCGTGGATGGGTATTCCAGCATGACAATGACCCAAAACACACGGCCAAGGCAACAAAAGAGTGGCTCAAGAAGAAGCACATTAAGGTCCTGGAGTGGCCTAGCCAGTCTCCAGACCTTAATCCCATAGAAAATCTGTGGAGGGAGCTGAAGGTTCGAGTTGCCAAACGTCAGCCTCGAAACCTTAATGACTTGGAGAAGATCTGCAAAGAGGAATGGGACAAAATCCCTCCTGAGATGTGTGCAAACCTGGTGGCCAACTACAAGAAACGTCTGACCTCTGTGATTGCCAACAAGGATTTTGCCACCAAGTACAAAGTCATGTTTTGCAGAGGGGTCAAATACTTATTTCCCTCATTAAAATGCAAATCAATTTATAACATTTTTGACATGCATTTTTCTGGATTTTTTAGTTGTTATCCTGTCTCTCACTGTTCAAATAAACCTATCATTAAAATGATAGACTGATCATGTCTTTGTCAGTGTGCAAACGTACAAAATCAGCAGGGGATCAAATACTTTTTTCCTCACTGTATACAGTGGGAAGAACAAGTATTTGATACACTGCCGATTTTGCAGGTTTTCCTACTTACAAAGCATGTAGAGGTCTGTAATTTTTATCATAGGTACACTTCAACTTTGAGAGACGGAATCTAAAACAAAAATCCAGAAAATCACATTGTATGATTTTTAAGTAATTAATTTGCATTTTATTACATGACATAAGTATTTGATCACCTACCAACCAGTAAGAATTCCAGCTCTCACAGACCTGTTATTTTTTGTTTAAGAAGCCCTCCTGTTCTCTACTCATTACCTGTATTAACTGCACCTGTTTGAACTCATTACCTGTATAAAAGACACCTGTCCACACACTCAATCAAACAGACTCCAACCTCTCCACAATGGCCAAGACCAGAGAGCTGTGTAAGGACATCAGGGATAAAATTGTAGACTTGCACAAGGCTGGGATGGGCTACAGGACAATAGGCAAGCAGCTTGGTGAGAAGGCAACAACTGTTGGCGCAATTATTAGAAAATGGAAGAAGTTCAAGATGACGGTCAATCACCCTCGGTATGGGGCTCCATGCAAGATCTCACCTCGTGGGGCATCAATGATCATGAGGAAGGTGAGGGATCAGCCCAGAACTACACGGCAGGACCTGGTCAATGACCTGAAGAGAGCTGGGACCACAGTCTCAAAGAAAACCATTAGTAACACACCACGCCGTCATGGATTAAAATCCTGCAGCGCACGCAAGGTCCCCCTGCTCAAGCCAGCGCATGTCCAGGCCCGTCTGAAGTTTGCCAATGACCATCTGGATGATCCAGAGGAGGAATGGGAGAAGGTCATGTGGTCTGATGAGACAAAAATAGAGCATTTTGGTCTAAACTCCACTCGCCGTGTTTGGAGGAAGAAGAAGGATGAGTACAACCCCAAGAACACCATCCCAACCGTGAAGCATGGAGGTGGAAACATCATTCTTTGGGGATGCTTTTCTGCAAAGGGGACAGGACGACTGCACCGTATTGAGGGGAGGATGGATGGGGCCATGTATCGCGAGATCTTGGCCAACAACCTCCTTCCATCAGTAAGAGCATTGAAGATGGGTTGTGGCTGGATCTTCCAGCATGACAACGACCCGAAACACACAGCCAGGGCAACTAAGGAGTGGCTCCGTAAGAAGCATCTCAAGGTCCTTGAGTGGCCTAGCCAGTCTCCAGACCTGAACCCAATAGAAAATCTTTGGAGGGAGCTGAAAGTCTGTATTGCCCAGCGACAGCCCCGAAACCTGAAGGATCTGGAGAAGGTCTGCATGGAGGAGTGGGCCAAAATCCCTGCTGCAGTGTGTGCAAACCTGGTTAAGACCTACAGGAAACATATGACCTCTGTAATTGCAAACAAAGGTTTCTGTACCAGATATTAAGTTCTGCTTTTCTGATGTGTCAAATACTTATGTCATGCAATAAAATGCAAATTAATTACTTAAAAATCATACAATGTGATTTTCTGGATTTTTGTTTTAGATTCCGTCTCTCACAGTTGAAGTGTACCTATGATAAAAAATTACAGACCTCCACATGCTTTGTAAGTAGGAAAATCGGCAAAATCGGCAGTGTATCAAATACTTGTTCTCCCCACTATATGTATATATTTTTTGCTACTGCTCGACTAAAGAAATATTGGTCGACCAACAGCCTATCGACCAAACAATCAACCAGTCGACTCAATGGGGTCAGCCCTAGATTAGCTATTTAGCAGCCTTGTTTAGCAGTCTTATGGCTTGGGGGTAGACGCTTTCCAGGGTCCTGTAGGTTCCAGACTTGGTGTACTGGTATCGCTTGCTGTGCGGTAGCAGAGAGATCAGTCTATGGCTTGGGTGGCTGGAGTCATTGACAAATTTTTTCGTCCTTCCTCTGACACTGCCTGGTATAGAGGTCGTGGATGGCAGGGAGCTTGGCCCCAGTGATGTACTGGGCCGTACTCACCACCCTCTTTAGCACCTTTCAGTCGGGTGCCTTGCAGTTGCTGTACCAAGCGGTGATGCAGCCAGTCAAGATGCTCTCAATGGTTCAGCTGTAGAACATTTTGAGGATCTGAGGGCCCATGCCAAATCTTTTCGCCCTTCAGCAAACTTGATTGTGTTTTTGTCGTGCGTGGCCATGCAGTCGTGGGTGAACAGGGAGTTTGTGTCCCGCTCTTTGAAAGCGGCAGCTCTAGCCTTAAGCACAGTGTGGATGTTGCCTGTAATCCATGGCTTCTGGTTGTGGTATGTACGTACGGTCACTGTAGAGACGACGTCGTGGATGCACTTACTAATGAAGCCGGTGACTGATGTGGTAAACTCCTCAAAGTTATCAGATGAATCCCGGAACATTTTCCAGTCTGTGCTAGCGAAACAGTCCTGTAGCTTAGCATCCGCTTCATCGGACCACTTCCATATTGAGCGCGTCACTGGTACTTCCTATTTGAGTTTTTGCTTTTAAGGTGATAGGAGTGGAACCCGGTGTGGTCGTCTGCTGCAATAGTCCATTCGTGACAAGGACCGATGAGTTGTGTGTTCCGAGATGCCGTTCTGCACACCACTGTTGTACTGCACTGTTATTTGCCTGTTTGTGGCCCGCCTGTTAGCTTGCATGATTCTTGCCATTCTCCCTCGACCTCTCATCAACAAACTGTTTTCGCCCACAGGACTGCCGCAGTCTTTTTTGGTTTGTCACACCATTCTCTGTAAACCCTAGACACTGTCGTGCGTGAAAAGCCCAGGTGGTCGGCCGTTTCTGAGATACTGGAATCGGCGCGCCTGGCACCGACTATTATACCACGCTCAAAGTCGCTTAGGTCCCTCGTTTTGCCCATTCTTCTAACGTTCAATTCAAACGTAACTGAATGCCTTGATGCCTGTCTGCCTGCTTTATATAGCAAGCCATGTGACTCACTGTCTGTAGGAGCGAACCATTTTCGTGAACGGGATGGTGTACCTAAGAAACTGGCCGCTGAGTGTAAATATAGTTTTTTAAACATTGAAAGTATTACTCTGGCAAGGTCAAATTCTGTCATTCTGTTAGTCCCATTGCTTTATTAAGTAGCCCTAGTATCCATGACTGTTGCTCCTAGTGGGTTTTAAGAGGTGTTTCTGTGCACTGAAGAGAAGAGAGCTCCCTGGCACACTTACAGCAGAGACAAACCAGACGTAAACACTAGATTACTACTGCTGTATTAGCCTGATATTATGTAGCATAGCAGGGGAAAGCTGAGACTATATCTTCACAGCATTAGGTTTAGTCTACTATCAGAGATTGTCTTAAGAGGTTTTTTAGGCTATATGAAAATGAAGTTATGCTACTTCTTCCTATTGTTTGTATTTAGTTTTGCTTAATGATATATAATAATGTGAGTCATCATTAGTCTTGCTGTGGTTGTTTATTATTGAAGTGAGCTTCATTCATTTGATGTCAATCTGCCTTTGTTTTCTTAGGATGTAGGCTAATAAGAGGTGATTGCAAACTTTTGCAGACATAGCCTAGTAGCCTAGAGTGAAGCACTCTGGAGTAGGGAGTCAGACAAAGGAATAGGCTGCTTTTATTTGAGAATGAGAGAAGTAAGGAGTGGGTATTCTTGTTATCCTGGGGCTGATTTATTTCTAAGGCAGTGAGTGCAGCTCTAGAAGATTATTGTACTCACTGTATGCAGCCTTGAGCCTATAGTAGCATTAGTGGATGGATCCCAAATGACACCCTTTTCCCTCACATAGTGCACTTATTTTGACCAGTTCATAGATCTTTGATCGATAGATCCCCAGTCCTTAACGATTACAAGCATACCCATAACATAATGCAGCCACCACTGTGCTTGAAAATATGGGTTGTGGTACTCAATAATGTGTTGTATTGGATTTGCCCCAAACATATCACTTTGTATTTAGGACAAAAAATTAATTGCTTTGCCACATTCTTTACAGTATTACTTTAGTGCCTTGTTGCAAACAGTATGTTTTCGAATATTTGTATTCTGTACAGGCAAGTGTTGCACGATATATCGGTACCACGGTAATATTAAGGTACCAAAACATCATGATACTTATGATAACATTTTAGAATACAATAGTACAGTTTCAGATGATACTACCAAATGTTTCGTCCCTACCGATCTAAAGAACCCTCTGACGCCTGTTTATAAAATTCAGTTAAATTAGTTAAGCAACAGCAGCTAGTCTCTTGTATGCGCTGGTCCAATAATGTCCACTTTACTTTCATGCGCATAGCACGTGTGGCACCAGTAATCAGCCAGCCGCATCCCCTTCCAGACGTCACTCACTTCTATCCGTCCACGCTTCCTGCTCCCCTATTAATCCATCAGTTTTTAAAATATAATTTAGCCGTGATAGCGAGCGGGGATGCAGACCCTGATCAGTCTTCTGTTGTTACATTTGTACTTTTGGTACATTGGAGCAGCGCACAGAGTGAGCAAAGTTGATACATTGACCTGATATAACCAAGAGCACAGGCCAGGCTGAGAAGGCTTTGGAAGTTCGCTGTCACGCAGCAGTGCCAGAGAGAGAGAAAAAACAGCTTCGCGACAGGCATGCGTACTTTATAGCAAAGAAAACGGCTTGTCTCCAGCTCAAATGGTTAAGAAAATATGACCCATACAACCGGAGCGACCTTATTTTCTTCCTGTGCGATTTCATGCGCATTTGATATAATTTCACAAACCATGTCGCGGGCCGTTTTAAACTAATACCGGGCGGCTAATTATTGGTTTGATAACAAACAACGTCGTTCAGTCATGTCACCTAGCTAGCTAACAACCTGGTAACTGGACAGTAGGTCTAGGAAAATTTGATTGGCACTGGAAGAAAGGAAAAGGGTCTGCTACTAATGAGATGTGCTTCAAAGGTAGGATTCATATAGGCCTAATGTAAGCCTAAACTCTATCAAACAATATCTCTTTCAGGTACTCCTAACATACTGTTTGGTGCCTAACGTTTTTAAAGTTGGGAACAGTGTGTGTATGTTTGTGGGATAGAGTGGTACTGTTATGTGTGCTTATGTGAGAGGGGGAGACAGAGAGAGTGTGTGAAGGAGGGTGTGTGTGTTACAACTGAAGAGTAATGAAGGTTTCATGCAGTGTTTTCCCCATACTGCCATGCAAATCATTATGCATGTAACTGAGTGTACAAAACATTAGGAACACCTGCTTTCATTTGGCAACATACCACACATTTGGCCTGTAGTTTATGTGTGTTAATTATTTAACAACATGGTGTAATGTCATGTGTGTGCCCATTTTATTGTAAAAATATAATAAGCTCTGCATTATTTATTTTTTAGGTGACATTGGAGAAGGTGCTGGGGATCACAGCATTTGGGAACCGTGCTTTGGCCTGCGACCCTCGCTCTGGACTAGTGGCCTACCCAGCTGGGTGAGTGACCCGGCGAACACCCGTTACACACCCAACAACTGCACCTAATTTGTGGAGAAATCCACAGAAATATGTGACAATGAATGAGTAGTAGTACAGTAAATAGGTTTACTGTGTATGCCTAGTCCTGCACCTTGTTTAACTTCCCACATCTTGTCATTCTGCTACTTGTTTATTCAACTTCAATGCAATGTTTGCTTGTTTCTCTTTTGATTCATTCCATGTCAGTTCAGCAAGCCATGACACCCACCATATCAGATAGTTTTGAAATTGTTTCTGTAGTTAGAAACATAAGATTGGCATTCCTGAAACATTATTTTCTTAAACTTACATTTTATCTCTGAGAAATTAAGCTAATATTAATTGCATCGATTGCATTTTAATTTATAGGATTCAGTAAATATAGTACCCAACATCCGATTTGGACCAAACATCTTCCTACAAATGAGTAAGAAATTATGAATCGCAAAATAAATTCTGAAGCCACCCCATGCCAACCCCACCCCAACAACCAGTATACAGTATCAGTTCTCTGTTTGACAATTAGTATGAAGCTGCGGCTTGCAGTATAGCTTCTCCATACTATGTAATGTATTCCCTGTGAATCTGGTGTTTTTTTTCTTCCTGTTAAAATAAATTAGTCATTGAAGTCACTTGCATTATTTACCATCAAGTAGTGTGAAAGTACCAGGTTTTGACCACTAGATTCCGCTGTTCCTGCTATACCGCCACACTCTTTTATACATTTAGCTGGTTTCTTGTGTTTATTAAATAGATCACAACATTTCCTTTGCAACTTTGTAGAAAACCAGTAGATTTGGCTCATGATGAAAATTAATTTGGGGGGTCATCCTCACAATTCAAGCCAGTCCATGAAAATAAACCAGTTTGTCCTTCTTTATGCTTAATCAGGGTCCAGGAAACGGACCCTTTGTGTGTGGTTTATTCCCTTCAAAGAAAGGTCTGGATTAGTTACTCAGGGTTTTTTTCTGCATATAAAAGTATTGGGCAGGCCGCCTAAGTGTTTTTTTTCAGGCTGTCTATGTCCAAACAGTAAAAAATTAATATACACTGAACATAAATATAAAAGCAAGATGTAAAGTGTTGGTCCCATGTTTCATGAGCTGAAATAAATGATCCCAGAAATTATCCATGTGCACAAAAGCTTATTTATCTCAAATTTGGTGCACAGATTTGTTTACGTCCCTGTTAGTGAGCATTTCTCCTTTGCCAAGATAAGACATCCACCTGACAGGTGTGGCATATCAAGAAGTTGATTAATCAGCTTGATCATTAAGCAGGTGCACCTTGTGCTCGGGACAATAAAAGGCCACTCTAAACTGTGCAGTTGTGTTACACAACACAATGCCACAGATGTCGCAAGTTTTGAGGGAGCGTGCAATTGGCATGCTGACTGCAGGAATGTCTACCAGAGCAGTTGCCAGACAATTTAATTTTCATTTCTCTACCATAAACTGCCTCCAACGCCATTTTAAAGAATTTGGCAGTAAGTCCAACCAGCCTCAACCACAGACCACGTGCATGGCGTCATGTGGGCGAGCGGTTTGCTGATGTCAACATTGTGAACAGAGTGCCCCATGGTGGCAGTGGGGTTATGGTATGGGCAGGCATAACCTACGGACAATGAACACAATTGCATTTTATCGATGGCAATTTGAATGCGCAGAGATACCGTGACGAGATCCTGAGGCCCATTGTCGTGCCATTCATCCTCCGCCATCACCTCATGTTTGAGCATGAAAATATAAACAATTCCTGAAAGCTGAAAATGTCCCAGTTCTTTCATGGCCTGCATACTTACCAGACATGTCACCCATTGAGCATGTTTGGGATGCTCTGGATCAACGTGTACAACAGCGTGTTCCAGTTCCCGGCAATATCCAGCAACTTCGCACAGCCATTGAAGAGGAGTGGGACAACATTCCACAGGCCACAATCGCATAGAGTTGATCAGGCTGTTGAAGGAGATGTGTCGTGCCGCATGAGGCAAATGGTGGTCACACCAAACACTGACTGATTTTCTGATCCACGCCCCTACCTTTTTTTTAAAGGGATCTGTGACCAACAGTTGATAATCTGTATTCCCAGTCATGTGAAATCAATAGATTAGGGCCTAATTAATTTATTTCAATTGACTGATTTTCTTACAGAACTGTAACTCAGTAAAGTCTTTGAAATAGTTGCACATTGCGTTTATATTTCAATTCAGTGTACTGTGTGTGTGTGTGTGTATATATATGCATACATACATACATACGTACATACAGTGCCTTGCAAAAGTATTCATCCCCCTTGGTGTTTTTACTATTTTGTTGCATTGCAACCTGTAATTTAAATTGATTTTTATTTGGATTTCATGTAATGGACATACACAAAATAGTCCAAATTGGTGAAGTGTAATGAAAAAAATTCAATAACGGAAAAGTGGTGCGTGCATATTTATTCACCCCCTTTGCTATGAAGCCCCTAAATATGATCTGGTGCAACCAATTACCTTCAGAAGTCACACAATTAGTTAAATAAAGTCCACCTGTGTGCCACATGATCTCAGTATATATATATATATATACACCTGTTCTGAAAGGCCCCAGAGTCTGCAACACCACTAAGCAAGTGGCACCACCAAGCAAGCGACACCATGAAGACCAAGGAGCTCTCCAAACAGGTCAGGGACAAAGTTGTGGAAAATAAAAAATATCAGAAACTTTGAACATCCCACGGAGAACCATTAAATCCATTATTTAAAAAATGGAAAGAATATGGCACCACAACAAACCTGCCAAGAGAGGGCCGCCCACCAAAACTCACGGACCAGGCAAGGAGGGCATTAATCAGAGGCAAAAAAGAGACAGAAGATAACCCTGAAGGAGCTAAAAAGCTCCACAGTGGATATTAGAGTATCTGTCCATAGGACCACTAAGTCCATAGGACCACTATCTGTACACTCCACAGAGCTGGGCTTTACAGAAGAGTGGCCAGAAAAAAGCCATTGCTTAAAGAAAAAAATAAGCAAACACGTTTGGTGTTCGTCAAAAGACATGTGGGAGACTCCCCAAACATATGGAAGAAGGTATTCCGGTCAGATGAGACTAAAATTGAGCTTTTTGGCCATCAAGGAAAACGCTATGTCTGGCGCAAACCCAACACCTCTCATCACCCCGAGAACACCATCCCCACAGTGAAGCATGGTGGTGGCAGCATCATGCTGTGGGGAAGTTTTTCATCGTCAGGGACTGGGAAACTGGACATAATTGAAGGAATGATGGATGGCGCTAAATACAGGGAAATTCTTGAGGGAAACCTGTTTCAGTCTTCCAGAGAGACTGGGACGGAGGTTCACCTTCCAGCAGGACAATGACCCTAAGCATACTGCTAAAGCAATACTCGAGTGGTTTAAGGGGAAACATTTAAATGTCTTGGAATTTCCTAGTGAAAGCCCAGACCTCAATCAATTGAGAATATGTGGTATGACTTAAAGATTGCTGTACAACAGCGGAACCCATCCAACTTGAAGGAGCTGGGGCAGTTTTGCCTTGAGGAATGGACAAAAATCCCAGTGGCTAGATGTGCCAAGCTTATAGATACATACCCCAAGAGACTTGCAGCTGTAAATGCTGCAAAAGGTGGCTCTACAAAGTATTTACTTTGGGGGGGGGGGAATATATATTTTGCATCTTCAAAGTGGTAGGCATGTTGTGTAAATCAAATGATACAAACCCCCAAAAAATCAATTTTAATTCCAGTTTAAAAGGCAACAAAACAGGAAAAATGACAAAGGAATGAATACTTTCGCAAGCCAATGTAAGTACGTACGTACGTACACAGTGCATTCAGAAAATATTCAGACCCCTTGACTTAAAAAAACCCAAAAGTTATGTTACAGCCTTATTTTTAAATGGATTAAATAGTTTTTTCCCCCTCATCAGTCTACACACAATAAATCTTACATTTACGTCATTTAGCAGACACTCTTATCCAGAGCGACTTACAGTTAGTGAGTGCATACATTTTTATTTTTTATACTGGAACCGAACCCACAACCCTGGCGTTGCAAATGCCATGCTCTACCAACTGAGCTACATCCCTGCCGGCCATTCCCTCCCCTACCCTGGACGACGCTGGGCCAATTGTGCGCCGCCCCATGGGTCTCCCGGTCGCGGCCGGCTACGACAGAGCCTGGATTCGAACAAGGATCTCTAGTGGCACAGCTAGTGCTGCGATGCAGTGCCTTAGACCACTGCGCCACTCGGGAGTCTTCTTAGGTATGACGCTACAAGCTTGGCACACCTGTATTTGAGGAGTTTCTCCCTTTCTTCTCTGCAGATCATCTCAAGCTCTGTCAGGTTGGATTGGGAGCGTCGCTGCACAGCTATTTTCAGGTCTCTCCAGAGATGTTAGATCGGGTTCAAGTCCGGGCTCTGGCTGGGCCACTCAAGGACATTCAGAGACTTGTCCCAAAGCCACTCCTGTGTGTCTTGGCTGTGTGCTTAGGGTCGTTGTCCTGTTGGAAGGTGAAACTTCATCCATGTCTGTGGTCCTGTCTGAGGTCTTTGCCTCGATCCTGACAAGACTCCCAGTCCCTGCCTTTGAAAACATCCCCACACATGATGGTGTCACCACCATGCTTCACCGTAGCTATGGTGCCAGCTTTCCTCCAGACATGACGCTTGGCATTCAGGCAAAATAGTTGAATCTTGGTTTCATCAGACCAGATAATCTTGTTTCTCATTGTCTGGGAGTCTTTAGGTGCCTTTTGGCAAACTCCAAGCGGGCTGTCATGTGCCTTTTACTGAGGAGTGGCTTCTGTCTGGCCACTCTACCATAAAGGCCTGATTGGGGGACTGCTGCAGATATGGTTGTCCTTCTGGAAGGTTCTCCCATCACCACAGAGCAACTCTGAAGCTCTGAGTGATTATCTGGTTTTTGGTCACCTCCCTGACCAAGGCCCTTCTCTCCCGACTGCTCAGTTTGGCCGGAAGGCCAGGTCTAGGAAGAGTATTGGTGGTTCCAAACTTCTTCCAATTAAGAATGATGGAGGCCACTTTGTTCTTGGGGACCTTCAATGCTGCAGAAATGTTTAGGTACCCTTCCCCAGATCTGTGCTTCGACACAATCCTGTCTTGGACCTGTACGGACAATTCCTTCGACCTCATGGCTTGGTTTTTGCTCTGACATGCACTGTCAACTGTGGGACCTTATATAGACAGGTGTGTGCCTTTCCAAATCATGTCCAATCAATTGAATTTACCACAGGTGGACTCCAATCAAGTTGTAGAAACATCTTAAGGATGATTAATGGAAACAGGATGCACCTGAGCTCAATTTCGAGTCTCATAGCAAAGGGTCTGAATATTTATGTAACTAAGGTATAAAAAAAAGTATATATTATAAATGTGCAAACATTTCTAAAAACCTGTTTCCGCTTTGTCGTTGTGGGATATTGTGTGTAGAGTTATGAAATATTTGGATTTATTTAATCCATTTTAGAATAAAGCTGTAACGTAACAAAATGTGGAAAAAGTCATGGGGTCTGAATACCGACTCCCGAATGCACTGTATGTATGTATGTATGTATGTATGTATGTACAGTGGGGAAAAAAAGTATTTAGTCAGCCACCAATTGTGCAAGTTCTCCCACTTAAAAAGATGAGAGAGGCCTGTAATTTTCATCATAGGTACACGTCAACTATGACAGACAAATTGAGGAAAGAAAATCCTGAAAATCACATTGTAGGATTTTTTATTAATTTATTTCTAATTTATGGTGGAAAATAAGTATTTGGTCACCTACAAACAAGCAAGATTTCTGGCTCTCACAGACCTGTAACTTCTTCTTTAAGAGGCTCCTCTGTCCTCCACTCATTACCTGTATTAATGGCACCTGTTTGAACTTGTTATCAGTATAAAAGACACCTGTCCACAACCTCAAACAGTCACACTCCAAACTCCACTATGGCCAAGACCAAAGAGCTGTCAAAGGACACCAGAAACAAAATTGTAGACCTGCACCAGGCTGGGAAGACTGAATCTGCAATAGGTAAGCAGCTTGGTTTGAAGAAATCAACTGTGGGAGCAATTATTAGGAAATGGAAGACATACAAGACCACTGATAATCTCCCTCGATCTGGGGCTCCACGCAAGATCTCACCCCGTCGGGTCAAAATGATCACAAGAACGGTGAGCAAAAATCCCAGAACCACACGGGGGGACCTAGTGAATGACCTGTAGAGAGCTGGGACCAAAGTAACAAAGCCTACCATCAGTAACACACTACGCCGCCAGGGACTCAAATCCTGCAGTGCCAGACGTGTCCCCCTGCTTAAGCCAGTACATGTCCAGGCCCGTCTGAAGTTTGCTAGAGTGCATTTGGATGATCCAGAAGAGGACCAGGAGAATGTCATATGGTCAGATGAAACCAAAATAGAACTTTTTGGTAAAAACTCAACTCGTCGTGTTTGGAGGACAAAGAATGCTGAGTTGCATCCAAAGAACACCATACCTACTGTGAAGCATGGGGGTGGAAACATCATGCTTTGGGGCTGTTTTTCTGCAAAGGGACCAGGACGACTGATCCGTGTAAAGGAAAGAATGAATGGGGCCATGTTTCGTGAGATTTTGAGTGAAAACCTCCTTCCATCAGCAAGGGCATTGAAGATGAAACGTGGCTGGGTCTTTCAGCATGACAATGATCCCAAACACACCGCCCGGGCAACGAAGGAGTGGCTTCATAAGAAGCATTTCAAGGTCCTGGAGTGGCCTAGCCAGTCTCCAGATCTCAACCCCATAGAAAATCTTTGGAGGGAGTTGAAAGTCCATGTTGCCCAGCGACAGCCCCAAAACATCACTGCTCTAGAGGAGATCTGCATGGAGGAATGGGCCAAAATACCAGCAACAGTGTGTGAAAACCTTGTGAAGACTTACAGAAAACGTTTGACCTGTGTCATTGCCAACAAAGGGTATATAACAAAGTATTGAGAAACTTTTGTTATTGACCAAATACTTATTTTCCACCATAATTTGCAAATAAATTCATAAAAAATCCTACAATGTGATTTTCTGGATTTTTTTTTCTCATTTTGCCTGTCATAGTTGACGTGAACCTATGATGAAAATTACAGGCCTCTCTCATCTTTTTAAGTGGGAGAACTTGCACAATTGGTGGCTGACTAAATACTTTTTTCCCCCACTGTATGTATGTATACTCATTCAAGGGTTTTTCTTTATTTTTACTATTTTTTACATTGTAGAAATGACACGTAATCATGTAGTAACCAAAAAAGTGTTGAACAAATCAAAATATATGTTATATTTGAGATTCTTCAAATAGCCACCGTTTGCCTTGATGACAGCTTTGCACACTGTTGGCATTCTCTCAACCAGCTTCATGAGGTAGTCACCTGGAATGCATTTCAAATAACAGGTGTGCCTTGTTAAATTGTGGAATTTATTTCCTTCTTAATGCATTTGAGCCAATCAGTTGTGTTGTGTCAAGGTAGGGTGAGGAAGGAATCAGCCCAGAACTACAGAACGGTGAGGAATCAGCCCAGAACTACACAGGAGGATCTTGTTAATGATCACAAGGCATCTGGGACCATAGTCACCAAGAAAACAATTGGTAACACACTACGCCGTGAAGGACTGAAATCCTGCAGCGCCAGCAAGGTCCCCCTGCTCAAGAAAGCACATATACAGGGCCGTCTGAAGTTTGCCAATGAACATCTGAATGATTCAGAGGAGAACTGGGTGAAAGTGTTGTGGTCAGATGAGAGACAAATCGATCTCTTTGGCATCAACTCAACTCGCCGTGCTTGGAGGAGGAGGAGGAATGCTGCCTATGACCCCAAGAACACCATCCCCCCCGTCAAACATGGAGGTGGAAACATTATGCTTTGGGGGTGATTTTCTGCTAAGAGAACAGGACAACTTCACCGCATCAAAGGGGATGATGGACGGGGCCATGTACCGTCAAATCTTGGGTGAGAACCTCCTTCCCTCAGCCAGGGCATTGAAAATGGGTCGTGGATGGGTATTCCAGCATGACAATGACCCAAAACACATGGCCAAGTCAACAAAGGAGTGGCTCAAGAAGAAGCACATTAAGGTCCTGGAGTGGCCTAGCCAGTCTCCAGACCTTAATCCCATAGAAAATTTGTGGAGGGTAGCTGAAGGTTAGAGTTGCCTAACATCAGCCTTGAAACCTTAATGACTTGGAGAAGATCTGCGAAGAGGAGTGGGACAAAATCCCTCCTGAGATGTGTGCAAACCTGGTGGCCAACTACAATAAACTTCTGACCTCTGTGATTGCCAACAAGGGTTTTGCCACCAAGTACTAAGTCATGTTTTGCAGAGGGGTCAAAATGCAAATCAATTTATAAAATTTTTGACATGCGTTTTTCTGGATTTTTGTTGTTGTCATTCTGTCTCTCACTGTTCAAATATACCTACCATTAAAATTATAGACTGATCATGTCTTTGTTAGTGGGCAAACATACAAAATCAGCAGGGGATCAAATACTTTTTTTCCCTCACTGTAGCGGTTTGTCAGGACCTTCATGAAATGGGTTTCCATGGCCAAACCTCCGCACACAAGCCTAAGATCTGCACAGACCTGCACAGATGTATGCACTCACTAACTGTGTCTCTCTGGATAAGAGCATCTGCTAAATGACTAAAATGAAAATGTGTGTGTGTGTGTGTGTGTGTGTGTGTGTGTGTGTGTGTAAAATAATTATTTTCAGGATGGATAAACTTTTCAGTGTAAACCTAAATAACTGAAACCAGATATAAAATATGTAGAAAATATAATGGCTATATAATTTTTAAATAAGATCATCTTTGAGAACTACAAATCACTAAAATTAAAGCTAGACAGTCATGGCATGGTGCCCCCATTGATTTTGTTATAATGTTTGAGTCACTCAGATGGTGTAAGCCATGGCAAAATGTGTAGAATTGCAGGAAATTAGCTAACAAAAAAAATTCTCTGCCACATGTCAATGTGTAGAATTGCAAGAAATGAGCTTTAAAACAGCTACATTTTGTCACTGGCCGACATGAGGGCTTCTAAACTGTTCAGTTGGTGATGGCATCATTGGCCATGCCCCCGCCACGCCCACCACATAAGCCCCATTTTGAGTTACTGTTAGACCATTCCTGGTGAACAAGCAAACTATTAGGCCACAGTAGTTCTAATGGTTTCAATGTTATGGTCTTCAATGGTAAAAGTCCCAAACACACACTGTATAGTATTTTGCAATTGGTGTTGTTGGGTTTAATGGTACATGTCACTAATCACAATACATATAGAGCTGTTTCCTGATAATGTTATTGAAAAACCATAAGACTGACATGCAATTCATTATTTTATTAGGGTTGTCACAACATTTTAGACCCTAGCCCATTTCTCCATCAAAGTTTTGGGCTTGTAGGATAAGTTTTCATATGAAGATCGCGTAGCGATAGCCCTCTCAGAGAGTTTGGTTGAAGCATTAGGTTGCTAAGAGAAGTCAAACTGAATTGCTTTCAAGGAGGACTGGCTTGAATTGAGGATGACCACAATTTATTTTCATAATGAGCCAAATCTATTGGTTTAGAACCCAAAGTTGCAAAGGAAATGTGGTGATCTATTTAGTGAACACAAGAGACCAGGAAAATGGATAAGAATGTGGCGTTATAGCAAGAACAGTGGCATCTAGTGGTCAAAACCTGTTACTTTCACAGGACTTTATGGTAAATAATGCAAGCGACTTTACTTACTAATTTCTCAGAACAGTGGGGAAAAACCATCACCAGATTCACAGGGAATACATTACATATGGAGAAGCTATACTTCAAGCCACAGCTTCATGCTGCTTTTCAAACAGAGAACTGATACTGTATACTGGTTGTTAGGGTGGGATTGGTGTGGGGGTCCATGGGTGGCTTTTGATTTTTTGGGGGGGGACTCCTTTAACGCAGACGCTGGGAGATGAGAAGCAAGTACAGGGTGAGGGTTTAATAATAAATAAATAAACAGAACAAAACAAGAACCGTGTCTGGACATGAGAAACATAACATCAATGCTGACTGAGGAATGAACCTGAGGGAGTGACAGATATAGGGGAGGTAATCAATGACGTGATGGAGTCCAGGTGAGTCCCATAATTAAGCGCAAGTGCTCATAACGATGGTGGCAGGTGTGTGTAATGATGAGTGAACTGGTGACCTAGAGCAGCGGAGAGGGGGAGCGGGAGTAGACGTGACAATTCCTCATGTCTTACTCATTGGTAGGAAGAAGTTTGGTCCAAATCAGATTTTGGGTACTATATTTCTTGAACATTATCTGAATCTTATAAATGAAAATGGCCAATTTGGGCGCAATCAATTAGCTTAATTTCTCAGAAATAAAAATATATTTAAACAAAATAATGTTTCAGGAATACTAAACGTATCTGTTAATAACTACAGAAACAATTTCAGAACAATCTGAGAAGGTGGATGTCGAAATCCACTTTTTTGTGCTTTTTCAGGTGGAACGACCATTTTGCCATTGCTTGAATGAAAAGTCCTTGTAGAAAAATGTGAAGCATATGAGTGGAGCCCATGTGTGATCTGTCCAGTACAGAACTGGCTAGATAGACTGAGGCAGAACACCATTGAGCTTGGAATTTAATACAGTTCAGAACTCTAGACGATTTAGTGAGTTAGTGGAGTGCGAAAGGTGGAGAGATGGAGGAAAGTCATTTCTCAGCAGTGATAAGCAACTGTGTGTATTGTATTCATCAGGGGAAAGATATCTTGCGGTATATGAACACAGAAGAGCTGTGTCATGAGGAGCCGTTTTAGTCACAAAGCTCGAGACTTTCTGGGAAAGTACTCGCTACAAGGTTTGAGAGGCAGTATGCCATTCAGGGTACTGCTATACCTGAGATTTTAGCCATGGTTCAAATATTCAGTAGACCGCTTGATGCTTTCCTTCTATTACTATAGTCACACTGTAGTGTATCACTTTAATAACATGTCATGTAATTTTCCTCCAAAGGGGCTAAATCTTCAGGGATGATAGGCCCTAAATTGCATTAGCTAGACCTTTAACTCAGTTCAGTATCCCCGTCCGAGGTTTCTCTGCAATACTACAGATCTTGTAATTGTCAACTAAATTGCTGAGTAGGCCCATGTGCAGCCAACTGCCAACAACAGCGGCTATTGCTCCATATAGTGCCTCCAGCCTTGAAAGTGCTGTGTAGACTTAAGTAGATTTAGAACATTTGTTTGCCCTCTCAGAACCCTCTCCAAGGGTTCTGGTGTTGTTCATTAGGTGCAAAATCTCATGAAATACAGAAATATTTCATTTACATAAGTATTCACACCCTTGAATCGATTCATGTTAGAATCACCTTTGGCAGCGATTACAGCCTCAAATCCTTCTGGGTAAGTCTCTAAGGCTATGTGCACCTGGATTGTACAATATTTGCCCATTATTATTTTCAAAATCCTTCACACGTAGTGAAATTGATTGTTGACCATTGCTAGACAACCATTTTTCAAGTCTAGCTATAGATTTTCAAAAATATTTAATCAAAACTGTAACTTTCTACTCAGGAACATTCACTGTCTTCTTGGTAAGCAACTCCAGTGTAGATTTGGCCTTGTGTTTTAGGTTGTTGTCCTGCTGATCTCCCAGACTGGTGGAAAGCACACAGAACCAAGTTTTCCTCTAGGATTTTGCCTGGGCTTAGCTCCATTTTGTTTGTTTTTTTAATCCTGAAAAACTCCTCAGTCCTTAACGATTACAAGCATACCCATAACATGATGCAGCCACCACTATGCTTGAAAATATGGAGAGTAGTACTCAGTAATGTGTTGTATTAGATTTACCTCAAACATAACAGTTTTTATTCAGGACAAAAATGTAAAAAAAATTTTTTGCAGTATTACTTTAGTGTCTTGTTGCAAACAGGATGCATGTTTTGGAATATTTGTATTCTGTACAAGCTTCCTTATTTTCACTCTGTCAATTAGGTTAGTATTGTGGAGTAACTACAATGTTGTTGATCCATCTTCAGTTTTCTCCTATTACAGCCGCTAAACTCTGTAACTATTTTAAAGTCACTATTGATCTCATAGTGAAATCCCTGAGCGGTTTCCTTCCTCTCCGGCAACTGAGTTAGGAAGAACGCCTGTCTTTGTAGTGACTGGGTGTATAGATACAGTTGAAGTCGGAAGTTTACATACACTTAGGTTGGAGTAATTTAAAACTTGTTTTTCAACCACTCCACAAATGTCTTGTTAACAAACTATAGTTTTGGCAAGTCGGTTAGGACATTTACTTTGTGCATGACACAAGTAATTTTTCTAACAGTTGTTTACAGACAGATTATTTCACTTATAAGTCACTGTATCACAATTCCAGTGGGTCAGAAGTTTACATACACTAAGTTGACTGTGTCTTTAAACAGCTTGGAAAATTCCAGAAAATGATGTCATGGCTTTAGAAGTGTCTGATAGGCTAATTGACATCATTTGAGTCAATTGGAGGTGTACCTGTGGATGTATTTCAAGGCCTACCTTCAAACTCAATGCCTCTTTGATTGACATCATGGGAAAATCAAAATAAATCAGGCAAGGCCTCAGAAAAAAAAGTGTATACCTCCACAAGTCTGGTTCATCCTTGGGAGCAATTTACAAACGCCTGAAGGTACCACGTTCATCTGTACAAACAAAAGTATGCAAGTATATACCCCATGGGACCACGCAGCCGTCATACTGCTCAGGAAGGAGACGCGTTCTGTCTCCTAGAGATGAACATACTTTGGTGCGAAAAGTGCAAATCAATCCCAGAACAACAGCAAAGGACCTTGTGAAGGTGCTGGAGGAAACGGGTACAAAAGTATATACATCCACAGTAAAACGAGTTCTATATCGACATAACCTGAAAGGCCGCTCAGCAAGGAAGAAGCCACTGCTCCAAAACCGCCATAAAAAAGCCAGGCTACAGTTTGCAACTGCACATGGGGACAAAGATTGTACTTTTTGGAGAAATGTCCTCTGGTCTGATGAAACAAAAATAAAAAACTGTTTGGCCATAATGACCATCGTTATGTTTGGAGGAAAAAGGGGGTCGCTTGCAAGCCGACGAACACCATCCCAAACGTGTAGCACGGGGGTGGCAGCATCATGCTGTGGGGGTGCTTTGCTGCAGGAGGGACTGGTGCACAAAATAGATGGCGTCGTGAGGAAGGAAAATTATGTGGATATATTGAAGCAACATCTCAAAACATCAGTCAGGAAGTTAAAGCTTGGTCGCAAATGGGTCTTCCAAATGGACAATGACCCCAAGCATATTTCCAAAGTTGTGCCAAAATGCTTAAGGACAACAAAATCAAGGTATTGGAGTGGCCATCACAAAGCCCTGACCTCAATCCTATAGAAAATGTGTGGGCAGAACTGAAAAAGCGTGTGCGAGCAAGGAGGCCTACAAACCTGACTCAGTTACACCAGCTCTGTCAGGAGGAATGGGCCAAAATTCACCCAACATATTGTGGGAAGCTTGTGGAAGGCTACCCGACATGTTTGACCCAAGTTAAATAATTTAAAGGCAATGCTTTCAAATACTAATTGAGTGTATGTAAACTTCTGACCCACTGGGAATGTGATGAAAGAAATAAAAGCTTAAATAAATCATTCTTTACTATTATTCTGACATTTCACATTCTTAAAATAAAGTGGTGGTCCTAACTAACCTAAGACAGGGAATTTTTACTAGGATTAAATGTCAGGAATTGTGAAAAACTGAGTAAAAATGTATTTGGCTAAGGTGTATGTAAACTTCTGACTTCAACTGTACACCATCCAAAGTGTAATTAATAACTTCACCATGCTCAAAGGGATATTCAATGTCAGATTCTAACAATAGGTGCCCTTCTTTGCGAGGCATTGGAAATGTTAAACACTATTTATTGCACACAGTCCATGCAACTTATTATGTGACCTGGTAAGCACATTTTTACTCCTGAACTTATTTAGGCGTGCCATAACAAAGGGGTTGAATACTTATTGACTCAAGACATTTCAGCTTTTCATTTTTAATTAATCTGTAAAAAAAAATAAAAAAAATAAAAGATCATTCCACTTTGACATTATGGGATATAATTGTGTGTACAGTCATGGTCAACATTTTTGAGAATGACACATACTAATTTTCACAAAGTCTGCTGCCTCAGTTTTGATTATGGCAATTTGCATATACTCCAGAATGTCATGAAGAGTGATCAGATGAATTGCAATTAATTGCAAAGTCCCGCTTTGCCATGAAAATGAACTTAATCTCAAAAAAACATTTCCACTGCATTTCAGCCCTGCCACAAAAGGACCAGCTGCCATCATGTCAGTGATTCTCTCGTTAACACAGGTGAGTGTTGACGAGGACAAGGCTGGAGATCACTATGTCATGCTGATTGAGTTAGAATAACAGACTGGAAGCTTTAAAAGGAGGGTGGTGCTTGAAATCATTGTTCTTCCTCTGTTAACCATGGTTACCTGCAAGGAAACACGTGCCGTCATCATTGCTTTGCACAAAAAGGGCTTCACAGGCAAGGATATTGCTGCTAGTTAGATTGCACCTAAATCAACCATTTATCGGATCATCAAGAACTTCAAGGAGAGAGGTTCAATTGTTGTGAAGAAGGCGTCAGGGCGCCCAAGAAAGTCCAGCAAGCGCCAGGACCGTCTCCTAAAGTTGATTCAGCTGCGGGATCGGGGCACCAGTGCAGAGCTTGCTCAAGAATGGCAGCAGGCAGGTGTGAGTGCATCTGCATGCACAGTGAGGCGAAAACTTTTGGAGGATGTCCTGGTGTCAAGAAGGGCAGCAAAGAAGCCACTTCTCTCCAGGAAAAACATCAGGGACAGACTGATATTCTGCAAAAGGTACAGGGATTGGACTGCTGAGGACTGGGGTAAAGTCATTTTCTCTGATGAATCCCCTTTCTGATTGTTTGGGGCATCCGGAAAGCACCTTGTCCGGAGAAGACAAGGTGAGCGCTACCATCAGTCCTGTGTCATGCCAATAGTAAAGCATCCTGAGACCATTCATGTGTGGGGTTGCTTCTCAGCCAAGGGAGTGGGCTCACTCACAATTTTGTCTAAGAACACAGCCATGAATAAAGAATGGTACCAACATATCCTCCGAGAGCAGCTTCTCCCAACCATCCAAGAACAGTTTGGTGACGACCAATGCCTTTTCCAGCATGATGGAGCACCTTGCCATAAGGAAAAAGTGATAACTAAGTGGCTCGGGGAACAAAACATCTACATTTTGGGTCCATGGCCAGGAAACGCCCCAGACCTTAATCCCATTGAGAACTTGTGGTCGATCCTCAAGAGGCAGGTGGACAAACAAAAACCCACAAATTCTGACAAACTCCAAGCATTGATTATGCAAGAATGGGCTGCCATCAGTCAGGATGTGGCCCAGAAGTTAATTGACAGCATGCCAGGGCGGATTGCAGAGGTCTTGAAAAAGAAGGGTCAACACTGCAAATATTGACTCTTTGCATAAACTTAATGTAATTGTCAATAAAAGCCTTTGACACTTATGGAATGCTTGTAATTATACTTCAGTATACCATAGTAACATCTGAAAAATATCTCATAACACTGAAGCAGCGAACTTTGTGAAGACCAATACTTGTCATTCTCAAAACTTTTGACCACGACTGTAGACCAGTGACAAAAAAATCCCAATTTAATCAATTTAAAATTCTGTCTGTAACACAACAAAATGTGGAAAAAGTCAAGGGGCGTGAATACTTTGTCCATGCTATCACATCGGGACCAAAAATCTTGTTTGTTTTTTCCTAGGATTCGAAGCCCATGTCAGGACTTGCCAGTGACCTCTAAAGTCACTTGTCAGTGTAGCCTGGTGATGGGTTGTTTGCAATCAAACTTCTCTTTTTGAATGGATCTTTTAGGTGAATGTCGAGAACCGAATCGCATCAGTGACAGAGCCGTTCATTTGACTCCCTAATTTGCATACTGTAGGCTACTACTGCTTTTTGTAGATTATCTGCAGATAGATTATGAAAACATTCAATGGAAGTGTTGAATCTTCACTGCAGGAACAATAGGTAGTGGAAAGAGAGCCTCATTCTAGTACAAAATAAGATAAAAGAAAACAGATTGAAGGTTATTATATGGTATTATTAAATATATTGATAAAGGCCTACTGATTTGATTAATGGAGTAGTCAACTGCTGCCTCTGTGTAGCAAAGCCCATGTTTAACACCTGCTTCATTCTTCAATCATACCTGTAGGTCTATTCATGGACGCCTGACTTTGTGCACCCCCACTTTTATATAATCTGTCAGTCCGGGGGTCCTCCCCCTGAAACTATTTGCGTTTTTCAACCTATATTGTTTCTCAACAGGGAATCCATGTTTACTTTACTGAACACAACTTTTTTTCTTTGGTTTTTGCCACAATAAACTAAATTGAAAGAGTAGAGTAGACTAGTTTTTCTGACAAGTTTACTAATCTACCACCTTCCCTCAAAGTCCCACCCACAGTGATTGATTGACAGGTCTGAAACCCTGCCAACTCTGTGACTCACAAACATCCTGCCCCCTCCCCTGACAATCCCACCCGCTGTGATTAACAGGCCAAACTGTTAAAGGGATAGTTCACCCAAATTACAGAATTACATATTGGTTTCCTTACCCTTAGTGTCCGCAGCCACAGAGCCTATAAAATACATAAATTGAAGAACAAACATAATTGTGGCAATTCATATCTTGCAGTAAAACTGTTAATATGACTTTAATGTCAAGACAAGACGGGTTTAATGTTAAAGGTTATCTTACTTAGAAAATAGTCCTGATCATATAGGTCTAGACAATATTCAAAACAACTAACACACCGAATTCATACATTTTCAGTAATTTGAATTGTGAAGTCATGTTTTTCTACTGAATAACACAACTAATTTTACCAATCTGGGAAGTTGAGAAAAAATCTGGGAAGTAAAGTCGTTAAAGTGTTCAATAATTTAGCTGTGTATTTCGGATGCAATCAAAGCATTAGAATGTACCAGAGGCCACCAATATATAGCTTTTTTGGTTTGGCTAGCTACATGTACTTAGGGAAAACACTGCCAGTCTATTAAATTCTTGTCTTACACGCTAGGCTACACAGTGTCTTACAGTTCCAACAATACACAGATCAGTGATTATAAGTAGCCATAGCCTACTTCCTCAAAGTGTGAAGTGCCGTAGTAAGCCTGATTGATAGATTCCTTGGATTGGGGAGGAGGTGGTTAATCACAGGCATCCCAAAAATGGAATCCAGAAATCCATTTCACAATTTAGATTGTGTGAGAGGTTCTCTGCTTACTCAGCTGCTTGTACTATGGGCCCTGGTCAAAAGTAGTGCACTGTATAAGAGAGGTGCCATTTGGGAGATGCAGCAGATGTCTTCGTTGGAGGGGGTCAGGCTCAGTCCAAGCCCTAACCTACAGCTGTCACTCATGGCCCGGGTCGTATTCATCACGAACCAAATGGAAGAAAACAGACCAAAACAGGGAGCGACTACCTGAACTTGTCCAATAAGAAAACGCTCATTTATGTTGTGAAACGTTTTGCTACAGTATGCACTAATGAGTACGACCCTGGGCTGGGTCCTGTACCTGACGAGGCCTAGCTATGATACATCTGAAATGGCACCCTACTCTCTATAACATAGGCTAGTGAACTACCTTTTGACCAGACCAGACCCCACAATGGCCCAGGTCCTTCATGGAAAGATGAATTGGTTCCATTTAGCCTACTTCTCTAGAAAATGCCTATGTAATCGTTCTGAACTGAAGTGACACTGGAGCTATGTGCCTGTGCGCAGGTACACAAATTACATCTGGGCCAAAACTATTAGTTAATCAAAGATGAACTGGTCTGGTCCCAATAGATGTAAAACATTAGGCTATGTAGTAATGGCTTACAGTCTCTACCTGCTCATATTCTTCTGAGATGTTTCTATTTCTCCTATACTTGGTCTGATTGACTAGCATCCTGTCCATGGGATGTACTTGTAGCCTACATCAAGCTGCCTTACGCTACAGAAATAGGAGGTTGGCTCGGACAAGGCTTACTCTAGTCTGTCTGAATTGTTGCTGTAGTAGTAAGTAGCCTACAATCATTGTGGGGATTGTTCAATTCTACTGGCACATGATGTTATGAATCCTATGTGGTTGTATAACTGGTAGCCCCCAGGGCCGGCTGGTTTTATTTGCTGTCAGCAAGACAAGCATCAGTACAGCACAGTCATCTATGTGGGTATGGGGAAACGGGAATATCAGGATCCAAATTTGTTGAATGCTGACTGAGTGACGATGGAGGAGATTTGTTTAATTTACAATGGCTTTGTTGTACCTATGATGACTGAAGGATATCAGCATTGGCTGCAAACGTCTTAAATTACACCTTTACCTACCTCTTTATTGTTAGTACATTTATCAAATTCAATCAAATGTATTTATAAAGCCCTTTTTACATCTGGTAGAGCACGTAAGTCGCTTTGGATAAAAGTGTCTGCTAAATGGCATATTATTATTATTATTATTATTATTATTATTATTATTATTATTATTATTATTATTACTGTACAGAAACACAGCCTAAAACCCCAAACAGCAAGCAATGCAGATGTAGAAGCATGGTGGCTAGGAAAAACTCCCTAGAAAGGCAGGAACCTAGGAAGAAACCTAGAGAGGAACCAGGCTCTGAGGGGTGGCCAGTCCTCTTCTGGCTGTGCCGGGTGGAGATTATAAGAGTACATGGCCATTTAAGGCCAGATTTTGTTCTTCAAGATGTTCAAACGTTCATAGATGACCAGCAGGGTCAAATAATACAGTGGGGGAAAAAAGTATTTAGTCAGCCACCAATTGTGCAAGTTCTCCCACTTAAAAAGATGAGAGCGGCCTGTAATTTTCATCATAGGTACACGTCAACCATGACAGACAAAATGAGATTTTTTTTCCAGAAAATCACATTGTAGGATTTTTTATGTATTTATTTGCAAATTATGGTGGAAAATAAGTATTTGGTCAGTAACAAAAGTTTCTCAATACTTTGTTATATACACTTTGTTGGCAATGACACAGGTCAAACATTTTCTGTAAGTCTTCACAAGGTTTTCACACACTGTTGCTGGTATTTTGGCCCATTCCTCCATGCAGATCTCCTCTAGAGCAGTGATGTTTTGGGGCTGTCGCTGGGCAACACAGACTTTCAACTCCCTCCAAAGATTTTCTATGGGGTTGAGATCTGGAGACTGGCTAGGCCACTCCAGGACCTTGAAATGCTTCTTACGAAGCCACTCCTTCGTTGCCCGGGCGGTGTGTTTGGGATCATTGTCATGCTGAAAGACCCAGCCATGTTTAATCTTCAATGCCCTTGCTGATGGAAGGAGGTTTTCACTCAAAATCTCACGATACATGGCCCCATTCATTCTTTCCTTTACACGGATCAGTCGTCCTGGTCCCTTTGCAGAAAAACTGCCCCAAAGCATGATGTTTCCACCCCCATGCTTCACAGTAGGTATGGTGTTCTTTGGACGCAACTCAGCATTCTTTGTCCTCCAAACACGACGAGTTGAGTTTTTACCAAAAAGGTCTATTTCGGTTTCATCTGACCATATGACATTCTCCCAATCCTCTTCTGGATCATCCAAATGCACTCTAGCAAACTTCAGACGGGCCTGGACATGTACTGGCTTAAGCAGGGGGACACGTCTTGCACTGCAGGATTTGAGTCCCTGGCGGCGTAGTGTGTTACTGATGGTAGGCTTTGTTACTTTGGTCCCAGCTCTCTGCAGGTCATTCACTAGGTCCCCCCGTGTGGTTCTGGGATTTTTGCTCACCGTTCTTGTGATCATTTTGACCCCACGGGGTGAGATCTTGCGTGGAGCCCCAGATCGAGGGAGATTATCAGTGGTCTTGTATGTCTTCCATTTCCTAATAATTGCTCCCACAGTTGATTTCTTCAAACCAAGCTGCTTACCTATTGCAGATTCAGTCTTCCCAGCCTGGTGCAGGTCTACAATTTTGTTTCTGGTGTCCTTTGACAGCTCTTTGGTCTTGGCCATAGTGGAGTTTGGAGTGCGACTGTTTGAGGTTGTGGACAGGTGTCTTTTATACTGATAACAAGTTCAAACAGGTGCCATTAATACAGGTAACGAGTGGAGGTGACAGAGGGAGGCCTCTTAAATGAAGAAGGTGACCAGGCTGTGAGAGCCCGAAATTCTGCTTGTTTTGTATAATATAATATAATATATCCAAGCATTGTAGGGACCAAACTATTTTCACATATTGCAAAAATCATTAAAATCTAGCAATGTGATTTTCTGTTTTTTTTTCCATTGTCGCATAGTTGATGTGTACTATGATTACAGGCCTCTCTCATCTTTTTAAGTGGGAGAACTTGCACAATTGGTGGCAGACTAAATACTTTTTCCCACCACTGTAATAAACAGTGGTTGTAGGAGGGGTGCAACAGGATAATGTCAGTACCGACATTCACAAAGAGAGTAAATGTCAGTTGGCTTTTCATAGCCGAGCATTCAGAGGTCGAGACAGCAGGTGCCGTAAAGAGGGAGAGAGAGACTCCAGTGCATTGCCGTTCACCTTCGCACCCCTGGGCCAGACTACACTCAATCATAGGACCTACTGAAGAGATGAGTCTTCTGTAAAGACTTAAAGGTCCAGACTGAGTCTGCGGCTCTCACATGGATAGGCAGATCATTCCATAAAAATGTAGCTCTATAGGAGAAATCCCTGCCTCCAGCTGTTTGCTTGGATATTCTGGGACAATAAGGAGGCCTGCATCTTGTGACCATAGCGTACGTGTAGGTATGTACGGCAGGACCAAATCGGAGAGATAAGTAGGAGCAAGCCCATGTAGTGCTTTGTAGTTTAGCAGTAAAACCTTGAAATCAGCCCTAGCCTTAACAGGAAGCCAGTGTAGAGGCTAGCACTGGAGTAAAATGATCAAATGTTTTGGTTCTAGTCAGGACTCTAGCAGCCGTGTTTAGCACTAACTGAAGTTTATTTAGTGCTTTATCCGGGTTGCCGGAGAGTAGAGCATAGCAGTAGTCTAATCTAGAAATGACAAAAGCATGGATTAGCTTTCTGCATCATTTTTGGACAAACATTTTCTGATTTTTGCATTGTTACGATAATGCTTTCCTTTAAATATTCTTGAAATGTTCTACAAAAGAGAGATCAGGGTCCAGAGTAACGCCGAGGTCCTTCAGTTTTATTTCGGACAACTGTACAACCATCAAGATTAAACGCTCAATACCCTTTGAATATGGCCGGTGTCAGTAAACATCAGCAAAAAAGCGTAGTTAAATTGTTGCCAGCAGCACAGTTACAGTCACCAACGCTCTGGATAACATTGAAAACAGCCTAACTAGCTCTGCTAGGGCGAGTCAAATGGTAATAGTGAGGTGTTCTCTCATTTGTGTCTGGAAGTAGCTAGCAAGCAAGACAACGTTAGGCAGTTAGCTTGGGTGCTTGACTTCTGTTGATCCGAGCATTCTGACCTCACAACCCTACTCCTCGAACAGAGCGTCCAGTGTGCGCTCTGAACGCTCCGAGAGCTGAATGCTCTGAATTTACAAATGGACAATCTGACAACGCTCTGAATTTACGAATGCCCAGAGCGCACTCTGAGCGCCCTCTGGCACTCCAGATTGAATTTACGAACTCCGACGAGAGTGCTCTGAAATCGGAGTAGATAGCCAGAGTGAATTAACGAACGCGCCCGTAAAATGTTTAAGGTTAGCGGAGGGGTTAAGTTTAGCGTAGGAAGTCCCAATGATCCTGGATAGTGCAAAAATGTACGAACACACCCTGATCCGATATGTGAGATTATTGAACAGGGTAGTACTGTATGGGGTTTGAATTAATTAATGGCTCGGTCCTCTGAGGCAGCATCTCTAGTTTATTGGTTTATTCTGACCCTTTTGCCGAAGCAGCAGCTAATCTTCCTGGGATCCACACAAAAACATAAAACACGATGAGTAACAAAACACTGATAGAAAAGAACAGTCACATATTTAAAATACAACGATATACAAACAATACAACTAAAGAATGTGTGTCTGTGTTTGTGTGTCATTTCACAGTCCATATTGTGCCATGAGATGTTTTATCAATTTTTTTTAAAGGTCATTTTGCTGTTTGCTAGGGTAATGGGAGATGGAAGGGAGTTCCATGCGATCATGGCTTTGTATAATACTGTGCATTGCCTTGCCGTGAATTCGTTTTGGACTTGGGGACTGTGAAGAGACCTCTGGCATGTCTAGTGATGTGGAATACATTTCCTCAGTGAGCATTAAATGTCCTGCTGCTGGAGAAATCTAACATGCGTGACTATATGTGTGCCACGGACCCTCGTCCTGACCACACCGCACTGCAGCAAACTGGGTCAGTAGTAGCACTGTGTGTGTGTGTGGGGGGGAGGTGCATGTGCATATGTGTGAGGAGGGAGTGAAAGAGAGAGAGAAAAAAAAGGTGTGGGGAGAGAGGGAATACTCCTTCTGCAGCCCCTTGCCATTAGACAGCTCTGCTCCGGAGAAGAGGAGTGGGCTCTGCTCTGCTTCAGTGCTGCATTGCAGCTCTCTGCTGGAGGGTCCTACTACAGCCTTTGTAACTGCAAGCTTGCAAACATCCTGCTGTATTCTCAAAAGGATGCCGTAAAGACTTGAGGCGCTGGAAGGACAAAAAAGAAATGCAGAGGAGAATGCAAAAATGTTGCTCAAATGAATGCACCGACTACTAAGAATAGCCTAAATCCTGAGGCAGTAATTATTTGGCTCCCATGAAAGACTGTTTTGATCACTTACTCTTTATCAAGACTACTGTATGTCAGTATCTTCTGTAGTCTCTCTTATTGGTTCACTTAGAATATAAAATAAAATATAAGCTGCACACTCGCATGGCTCTGATGCAATACATTTAAAAGATGCCAACGTATGGACAGCTACAGTATGCTGCCTTCAGGGTTTCATTGTTCCACAGTAGATTTAAGCAGCATAGCTGGAGCTGAGCTCAGGGAAACCCTAGATATTCCCATCATTGTTAGCCACTTACTCTGGCAGTACTGGGCAGACAGGACAGGAGACTTGCAGTAAAGACAGGATCAGCATGGGGGAGGGGTAGGGTCTGAAGTGGAGTGGACTGGCAGATCGGAGGATGGTCGCTGTCTCTCCTCTCTTGGGTTGGAAAGAAACTGATATCCCTTCCTTGTTGACACCACAGACCCTGAGGGGCTTTCTCATCTCAGAGGCTTGACCACCTGTCAGTCTGCTAAACCAACCCACCAGATGGCTGATGGGTAACTAATGATGATGATGGTGTGGCAATACTATTACTCAGCCTACCATGAATTAGCCATAGGGTATAGGCTCTTCTTTTAACTTGTTTTTCAAATGATCATTATGAACAATGGCCTCTCAAATATACCGGTAGGCCCAATGTAGACAGCATATTCTCAAGGTGTCTATGACTTAACCTGTTGGATAAGTAAATATTTGATTTATATTGCTTTGAAGTCCGAATACTTTCACAAGATTGTGCTTGCTGCCATGTTGGACAACAATGGTTTTATTGTTGTGAAAGTATGTGTAAGGAATAATCAACGATGGGCTATGCGTTCTATGGAAAATAATGAACAACGTGGAAGGTGTGTTCCGTGATGCGCTAGCGAAGTGGAACAGACCTTCCACTTAGTTGCATTATTTTCCAGAGAACGCATAGAGCCCCGAGTGGATTATCCCTTTTGTACCATGGATATCATTAACACATTTGCTGCTAGAAATGTGTTCATTTTCCGTTAGAAATGTGTTTAACATCCACTGAAGTAGCCAGCAAGTTTACTAGATAGTTACAGTAGTTGCCGTGGTAACCAAACAGACTTGCTAGTTTAGATAACCATCAGTCCTAGCTTGCCATTATGAAAATCGAATTCAGCAATACCAATAATGTTTTCATTTTGACTTTTGCTTTCAAAAGCAGCTCAAACATAGAAAATGTAAGAAATAACTATAGCCATTGAATTCTACCATGCAAATAGAGCATGGCACTTGCAACACCAGGGTTGTGGGTTCGATTCCCCCGGGGGACCAGTACGAGAAAATGTATGCACTCACTACTGTAATTCGCTCTGGATAAGAACGTCTGCTAAATTACACAAAACAAAAAATGAAGGCCTGATTCACACAGTCTCCTCTGAACAGTTGATGTTGAGATGTGTCTGTTACTTGAACTCTGTGAAGCATTTATTTGGGCTGCAATCTGAGTTGTAGTTAACTCTAATGAACTTATTCTCTGCAGCAGAGGTAACTCTGGGTCTTTCTTTCCTGTGGCGGTCCTCCATGAGAGCCAGTTTCATCATAGCGCTTGATGGTTTTTGCGACTGCAGTTGAAGAAACTTTCAAAAGTTCTTCACATTTTCCGGATTGACTGACCTTCATGTCTTAAAGTAATGATGGACTGTCGTTTCTCTTTGCGTATGAGCTGTTCTTGCCATAATATTGAATTGGTCTTTTACCAAATAGGGCTATCTTCTATAAACCCCGCCTCTCTCCGCCCCTCTCTCACAGTAGGAGACAGTTCACTGAGTGGCAAAGGACTGAGGATCTTTACTCTATTAAGCATCACACATGCTGTGTATCGGGCTGCAGTCACAGTGCCCAGTTTGATTCTTTGGAGACTCTTTAAGAGTAGACTGAGGGTAGGTCACTTTTGGCATGTCTGTAGGACCATGCCTCAGCACAGTGAAGCATGTTTGGAGACTCTTATGAAAGGGAGAATCCACTCAAAAACATATTTCTGTATTTTCATTAGTCCACTGTTGATACGGTCCCAAAATGTTTTGCGTATCAGCAGTCAAATGTTCTAGATATTGGACTTTCAAGAAAGTGTCACCGGTGACATCATCATGATGATGCAAAATGCATCGTGAATGAGGAGTTTTAGCAAGTGGAAAATATTCCCAATCCCTTGAATGATAATCGCCACACAATTCACATTTCATTCAGAAACTTTAGATCTGGCCAGTGTGCAGTCAGAGGAATGTTGTAGGAATATCTGCTTCAGTTGCACAGACCCGCCAGTGTTTTCAAAGCTGCTCTTGATGCATTTTGCATCATCATGATGATGTGGCCAGTGACACTTTGCTTCTTGAAAGTCTAATATCTTGAAAACTTGACTGCTGACATGCAAAACATTTTGGGACAATATCAACAGTGGACTAATAAAAAATAAAAAAATACATAGTTTTTGAGTGGATTTTCCCTTTAACTATGCAGTATGACAACATCTGTCCCTCTCCTTTTATGGTGTTTTATTTTTTCCCACAGAGTTCCAGTGAAAGTCCTCTGGAAGAAAAACATTTGGCATTTACAATTTTCTTACTTAAAGCTACTTGCAGACCCCCAAATACTGTCTTTGTCAGCTGCTCTGTGGTAGTTAGGGTGCTAGCTTAGCAAATAGTAATATGGTGTGGCTACTGTAGAGTTTCCCATGGTGCACCAGCTTCTTTTGTATACCTTTCTGTCTGCACAATCTCAATGACATCATAGTGCCTTTGATTGTATCCCATGTACACCTGGAGCCCTTCAATTCAAAGGCTTTCTCAGCAGCTCTGATGATCACAACAGTGCTTCGCCCTGACAAATTGTCAGTGACTGACTACACAAGTCCTCTGAGTGTCCTCTCATCTTCCCTGTTGCCATGTGATAGGATAAAAGGCCCTTGTTCTTTTTTTGTCTCATTTTAGGAGTGTTACCCCACTGGGAGATTAAACAACAAATGGAAGCACCTTTAAAAAGGCAACTTGGTTTTTGCTTTGTCATGCTGCTCAGTGCTCACGCATTCACTTACTGTCACACACAGGGACTTTGTGACCGTGTTGTACGCTACTCTGATATTTAACCGAAATTACAGCAAATAATAATAATATGCCATTTAGCAGACGCTTTTATCCAAAGCGACTTACAGTCATGCGTGCAATATCGCCAAATGAGGGATATTAAGTATTTATGTAACTTTATTTTAGTGCAGCATGGGTTATTCTTGGCTAGATGCTTGGAAAATGGGAATATCATGTTGTCTGTGTTGTTGTTGTCGTGACTCAGTCCGCACTCTCCGCTGTAGCTTTATTGATGTTCACTGTTTACCTCATTTTTATTTTTAGTTAGCACATTGCAGTATGAATTAGGAGTAAACTGCTGAGCCTTGATTGTTGTTATCATTCCCCTGAGTAGGCCTATGAACTCAGTGGTGAGGGTAGGCAACAACACCTCCGCCATGCTTATCATCAACACGGGGGCCCTCCAGGGGTGTGTGCTCGGCCCCATCCTGTACTCCCTGTTCACACATGACTGTGTGGCTACGCACGACTCCAACTCTATCATCAAGTTTGCTGACAAAACAACAGTGGTAGGCCTGATCAACAACGACGAGACAGCCTACAGGGAGGAGGTTAGTACTCTGGCAGAGTGGTGCCGAGGAAATAACCTCTCCCTCCACGTCAACAAAACAAAGGAGATGATCGTGGATTACAGGAGACAGCAGAGGGAGCACGTCCCATCCACATTGAAGGGGTAGCAGTGGAGTGGGTTAAAAGTGTCAAGTTCCTTGCCGTGCACATCACCAAGGACCTGAAATGGTCCCACCACACTGACACCGTGGTGAAGAAGGCGCAACAGCACCTCTTCAACCTCAGGAGGCTGAAGAAATTCGGCATGGCCCCTAAGACCCTCTTGAACTTCTACAGATGCACCATTGAGAGCATTCTGTCGGGCTGCATCACCGCCTGGTACGGCAACAGCACCGACCACAACCGCATGGCTCTCCAGAGGGTGGTGCGTGCGGTCAGGCCAACGTATCACCGGGGCACACTGCCTGCCCCCCAGGACATCTACAGCACCCAGTGTCATAGGAAGGCCAAGAAGATCGTCAAGGACCTCAGCCACTCGAGCCACAGCCTGTTCACCCTGCTACCAACTAGCAGACGGTGTATCAAAGCTGGGACCGAGAGACTGAGAAACAGCTTTTATCTCCAGGGCCCGGTCTTTCAAAGGTTATCTATCTGGATTTCGCCTATCGGATAGGATTACATGCATAGAAATAGAATGAATAGAAAGGACAAATCATTGACTAGTGAATGGGGACACCCGTTCTATTCATTCTATTTCTATGCATTTAAACCTATCCAATAGGCGAAATACGGATAGATCACTTTTGAAAAACTGGGCCCATCAGACTGTTGAACAGCCATCACCAGCCGGCCACCGGCCGGTACTGTCACGATCGTCTAAAGGAGCGGACCAATGCGCAGCGTTGCGAGTGAACATGATGACTTTATTAAAGAACCACGAAAAATAACAAACCAAACAAGACGAAAGTGAAGTTCTATACTGATAACGACTAACAGCAACAAAGAAACAAAAACCCACAAACACAAGGTGAAAACTGACAGTTTAAATATGGCTCCCAATCAGAGATAACGAGCCGACAGCTGACACTAGTTACCTCCGATTGGGAGTCATTGACTACAACATACAACCACCTAGAAAAACAACCCACAGACCTGCAAACATAGAAATACACCCAACAGAACTACCAACATAGAAAAACACCCAAATCCCCAACAAAACAACATACACTCTAGCTCACATACAAAAGTCCTAGAGCCAGAGTGTCACAGTACCCCCCCCTAAAGGTGCGAACTCCGGGCGCACCAGCCCACAGTCTAGGGGAGGGTCTGGGTGGGCGTCTGTCCACGGTGGCGGTTCTGCCCCTGGTCGTGGTCCCCACCCCACCTTAGTCACCAGCTTCCCTAGCCTCCTCCACATTACCCCCCCCCAACTAAACCCCACTGGGTTAAGGGGCGGCCCCGGACTAAGGGGCAGCACCGGACTAAGGGGCAGTACCGGACTAAGGAGCAGTACCGGACTAAGGGGCAGTACCAGGCTAAGGGGCAGCACCGGACTAAGGGGCAGCACCAGGATAAGGGACAGCACCAGGATAAGGGACAGCACCAGGATACGGAGCAACACCGAGCTAAGGGGCAGCACCGGACTAAATGGCGGATCCTGGCTGGCTGGCTCTGGCGGATCCTGGCTAGCTGGCGGATCCTGGCTGGACGGCTCTGGCGGATCCCGGCTGGACGGCTCTGGCGGATCCCGGCTGGACGGCTCTGGCGGATCCCGGCTGGACGGCTCTGGCGGATCCCGGCTGGACGGCTCTGGGCGGATCCCGGCTGGACGGCTCTGGCGGATCCCGGCTGGACGGCTCTGGCGGATCCCGGCTGGACGGCTCTGGCGGATCCCGGCTGGACGGCTCTGGCGGATCCTGGCTGGACGGCTCATGGCTGGCTGACGGATCTGGCTGCTCATGGCTGGCTGACGGATCTGGCTGCTCATGGCTGGCTGACGGATCTGGCTGCTCATGGCTGGCTGACGGATCTGGCTGCTCATGGCTGGCTGACGGATCTGGCTGCTCATGGCCGGCTGACGGATCTGGCTGCTCATGGCCGACTGACGGATCTGGCTGATCCTGTCTGGCGGAAGGCTCTGGCTGATCCTGTCTGGCAGCAGGCTCTGGCTGATCCTGTCTGGCAGAAGGCTCTGGCTGATCCTGTCTGGCAGAAGGCTCTGGCTGATCCTGTCTGGCAGAAGGCTCTGGCTGATCCTGTCTGGCGGAAGGCTCTAGCGGCTCCGGTCTGGCGGACGGCTCTGATGGCTCATGGCAGACGGGCGGCTTTGCAGGCTTTGGGCAGACGGGCAGTTCAGGCCCCGTTGGGCAGACGGCAGACTCTGAGCGCTCGTAGGCCTGGGGCGTGGTGCCGGGCGACCGGGGAGAGGCATACCGGCCGCTGAGGCCAACGCGCTCAGGGCTGTGAACGGAGGTACGGCTGAGGAGCAATCCAGGGTAGTGCGGGAGAGAACAGGGCATGCTGGACTGGGACGCACCGTGGCCTTATGCTTGGGTGCCGGAATGGGGAGGTACCGGGCCTGAGGACAACGCATCTCCTTGCTAGTGCGTGAAGGCAGCAACAGGGCATGCTTGCCCCTTGGTGACGCACCGTATGCCTGAATGCGTGGTGCCGGAACTGGAGGTAGCCTGGCTGAGGACACGCATCCAGGGCTAGTGCTGGGATCGGAACAGGGCATGCTGGACCCTGGGGACTCCATAAACGCCTAGTGCGGGGAGCCGGAACAGGGCATGCTGACCCTGGGGACTCACCCTCACGCCTAGTGCGGAGAGCAGGAACAGGGCCGGGCTGGGCTGGCGACGCGCACCGTATCCCTGGTGCGAGTGGCCGGAACAGGCCGGGCCGGGCTGGCGAAGCGCACCGTCTCCCTGGTGCGTGGAGTAGGAACAGGCCGGGCTGGGCTGGCGACGCGCACCGAATCCCTGGTACGAGTGGCCGGAACAGGCCGGGTCGGGCTGGCGTAGCACACCGTGGACCTGGTGCTTGGAGTAGGAACAGGCCGGTCCGTACCGGGAACACACACCACTGGCCTCAACCGAGGATCAGGAACGGGCCGGACCGGACTGGCAACACACATCAGTCCTTCACGCCGTGCCACACACACTTCCCTCCTTCTACTCGCCAATGGCTCCCGTACTCCGTTAGCCTTCTCTCCTTTTCTCCCTGTGGCAGCCTCCTGCTGCCCAGCCGCCCAAGCCATGTGCCCCCCCCCAAAAAATTTCTTGGGGTTGCCTCTCGTCCACGGGCCTCCAGCCTCGCCTTCTTGCTGCCTCCTCATACCACCTCCTCTCGGCTTTGGCTGCCTCCAGCTCTTCACGAGGGCGGTGATATTCCTCCGGTTGTGCCCAAGGACCCTTTCCAGCCCGAAATCTCCTCCCATGTCCAAAAATCCTTAGGAGGCGTCCATAACTCCTGTGTAGGTAGGTCCTGTTGCCGCTTGTTACGCTGCTTGGTCCTTTTATGGTGGGTTTTTCTGTCACGATCGTCTAAAGGAGCGGACCAATGCGCAGCGTTGCGAGTGAACATGATGACTTTATTAAAGAACCACGAAAAATAACAAACCAAACAAGACGAAAGTGAAGTTCTATACTGATAACGACTAACAGCAACAAAGAAACAAAAACCCACAAACACAAGGTGAAAACTGACAGTTTAAATATGGCTCCCAATCAGAGATAACGAGCCGACAGCTGACACTAGTTACCTCCGATTGGGAGTCATTGACTACAACATACAACCACCTAGAAAAACAACCCACAGACCTGCAAACATAGAAATACACCCAACAGAACTACCAACATAGAAAAACACCCAAATCCCCAACAAAACAACATACACTCTAGCTCACATACAAAAGTCCTAGAGCCAGAGTGTCACAGGTACTCTCCCCGGCACCTTAGATACTGTCACTAGCCAGCTACCGCCCGGTACTCTGCGCTGCATTCCGTACTGACGTTGCTCATTCCGATATTTCTGATATTCTTTTACTTTTAGAATTGTGTGTGTATTGTTATTATATTGCTAGATATTACTGCACTGTTGGAGCGAGAATCCTAAGCATTTCGCTGCACCTGCGATAACATCTCCAAATCTGTGTACACAACCAATACACTTTGATTTATATGGTAGTCTAACCTCTATTCTCCTCTCCCCTGCTTCTTCCCTACAGATGTGTGGTGGTGCTGCTGAACCCCAAGAAGAACAAACAGCATCACATCCTCAACAGCTCCAGGTGAGGGTCCGTCGTCGTACTGAATGGCTGCTGCTTGCTGCCTCCTGTTCAGTCAGTCACTCCCAGGCAGGCCAGGCACACTAGGGGAATGGATGGATCCAGACAACTAGTCACTGTCACTTAGGCTTAAGGGTTCGTCCTCATACATAGCATACATACAAAAACCAAACTACAACACTGAGGATTGTAAAAGCCCTCCCATGACGATAGTGTCTTGATTTGGTGCATATATGTGGCTTGGACTTATCATGTAGGTAGATGGCCTGTCAGTAGGCCCTGTAAATACAGCCCATCTGGAGTCAATGTGAGGGAGGGAGCTATCCTGGAGTGACTTGTCAAACACAACATGGCTTATGTAAAGACTGAACACTGAGAGCACTGGACAGACACAGTCAGCCATGACCAAAGGAGCACCATGGCTTCAAAGCCTCTGCAAACCCCTTTCCAGTGTGGGAACAGCAAAAGTAGATGTGGTCACGTCAATGTGACTGACTAGCTGGCTCCATCCATCCATTCTCCATTCTAACCATAATATACCCAGAAAGGTTTGTTACACTATGCTCTTCTGGCTGGAGGCTAATATTTGAACTTTAAACCCTCGCCGTCCTACTTCTACAGCTCATCACTCTACAAACTAATTATTACTGTGCCATGATTAGATTACAGTATAGTAATAATGCTATGTGTGCATTTGCTTAGTACAGCATTTGATAAGATAAAAGCTGCTTGACTAGGCCTCAAACATTGATTACAGTTTAGTTAGGGAATAATTGAGCGTTACAAATTGCACCCTATTCCCTATATAGTGCACATTATTATAATATTTTTCTTGTAGTGCACTACATAGGGAATAGAGTGCCATTTGAGATGCAGACAATATGTCTGTGTACGAGTACTGGACCTGGATAACTGCTTCAACAGTTCAAGAAACACCCTGAGATCGAACCTTTTAACCAGCTAATTGACTCCCAGTCACAGGCCATTGAGCCAACCATTCAGCTAGGTTAACATTTCTTTACCACTACAGAACGTTAGATGTGTAGAAGCCTGGCTCTACTCTAGTGTATGATAATAATAATCAGATTGATGTATTGATTGTGGTGAGTATATGTATGCCATTGTCATAGAGTACAGCCCAAGTGGAAAACCCCCTTGAGACCAGGATGCATTCATACTTCTCTTCAACAGTAATCAAATGTTTCCTTTCCTCCTTCCTGTCTCTCCTCTTCACAGGAAAACCATCACCACTCTGTCATTTTCCCCTGATGGCAAATATGTGGTCACAGGAGAGGTGAGTGTCTTCTCATTGTGTCTTTGCTTGCCGTGATGAAATGTACTGCAGCTTTCTAAAAAAGGAGCTGACCGTTTCCCGCTCCACTGCATGGGAAAGCTATCATATCATTGTACAACCCCACAGTTCATAAATGGAACTCTGTCTGTGTCACATCATCTACAAAGGAGTGTTTCTATAGCTGTGAATACCACAAAACATACCCACAGTTTGTTGTATACTGCACCTGTGTGTGTGCGTGCGTCTAATCCTCGGCCATCTACTAAGAGCTTATTAGTCAGACAAGTGTGTGTGAAAGTGAATGAGTGTGTGCTGCTGCAGGGTTGCCATGGCAGCAGGAGGGGGCAGGGTGCCAGACTGACTCTGTCGGCTGTCTGAAGGAGAGAGGGAGGGAGGGAGGGAGGAAAGAGAAGGAAAGAAAGAGGGGAAGAGACAGAGAGAGGGAGACTTCCAGGCATGTAGCAGATGGCACAGAGCACGTGCTGGTGCTCACCCTTTCTGTCTGGTGCTCACCCTGCCTGTCTGGTGCTCACCCTGCCTGTCTGGTGCTCACCCTGCCTGTCTGGCGCTCACCCTGCCTGTTTGGCGCTCACCCTGCCTGTTTGGCGCTCACCCTGCCTGTCTGTCCTCTGTGTTGTGCAGCTAGCTGACCATGCTGCAAGCGGCTGCTGCTGCCCTATGTATGCACTCAAAGGGAGGTCCCCCTGTCCACACAGTCTGCTTCTGTTCTGTCTTTAAAAGAGCTAGACGTCATCAGCTGTCCTGATTGTGTTCTTTTCTAAAGAAGTGCACCAAAAGCAAATTCCATTTGTCCAACATCCCCAACCATGGGTTTACTCTAGCTGCTACTGTAGTCTTTGATATTTATTTACCAACGAACACTACACGTACCTGTATCTGAAATCTATATGCCTTATCATGTTGCTCATACAATAACTATTTCCATACCCAGTATAAGAATGATGCAGGCAAAGACTCTGCCTGCAGAGTGGAAGACAGTACTAAAGATGCATTATCATTAATTTCCTGGCTTAAGCCTCCCTCGCCTGTCCTCTTTAAATTCCCTCCACTTGATCTTCTGTTCTATCCTTGAGTTGCATTAGACAAATCATTACCAGATTGGGACGCAGTTACAGGGTACATTGAAAAGCTTAGTGGAGACTAGAGACTTCTGTCCTCAGACAACATCTGCATGATCCAGGGATTCTGAATGTGGCTACATCACCTTGTGGATACAAACCTGTCAGGTCGTCATTATAAGAATTGGTTCTTAATCGATTTGCCTGGATAAATAAAGGGGAAATAAATGAAGATCAAATGAAAATGTGTGGGTGTGATACATGGTGTAGACTTTCTTTTCACTCACCCCTATTTTTCCCTTTCCTCCTCCCTCTCTCCCCTTCCAGAGTGGGCACATGCCTGCTGTGCGGGTGTGGGATGTTGCAGAGCGGACCCAGGTGGCAGAGCTACAGGAACATAAGTACGGCATCTCCTGCGTGGCCTTCAGCCCCAACAGCAAGTACATCGTCAGCGTGGGATACCAGCACGACATGATCGTCAATGTCTGGGCCTGGAAGGTAGCTAGCTACTCCCTTATTAGGTCCTTCATTGGGTCTTATTAGGTCTTCCATTTGTCTTTATTGGAATTTAATCATTTTGGATGAGTAAAACAATACGTGAATAAACATAATATACACAAATCAAAACAAACGAGTGCTGTTTTTGAACTGCTGTTCAGTGTTTTATACTGAACACTCTTCTTCTCTGAGGAAAATAAAGTATTTATCTAATGTCGATCTACAGTCCTGTTCTGTGCTCTTTTCTTCTCAGAAAAACATTGTGGTGGCAGCCAACAAAGTGTCCAGTAAAGTGACGGCCGTGTCCTTCTCAGACGACAGCTCCTACTTCGTCACGGCAGGGAACAGGCACGTCAAGTTCTGGTACCTGGATCACACCAAATCCTCCAAGGTATTCAGTCATTCACACCAACAACAACATGACTTAATCCATAACTGACCAATAATAACACTTGAGTTAATGAACGAATGAGATAATAACTAACCGAGCCTCTCTGGAATGTGTCTCTACATGCATTGTTTTCCTGAACTGGTTCTCTTGATCTCCAGCCATTCCATATATTACTCAGCACACCTAGTTCAACTAGCTAGTCAACCAATCGCCAAGCCCTTGATTAGTTCATTTATAATAATAATAATTAGGTGGGTGCTTATTTGTCCTATTTCACACATGTACAAGTGTCTATTATACGCGTGAGTGAATTGGGAATGTGTTTTTTGCATATCCCAATTCCCCCTGAGACACCCTCGGAGAGTGGGGTCACGGCCAGGGTCTGCCATTTATCAACGACAATTAGGGTTAAATGCCTTGCTTAAGGGCACAGTGGCAGATTTGGGACCTTGTTGGCTCGGGGATTCGAACTAGCAACCGTTTGGTTACTAACCACTAGGCTACCTGCCACCCTAGTTAGGTGTGCTATTGTTGGAATTTAACAAATACTGTATGTGGAATGGTTGGTGGTCACAAGGACCAGTTTGTGAAGCTCATCTCTTCAGTAAGCTATTAGGATAATGACAGACGTCACATGTCAAGTTCAATCGCCATGTTGATGCCCAATCCAAATTTCCTAATTTCCAGGGTTTAGGTTAACATAAACTGATGGACTAGGTCTATCAGACCCCATAGCAATGGCTCTCTAATAATTCCTCCCTCCCTCTCTCCCTCCCTGTGTCTGCTAGGTGAACGCCACGGTTCCTCTGCTTGGTCGCTCGGGGCTCCTGGGGGAGTTGAGGAACAACTTCTTCTCTGACGTGGCATGTGGGAAGGGTCGTAAAGCCGGCAGCACCTTCTGCATCACTTCCTCAGGCCTGCTCTGCGAGTTCAATGACAAACGCCTGCTGGACAAATGGGTGGAGCTAAGGGTGAGTTACTTTAAACTCTGGGTCACGTTCAGTAAAGGCACAACGTAACAAAACGTTTTGCAACCGAAAACAGAAATGAGCCTTTTTAAAGGAGTCATTCATAGAATCGAGGATTGGTCTCCTTGACTCAAAAGTATTTGGCTGCAGGGTTCAAAAGGCATATAAAATGGAAAAGGAAACCCTGAATTCAATGACATTTTAGAATTCCAGATGTGTGCTGGTGCTCACCTTTCCAGTTTATTGGACACATTTAGGCATTAGGCTACTTTACTCTAGCTGCCTGGCTATATCCACAGGCGGAGGGTAACACTATGAATCGTTTAGTCTAAAGCTGTGTGAATGAATGGAGATGTATCACTACAGAACCGATTATGTGTAAACGTTGGCAGAGAAAGAGTTGGTGACTTATCACAGCTTCTAGTGCATAACCATCTTAGAATATAACCCCTTTTCAATCTACTTGTGGCACAGTATCAAACTTTCAAGTCGCTTGACTGGCTACTATATCCTAATTCTAGATGTAATCTGTAGCCACCGACTGTGTTCTACAATACACCGCTTTCAATCCCTTCTTAAAAGTCAATTATAGACAGACAACTCGTGTTGGTGGTGTGGTGCTGTAAGAGTGTTAATCTGACCCGTCGTGCTGCTGTCTAATATTAGTCTTGTTCTGCTTCTGCTTCTTCTCTTACACTGTCCAGAAAAACGACATCATCACAGTAAGTCTGTCCCTTATCTGTGCTGCAGCAGTTGTCACTTCCATGTCACATCAGCTGAAAGTTGTGCCCCGCCCTCCTCTGATACCTCCGAGTATCCCATTGGAGGGTTTCTCAGAGCACTGCATTCTATCATGCCCACCTGTCCATCCTATTGGCTGTGTGTGTGTCTTTGACTTGACCCTAGTGGTCGTCGTCATTCTCAATGTCCCCTCTGCTTACACACCAGATGTTGGCCATCCATTATCATCACTCAAAGTTTCCATCACCTTATTTTATTTTTTTTCACCTTTATTTAACCAGGTAAGCCAGTTGAGAACAAGTTCTAATTTACAACTGCGACCTGGCCAAGATAAAGCAAAGCAGTGCGATAAAAACAACAACACAGAGTTACATATGGAATAAACAAAAACGTACAGTCAATAACACAATAGAAAATCTATATACAGTGTGTGCAAAAGTTATGGAGGTAAGGCAATAAATAGGCCATAGTGCAAAATAATTACAATTTTGTATTAACACTGGAGTGATAGATGTGCAGAAGATGATGTGCAAATAGAGATACTGTGGTGCAAATTAGCAAAATAAATAACAATGTAAATAACAATATGGGGATGAGGTAGTTGGGTGGGCTAATTACAGATGGACTGTGTACAGGTGCAGTGATCGGTAAGCTGCTCTGACAACCAATGTATGTGTAACATGATTATACATACACTCCAGAACATAGTATAGAGGGTTTATAATAGTGTTGGTGTGAGAACAATATGATATATGAACTTATCCACAGAATTAAATAGAACACACATTATATCTCTATGAGCTCATTGATTTCCTCCAAGGCCTTAGATAGGTATACCTGTTTACTCACATTTAAAACCTGGGGTAAAGTTGACTTCAGCGTCAACCTTATACCTTTTCTCACATGAAAACCTGGGGGAGAATATATGTCATCATTAGCATCACTCTTAGATATAGGCTACCCTTTATTCACATTAAAACCTGAGGTAGAGTTGATATCAGCATCACTGGTCACCTCATTTTGGTGTTGGTGTGAGAACAAAACAATGTTTTCACCCCAGGCCTTCGATAGATACTTCTCACATCGCTGCTAGTGCTAACCTCATGTGGTTTCCTGGTTTCATGTCCTGAGGGCCTGAGAAGGTCATGTTGACTTGTGGGATCATACTCTGTTTCGGTTTTGGCAATGTACTGTACATAGAAAAATGCATGGGAATTATCAGGTCAAACAGTCAGCTTGTACAGTATTTTCATCTGGTTGTCTGAATTCATGCAGTACTTTGATGGAGCGGTGTCCCCAAATGGCACCCTATTCTCTATATAGTGCACTACTTTTGACCAAAGCCCTATGGGCCCTGGTCAAAAATAGTAGACTATTAAAGGAATAGGGTGATAGGGTGCCATTTGGGATGCAGACTTTGAGGTCTCAACAACCTTTGCCTGAACTTGTACCACATTATTGGAACCTACTCTACCAGAGAGCGATCCCTACCAGATTGGCAATGCTTGGCCTGGCACCTTGGTGCTAACAGGGCTGAAGTGGGTCAGGGCTACAGTAGGGTGGGTGGGTGGGTGGGTGGGTGGGTGGGTGGCTGCACAATCATGCTTTTGTAGCCTAGTCCAAAGCACAGAGCAAAGGGGGAGGGGGGGGGAGAAAAGCAAGGGAGAGGAAAGAGAAGAGAGAAGAATGGAAATGAAAGCGGGGGAGAGAATGAGAGAAAAGAGAGAGGGAGGGAGTGAAGAGGACTGGAAAAACAACGCTTGCTCTGTCTGATTCCGAGCTCATCAACTGCTGCGACACCATCACATTCCATCCTGGCACCTCATCTCAAACTCTCCACTCGTGCTGCTCATCAAGAAAACCTCTCTTGTTTCTCTCAACTCAATGTATTAGTTGACGCTCTTAACATTCTCATTGCGAAGCTACTAGTGGGGATTTTTAAAGACTTAAAAACAGGAGGTGCTCTAGCCTGTAACAAGTGACCACAACCACAACATCAAACTGGGACATTTGGCTTTCATCCACTCCCATTAACTGCATATTTTACATGCTGTAGAAGGCATGAAAGAAAGTATCCTCTATCAAAACTAGACTGTCACCATATACTCCTCTTCCCCAGAGGCCACTTGATGCTGTCACTTCGGTATATTTTGGTTTCTCCCCTACTAAGATGGTTGCTTCACTGGCATGCCATGGTTGTAGGGAAAGCACAGCATGCTTTGGCAACCCAAGCCCAATGTTGGAATGTGTAAAAGATTTAGTAAATTACTGTTGTTAGACTTGGAGTTAAATATGCATCCAGTCTGGGCTGCATGACTGGCTGAATCACTGTTCTACATTATTCTAAGCATCATACTGGTAAATTGGAAAATGATATTGCGTATTGTTGTTTAAGCTGTAGGCCTTGATCTGAATCTGCTGCACGCAAGCATTTGTTGTCTCTGGATACTTTGCATATTTCAACTTCACCACAGTCAAATATATTGCATATCATTCTGTTTCTGTCATACTGTTTCTGCGGTTTACTTTGCACAATATTGCTCTTCTAGTGAAGCCACTTCTTCTGCCGAGATGAAATTACTTGAGAGATGTTTTCATATTGTTTACCCAGGGGCCTAGCGACAGTAAAGCTGGTAATATTGGCAAGTGAAATGAGCAGATATTAGTCATCAGTATTTACACAGAATAACAAGTATGTGGCGCTGACTGCTAGTCCCTGGTAGTGGGTTCTCTGATGCTTCAATGGCAATTGTCTTCAATATGTTCAATATCATTGACAGACAGCAATCTAGTTCTTTCTGCTGTTCGTGTGTTTTTTTTCCCTGAAGACCTATAAGCCTATATTGTGCAGCAGACCATCACTGAGTATTTTCAAGGTGGTGCTTCAAAGACCCTCAAATCCACACCCAGAGCCTCTTTAAAGTCTCAAAAAAATTTGTTTAAATTTAAACTCTTTTATGCGGAGGGGAAAAGAGCCAGATGTGGTGGCCAGTCCCGTCTACTCTGTACAATAGCAGGGGAAGCAATGTTGTGTATATGTTTGTACAGTATGTGTGTCTTCTCTAAGCCCCCTTCCTCTCCTCTGCTCTCCAGACAACTCAGGCCACGTCTCTGTCTGTGACAGAGGAGCTGATCTTCTGTGGCTGTGCCGACGGCACCGTGAGGGTCTTCAGCCCCGTCAACCTGCACTTCATCTGCACCCTACCACGTCCACACTGCCTGGGCACAGACATTGCCACCGTGGTGGAGGCTAGGTGAGTGTCAGTCAGGGCCAGAGGGGTAAAGGTGAGTGTCTAGGAAAAAGGTCTCAGACCGAAATGTTGATATTATAAACAACGTACCGAGGTTTTCATATCTACAGGTCTGCAGGGGTATATACACTGCTCAACACTTAAACAACACAATGTAACTCCAAGTCAATCATACTTCTGTGAAATCAAACTGTCCACTTAGGAAGCAACACTGATTGACAATACATTTCACATGCTGTTGTGCAAATGGAATAGACAACAGGTGGAAATGATAGGCAATTAGCAAGACACCCCCAATAAAGGAGTGGTTCTGCAGGTGGTGACCACAGACCACTTCTCAGTTCCTATGCTTCCTGGCTGATGTTTTGGTCACTTTTGAATGCTGGCGGTGCTTTCACTCTAGTGGTAGCATGAGACGGAGTCTACAACCCACACAAGTGGCTCAGGTAGTGCAGCTCATCCAGGATGGCACATCAATGCGAGCTGTGGCAAGAAGGTTTGCTGTGTCTGTCAGCGTAGTGTCCAGAGCATGGAGGCGCTACCAGGAGACAGGCCAGTACATCAGGAGACGTGCAGGAGGCCGTAGGAGGGCAACAACCCAGCAGCAGGACCGCTACCTCCGCCTTTGTGCAAGGAGGAGCAGGAGGAGCGCTGCCAGAGCCCTGCAAAATGACCTCCAGCAGGCTACAAATGTGCATGTGTCTGCTCAAACGGTCAGAAACAGACTCCATGAGGAGGGCCCGACGTCCACAGGTGGGGGTTGTGCTTACAGCTCAACACCGTGCAGGACGTTTGGCATTTGCCAGAGAACACCAAGATTGGCAAATTCGCCACTGGCGCCCTGTGCTCTTCACAGATGAAAGCAGGTTCACACTGAGCACATGTGACAGACGTGACAGAGTCTGGAGACGCCGTGGAGAACGTTCTGCTGCCTGCAACATCCTCCAGCATGACCGGTTTGGCGGTGGGTCAGTCATGGTGTGGGGTTGCATTTCTTTGGGGGGGCCGCACAGCCCTCCATGTGCTCGCCAGAGGTAGCCTGACTGCCATTAGGTACCGAGATGAGATCCTCAGACCCCTTGTGAGACCATATGCTGGTGCGGTTGGCCCTGGGTTCCTCCTAATGCAAGACAATGCTAAACCTCATGTGGCTGGAGTGTGTCAGCAGTTCCTGCAAGAGGAAGACATTGATGCTATGGACCGCCCGTTCCCCAGACCTGAATCCAATTGAGCACATCTGGGACATCATGTCTCGCTCCATCCACCAACGCCACGTTGCACCACAAACTGTCCAGGAGTTGGCATCATCAGGAGCATGCCCAGGCGTTGTAGGGAGGTCACACACACTACTGAGCCTCATTTTGACTTGTTTTAAGGACATTACATCAAAGTTGGATCAGCCTGTAGTGTGGTTTTCCACTTTAATTTTGAGGGTGACTCCAAATCCAGACCTCATGGGTTGATAAATTTGATTTCCATTGATAATTTTTGTGTGATTTTGTTGTCAGCACATTCAACTATGTAAAGAAGAAAGTATTTAATAAGATTATTTAATTCATTCAGATCTAGGATGTGTTGTTTAAGTGTTCCCTTTATTTTTTTGAGCAGTGTATATGTGTGTGTGTGTGTGTGTGTGTGTGTATATATATATATGTGTGTGTGTGTGTGTGTATATATATGTGTGTGTGTGTATATATATGTATGTATGTATGTGTGTGTGTGTGTGTGTGTGTGTGTGTGTGTGTGTATATATATATATATATATATATATATATATATATATATATATATATATATATATATATATATATATATATATATACACACACACACATACATACAGTGAGGGGAAAAAAGTATTTGATCCGCTGCTGATTTTGTACGTTTGCCCACTGACAAAGACATGATCAGTCTATAAATTTAATGGTAGGTTTTTATATGAACAGTGAGAGACAGAATAACAACAAAAAAATCCAGAAAAACGCATGTCAAAAATGTTATAAATTGATTTGCATTTTAATGAGGGAAATAAGTATTTGACCCCTCTGCAAAACATTACTTAGTACTTGGTGGCAATGTTTGGCAACTCGAACCTTCAGCTCCCTCCACAGATTTTCTATGGGATTAAGGTCTGGAGAGTGGCTAGGCCACTCCAGGACCTTAATGTGCGTCTTCTTGAGCCACTCCTTTGTTGCTTTGGCCATGTGTTTTGGGTCATTGTCATGGTGGAATACCCATCCACGACCCATTTTCAATGCCCTGGCTGAGAGAAGGAGGTTCTCACCCGAGATTTGACGGTACATGGCCCCGTCCATCGTCCCTTTGATGCAGTGAAGTTGTCCTGTCCCCTTAGCAGAAAAACACCCCCAAAGCATAATGTTTCCAACTCCATGTTTGACAGTGGGGATGGTGTTCTTGGGGTCATAGGCAGCATTCCTCCTCCTCCAAACACGGCGAGTTGAGTTGATGCCAAAGAGCTCGATTTTGGTCTCATCTGACCACAACACTTTCACCCAGTTCTCCTCTGAATCATTCAGATGTTCATTGGCAAACTTCAGACGGCCCTGTATATGTGCTTTCTTGAGCAGAGTGACCTTGCGGGCGCTGCAGGATTTCAGTCCTTCACGGCGTAGTGTGTTACCAATTGTTTTCTTGGTGACTATGGTCCCAGCTGCCTTGATCATTGACAAGATCCTCCCGTGAGTTCTGGGCTGATTTCTCACCATTCTCATGATCATTGCAACTCCACGAGGTGAGATCTTGCATGGAAGATCCAGGCTAGGGTTTGCAAAAGACCAATTTTCAGCTTTGCCCAATACCTGGTCGTCTAATGGTTAGACAGAGACCTGGAGAGGCCTACAAGCCACAGTGTCTCGCACCCACTGTGAAATTTGGTGGGGGTGGGGTCGGTGATGATCTGGGGGTGCTTCAGCAAGGCTGGAATAGGGCAGATTTGTCTTTGTGAAGGACGCATGAGTCAAGCCACGTACAAGGTTGTCCTGGAAGAAAACTTGCTTCCTTTTGCTCTGACATTGTTCCCCAACTCTAAGGATTGGTTTTTCCAGCAGGCAATGCGCCATGCCACACAGCCAGGTCAATGAAGGTGTGGATGGAGGACCACCAGATCATGACCCTGTCATGGCCAGCCCAATCTCCAGACCTGAACCCCATTGAAAACTTCTGGAATGTGATCAAGAGGAAGATAGATGGTCATAAGCCATCAAACAAAGCCGAGCTGCTTGAATTTTTGCGCCAGGAGTGACATAGTCACCCAACATCAATGTGAAAGACTGGTGGAGAGCATGCCAAGACGCATGAAAGCTGTGATTGAAAATCAGGGTTATTCCAACAAATATTGATTTCTGAACTCTTCCTAAGTTAAAACATTAGTATTGTGTTGTTTAAAAATGAACATGAACGTATTTTCTTTGCATTATTCGAGGTCTGATAACACTGCATCTTTTTTGTTATTTTGACCAGTTGTCATTTTCTGCAAATAAATGCTCTAAATGACAATATTTTTATTTGGAATTTGGGAGAAATGTTGTCAGTTGTTTATAGAATAAAACTAAAATGTTAATTTCACCCAAACACATAGCTATAAATAGTAAAACCAGAGAAAGTTATATTTTTGTAGTGGTCTCTTAATTTTTTCCAGAGCTGTGTGTGTGTGTGTGTGTGTGTGTGTGTATGTATGTGTATATATATATATAAAGAACACTATTAAAAAAAGTCAAGCAATTTAAATGTCAATATTATGACTTTTACATAATGCCCTGATCGTGGATAAAGTGACCAGTGGCTGAATAGTTTCTTTGTGACTGTGGGAAGTGGGAACAGTCCAGTTGGTTAGCCAGAATGGTGTGGGTTGTGGGGTATCTGCTTCTCATACAGCATCATACTCCACATACCAATGCAAATACCAAACAAACCAACCACACAAAATACCCTTGAATGATTTCCTTTTTGTTATTACTTTTCATCCAGGATGCATGTGGGCCCAGCTGGAGTTAAATATAATATTGTATTCCTATCCTGTATTCCCCTCAAGCTCATTTTAAATATACGTTTTATCGTTGATGCCTTCAGAAAGACAGAGATTCCTCTGAGAGTCAGTTATCTTCTCCTCATAAATATGGACTGAGTGCTGAGTTGCTGACTCTGTAATGCTGCTGGTTAATTTCCCTGTTCGACTGACTCACTGACAATAGGACCCAGATGTTCCTACAGATTAGCTGACTAATCATGCCTGTACAGTAGCATGTTTGTGTGGGACGTGAAAAATCCCACCAGTGGAATGACTAACTGCATGGGTGCGTTCCAAATGACACCTTATTCCCTATTTAGTGCACTACTTTTGAACAGGGCCCATAGATGGCTGTGTAGTTTAGGTCATGTCGAAGCTACTATTAAGTCAAGCCTGCCATCAAGGCCAGCTCACTACTGTTTATAGAAGTTTCTGTGGGACACACCGTAAAGTGGCCAGACCTCTCCCAGTATGCACATCATGTTCTGGTCAAAAGCAAAGCTGATAAACTGCCTAAAAACACAACCATTAAATTACCATTAAAGTTATGCTTTTCCATAACCCTTGTATTGGGTGACTTTTTAGTATCTTGTACTTTAACGGTAAATTATCTCTGGGTTCTGGAAAAGTGCTTTATAAATTCAGTGTGTACTTTTTTTATTACAGTATAACAGTGTTATTGCATACTAACTCTCCCCTCCCTCCAGCCACCTCTTCAGCCACAAGATGGACGCCCGGTACCCTGACACGGTGGCTGTATCCTATGACCCTGCAAGCCGCTGGCTGTCCTGTGTCTACAACGACCACAGCCTGTACGTGTGGGACGTACGGGACCTCCGCAAAGTGGGCAAGGTCTATTCCGCCCTCTACCACTCGGCCTGCGTGTGGAGCGTTGAGGTAAGGTCAGGGAGGGAGGCATTACAAAGCCTTTATCAGGGCATTCTGAAACCTTGTTGAGTGTACGTGTATTCTATCACTCCTTGCTCCTTGTATAGAGAGGGTCATTTTACATGTAGAAAATCAACAAGATACCTGTTGCACACTGTTGAATGATGCTCTCATTTATGTTGTTGTGTGCAGCAGAGCATTCAACAGTGTCCGGGTATCTTTTTCTGTTCTATGATGCCATTTTTCAACCCTGCAGCTGGAATGTGCGTACACTAGTTTAGAACTGTTTCATGTCCTCTGAAACTTTTTAGGTGTACCCAAAATGTATATGTGTGAATGTTTACATAATCTATTCTAGACGTCAGGTCTACTAATGTTTCATGTTCTGTGTACCTGTACAGGTGTACCCAGACAGGACAAGTGATGGTGAGCAGCCCTGTCTGCCTCCAGGCTCCTTCCTTAGCTGTTCCTCAGACAACACCATCCGGCTCTGGAACACTGATGTTCACAGCACCACCCTCAGCCGCAACGTCATCAGCAACGTACGTCTGTCTCTCACACACCCTATAATCTGTCTCTCACACACCCTATAACTCCTTCTGTTATCTCACTATCTTCTACCCCTCTAACCGTAACCCCACCCTCCTCAACTGCAACGTATGTCTCACACACACACTCCTGTCTAACTAAATAACTCCTGATCTCAATATGAATGGCTGCTGATTGAGTTCTGATAGAAAGTTCTACTCAAGGAGGACAGGAACCTATGACTCCAGAGTTATACCTTGAGAGGGGGACACTGACTCTGAAGCACACACAACCACCTTATAGAGATCGATTGATGCTGAATCTACAGTGTATGGTTTTCTCAGCTAAACCCCCCCCCCCCCCCCCTCCCCCCTTCTCTCTCTCTCCAGGACCTCCAGAAGATAATCTACATGGACAACAACACGGCCGGCCTGCTGGACACAGAGTGCCTCAACTCTGGGAACGGAGAGAAGGCCGACCCCCAGACCTCGGAGACCAGGACGGGCATCAGGACGATATGTGTGAGCCCCGACGGGCAGCACCTGGCGTCAGGCGACCGCACCGGCACCTTGAGGTACTGTTGGAGAAAGATAATGGTTTGTTCGCACACCTGCAGTTCCAAGTCTATGGAAGAAACTATAGTAGAATAAGAAACTCTAGCACATTGGTATTCTTGATTACTCTACAAACAATTGAAAGGATCTTGTTTAATCAATCAATGTTTGGGTTAGTAGACCTTCATCTGGGTAAACCCTGAGGTACAGTACCACTCCCATGCCGTCCCAGAGGGAGCCTTGTTTTTAATCTCCACCCCTCAGGCCTCAGCACCACTGTCCTAATTAAATTCCCTTAATTAGACTCCTGGGAGGGTGTTTGTGCGTGAGGTGTGCGTGTGTTCAGAGCTGTGTGTGTTTGTTAAATTGGGGTTAGAGGAGGTTAGTCCATTCAAGCAGCAGCCCCTGAATGCATCTTTCCACATAACTGGATGGATGGATGGATGGATGGATGGATGGATGGATGGATGGATGGATGGATGGATGGATGGATGGATGGATGGATGGATGGATGGATGCACCATGGCTAGATCACTGCTGACCCGGATAACACCAAGGCTACTTGTTGTAAATTAGATTGTCACACAAAACTAAATGATGGCAGTCTACTCTGCATTCTACTGCGGCCCAGTGGTGTCTCTGTGTAGAGAGACTCAACTGTGCTGTAAACCATATGTAGTCCTCGCAAAAAAGTAGTATTTGATGTGTTAAGGGAACACAGCGGGACTAATAAAGTACTATTCTATTCTAATTGCTGTTGCAGGATCCATGAGCTGAAGAGCATGGAGGAGATTCTGAACGTTCAGGCCCACGACTCGGAGATCCTGTGTCTGGAATACTCCAAGCCTGAGACGGGTAAGTCAGACAGTGGCTTCCCCTCTCCTGGGAGGAAATTAAAGAGACACCATGGTTAATGAAACTACTGGAGGTATAAACCACCTTCAGCTGCTTGCCAGATCCTTCACCAACCTCACGTTGACTTGTGAAACAAACCACTTCAGAGCTCCGGCAAGTTATAAGAAGGCTGGGTTGCGCTCAAATCTGTAAATTATTGTATAAGCCAGCTTCATAGGAATTAACTTTCCCAATGAACACAATAAAACCAAAGGCTCTAAATAGCAATTTATGCAATAGAATGGGACTCTCAAAGCACTCTAGAAGTTCGTTATTTTTGTAATGCCATTTTCTTTTTAGGGGTGGATCAACTTTAATATTACAGATAGATTGTGGCTTCTATCAATGTAATTGTCTGCATCATTTCCAATCCCCCATATGTTATATATATATTTTCCTTTATTATTTTTCCCTAACCCTACCTACCACCCCTCCCGTAATTGGAGTAAACTAATGGACAACAACGCTTAGGCTTCTACTTCCAGCTTATACATACTATATACATTTTACGGACAAAGTATATTTTAACATTAGTTATCTTTTGTTTGTTTTTAGTCCCATCCTTCAGCTACCCTCAACCCCTCCCATCTATCTCTCAACTGTGCTATGATGTTTCACAAAAGTTCTGAACCTAAACTCAGCAAAAAAAGAAACGTCCTCTCACTGTCAACTGCGTTTATGTTCAGCAAACTTAACGTGTAAATATGTGTATGAACATAACAAGATTCAACAACTGAGACATAAACTGAACAAGTTCCACAGACATGTGACTAACAGAAATTGAATAATGTGTCCCTGAACAAAGGGGGGGGGGGTCAAAATCAAAAGTAAAAGTCAGTATCTGGTGTGGCCACCAGCTGCATCAAGTACTGCAGTGCAACTCCTCCTCATGGACTGCACCAGATTTGCCAGTTCTTGCTGTGAGATGTTACCCCACTCTTCCACCAAGGCACCTGCAAGTTCCCGGACATTTCTGGGGGGAATGGCCCTAGCCATCACCCTCCGATCCAACAGGTCCCAGACGTGCTCAATGGGATTGAGATCCGAGCTCTTCGCTGGCCATGGCAGAACACTGACATTCCTGTCTTGCAGGAATTCACGCACAGAACGAGCAGTATGGCTGGTGGCATTGTCATGCTGGAGGGTCATGTCAGGATGAGCCTGCAGGAAGGGTACCACATGAGGGAGGAGGATGTCTTCCCTGTAATGCGCAGCGTTGAGATTGCCTGCAATGACGACAAGCTCAGTCCGATGATGCTGTGACACACTGCCCCAGACCATGACGGACCCTCCACCTCCAAATCGATCCCGCTCCAGAGTACAGGCCTCGGTGTAACGCTCATTCCTTCGATGATAAACGCGAATCCGACCATCACCCCTGGTGAGACAAAACCGTGACTCGTCAGTGAAGAGCACTTTTTGCCAGTCCTGTCTGGTCCAGCGATGGTGGGTTTGTGTGCATAGGTGACTTTGTTGCCTGTGATGTCTGGTGAGGACCTGCCTTACAACAGGCCTACAAGCCCTCAGTCCAGCCTCTCTCAGCCTATTGCGGACAGTCTGAGCACTGATGAAGGGATTGTGCATTCCTGGTGTAAATCAGGCAGTTGTTGCCATCCTGTACCTTTCCCGCAGGTGTGATGTTCGGATGTACCGATCCTGTGCAGGTGTTGTTACACGTGGTCTGCCACTGCGAGGAAGATCAGCTCTCCGTCCTGTCTCCCTGTAGCGCTGTCTCTAGGCGTCTCACAGTACGGACATTGCAATTTATTGCCCTGGCCACATCTGCAGTCCTCATGCCTCCTTGCAGCATGCCTAAGGCACGTTCACGCAGATGAGCAGGAACCCTGGGCATCTTTCTTTTGGTGTTTTTCAGAGTCAGTAGAAAGGCCTCTTTAGTGTCCTAAGTTTTCATAACTGTGACCTTAATTGCCTACCGTCTGTAAGCTGTTAGTGTCTTAACGACCGTTCCACAGGTGCATGTTCATTAATTGTTTATGGTTCATTGAACAAGCATGGGAAACAATGTTTAAACCCTTTACAATGAAGATCTGTGAAGTTAAAGTAAAAATCCAAATATCTTTGACAGGGTCCTGAAAAAGGGACGTTTCTTTTTTTGCTGAGTTTACAGTTTACGTCGTAAGTTTACATACACTTAGGTTGGAGTCATTACAACTCGTTTTTCAACCACTCCAGAAATGTCTTGTTAACAAACTATAGTTTTGGCAAGTCGGTTAGGACATCTACTTTGTGCATGACATAAGTAATTTTTCCAACAATTGTTTACAGACAGATTATTTCACTTATAATTCACTGTATCACAATTGCAGTTGGTCAGAGGTTTACATACACTAAGTTGACTGTGCCTTTAAACAGCTTGGAAAATTTCAGAAAATGATGTCATGGCTTTAGAAGCTTCTGATAGGCTAATTGACATCATTTGGGTCAATTGGAGGTGTACCTGTGGATGTATTTCAAGGCCTACCTTCAAACTCAGTGCCTCTGATTGACATCATGGGAAAATCAAAATAAATCAGCCAAGGCCTCAGAAAAAGAAGTGTAGACCTCCACAAGTCTGGTTCATCCTTGGGAGCAATTTCCAAACGCCTGAAGGTACCACTTTCATCTGTACAAACAATAGTATGCAAGTATAAACCCCATGGGACCACGCAGCCGTCATACTGCTCAGGAAGGAGATGCGTTCTGTCTCCTAGAGATGAACATACTTTGGTGCGAAAAGTGCAAATCAATCCCAGAACAACAGCAAAGGACCTTGTGAAGATGCTGGAGGAAACGGGTACAAAAGTATCTATATCCACATTAAAATGAGTCCTATATCGACGTAACCTGAAAGGCCACTCAGCAAGGAAGAAGCCACTGCTCCAACACCGCCATAGAAAAGCCAGACTACGGTTTGCAACTGCACATGGGGACAAAGATCGTACTTTTTGGAGAAATGTCCTCTGGTCTGATGAAACAAAAATAGAACTGTTTGGCCATAATGACCATTGTTATGTTTGGAGGAAAAGGGGGACGCTTGCAAGCCGAAGAACACCATCCAATCCGTGAAGCACGGGGTTGCAGCATCATGCTGTGTGGGTGCTTTGCTGCAGGAGGGTCTGGTGCACTTCACAAAATAGACCCAAGTTAAACAATTTAAAGGCAATGCTACCAAGTACTAATTGAGTGTATGTAAACTTCTGACCCACTGGGAATGTGATGAAATAAATAAAAAGCTGAAATAAATCATTCTCTCTACTATTATTCTAACATTTCACATTCTTAAAATAAAGTGGTGATCCTAACTGACCTAAGACAGGGCATTTTTACTAGGATTAAATGTCAGGAATTGTGAAAAACTGAGTTTAAATGTATTTGGCTAAGGTGTATGTAAACTTCCGACTTCAACTGCATATACATTTTATGGACACAGTATATTTTAGAGTTATTTTTTTATTCATTTTTTTACCCTTCAGCTCCCCTCAACCCCTCCCATCTATCTCTGAACACCATCCAATTATGATTAGCAAAATCAGGAAAAATGTGGAAAAATAATATTTTTATCCATTTTAGAATAAGGCTGTAACGTAACAAAATGTGGGAAAGGGAAGGGGTCTGAATACTTTCCGAATGCACTGTAGTGCACTACTTTTGACCAGGGCCCATAAGGTATCGTAGTGCACTATATAGGAAATAGGGTGCCATTTGGGATGCATCTAGTGGCTCACATGTTAATAGGAGTATTAATGATATTAAGATTCTCTCAGTGGATCATTCCTCTAGGTCAGGGTTCTTCAATTCCGGTCCTGGAGGGCCGAGACACCTCTGTTTTTCATCCTCTCATTCTAATCAGGGGCTAATTCAGACCTGGGACACCAGGTGAGTGCAATTAACTACCAGGTAGAAATAAAAAACAGAAGTGTTTCGGCCCTCCAGGACCGGAATTGAAGAACCCTGCTCTAGGTCGTTCGTTGGCGGTTGCCACCACGTACACAGAGGGGAAGATAGAGGAGCTAAGAATAAACCCAATACACTGACACGCCCTCTGGCTGCCGCACTGCACTGCACATTAACACTTCCAGGGTGCTAATATTCAGAGCTGTTACTTACCATTATCCTGCAGAACTGCTGTGTTCAGGTAACTTGCCTGCCTACTATCGTAGAAATATAATTAAGGGACAAAGCCTCCCGCATACCACCCATGGGTACACTCGATATGCTCAATACGTTTTAAGTCTATCGCTTGCCCTTGCTGTTGTATCTTGCTGGAATCAAGGTTAACACAGTCACAAAGCTGCCAGATCCAGGATCGATGTTCAATCTCAGCAAGGAGAGGATAAGCAAAGTAGATAGTGCTTTTCATTTACTGAGATTAATCAGGTTGGAAATGAAATCATGTCCCTCTGGAGAGTGCTTTAAATCCATTTTTGATTGACAATTCACATGGATATTGAGTCCAGTTATCTCAATGGCTATTAGGCTAATAGGATTCCATTGGGGCTTTAATCAAGTTTGTTGACCATGTGCAGTCACTCCACATAAGCACGGTAAGATGTTGCGGTGAATATCCTTGCAATTGCAAATAGCTGTAGACTCATCTATAAATAAATTGATAAAATATTTAGAAATCAGTTTAATCTAGTTTTCCGCTATGATTTTGATGAGAAATATTGCTCGACCTAGCTGAGGATATTTTCATATACAGTATATCCCTCTATGCAGGCGATCCCTATATGGCTCATGCTTGGTCTACCGTAGTACTGGTCTCATTTCTCAGTGAGCCTCTAAGGAAAAGGAGAGTTTTGCACTGCTGTGTCCTCTCATTAAGAGAGTACTGTTAACAGGGATACAGGTGGTGCAGATGTAGGATCTTAATTTGATCACCCTGTTGCAGGAGTCTCCCACATGCCTTTTGGTGAACATCAAACGTGTTTGCTTATTTTTTTCTTGAAGCAATGGCTTTTTTTCTGCCCACTCTTCCGTAAAGCCCAGCTCTGTGGAGTGTACTGCTTAAAGTGGTCCTATGGAAGATACTCCAATCTCCGCTGTGGAGCTTTCCAGCTCCTTCAAGGTTATCTTTGGTCTCTTTGTTGCCTTTCTTATTAATGCCCTCCTTGCCTGGTCAGTGAGTTTTGGTGGGCGGCCCTCTCTTGGCAGGTTTGTTGTGGTGCCATATTCTTTCCATTTTTTAATAATGGATGTAATGGTGCTCCGTGGGATGTTCAAAGTTTCTGATATTTTTTTATAACCCAACCCTGATCTGTACTTCTCTTTTTCAACTTTGTCCCTGACCTGTTTGGAGAGCTCGCTTGGTAGTGCCCCTTGCTTAGTGGTGTTGCAGACTCTGGGGCCTTTCAGAACAGGTGTATGTATATATACTGAGATCATGTGACAGATCATGTGACACTTAGATTGCACACAGGTGGACTTTATTTAACTAATTATGTGACTCCTAAATAAGATCTGTGACTTAAACCAGATCTTATTTAGGGGCTTCATAGCAAAGGTGGTGAATACATATGCACGCACCACTTTTCCGTAATACATTTTTTTGCATTTTTTGAAACAAGTTATTTTTTTAATTTCACCTCACCAATTTGGACTATTTTGTGTGTGTCCATTACATGAAATCCAAATAAAAATCAATTTAAATTACAGGTTGTAATGCAACAAAATAGGAAAAACGCCAACGGGATGAATACTTTTGCAAGGCACTGTATTTGAGGTTTAAAAAGGCTTCTGAAGTTTGTAAGTTTGTAATGTCCATTAATTATAATCCACTTAATCCAAATGTCCTGTTGCTACAGGATTGTTTTCCTGCTGTAGCAAACTGGCTCAAATTAAGATCCTACATCTGTAGCAACTAGCACGCTTTAAGAGGTTACAGTGAGTCCACATGTGGCTTTGCTATATCAGGGAGCAGTCTGTGGAGCACATGTTCACCAGAGTACCACTGTGCTCAACAGGATGCATTATGGCTGTTAAAAACATGAAAGGCCACTCACTGTAATGAAACAGGTTTACCACCACTAAGATGGAGAACAGGTGTTGGCTGTTGGAAAGTTGCTGATGTCCTGCTGTGTGTGTGTTATATCTGGCAGGGCTGAAGCTGCTAGCCACAGCGAGTCGAGACCGTCTGATCCATGTGCTGGATGCAGAGCAGGAGTACAGCCTGCTGCAGACGCTGGATGAACACTCCTCCTCCATCACCGCTGTCCGATTCGCTGGTGAGACTCGCAGACGACCTTTGACCCTTTACAACACCCCTCCAACTACTCCCCTTTACCTCAAACTCTCAAGTCTCACTCCCTTGACAGTTATATTAGTTATGTAACTTAGACCTTTGGCGTCCAAAGGTGTCAAGTATGGCACTAGCTCGCTGTTTAAAGTTAACATGGTTATTATTCCCATAGTAACAGTGCTTCTTCTCTTTCAGCCAATGACGGCAAGGTGAGGATGATCAGCTGTGGCGCTGATAAGAGCATCTACTTCCGCACAGCGCAGAAGGTAAAGGCCGCTATACGCACACACACACACACACACACACACACACAATGACGCTGCTCCAGAACAGCTGGTGCTGCGGCTTAACTAGGTTTGGAGGGCTAATGCTTTTGTAGCACGTTTTGGCAATATTTCATGATCTTCTTCTCTCAGCATATTTCGGCAATGGACCACATTCTTAACTATGGCTTAGCCAACCCATCTATGGAGATATTTCATTTGAAGAACCTTGTTGCTTACAGCTAATTAATTAAACTCCAAGTGGCCTATTTAATAATGACACTTTTCCTCAGAGGCTTTCTGTGTCATCCTATCTGTTATATGCCCAAAGTCCCCCACCAACTTGCTGCTTAAAAAATACATAAAAAATGCTCTCACCCTCCCGTGTACCTCGCCTATTGCTTATGAGGATCACAGTGACATTTTCACAAGGCTGCTCTACAAACAAAGTCAAATTCCTGACCCAGGGGGCTCAGAGGGCCCTCAAGACTAGGCTACTATAAAGGCATCAGCATGATTCAGTTGTGCTGGCACCTAGCAGAATTCGGCTAGCCGAAACCAACGAGTGTGCTCCCATACTCCCTTAAAAGACCTTAGCTTGAAAAACGAGAAAACAGCGGCAATAGTACTGTTTGTCCATTTTGAGACGCCGTAGCCAGTATACACTTCTTCAAAATAGTCGGAATTAATTATTTTAGAAGTTTTTGCCGAAGAGATCTTAGTCGCGCAATTTTACATCTAACTAAGATGTTCGGTGCAGTATTTGTGTATGAATTTTTTTAATAACAACAAAGACTATTGAAGAATCCCTACTTTTGACCAATCACCGACGAAGGGGCGTAGACTTCAGCTCCGAACTTCGGCCTGCCTCCAGAAAAAAGTGTCCCCTCGAACAGCAGAAAAAACCCTCACCGAAGTCCAAAACGAACAAAAACGTCACAAAGTTGTCATAATATACAGAGTTTGCACTGGGATGCATACAATGACCCATTCTAACTATGTCTGCCAAAACTCTCATTACTAACTGGAGCATTTACAGTAGTGTTAATGATCTAGCATGGCAGTGAGTGACTGACCTGTTTTAACCTCTTGTTATTTTACATTTACATTTTAGTCATTTAGCAGACGCTCTTATCCAGAGCGACTTACAGTTAGTGAGTGCGTACATTTCCATACTGGCCCCCCGTGTTATCTTAACCTTTCATACTGGCCCCCCGTGTTATCTTAACCTCTTGTTTTGTTTACAGTCAGATGAAGGAACAGTGTTTACTCGCACCCACCACATCGTACGCAAGACGACGCTGTATGACATGGATATCGACCCCACCAGGAAGTACGCCGCTATTGGTTGTCAAGACCGCAGCATTAGGTGGGGGCCTAGTCTTACCTGTCCTTGCTTGTCTGTCTCTGTTGTTCTCACTGACTTTGTATGGATTTGTGTTTGTACGTCAGTGTTGGTGTGTGCGTGCTTCTGTGTATGCATGTGTGCGTGTATATATGAGTCTCTCTGTGCACGTGTGTGTGACCTCTGTCCCTCAGTAATCTGTCAGACTGTGCAGTCATCCCTCCCTAGCAGGTGGATTATCTCTTAACTCAGGTGTTGTAGACACAGGACGGATGAGATTATGGGCCCTGCCCCTGGCTGGTTCAGTCTTTAGCTATCTGCTGCTACAGACATGCTGCTGCCCATGTGCCTGACCTGAGTTTATCCTACTCATGCCTTGGTCTGCCTGCACAAGTGTTTCCATCTTTCACTCACATACTCCACCTTGTGTCAACGACAATAACAATACGCTATGAAAGTCAGTTATAATGGAAAATTCAAACATAACGGAGAAAATTCTAAAGATCACCTTCAAGTGATATTAACAACCACCCTCAAGTTATAGCGTACTGCTTTATTTATCTGTGGGTGTAAATAGGAGGAATGTGGCAGAGTAGTACAATTGTCCAAAAAGGGCTTTCCCTCAGCTGGAGATAATTTAAGTCAACTGTAAACACACCTCATGCTGCTATGAAAACTAGGACGTCTCACTGCACTTTTAATGATAAATGTAGCTAGTAGAGTTAAAGGGCTTTTGTTTAACAGGCTCTGATTTGTTCCTTATGTAACTAAGCAGCAGTGCTTAAGAGTGTGAACCAATGGTTGACTGGCTTCCCTCAGCCCACACTCTGCCAACTCCTCCCAAGGTTGGCTGGGCCCTGGCAGGGCCTTGTGGGTGGTTGTCTGCCAGCTGGTGGCTGCTGGTCTCTCCTTCCTGCACTTAGTGGAAATACACCAGTTAGGCTGTTAGTGACCCCATGTGGTCAGCTGGGGAGAGCCATGCTTACCAGCTGAGCTGCTGTGCTGTTAGCACACAATGTGGCACAGAGTTCGCTGACTCATGAGCACAGTCACGTGTTTCCTTGAACTTCCTAGGTCAGATGACTCAGTCCCTTGATCTGAAAGTCTCTGGGTCTTAACTTTAACTGCTGAGGCAGGATGTCAATGGATAGACGTGTCTGACTTTGAGTTATCGACTTTGAGGTATCGACTTATCGTCCTCCATTGTCCTTGTGTAGAGACTCGCTGACAGTGGATAAAACAGAAGATTGATAAACCCACTGGTGCTTAAACAGCAGAACTGTCTTTGTGATTTACTCCTGAAGTATTGAGCTGTTGGTGTGTTTCATATCAAATCAAATTGTATTTGTCACATACACGTGTTTAGCAGATGTTATTGCGGGTGTAGCGAAATGCTTGCGCTTCTAGCTCCGACAGTGCAGTAATATCTAACAAGTAATATCTAACCATTTCACAACATATACCCAATACACACAAATCTAGTAAGGAATGGAATTAAAGAATATATACATATATGGACAAGCAATGACAGAGCGGCATGGACTAAGATACAGTAGAATATTATAGAATAGAATACAGTATATACATATGAGATGAGTAATGCAAGACTAGTGTTCCATTTCTTAAAGTGGCCAGTGATTTCAATAGGCAGCAGCAGCCTCTAATGTGCTAGTGATGGCTATTTAACAGTCTGATGGCCTTGAGATAGAAGCTGTTTTTCATTCTCTCGGTCCCAGCTTTGATGTACCTGTACTGACCTCGCCTTCTGGATGATAGCGGGGTAAACAGGCAGTGGCTCGGGTTGTTGATGTCCTTGATGATCTTTTTGGCCTTCCTGTGACATCGGGTGCTGTAGGTGTCTTGGAGGGCGGGTAGTTTGCCCCCGGTAATGCGTTTGGCAGACCGCACCACCCTCTGGAGAGCCCTGCGGTTGCGGGCGGTGCAGTTGCCGTACCAGACGGAGATACAGCCCGACAGGATGCTCTCAATTGTGCATCTGTAAAAGTTTGTGAGGGTTTTAGGTGCCAAGACAAATTTCTTCAGCCTCCTGAGGTTGAAGAGGCTCTGTTGCGCCTTCTTCACCACACTGTCTGCGTGGGTGGACCATTTCAGTTTCTCAGTGTACGCCAAGGAACTTGAAGCTTTCCACCTTCTCCACTGCAGTCCCGTCGATGTGGATAGGGAGGTGCACCCTCTGCTGTTTCCTGAAGTCCACGATCATCTCCTTTGTTTTGTTGATGTTGAGTGAGAGGTTATTTTCCTGGCACCACACTCCCAGAGCCCTCACCTTCTCCCTGTAGGCGGTCTCGTCATTGTTCGTAATCAAGCCTGCTACTGTTGTCGTCTGCAAACTTGATAATTGAGTTGGAGGCGTGCATGGCCACGTGACGTGGCTGGTTTTCCTTTTGTAGTCTGTGATTGTCTGTAGACCCTGCCACATACGTCTCATATTTTGCCAGTTTAATTGCCTTGCGGAGTGAGTAGCTACAATGTTTGTATTCTGCCATATTTTCAGTCACCTTGCCATGGTTAAATGCGGTGGTTCGCGCTTTCAGTTTTGCGTGAATGCTGCCATCTATCCACGGTTTCTGGTTGGGGTAGGTTTTAATAGTCACAGTTGGCACAACATCACCTGTTGAGATCTAAACAGGCACACCTGCACTTCTGTGTATGGAGGTCTCAAGTTTCTAGGCCTGTCTAACTCTTAGTTCCCCTCTTACAGAATCTTCAACATCAGTAATGGCAAACAGAAGAAACTGTACAAGGGCTCCCAAGGAGAGGATGGCACTGTTATCAAGGTGGGTGGGTTTGCATGTTTTCATGTATTGTAGTGTTGCTGTGAAGACTCATTTAACACAGATAGCTGGTTTATAATAATGTGCACTCTCCAAGTGGTGTTTAAATCCTTTTTGTATTTTCCTCGCCTCAGGTTCAAACCGACCCCTCAGGGCTGTATGTGGCCACCAGCTGCTCAGACAAGAACATCAGTATCTTTGACTTCTACTCTGGAGAGTGTGTGGCCACCATGTTTGGACACTCTGGTAAAAAAAATAATTGCCCATTTAGTTAGAAAAAAGACAGCAAAATGGCTGAATGACAACCTGTAGTGTGTTCAGAAGGAGAAACCAGCTGGAACTCCTCTTCATCGTTCTGTCTCATACTGTGAATTCCACAGATAAATTCTCCGTCAAAATGTCCATAATTGAAAGTGCCCAGATTTTTAAAACTCCTTTTCATTTGTTTGTCTCTTCTCTTTTTCACAGAGGTTGTGACTGGAATGAAGTTCACCAATGACTGCAAGCACATGATAACTGTGTCTGGTGACAGCTGTATCTTTGTGTGGCGTCTGGCCCCAGAGCTCACCATCAGTATGAGACAGCGTCTCTCGGACCTCAAACAGAACAGCAAGCCAGTTCAGAAGACACCACCTCACAAACCTTGCAATCTCAGGTAGCGACCGTATTGGAACACATCATTGTAGAACAAGTACCTTGATTTACATGACTGATTCCTGTTTTGTTGTTGCTGTTCTTCTTATTCCTGTTAGCTCCAAGTGAAGCAAAGGGCCTCGTTGGAGTACCTAGTTAATTGGATAACATGTTTTGTGCTAGCTAATACCCTTAGAAAGAAAACATGGTGTTTACATAACGTGATCACTTGAGGAGAGACACATTCTGAATGACAGTTAAGAGTGAAAAACAACTGTTAAACCTGTGTTCTGTATTATTCATAAGACAGGCTTGTGCTATGAACGTTGCCCCTTTCATAGCATGTTGCATTATCAGAGCCATGCAGCCCCATTTGACTATTGTCTCCTAAGATTACGAGTGCTCTGTTCTCTGTCTGTTCTGTGCAGCACCAGGAGAGAGGTGCACAGCACCCCTCCCATAGTCACCATGTCCTCTGACAGCGACAAAGAGGTGGAGGAGGAATGGATAGAAGAGGAGGATGAGGAAGAGATGATCTCTCCTTACATGGTGTCAGGCTGCAGTGCAGGGGAAGAGACAGGTTGGTATCTCAGAAATACAATTGTACACAAACAATACACTGGGTATAAAAAATAGTATTTTTTTATTTAACTTGGCAAGTCAATTAAGAACAAGTTCTGACATAGGTGAAAGCTATGATCCCTTATTGATGTCACTTGTTAAATCCACTTCAATTAGTGTAGGGGAGGAGACAGGTTAAATAAGGATTTTTAAGCCTTGAGACAATTGAGACATGGATTGTGTATGTGTGCCATTCAGAGAGAGGGTGAATGGGCAAGACAAAAGATTTAAGTGCCTTTGAATGGGGTATTGTAGTAGGTGCCAGGTGCACCGGTTTGTGTCAAGAACTGCAACGCTGCTGTGTTTTTCACGCTCAACAGTTTCCTGTGTGTATCAAGAATGGGCCACCACCTAAAAAAAAAACATCCAGCCAACTTGATACAACTGTGGGAAGCATTGGAGTCAACATGGGCCAGCGTCCATGCCCCGTCGAATTAAGGCTGTTCTGAGGGGGGGGCGCAACTCAATATTAGGAAGGTGTTCCTAATGTTTGGTATACTGAGTGTATATCTACAGTATTAAGAATGTGGTTCTTCGTGGCAATGTTGATGGCAGCACACATCCTGAAATATCGGTTGGTTTTGTGTTTGTTTTCTAGACACCTCAGATGAAAAGCACAACTCTCTCAACTCTCACGGCAGAGAACTGAAAAGGGTTAGTATTTATTGTAACAGTCAGTGAATATTCTCCTTATTTTCCCAGTAACACAGTCAGTGAATATTCTCCTGATAACTATTAACTGAACCCTTGTCTGTCTGTGTCTCTATAGGAGAGCTCTTTTGGCAGGCGTTCCTCCCAGGGCAGTCATCACTCTGAGGAAAGGGTTCCCCGTCCGCGGCGCCGGTGGTCCAGAGGCATGGGCAGCATGGAGCTGATGGTCAAGTCCATGTTGGACCTCAGACAGCTGGATTCCTTCGCCATGCCCCCCTCCTCCCCCACCAAGACCAAGAACCAACCTGATGCTGACTCTTTCAGAGACCCATTCAGGGAAGACGAGCTGGGCAGTACCATCAGCCTGCAACCCCTTACTGCATGGGTGAGTGGATCACAGAGGAGAGAGAGGGAAATATTCAACCACTTGTGGAAGTGAAGTGGGACTTCAAAAAGGCTTCTTTGTCTTTGTCCCAAATGGCACCCTAATCCCCATATAGTGCACTACTTTTGACCAGGGCCCATAGGAACCCTTATAGGTAGAATAAAGTATACTTTATTATTCAAACCGTCAGAACTCATACTAATATGCCTCTTGTCTGTTTGCGTCTCTGTTTGCTCCTTGCAGGGGGATGAGTCTGAGCAGAGGTCCCAGCAGCGACCCCACTACATCATGCTCTCTCCACAGACCCCAGAGACTGAGACAGGCTCAGTGCTCTACCCCGAGGGCTGTGAGGACAGGGTCAGCTTAGCTGGCAGGTAAACTCTCGCCATTAGTGTGTCTCATTTTCTCCTCACTGTATATTGCCCAAAATACACTATGTAGTTTGGGCCTTTAGTTTTCCCTGACCAAGTGCCTCTGACCTGAAAACACTCCTGGGGTTGTATTTATAAAGCATCCCAAAGTATACTGAACAAAAATATGAACGCAACATGTAAAGTGTTGGTCCCATGTTTCATGAGCTGAAATAAAAGATGTATCTATGTCCACCAGAGCTGTTGCCAGAGAATTGAATGTTAATTTCTCTACCATAAGCCGCCTTCAACGTCGTTTAAGAGAATTTGGCAGTTTGTCCAACCGGCCTCACAACCGCAGACCAATGTATAACCATGCCAGCCCGGGATCTCCACATCCGGCTTCTTCACCTGCGGGATCGTCTGAGGCCAGCTTTCCGGACAGCAGATGAAACTGAGGCGTATTTCTGTCTGTAATAAAGCCTTTTTGTGGGGAAAAACTAATTCTGATTGGCTTGGCCTGGCTCCCAGTCATGTGAAATCCATAGATTAGGGCCTAATTTATTTATTTCAATTAACTGATTTCCTTATATGAACTGTAACTCAGTAAAATTGTTGCATGTTGCGTTTTATATTTTTGTTCAGTATAGTTCTGATCTAGGGTCAGTTTTGCCTTTTGGGTTATAACGCAAAGACCAGGGAGACCTTATCCTAGATCAGCACACCTAATCTGAGACACTTTATGAATACCAGCCCTGGCCCCTACATATCAGATACCGTAGTCCATATATACAGTATATATACCATCTAGTCTGGCTGGGCTCCCGAGTGGCGCAACGGTCTAAGGCACTGCATCTCAGTGCTTGAGGCGTCACTACAGACCCCCTGGTACGATTCCAGGCTGTATCACAACCGGCTGTGATTGGGAGTCCCATAGGGCGGTGCACAATTGGCCCAGCGTCGTCCGGGTTTGGCCGGTGTAGGCCGTCATTGTAAATAATAATTTGTTCTTAACTGACTTGCGTAGTTAAATAAAGGTTAAATACAATCTTTTTAAATAGTGGATATATGGATTGGGACTATCTGTGTGTTTCTTCTGTAGTGAGTACCTAGTGAAAGAGCTACTGCCCGGGTCTGGGGCCAACAGGAGTGTGAAGGGGTACCAGAACCACAACCAGTGGAGCCAGGGCCACCATGACAAACACAGCCCAGACAGCGCCTGTTCTGTGGACTACTCCAGCAGCAGACGGTCCAGCCCAGACAGTCAGCAGCAGCCGCCTGGAGAGGGTGAGACACACGCAAACACAGAGGTGTAGGATATTAACTTGACCTATATTGTCACTGCAAAATATTCCTGCAGCAACAGGATTTGATGTTTAGTCCACAATGTTGCTTGATCGGTGGTTAGGCTATTAGCTGGCCAAAAGTAGGCCACATGAAAAGTGCAATACTGTAATATAAGTGTTAGTGTGGGTTTTCAGTGAAATAATGTAAATCACAAAGTCATCTGCATTTCCTGGATAAGTACAACAAACCATTTTTTTCACCAATCAAGATTCAAACAGATGTCTTTTTTTTTTAACAACTCCGGATATCTGTGTGTTTTCTGTGTTGTGTGAGTACAGGTTAAGTTCTACCAGGAAAAATAAAGTTCTTCAAATCTATTTTCTCTGTGTCAGACTCTGAGCCCACAGAGCCTCTCAGTGTGGATGGGAACTCCTCTGAATTGGACATGGAGGAACTGGAGGAGGAAGAGGAGGGGGGCGTAGGGAGGGGAGAGGCCAAGGGGACAACAGTAGTACCTCAGACCCCTGATCAGGAGGCCTTCCTCAAACAGCACTTTGGCAACCTGGCTGAGCTTAAAAACCCAGGTAAGAACAGCATATATGTCCCAGTTATCTCTCCTTGACTGGTATAAGACATTTGGTGGAAACTCCCACTAGCCCATTCCTCCACCAATTCAATGCTTTTAGATTTGTGGGAGGTAGTGCACGAGTGCACACTGCAGGAGAATATATATATTATTGGGATGCACCCACAGAGATCCAAGAAAGCTTCCCTTTCAACTGGCACATGGAATATTCAATTCAAACTTTATTTACCGCACAGGGAAATTCATTGTGCAGCCAGGAGTGCATTAGACACAATACTATACACATAAAGACACACACAAGGTAATAGTAAAAATATTTCAGATGTATTCATTGTATTTCTCCTCTTTGATTGTCAGTGAGCCCGACCAGAGTTGTCACCCCTGACAGTGTCAGCATCTCCTCCAAGTTCCTGTCCCAATGCTCTGCTGGAAGGTATGCCATACCTACACTACAAAGTATGTGGACACCTGCTCGTCGAACATCTCATTCCAAAATCATGGGCATTAATATGGAGTTGGTCCCACCTTTGCTGCTATAACAGCCTCCACTCTTCTGCGATGACTTTCCACTAGATGTTGGAACGTTGCTGCAGGGACCTGTTTCCATTCAGCCACGAGAATTAGTGAGGTCGGGCACTGATGTTGGGCGATTAAGCCTGGCTCGCAGTCGGCGTTCCAATTCATCCCAAAGGTGTTCGATGTGGTTGAGGTCAGGGCTCTGGGCAGGCCAGTCAAGTTCTTCCACACCGATCTCAACAAACCATTTCTATATGGACCTCGCTTTGTGCACGGGGGCATTGTCATGCTGAAATAGGAAGGGGCCATCCCCAAACTGTTGCCACAAAGTTGGAAGCACAGAGTCGTCTAGAATGTCATTGTATGCTATAGCGTTAAGATTTCCCTTCACTGGAACTAAGGGGCCTAGCCAGAACCATGACAAACAGCCCCAGACCATTACTCCTCCACCAAACTTTACAGTTGGCGCTATGCATTGGGGCAGGTAGCGTTCTCCTGGCATCCGCCAAACCCAGATTCATCCGTCGGACTGCCAGATGGTGAAGTGTGATTATCACTCCAGAGAACGCGTTTCCACTGCTCCAGAATCCAATGGCGGCGAGCTTTACACCACTCCAGCTGACACTTGGCATTGTGCATGGTGATCTTAGGCTTGTGTGCGGCTGCTCGGCCATGGAAACCCATTTCATGAAGCTCCCAACAAACAGTTATTGTGCTTCCAGAGGCAGTTTGGAACTCAGTAGTGAGTGTTGCTGAGGACAGACGATTTGTACGCGCTACACACTTCAGCACTCGGCAGTCCCATTCTGTGAGCTTGTGTGTCTTATCACTTCGCGGCTGAGCCGTTGTTGCTCCAAGACGTTTCCACTTCACAATAACAGCACTTACAGTTGACCGGGACGGGACAGCTCTAGCAGGGCAGAAATTTGACGAACTGACTTGTTGGAAAGGTGGCATCCTATGACAGTGCCACGTTGAAAGTCACTGAGCTCTTCAGTACGGGCCATTCAACTGCCAATGTTTGTATATGGAGATTGCATGGCTGTGTGCTCGATTTTATACACATGGTGTGGCTGAAATAGCCAAATCCACTAATTGGAAGGGGTGTCCACATACTTTTAGTGTATCAGTTAGTTGACCAAAGAAAATTCTGTTAACCCATACTCATCTATCTCAAAAGTGAGCTATCCTTTTAAATCTACTGAATATGTTGACCAACAGTCCTAACTGAATGCTCACTGTTTTTCCTTTCTAGCAGGACTGCCTTTCCATTCCCATCGAAGAGCGGTGGTGAGGGGAAGGTAGCCAGCGGTGTGGTGAGGCCCCTGGTCTCTGAGGTGAGGCCCCTCATGGAGCAGAGCCAAGGCCAGAGCCACAACCAGGGCCAGAGCCACAGCCACAACCAGGGCCAGAGCCACAGCCACAACCAGGGCCAGAGCCAAGGCCACAGCCAGGGCCAGAGCCACAGCCAGGGCCAGAGCCAGGGCCAGAGCCAAGGCCAGGGCCACAGCCAGGACCAGAGCCACAGCCAGAGCCACAACCAGGGCCAGAGCCACAACCTGGGCCAGAGCCACAACCAGGGCCAGAGCCACAGCCAGGACCAGAGCCACAGCCAGGACCAGAGCCACAGCCAGAGCCAGAGCCACAACCTGGGCCAGAGCCACAACCTGGGCCAGAGCCACAACCAGGGCCAGAGCCACAGCCAGGACCAGAGCCACAGCCAGAGCCACAGCCAGGACCAGAGCCACAGCCAGGACCAGAGCCACAGCCAGAGCCACAGCCAGGACCAGAGCCACAGCCAGAGCCACAGCCAGGACCAGAGCCACAGCCACAGCCAGGACCAGAGCCAGAGCCACAGCCAGGACCAGAGCCACAGCCAGGGCCACAGCCAAGGCCAGAGCCACGGCCAGAGCCACAGCCAGGACCAGGGCCAGAGCCACAACCAGGGCCAGAGCCACAGCCAGAGCCAGAGGAAGGGCTCAGAAGACTCTCAGAAGGGCACTACCGGGAGATTAGAAGTAGTGGACACTACCACTACGGAGAAGGGTCTGAATCTGCGTGCCTCTCCTCTGAGGAAGAAGCTGTTTAACCCTGCAGTGGACTCCCGTAGGATGGTCAGCCCCGTGGCCAAGGCTGCAGCCTCACACCTCACCTCTACAGGCATGAGGAAGTCCCAGTCAGTCCAGAACCTGCACACTGAGGGTGAGTGATCGGAAGTGATTGTGATAATGTCTAGCTAGTGTATTGATGTTATGATAATGTATTACAGGAACATTTTATGATGATGTATTGCAGAAAAATATTATGATTTAAAAAGGTCCTCATCTTATATTCTATGCATGGTGTAAAAGGTCAAGCTCTTCCTTGAATGTCTGATAAGAGACAGAAATGTTGTTAACACTGCCCTGGCTTGCATAGCCTAATTATTTACCTTCCTTCTCTGTCTGTCCCTCTCTTGTTACCAGTAGAAATGCCTCTGACCCTGTCTCGGCCCTCCAAGGAGGTGGCCCCCCAGCCCCATCACTCCCAGTCTCATCAACCCCAGGCCAATGAGCGTCCAGTGACCCTCCCCACCACCCCCCGCCGCACCCTGCCCAGTGTGCCTCCCCTCTGCAGCCCCACCTCCGCACAACCCCGGGACAGCACCAGTACCAGTCACAGCACTGCCACCACACCCAGGAGCCTCAAGTCCCGCTGCTCCTACATGAGCCCCACCACCAGCTCCATGGCCAAGATGTCCCGCTCCGTGTCCATGGGAGACAGCCTAAACGTGGCTGAGGAAGAGTCTGGGTCTGGGTCTACAGAGTCACGCAGGGGGTCCAGCTTTGACACCTCAAACGCTCCCACCAAGAGTCGGAGCTGCTCCTCCCAGAGTCCTAGTACTAAATCGTCTACCCCCGTGGCCATGTTCTCTTCCACCTTAGCCGCCTCCTCCCCTTTGGCGTTGGGTTTAGCCATGCCCCATGCTGCAGTTATCCCCACCCTCATCAATAGCTCTCCTAGCAACTCCAACCCCAGCCCAACCACCAAGAGCCTGCAGGCTAAGCTGACGTGCAGCACCCGGCCCCAACTCAACCTGGACATCTCCAAGCCCCTCCCAGACAAGTCCTCCCTGGCAGTCTTCACTTCCAACAGTACTTCCAAGACCGCCACCTCCTCCAAGACTGTCAAAGAGGACAACAACCTCTCCTCCAGATCCCCAGTCAGCTTGTTACCTCACCAGGGCCAGACTCATCCAGTGCTCTCCAACAAAGTCCAGCTAGTCTCTGCACTGTCCCTCTACCCTGCCGATCCTGTGGGGACTAGCCCAGCTCAGAGTCCTGAGGCCACCTTGATAGACAACAGACTAGAACAGCCAAAGACGGAGGAGAGCCAGGGCCTGACTCAGGAGGAGAGCCCCGTGATGGAGGTGTCTCTACAGGGCAGTCCCGTCTACCTGCTGTCATCTGGAGGACCCGGCCAGGACCGCACAGGTTTGCTCCAACGTTCTCCCTCCTTCCTCCTGTCATCTCTGCGTCTGGGCCTGCCCCTGGCCAGCACCAAGCACTTCTTTACTACTGGTGCCATGTGGCCTGCTATCTCAGTCTCCACCCCTATGTACTCTACACCTTCACCTTCACCATGTCCGTGTCCTCCGTCACTTAACCGTTTTCTCCTGAAGGGTGAGGCATGCTCTCTCTCTCTCTCTCATGTCCCTCTTTCTTTTTCTCTTTCTCTCCATCTCTCTCACTTCCCCATTTCCATTAAGACTGTTCCCTCTGTGGTCCTCTTGTCTGTCCTTTCCTTCCTTGTGTAATAGCTAGAACATAGCCTTGTATTAACATACCAACTATGGGTTGGCCAATGAAATAACCTAGCTATTGTCTGTCTTGCTGTTTTTGTTTTTGACTTGACTAGTTTATTGTGCTCTAGACTGACACATATGATGAGACTTGCAGTATGATGGTTTTAGCAGCGTCAGCCTGACCATGTATAACTCCCTTTTTATTAGACGGTTCTCTCAGTATGGAGTCGTGCAGGGTGGTGGCCAGCGAGCTACAGAACACCTTTAGGAAGGCCTCCCAGCTCTACAGGATGGTGAGTCACTCACTCCCCCAATAAGTAGCCTATTCACTAAAAGTATTTGTTTACATTGGCTACTATTTTATTGACCACTATCTGTCTGTTTTATTGAAGAGTGGTTTTATGTCAAGTTTACATGAATGTTTTAGAACATTTCCATACACAAATGTTTTGTGGTAATGTTGGTCATGTCTGTGTCTTGCAGGTGAACAGTGTGCCTGTAGACTCCAGGCTGGAGCACCATGAGATGGCCCAGGTCCTGTCTGAGGCCTTTGAGGTGGTGAGGGCCGAGCTGAGCTCCCTGCCCCAGAGCTCACCACCATCCCCCTCTGGAGAACCTGCAGCAGGAGGCTCCCTGTGTACAGTGGGCTGCCGGCCTGTAGGACCAGGGACAGGGGGATCAGCCTCAGGGGAGGAGAGGACTCTGGCTCTGCTGGAGCAGTACTCTGAGCTCCTCCTCAAAGCTGTGGAGAAGAGGCTGGACAACAAGCAGCTCTCCTAGACACTCCTCAAGGGAGAAACATCTTCTTTCACCCCCTTCCTTTAAGACTGAACCAATCAATCCCCTTGCAAAAGAAGGATCTGAAGCCAATGTGCAAGGATATCTGCAGACTACAGTACTTTTTTTTTATCGACATGTTTTGAAAATGAACAGATTAAAATATTCCTGAAGGATGCCTGTACATAATTTTTAGAAGTTTTTTTTTTTTTTTTTTAGGACTTTTCTCTCTGCTGGACTCTCTGGTTGGGTGGTCCTCTCTCTCCCTGTCAGATCTCTGTAGGCCCGGAGGGGTTGTGAGGGTTGCACTCAGCACAATGGCCCACTGTTGTAGGCCAACATGTAACCCTCATAACCAACAGCACAGATACTGATACTGTAGGGAGGCTCCTCAGGATGATCGATGCCTCAGCATTCATTCCCAGTGTGGCTGAGCTGCGCTACAGACTGTCATTCATCACCCTTCCTCCCTCTAATATATTGTGTGCTACCTACAGTACCTACCAGACACCTGAACTCTCACAATCACTCATTTTATTTACCCCTGTTGCCAAATATTGTGCGCTGCTACTTTGTTTTAATGAAGTTGTTGTTATGGAAATGCCAGATGCCCTAGAGTTGCGTTGGAGCCAGTGGCATAGCGTAGTTTCGCGGGCCCCCACTGCAAGATCCCCCCCCCCCCCCCCCCCCCCCCACACAAGAGAGAATAATGTGCAGGTTTGTTGCTAATCTCATGCTATTTTACACATTTTGCCATGAGGATGAGAGAAAATGTTGATGTTTTAGAGCTCAAGGATTCTTGAAAGAAGGGACAATGGGACAATCAACTTTTTTTCCACAAATATTTGTCTTAATATTAACAACAGTTTAAATATATATTCTGGTAGACCAAAGTATCAGCTATCACATCATGTACAGGAACAACCTCCTAACTTCTCCAAACTTATTTTTGTTTTGTTTTATAGCATTATTAAATGCTCCAGGACTAATTTCTTTAGCATTTTGACATGTTTTCTAGATTTAGAACATAAAACATTTATAAAGCAAACATTATCCTTTAGGTCTAACACAGCAAATACTTCAATTGTTTAAGCATATGTTGCAGAACAGTGATGAAAATATTCAGAATATAAAAAATATATAAACGATCATAAGGGAGTGGGCCATCAGTGACGGAGTGGACAAACCACTGACAGAGTTGACAACCGATGCTCAAAACAGACATTTTTTTGCCACTAAAAATAAATGTTCAATACAAACATTTGTAAAATATGGAACATTATTCATTTGAAAATCCCCAATAAAAACACAACTTTACAGACCATGACTGGTCTTGTTGCACTACATGTAATGAGGACATGAATAAGGGGTCCTTATGATATAGATGTTCCTGCTCATTCCTGATTCATTTAGGATTTTAGACAAATCTGACGGAGTTTACAATCTCCGGACACATCTTTTAGGAATCAGTTTTGAGATAAATATTATTTAAAGTCACAGAGGGCTATTGCAAGAAACTACATAAGATCATTTTTCAGTTAATATCCATAATTGCCTGTTTTATAGAATTTAAAATGGGGTTCCTATGCTCCGGACAAGGGCATTTCCAGGCATACAGCCGACATGGAAATTAATAATATTGAAAGTATTTTGAAAATTCCCAAAACAAAACAAGTAAATTTTAAGCTCAAATAATGCAACAAAATCTTTTTTTTTTTTACTATAAAATTAAAGTTTCCCTGCCGGACAAGGATTGTCTCGACTTTCAAGAATCCCTGAGCAAATGTCCTGCTATTCTACACATTTTGCCATGAGGCTGAAAGAAAATGTTGCATTTTTAAAGCTAATTTCCTGTCATTCCCAAAAACAAAATCATGGCTTATGACGTGTTCGTATGCTATATGGGGGACCTGACCTCCGGGCGGGTGGGCCACCTGCCTTGCAGGGGCGTGTGCTATGCCAGTGGTTGGAGCTTGATGGTGGCTGTCATTTTGGGTAGAAGAAGCAGCACTTTTTGGACAATCGGAGGGCATTGCTGTTCAATGCCATTCCTGACCCCAGTGCTCTAAAACAATACAAACAATTATGATCGCTACAATGTGAAATGTCTGTGTTGGTGTACCCGTCCCTACCAGGGCTTTTACCCACCGACACCAGGCCATAGCCGCCACCACACTACTTGAGGAATACAGGACCCTTCCAAGTCTTAAAAGCCAGATTATCAGACATAAACATGTTTTAGTGTGTGATTTGATTTGATACATTGTTTTGAGAGGCCCTGTCTGTGTGTGATGTGTGGTTGTATTTATCATGTTGGAAAATGTCCATGTTACAAAGGGAGCTGTCAGGCCCTTGTGAGTTGTACGGTTTGTTTTGTTACCGCTGACAGTATGTTTTGTACCAGAGCTAAGTCACCAGTAGGGGACCAACATTGCAAAAACAGAAGACTTGAAGATCTACAGTATCAACGGAGTCTCCTCGTTCATTAACTATGCTGGATGGTTTTATAAAACGTGAATTGTAGTCCCAGTACATTTTTTGTATTCCAAATTGATGTTTAAGATGTGCAAACAATAATACAAATGTCTCAAGGAAATGGGTGCCTTAATTCAAAACCAGCATTTTTCATGGTTTCAAATTTGTTGGGTTGTACCAAAATAATATTGAATTGTAATCAAAAGGCAACTACTGAAATTGAGCTACTGCTGTGGGAATGGAATGACACTGAGGAGAAGCATTTTCTGATGACACTGAAGAGAGACATCACATCTTAGGGTTGGGTTACCTGAGGTCAAGACCCCAGAACATATTTAACTCACAGATCTTGCATCGGATACAAAGAATTATTTCCACACCTCTTAAGAATTCCTCAACATTCATTGGCTCTTGGCTGGCTGTGGTGTTTTCATCCTGGTCCCTGGCACTTTTCCATCCCAATAACAATGCACTTTCATTCCTATAAAAACTGTCATAGGTCAGATGAATGTCTTTGTAATAGCTTAGGCTACTAAACTAAACCTGGGTCTCTGTGTAAAGGTGTAACTGTTGTGTCAAAGGCTCACAGACTTATTTTTGTTTTACTGCTGCTATGACTGTCTGCAGACTAGCACATCACTGCCCTCTGCTGTTGAACCTCCATCACTGCCCAGCTGCTACTAAGACAGAATGCCCTATCACTCCCCTCCCACCACTCATCTCTGGTCAAGATCCTGATATTCTGTGCTGTTTTAATACACTAGTGCTCTGAAACAATATTTTAAATCACCTGTGCATACAGTACTGGGGATTTTCTCAGTTGTTGATAGACTTAGTTATAAACTTACACTTATTGGTAGAAACAGCCTGATCAGGTTACCCAAAGGTTCTTACAGCCTCTCAAAATGCCATGCCTAGAACTCTTATATTTTCTCTAGTTTTGATTAAAGCATTATGTACACAACTAGATGAATGTGCATGGACAGACCGCAAAGATTTAAAATAGCTGTCAAACCCTGAAATGACATGAGCAATGGTATAGAAAAGAATGAATTATATTCTGCTGTTTATTAGTTATTCAGTATTTCCCCCATCTGACTGACATTCAGAACTGTGACCTTAACTAGACTGGAGGTTTCATTAAGACATAGGATTGTGTTGCCAGTATGCATCAGTATGTATGCATGTAGGGTGTGGAGGTTGACTGACTGGCTCGTTCCTAAGTAGGATTGCATGGTTTCACTGTATGAGTCCATCCCGCTCTTTTTCACTCACTGGTATAATCTGTAGCTGACCCTCGTTCTAAATAACCTCACCTTTTGTATGATGATTACGGACCAGAATGTTCCTCTTTAAGGAATGATCACTTCTCTGACATTGAGCTTTTGTTTTCTGTTTTGCACCAACCTCAGTTCAGTGTTCTTAGTGTTTTTACTGTATACCCTCCCTGTACTTCTCTTTCTGCTGGAGAATAAAAACATATTTATTACACTCAACTAGTTTTTTCAGACTGAGCGCTTTATTTACATAGGATACATCCCAAATGGCACCCTATTCCCTATATACTGAACTACTTTTAACTAGAGCCCTATGGGCCCTGGTCAAAAGTAGTGCACTATAAAGGGATTAGGGTGCAATTTGAGAGACCACATAACGACATTTGCTGGTATATCAGATTAATTTAATGTGATGTCAAAGCGGCCCCACAGCTCCAGCCAGCGACTCCACCAGCTGGAAGTAGTTGTATTTGATGTCATACTCCATGTCATACCAGAAATTCACTGGGGAAGGAAACAAAAACATGTTTAAAGATACATACATGATCCTTGTAAACAGAGCCTCAATAGTAAGGCTGGGATTTGCCAGGAACCTCACGATACTTCGGTGCAGATACGATATGTATTGCGATTATATATTTTTTACAAATTGATACTTGGGAGTCACAGTATTGATATATAAAATCGGCAAGGACTAGTTGTAGTACCTGCAATGCAACCGTGAGACTGGCGGACATGGTGGAACCAGAGAGAGGGCAGGTAGAGCATCTCCCCGGCCTTGACAGTAACATGGAGTGGGCGTGCCAGGCGGTAGTCAGGGTAACGCTCCAGGTCTGGCTTTAACGGGTCCAATGGTATCCAAGGAACCTGGGAAGAGAAAGGGAATTGCTGTTTCACTGCACAGATCATCAGATATCACAATGCCTGGAAAAGGTTTTGACATCATGATTGTAGAATGCCAGTGGATTCCTATCCAAAATAAACTAATAGGCTCACTTCACTCAAACCCACCTTGTCTGAATCTGCCACATCAACCACATCGAAGTCCCCGTCTTCTCTCTGTCTGTACACTGCAGGCTGGTAGTGCTCTGAGAAAAAAAACACGGCCACAAAGTGGGCTTTTCATAAAAATAACAGGATGCACAACATGACATGGACTCAATTTAGTGTGTCTAATATTGTACAATTATATATATAGATATATATACAGTACCAGTCAACAGTTTGGAACACCTACTCATTCAAGGCTTTTTCTTTATTTTTACTATTTTCTACATTGTAGAATAATAGTGAAGATATCAAAACTATGAAATAACACATATGGAATCATGTAATAACCAAAAAAGTGTTAAACAAATCAAAATATATTTTATATTTGAGATTCTTCAAATAGCCACCCTTTGGCTTGATGACAGCTTTCCACACTCTTGGCATTCTCTCAACCAGCTTCACCTGGAATGCTTTTCCAACAGTCTTGAAGGAGTTCCCACATATGCTGAGCACTTGTTGGCTGCTTTTCCTTCACCCTGCCGTCCGACTCATCCCAAACCATCTCAATTGGGTTGAGATCGGGGGATTGTGGAGGCCAGGTCATCTGATGCAGCACTCCATCACCCTCCTTCTTGGTAAAATAGCCCTTACACAGCCTGGAGGGTCATTGTCCTGTTGAAAAACAAATGATAGTCCCACTAAGCCCAAACCAGATGGGATGGCGTATCGCTGCTGAATGCTGTGGTAGCCATGCTGGTTAAGTGTGCCTTGAATTCTAAATAAATCACAGACAGTGTCACCAGCAAAGCACCATAACACCTCCTCCTCCATGCTTTACGGTGGGAACTACGCATGTGGAGATCATCCGTTCACCCACACCGCATCTCACAAAGAAATAAATGATCTCACTCCAATACAGTTTACCTATTTGCTTATGGTCTTGCCTACACCTACCGAACAGTTTTTTAAATTCTATGAGAAAACAATATTCAATTTTATTTGGAACGGCAAGCCAGACAAAATTAAACAGGCCTATTTATATAATGAATATGAATTCAGAGAACAGAAATTATTAAATATTAAAGCATTAGACCTATCAATAAAAGCTTATACAAAAGTTATACTTAAATCCAAACTGGTTCTCTAGCAAATTAGTCAGATTGTCTCACCCCATGTTCAAGAATGGCCTTTTTCCCTTTATTCAGATTACAACCTTTCACTTTCAGTTATTTGAAAAGGAAATAATCTCCCAAATATCACTATTTCTAAAACAAGCCATAGAAAGTTGGTTGCAATTTCAATTTAATCCTCCAGAAACCACAGAACAAATAATGCAACAAATATTGTGGTTAAACTCAAATATACTAATTCATAGAAAACCATTATTTTTTGAATATTTTTTTTTTTAAAGGTATAATCTTCGCAAATGATATCATAGGTAGGACTGGTGGAGTAATGTTGCACATGCAGCTAACAAAAACATATGGAAATGTCTGCTCTCCCAAAATTACAACCAAATAATTGCAGCATTACCGCAAAAATGGAAGAGGAAAGTGGAAGGGGGAAAAAGTAAGGAACTTGTCTGTCGGCCCTGCATTAAATAACATAATTGCTTAAAGAAAATTGTGATAAATAAAAAAGTATACCAGTTTCATTTAAGGACCAAAGGATTGACAGCCGTCCCATTTACAGTTGAAGTCAGAAGTTTACATACACTTATCTTTGATTGACAGGGTCCTGAAAAGGGGACGATTATTTTTTTGCTGAGTTTACAGTTGAAGTCGGAAGTTTACATACACTTAGGTTGGAGTCATTAAAACTCGTTTTTCAACCACTCCAGAAATTTCTTGTTAACAAACTATAGTTTTGGCAAGTCGGTTAGGACATCTACTTTGTGCATGACATAAGTAATTTTTCCCACAATTGTTTACAGACAGATTATTTCACTTATAATTCACTGTATCACAATTCCAGTGGGTCAGAAGTTTACATACACTAAGTTGACTGTGCCTTTAAACAGCTTGGAAAATTCCAGAAAATGATGTCATGGCTTTAGAAGCTTCTGATAGGCTAATTGACATCATTTGAGTCAATTGGAGGTGTACCTGTGGATGTATTTAAAGGCCTACCTTCAAACTCAGTGCCTCTTTGATTGACATCATCGGAAAATCAAAAGAAATCAGCCAAGATCTCAGAAAATAAATTGTAGACCTCCACAAGTCTGGTTCATCCTTTTTTTCAGCAATTTCCAAATGCCTGAAGGTACCACGTTCATCTGTACAAACAATAGTACGCAAGTATAAACACCATGGGACCACGCAGCCGTCATACCGCTCAGGAAGGAGACGCGTTCTGTCTCCTAGAGATGAACGTACTTTGGTGTGAAAAGTGCAATTCAATACCAGAACAACAGCAAAGGACCTTGTGAAGATGCTGGAGGAAACAGGTACAAAAGTATCAATATCCATAGTAAAACGAGTCCTATATCGACATAACCTGAAAGGCTGCTCAGCAAGGAAGAAGCCACTGCTCCAAAACCGCCATAAACAAGCCAGAATACGGTTTGCAACTGCACATGGGGACAAAGATCGTACTTTTTGGAGAAATGTCCTCTGGTCTGATGAAACAAAAATATAACTGTTTGGCCATAATGACCATCGTTATGTTTGGAGGAAAAAGGGGGCTGCTTGCAAGTGTTGGCGGTGGTCCTCGCTCTGGAGGAATGGAGACACTGGCTGGAGGGTGCAGTCCATCCATTCTGGATTCTTACTGACCAATGGAATTTGGAGCACATACGGGCAGCGAAATGGACGAACTCTCGTCAAGCCAGGTGGGCCCAATTTCTCACTCGCTTCTAATTGATTCTGTCCTACCGCCCAGGATCCCAGAATGTGAAGGCCGACGCACTCTCCAGGATGCACCATACCGGAGAAAGGAAGGATCTGGGGGGTCCTATCCTGCCCTCGTCTCTCATCGTGGCACCTGTCGTTTGAGATGTGGACGAAAACATCCGTCTGGCGGCTCAGGAGGACCCAGCGCCTGCCAACGCCCCTCCGGGGCGCGTGTATGTACCCACCAGTGTCCGTGACTGCCTGCTGATCTGGGCGCACACTACCCTTACGGCAGGGCACTCTGGTATTACGTGCACCCTGCATTCTCTAGCCCAAAAATACTGGTGGCCCACCTTGGCTTCTGATGTCTCCCGCTATGTCAACTCCTGTTCCGTATGTGCCCAAACGAAGACACCTCTGAACGCCCCGGCAGGCAAACTAGTTCCTCTCCCAGTGCCTCAGCGACCTTGGTCAAACCTGTCATAGACTTTGTCACCGACCTTCCACGTTCTGACGGCTTCACCACAGTCATGGTAGTCGTAGATCGGTTCTCCAAATCATGGGGGGGTGGGTACTGTCACGTCTCCTCCCATTACTCCCCTCCGGCGCTCTGATTCGCCAGTCTACTAAGCCACCGGTCTGAGCGCACACCTCGGCAACACCGGAATGGAAACCCAACGCACCCTAATCACCTCCAGCGCACCTGCACCTCATCACCACCCCAATTTAGCCCTGGACTGTTCTGGATGATGTTTTGTGTGATTGTTAAGCTTCGTGTTGTTTACTCTATGTTTGTTATTTCTCGTTCTCATTGTTAAGTAAACCTTGACCTTGTTTATTCCTGCGTCTGTGTCCTGCCTCTTCGTATACTCAGTACTCGTCACAATTGCTTGTGTTTCTTGGCCCAAGCAAGTCTCTTCTTCTTATTGGTGCCCTTTAATAGTGGTTTCTTTGCAGCAATTCAACCATGAAGGCCTAATTCACACAGTCTCCTCTGAACAGTTGATGTTGAGATGTGTCTGTTACTTGAACTCTGAAGCATTTATTTGGGCTGCAATTTCTGAGGCTGGTAACTCTAATGAACTTATCCTTTGCAGCAGAGGTAATTCTTGGTCTTCCATTCCTGTGGCGGTCCTCATGAGAGCCAGTTTCATAATAGCGCTTGATGGATTTTGAGACTGCACTTGAATAAACTTTAAAAGTTATTGTAATTTTCCGTATTGACTGACCTTCATGTCTTAAAGTAATGATGGACTGTCGTTTCTCTTTGCTTATTTGAGCTGTTCTTGCCGTAATATGGACTTGGTCTTTTACAAAATAGAGCTATCTTCTGTATACCACCCCTACCTTGTCACAATACAAGTGATTGGCTCAAACGCATTAAGAAGGAAAGAAATTCCACAAATTAAACTTTTAACAAGGCACACCTGTTAATTGAAATGAATTCCAGGTGACTACCTCATGAAGCTGGTTGAGAGAACGCCAAGAGTGTGCAAAGCTGTCATCAAGGCAAAGGGTGGCTATTTGAAGAATCTCAAATATAAAATATATTTTGATTTGTTTAACACTTTTTTGGTTACTACATGATTCCATATGTGTTATTTCATAGTTTTGATGTCTTCACTATTATTCTACAATGTAGAAAATAGTAAAAATAAAGAAAAACCCTTGAATGAGTAGGTGTTCTAAAACTTTTGACTGGTACTGTACATTTACTGTATATAGAAATATATAGTTGAGACTGTTGAATGTCTTACCATACGGGATAAAGGGCCGGTCAGACGGAGGGAGAAGGATGAAGTGTTTCTCTCCAGTGATGACACAGTACAGGTTCTCATAGTGGTCCTTATGCACTGGGAAACAAATACACTGATTTCAAGTTCAGAAAATCCAAAAAGGTAGTTAGGCCTACATTCAATCAGATCAAATGTTAACCGGCGAGAGCAGACACCCGCATAGCGTATGTTTTGGCGGTGTCGGAGGTGGAACTGCGTTGGAGCCGTTAGATTGGTGAGCAGCTGCTTTTGCATCACTGGCACAAAGCCACACCCGCCCCACACGTTAGAAGTTCAGAACAAGAAAGTGTAGGCTATATAGACATAATTACGCTCAGATTGAAAAATCATTAACGAAATGAGGATTTCAATCATCCTAATCGAGGTGTAGATTACATCTCACATTCCAGTGTTCAAACTTGTAAACACGGCTGCATGGGAATTCTGTTCATGTGACTGTGCAGCCAATGGCAATGTCCGCTTTAGGTATAATGCTGGGAACCACTTGTGCATTTGACAGCTCTAATGCAGTTCCACCTCATACACCGCCAAATCAACTGCTATGCGGATGTTGGTTAAAGTGGATCTGATTGAATCGAGCCCTTAGTTCTGTAACTTTACAGTAATCCTATGCATCAAAGACATGCAAATAGCCATCAACGTGTTGCCATCTCAATGTGGGTGTTACTAGACCACTACTTACTCGACGTGACTGCACTGGCTTCTCCTAACCAGAAATTCACTGCATCTGGTAACTTCCCTGGGGAAAATAAAAAAGCAAACACTGAAGCCTGGAATTATAAGGACTGCATGCAGTGTCCTGAGATGGCAGAGGAGCCAAAGAGACTTTTCCTAACCACTGGCGCTGTGTGGTGGCTTTTCTGGCGCTATTCAGCAGCTGAAGCATCACCCAGTTGGGTGCTACACTGTTGTCAATGGAGGACTAGGACCACTAGGAAAATATGAACGTCGGAGATGGCAGAGACCCGAAGAAGAGCTCTGTCTGTCTGATTGACTTTCTCCCAGACCCTGACTAACAATTGATGCCCCTTTCTCCACTCAAGCCATACCAGAGACTGCCTTTCCAAACTGCCTCTACTTCTATCTGATGCTGACTAGAGACACCATTCACTTTCTATGTTTGATAATCTTTTGTGTTCGTTTATTTTCTGTCTCTGACTTTGTAATATCCCAGTCACGTTTTAAAAAATGTATGTACTGTGTGTACAGTTGAAGTCGTAAGTTTACATACACTTAGGTTGGAGTCATTAAAACTTTTTTTTCAACCACTCCACACATTTCTTGTTAACAAACTATAGTTTTGACATGTCGGTTAGGACATCTACTTTGTGCATGACACATCTAATTTTTCCAACAATTCTTTACAGACAGATTATTTCACTTATACTTCACTGTATCACAATTCCAGTGGGTCAGAAGTTTACATACACTAAGTTGACTGTGCCTTTAAACAGCTTGGAAAATTCCAGAAAATGATGTCATGGCTTTAGAAGCTTCTGGTAGGCTAATTGACATCATTTGAGTCAATTGGAGGTTTACCTGTGGATGTATTTCAAGGCCTACCTTCAAACTCAATGCCTCTTTGCTTGACATCATAGGAAAATCAAAAGAAATCAGCCAAGACCTCAGAAAAACAATTCACAACCTCCACAAGTCTGGTTCATCCTTGGGAGCAATTTCCAAACTCCTGAAGGTACCACATTCAACTGTACAAACAATAGTACGCAAGTATAAACACCATGGGACCACGCAGCCGTCATACCGCTCAGGAAGGAGACGCGTTCTGTCTCCTAGAGATGAACGTACTTTGGTGTGAAAAGTGCAAATCAATCCCAGAACAGCAAAGGACCTTGTGAAGATGCTGGAGGAAACAGGTACAAAAGTATCTATATCCACAGTAAAACGAGTCCTATATCGACATAACCTGAAAGGCCGCTCAGCAAGGAAGAAGCCACTGCTCCAAAACCGCCATAAAAAAGCCAGACTATGGTTTGCAACTGCACATGGGGACAAAGATTGTACTTTTTGGAGAAATGTCCTCTGGTGTGATAAAAAATGACCATTGTTATGTTTGGAGGAAAAAGGGGTAGGCTTGCAAGCCGAAGAACACCATCCCAACCGTGAAGCACGGGGGTGGCAGCATCATGCTGTGGGGGTGCTTTGCTGCAGTAGGGACTAGTGCACTTCACAAAATAGATGGCATCATGAGGAAGGAAAATGATGTGGATATATTGAAGCAACATCTCAAGACATCAGTCAGGAAGTTAAAGCTTGGTCGCAAATGGGTCTTCCAAATGGACAATGACCCCAAGCATACATCCAAAGTTGTGGCAAAATGGCTTAAGGACAACAAAGTCAAGGTATTGGAGTGGCCATCACAAAGCCCTGACCTCAATCATATAGAAAATGTGTGGGCAGAACTGAAAAAGCATGTGCGAGCAAGGAGGCCTACAAACCTGACTCAGTTACACCAGCTCTGTCAGGAGGAATGGGCCCTTTAGGCCTTTAGTGCGCTACCTATGGTCAGAGCCTTATTTCGGACACAGAGGCTGCATCCCAAATGGCACCCTATTTCCTATGTAGTGCAATACTTTTTAAAGTGATTAACTATATAGGGAATAGGGTGCCATGTGAGACAAAACCTTATTCTAGATTATGTATATTTCTGGTATGGAACCCACCGAGGGCTTCACTCATCCAGGGTATGTGAGCCTCCACGTCTCCAGTCAGCTCTGGTAGCTCCTCGGTCAGGTTAGAACACTGTTTCTGGACGTAGAACACTCCTCTGCTCTCCACCTTCCCCTCCACAACATCCAGCAGAGAGGAGAATGTCATCAGTCGCTCCTCAGGCATTACAAAGCGGTCCCGGTTCACTGCGTCTGCATAGCCATTTGGGGTCACGGCCACACTGATGACCTTGGAACCCACCACTTCCCTGAAGTAAAAAGTGGAGATGAAAGTACTCTACTAATTTCTGTACATTCAGTGCGCGCACACACACCCACACACATACCGGAGATGGGAGGGATTCCATTTGGACAAGGCTGGCCAATGACTGAAAGCATTCCGGATGACGCAGGGTTTATTTGGACCAATCCATTCCCGGTAGAACTCAAGCGGGGATAAGGGCTGCTCTAGACATGGCACTGTTTTATTGAGATATAGTTCTGAAAAGAATAAAGATCATTACCAAGCAAGTAATAGCTATTGCTTGTGGGGGTGGGTTACAAACGTACAGTATTTCAAACTTCACCTTTTTTTTTGTTTTAGAGGAGAACGCTGTTAACTTACCACGTGCCTCCAGAGGGAAGTCTCTCAAACACTTTTTCACTGCATCTAACGTTATATTTTCTGCCATTACATTGCACGTTGCAACAATTCAGTTTTAGAATTCATATATTTGAGGGCTGACAACCGGCAAAGACTCGTTCTACAAGTCCCGATGAAGATTATTCATAGAAAAAATATGTAATATCAATATTTGTCAAAAGTAAATTGGACAGTAAAAACGTGCACATACGTCTCCATATTTGTTTACCTTCTGTGCGCGCATGCGTCGTCTACTTCTTCTACAAGACGATTGCTACAGTTCGACTCAAATTGTCTCCCTCTTCTGGTGGAAGACACTATGAAAATCAGGTGAGCGAAAATCCCTATGGTGGTCCATTATAATATTATAATTTAAATACTTTTAGCGCACAATGTACTTTATCCTAGTTACCAGAAACCGGATACTCCTGGAGAAGGGTGTAATTTCAAACCACGATTAGGGGCATTTTCTGATATCTCAGCGTTTCTTGATGTCATACTTGCCATTGGTCCCTGGCAGTTTCATTCATGTCGGGGACAACAGTTGTCGACAACTGTAGTATTGTAGCTAAGCCTAACCCTTTTCCTAACCTTAACCTAATTATCCTAACCTGCCACATTAATTAACCTAACCTGCTATGTAAACAAATCATCTGTGTGGAGAAACCATCAGTCTCGTAATACCGGAACTGACCAATGGCAGGTATCAATGGACTAACCAATGGCAGGCACCAATGGGTGTTTCCTGATATCAAGGAATGCCCACATCAAGAAACGCCCCGAATTGCGGTCTGCAATTACACCATATTGTATTCCTGCAGGGCATGGGTATTTTCTCCAAAGCGTTCACACCTGTAGTTAATTTAGTTGTCTGTCAATCAATGAACGACACTAAGGCTCCCAGTGGTGTCTAAAAGTGAATCCTGTTTGTGTTTCTGCATGGTCAATCATGGAGGAAGATTCAGCATTGGTGAGTTATTTTGATGACCCAATTGGAAATGTACCAGTAAGTACCCTACATGCCAGTGTCAAGGGGATTATGATAGAAGTCAATGGAGTGTTTTGGAGGGGGGCGAAACAAACAGTGTATTATTCATTCAAATTAACCCAACATTTGAAATAACTTCAACCAGCAGGTGTTTAATACTCATAAGCCTATAGTAAAAAAAATATATATGTAATTCCACACTCTTCATTGGTTTTTCTTGTGTCTGGTGTGATTTTTTAGGATGCCTCTGGCTACCTGTTTGAAGGGGACCTGGGCTTGCAGGCCCCCACTCAGCTTCAGGACACATCCTTCCTCTCCTCCTTGAGCCAACCGGAAAAGAACGTCAGGGAGGATCTGGATCTCCGCTTCCTGCCTGATGATCTGCCGGAAGAGACCAGTGGAAACGCTGCTTCTAATGCTAACGTGACACAAAACAGTGGCGTCTTCAATGGCTATAGACAAGAGGAGTCTGCTGAGACTGACCCTAAAATGGTGGCCATGCTGGGAGCCTCTACCTTCTGTCCCATGACCCCAGTGGCTGAGAGTTCTGGAATCATCCCCATGTTACAGTGCGTAATGTTACAATTACCTGGGTTGTATTCATAATGCACATCTTAGCAAAACGTTTTGCAACATAAACTGTTTACGCCAAACTTAGCCCAATATTGGACTAAAGGAGCCTAACATTACTCCTTAGCCCAAGGATCTTACATGTTCTGTTTAAAGGGCAAATTGGCAATGGAAGCAAAAACAGCTAAATACTCAATCTAAAGGTGAATCGATTCTCAATTGCAGTAAGGTTCTTGAATCATAAATCCCTCTACTTTCATATTAAATCAAAAATAATTTCACAAATGCAAAATACACACTTACTGTTAACAGTTGCAGCCAACTGTATTTTTCAGTGACAACAACACGTTTGTGGCATCTGTCTTCCTTTTACACACAGGTGTTTGGAGACGCAGATAACTATTATAACTAATTAGTGCATATAGTCCACTCTGTTTTCCATAAACAAGCACTGTAACATGGAAATATGGCAGTGTGGGAACCCTAACCCTATAAAGGGGTGTACCAATAAAAAAATTTTTGCCGATATGAAAGAAAGATCCTTATGCTTCCAAAAGCGTCCCGCAAGCGATGCGTTTTAATGATCAAACCGAGCATCGGGACTCTTAACAAAACTCCCCCCTACAGAAGAATCCTTCGTCCAATGACTCTTATGTGTAATGTAATGGAACTGAGAGTCATGGTCAAGGGCTACTCCAAACTATCTAAATGGTTTCTGTTGTGAATGGTTTTGCTAATACTAGGGTTTGCACTAATGAATACGACCCTGGGAAATGAAGTAGTGCACTATACAGGGAGGGAATAGGGTTTGCTCTGGCCAAAAGCGGTGCACTAAATAGGGAATAGTGTACCATGTCGGAATGGCCCCTACTCGTCTTGCTTGTATTGATGAGCTAATATTGATCAGTGCTTGCATGTGAGCCCGTTTATTGTTTATGCCCAGGAATATTGTATCCACAGTGAATCTGGCCTGCCCACTGGACCTGAAATCCATCGCTCTACAAGCCAGAAATGCTGAGTACAACCCCAAGGTATTCAAGTACATCCAGTCCATACTTAGTTTTATATACAGTATGGTGTAACTTGTTCCAAATGATGTTTTCTTGAATGATTGTAATTGGTTACGATCAGATATTTAGTTTTCCATTATTATGCCATGATGTGGGCATTGTACTCATGTTTCAGCGTTTTGCTGCCATCATTATGAGAATACTGGAGCCTAGGACCACAGCTCTCATCTTCAGCTCTGGAAAGATGGTCTGCACAGGAGCCAAGAGGTGAGACGTAAGGACAGTATGTCACAGACAAACACCATGAACCATGGTTGTGTTCAGTAGAAAGAAAAATGTTTAGAAACTGAGTGAAATTGAGATTACCTGAACTTTTCCAATAAAAGCACATTTTTGTTTTTATGTTGCAAGATGTTTTGTTAGTGTGCCCTACTGAACACTGGTATCACACTCATTTCCAGGGCCTTTTTTATTTATTTATTTTTTTACATCTAAACATTAGGTATGCACCTCTCATTGCTTGAGCCATGCCACTATGCTGTTTTTTCTCTCTATTCTGACAGTGAGGAGCAGTCTCGCCTAGCTGCCCGCAAGTATGCTCGAGTGGTGCAGAAGCTGGGCTTTCCAGCAAAATTCCTAGACTTCAAGATACAGAACATGGTGGGGAGCTGTGATGTCTGCTTCCCCATCCGGCTGGAGGGTCTGGTGCTGACTCATCAGCAGTTCAGCAGGTACATTTAGTGGCTGCGTTAGGATTTTCTAACCTTCTCCAGAAGTGTTCACTCCCTCTCATGTGTTTAAATGCATTGCATTGGTGCAAGCATGGCAGGAGAGTTTCCACCACCATATTCCACACCCCAGTAGTCCATTCCTTTTAAATCCATGTGGGGGAGTGTAGAAAACCGGAATATAGACAACAATTAGCTGACATCCTTTAGTCAGAGATATTCTGTCCATTTTGTTGATTGAATACTATAGTGTATTTTATTCACTCTTTTTTCACAGAATATTCAAATACAGTGGGGAGAACAAGTATTTGATACACTGCCGATTTTGCAGGTTTTCCTACTTACAAAGCATGTAGAGGTCTGTAACTTTTATCATAGGTACACCTCAACTGTGAGAGACGAAATCTAAAACAAAAATCCAGAAAATCACATTGTATGATTTAAGTAATTAATTTGCATTTTATTGCATGACATAAGTATTTGATACCTCAGAAAAGCAGAACTTAATATTTGGTACAGAAACCTTTGTTTGCAATTACAGAGATCATACGTTTCCTGTAGGTCTTGACCAGGTTTGCACACACTGCAGCAGGGATTTTGGCCCACTCCTCCATACAGACCTTCTCCAGATCCTTCAGGTTTCGGGGCTGTCGCTGGGCAATACGGACTTTCAGCTCCCTCCAAAGATTTTCTATTGGGTTCAGGTCTGGAGACTGGCTAGGGCACTCCAGGACCTTGAGATGCTTCTTACGGAGCCACTCCTTAGTTGCCCTGGCTGTGTGTTTTGGGTCGTTGTCATGCTGGAAGACCCAGCCACGACCCATCTTCAATGCTCTTACTGAGGGAAGGAGGTTGTTGGCCAAGATCTTGCGATACATGGCCCCATCCATCCTCCCCTCAATACGATGCAGTCGTCCTGTCCCTTTTGCAGAAAAGCATCCCCAAAGAATGTTTCCACCTCCATGCTTCACGGTTTTGATGGTGTTCTTGGGGTTGTACTCATCCTTCTTATTCCTCCAAACAAGGCGAGTGGAGTTTAGACCAAAAAGCTCTATTTTTGTCTCATCAGACCACATGACCTTCTCCCATTCCTCCTCTGAATCATCCAGATGGTCATTGGCAAACTTCAGACGGGCCTGGACATGCGTGGCTTGAGCAGGGGGACCTTGCGTGCGCTGCAGGATTTTGATCCATGACGGCGTAGTGTGTTACAAATGGTTTTCTTTGAGACTGTGGTCCCAGCTCTCTTCAGGTCATTGACCAGGTCCTGCCGTGTCGTTCTGGGCTGATCCCTCACCTTCCTCATGATCATTGATGCCCCACGAGGAGAGATCTTGCATGGAGCCCCAGACCGAGGGTGATTGACCGTCATCTTGAACTTCTTCCATTTTCTAATAATTGCGCCAACAGTTGTTGCCTTCTCACCAAGCTGCTTGCCTATTGTCCTGTAGCCCATCCCAGCCTTGTGCAGGTCTACAATTTTATCCCTGATGTCCTTACACAGCTCTCTGGTCTTGGCCATTGTGGAGAGGTTGGAGTCTGTTTGATTGAGTGTGTGGACAGGTGTCTTTTATACAGGTAACGAGTTCAAACAGGTGCAGGTAATACAGGTAATGAGTGGAGAACAGGAGGGCTTCTTAAAGAAAAACTAACAGGTCTGTGAGAGCTGGAATTCTTACTGGTAGGTAGGTGATCAAATACTTATGTCATGCAATAAAATGCAAATTAATTACTTAAAAATCATACGATGTCATTTTTGTTTTAGATTCTGTCTCTCACAGTTGAAGTGTACCTATGATAACAATTACAGACCTCTACATGCTTTGTAAGTAGGAAGACCTGCAAAATCGGCAGTGTATCAAATACTTGTTCTCCCTACTGTATACTCCAGACCTGAACAACCTATTCTCTATTCTCCTGTAGCTAACTGTGTGATACCTTTTGGCCCTCTAGTTATGAGCCAGAACTGTTTCCTGGTTTGATCTACCGCATGGTGAAACCACGTATTGTGCTACTGATCTTTGTGTCTGGAAAAGTGGTTCTGACAGGTACGTATGTTGACAACTGGGGCGGGTTCAGCAGGACACTGTTGAAGAACATTCCGATAGAAATATGCTATGTAAAACAAATGCCTCTCTGGCATATAGAATCATGTCGGCTCTATTCATGGTATTTTTATCTGCAACGTTCAACAATGTTTGGCTACTGAACGTGACCCTGGGGCGTATTCATTATGCCTATTCTTGTAAGGTTTTATGGCAGACTACACCCATTGGTGTATTGCTACCACCGACTGTAGGGGGTATTGAAACAAAACATAATCCTTTGCGGGAAGGGTGGAATAAATAACACTGCATGGGTTTGGGAACTAAGGCTCTCACAGGGTATCTCATACAACCCAAATACTGGTGAGAAGGGAGAGACTCTTCATCAAAAAACAATAGAATGAATGGAGTGGGTTTCCTAGCTCCATCCACCATGTGGGTCAGTCGGTGTGTACCAACCACTTGATCCAATTATTCACATACTGTATATCCTTTGCTTTTACTTCTAGTGCCACCCCAGAGATAACACCCTTGATAGGTGCCCTGCTTCGAAGATCCACACACGACACATTCCAATTCGTTATCTTCTTGAGGCATAAAGCACACTCCTTCTGTTTCATAGATACACAAAAAAATAAGCCCACTTCTCATTACACTCATCAACGCCACCTCATCCAACCCATCCACAAGTTTTATAGACTTCAATCGGAACTCCCAGGTAACATCGATGCAAAACCCTTACTCTGACCAAAGACTAACTAGGCCTGGATTTACTAGATTCCACTTTACTTCTCTTACTTCCTTTTCCATTCGCCACTGTAATCCAATTATTTTCATCTTCACTCCACACGCCATCTGATTTAAACATAACATCTGCTTCTGCCACGTTCTCACGGGGTTGCTGTTACGGCTATTCTTCTTCTTTAAAGTTGTATGGCAGACTACACATATTGGTGTATTGCCGCCACCTACTGTACGGGGTATTGACTGTTACGCCTAACAGGGAGGGACCTACCTGAATGTGTCTAATAGAAACAGTACTATGATGACGTGCTTGCTTTTCACATTTGAAAATAAATGTTGATTTAAATCTTCACGTAAAAAAATGTAGCCAGAAATACTCTCCATTTTCTTTCAGGAGCTAAAGAACGTGGAGAAATCTATGAAGCCTTTGAGAACATCTACCCCATTCTGAAGGGATTCAGAAAGCAATGAAGAAGTGCATTCGCTGATTTGTGTGAAGTCGATGAAAGCATTTGATGCACTTAATCTTAATTTCTGTTAAAACATAACTGCGTCCTAAATTGTTACATTTTGTGTGTTGCACTTGTGGGAAGTGTGTAGATGGTCAAATTGCAATGTACTTTTATAATTTTGTAATGAATTAATCTGTCATAGAATACTGTACCTTCTCAAAAAAGAGAGAATAAAATCTAAGTCTGCATGTTATACATCATGCAGTACATTTTCGGTTGTAAATCACCTGTGTGTAAATCTACAGCAAATATTATATGAACATGCCCACGTGACCATGCGTACATAAACAAACCATCTCACGCAAAAAACAGGACACCGTTTGCTGCTGGCTAGATAACAGCAGCCATATATTCCATGACTGAACATAGCCACATTTCCGAAAATGAAGACGGCATTGCGGTGATAAATATATCCGTAACATTTACAATAAGTAGTGGAAACTATCAGACTGGATACCAGTAGCCAGAATAGCTATAATTTAGCTAGCTGGGTTAGCTAACGTTAGCGCTTGAACGGTAGTTCCATGGCATCCTCACTGCGAAGCGAAGTCTGCTCTGGCGAAGGGACTTTGGGAGCGCTGCCCGGGGCTCGGCCACAGCTTCGCTCGCACCACTTACACACCACAACCACTACAGGTTCCCCTGGATCTCTAATGGTGGAGTCTGTGGACGATGCGGAGGGTTTGTATGTCGCGGTGGAGCGATGTCCCCTCTGCAACACCGCCAGGCGCAAGCTGACTTGTGCCCGATGCATCCATGCAGGCGATTTCGTATACTTCGACGGTAGAAACCCTGAACGGTGCGTGTTTACATTCAGCTAACTTCATAACACAGCTCTAAATAAAGGCTTTAGTAGTGAAATGTTGGCTATGCATCATCAGCTAACATTGCATTTAATAGCTACCAACAATCAAACAAACTAACTGCCTGGCTAGCTACTGGTAGTGTAGCTATGTTGTTTAGCTACTGTACAACCATTATTACCCGTAGCAAAACGTCAGCTAAGCTAGCTAGCTAGCATGCTTGTTTACAAGTGTAACATAAAAAAGTTATACCTAGTAAGGCTGTATGTGGAACGTTCTTGACCTAGATTGCATAACACTTAGCTATGTTATTTTGAATCATGTAATTTGAGCACCAACTTTCTCGCCCTCAACAGAGTACATACAGTAACTAACTTTCTAGTGTCTTGAAACGGAAAATAACTCTGTCATCGTGACGTCATGGCTCTTTGTAGTCGTGAAGGTCGATTAATACTTTACTTACACTGTGACTGACATACTTTGGGGATTTCAGAATCAAATAGACTACATTTTTGTTTAGTTTCACAAAAGTACAGTACATCTCAACTTGTTTGTGTGAAGTAGGGAGGGAGCTAGGCCACACTCTCTTGCCCAACACCTGCTTGGAGTGGGCAATGGGCACTTTGGCCGCATTCAATTCAATGCAAATAGTCATGGTAGCCATGATAAGCTTGGGGGTAGAAGCTGTTAAGAAGCCTTTTGGACCTAGACTTGGCGCTCTGGTACCGCTTGCTGTGCGGTAGCAGAGAGAACAGTCTATGACCAGGGTGGCTCCATTGTTTTTTAATGTAGGTTTTCTAATGGTAACTATTTTTTTCCAGATACACTGAAAAATTGGAAAGACTTCAAATGCTGAAGAAGGACAAAGAACTTCTCCAACAGACGTACAGTAGAATATTTGCAGCTATCATGAATATGCTAAATATTACTTTGCAGTTTTCAAGCATTTCTATTTCTACCTTCCATTTATTTTGTAACCATATCGATATTACAATCTACTCTTTCTTCCAGGGTCATTGCAGCCATGGACAAGAAAGTCCAGGCAGATCAGCTGGTAAGTTGAGTTATGAGTAGAGGACCTCCCATATTTATATACATTCTCGTAAATTTATGTTTTTCAAATGCGTCAATATCCTGCCTGTTCTCTTCAACTCCCATCTACCCTTAGCATTTGTATTCTGTTTTATTCAGAAATGGAAGATCATGTCATGCAAGATGAAACTAGAGCAGCTGAAGGAGGCTATTGGTTGTGGCAATGAAGAGGTGAAAAGTGGTGAGTTACATGGCTTTGACACCCATTCAAATCAGACATTCAAATCAGTGATACTCCCCTCCATGTGTATTTATACACGCACCCCTGTTTCTAAACCATAAAACAGATATGTATGAAAATACCCTCCAATAAAAGGTGACATTCTGTACTGTCGCCTCATATAAAACATTTTATCTCAAATTTAAAATGTTAGCTTCACTGTCCAAATACATATGGAGGTGAGTGTGAATGACAATGCACTATTTGACTGTTCTGTTCTATTTTACATTATTAAAATAATAATCTTGATTTATTGTCTTCCTCATACCCATGTCTTTATGAAACCTGTCTTTAAGAAAACAGGCAAACCTGAAAAGGTGTAAGACATTGGCTTGCATCCCAAATCGCACCCTATTCCCTATTTCGTGCAGACCCTATGGGCCCTGGTCAAAAGTACTGCAGTGTGTAGGGAATAGGCTGCCACTTGACCCATATTAGTCAATCAACTCATCTCTCCCTCTCCTCCCAGGTAAGGACCTGCTGCTTCGCTCCCAAGAGGAGAGTCAGAGGCTGCAGCGGCGGGCCAGCCGCCATCAGGAGAAGAGGGACAAGATAGAGAGACACAACCGGCGGCTGGGAGAGCTGCTGGAGAAGAGGGGCAAGGAGCTGCAGGGTCGTCTGGAGCACCTGGCTGAGGTCCGCAGAGGACACATCCTGGAGCTCACCGCTCACATCTTCCCCACACAGGAGGAGAAACAGGGCAGCAGGTAAGCATTGCCATTGTTTAAAGTGCATTTTACACTAGCTCACCCAATTCACCTAATCAAGGGCTTGATGATAAGTTAACAAGTTGAATCACGTGTGCTGGCTCTCAAATACATGAAACAGCTGGGGGTCCTTGAGGAGAGCTTTGGTAACCACTGTCATACCACATTGGCCAGAGCCAAGTATTAAATATTACTCCATCCATGACATCCATCCATGACTGGCCAGCATTACGGCAATGGGCTTTAGTTTAAGGACAGCACCAATACCAAGGCTCTCTGGCCATTTGAGACATTGGTTGTTGTTTTAGGATTTGGGTCAGTCTCGGTCAGCTGATTCTTGATTCAAATTTTAAAGTTCATGCTGAGGGACCTCTCATCTGCTGTTTGATTGAAAGAGTTACAGTATAGAGATACTCATTCTGTAATGACAGTCTCTCCCTCTCTTTGCTCCTTTCTCTCAGGGACCCAGCAGACGTGTTGTCGGAGTGCGACTTGGCCCTGACCTCCAGCACAGTTAGTGAGCTGGCTGAGGCCCGCCGCACCACCTACCTGTCAGGGCGCTGGATCTGGGACGACCAGAATGGAGAGACCTCCATTAGCATCACTGGACCCAGGGTCACGCTGCCCAGCAATGGGGACTGCTCCCCCTATTACAGCTGGGTGGAGGAGAAGAGCACCAACGAGGGGCCCGGTAGGACGTTTATAGCAAAATATGTTGCATGTAATAATTATATATGCCATTTAGTACAGTGAGTGCATACATTTTACTATATGTTTTAGTATACCTTTCTAGCTCTACACACTTACCAAAACATCATAATCAAATGATCTGTCTTTTGAGATGTAACAAGGAAAAACGACTAGCAGATTGAGAGGAACATCTAGTCCTTAGAGATGACCAATCGGCAATATTGACTTGTACTGTGCCAAGGCTACTTGTTCTCATAAAGAGCTTCCATTTCCAGAGCTGGACCACATCAACCCAGCCCACACCATCAGTGCAGCCCTCTGTTTTGCTACCCAGCTCATCAACATCCTCTCTCACATCCTGGATGTCAATCTGCCCAAGAAGTTGTGTAACAGTGAGTTCTGTGGTGACAGCCTGAGCCGGTACAGGTTCACCCGGGCTGTCACCAAGCTCAACACCAACATCCTTCACCTCTGCTTCTCACAGGTACTACAGAGCATGGTTTGTCTAGACGTTTTCCTTCTGGGAGTATATTTTCCTTGCCACTGTGCTGCTGCTTGCTCTTCTGGGTTCTAGGCCGTGTTACTGTTAATCACTTTGTTACATGATTGATCTAGCTTGTATGTATCAGCCCACACCGGAGATGCACGTCACTAACCAGTTGTGTGTATTCCTGTGCAGCATGTTGAGAGTGAGCTGCTGCACCCTCACCACACCCTGAGGAACATCATGTTCCTCGTCTCTCCTGACAACAAAAACCTGGGCAGGTAAGAAGATCCCTGGTCAAAAGTAGTGCACTATATATGGAATAGGTTGCTATTTGGGACGCAGCCTGACTATCTCATCTCTCTGTGCAGGACGGGTCCATACGAGGTGACTGCAGACCTGGAGGACTCCATGGAGTTTGTTGAGCCGGAGGCGGCCGGCCCGGCAGAGGAGAGCGGGGATGAGATGGTGACGGACGAGGAGACAGACCTGGGGACAGACTGGGAAACGGTCCCCAGCCCGCGCTTCTGTGACATCCCCTCCCAGCCCATGGACCTGTCCCAGAGCACAACCATGCAGGTGTCCCAGCCCGTGGGCCAGGCAGGGGGCATGATCTCCTCAGCAGCAGCCTCCGTCACCTCCTGGTTTCGGGCCTACACCGGCCAGCGCTGAGGGAGGCTGGAGGCTCACTGGCCAGGGTCGTATATATTAGGGCACACTAGAAAAAAGTTTTGCAACGTAGAATGAAAACAAGGGTTTTTTATTGAACAAGTTCAGGTAGTGTTTCAGTCCGTCTGGTGTCTAATGAATACACCCCAGGACTGGCTGGAGCTATGCAGCACTACCACCGACCACCACACCGAGACTGTTCTGTTCTGGCCTCTGCCTGTAGTCAGCCTGCAGTCCTGGTCCACTACCACCAAGAAGGGATATTTGTTTTTACTAAATTGCATGACTGAATCCCTGTGGGAGGAAGGGAAATGTATTGCTCACTTTCTAAAGAAGGAGAATGTTGTCATTGACAGCAGTGATTCTTCTGGTAAAAATGGTTATAGTGAGAAAGACTGGCGCTTGGGGAGGGTGTTATTCAAAGAGTAGTCTCTCTCGCAACCCTCGGCCATCCGCACGCTCCATCCCAGCAGTTGTGAGAAGACTATTCAAAGAGAGACTGGACCTTCTGTTGCTTTCCCGTGTACCCATCCATATTGTCGGTTCTTAATGTTTCTTTGCTACATCCCAAATGTTACCCTATGCCTTTATATAGTGCACAACTTTTGACCAGAGCCCTATGGGCCTTGGTCAAAAGAAGTGCACTACATAGGGAATAGGGTGCCATTTGTGACAGATCCTTCCTTCATGCTGCATTACATCAAAATGGTTCATGTAAGGATTGTGTTTGAAGACTGACGAATGCCAAACAATGGGCATGACCTTAGTTCTTCTCACTAAATGATGACATTGCACTTTCTGCTGTTTACTTACTGGTCAGGCCTGTGTGGGTGGGGGATGGGACAGAACTTTACTGCAGCAGTTCAGCGTTGGGGGGGAGATTAACTAGTGGCATTTGTTTTCCTCCAAAGGGTAGATTTATACTATTTATAGTAACGTGGGTGCCTAAAACCTCGTTGGTGTGTTGTGTGGGTCTTTATACTACAGGTGATTCGAATAGGTGGCTTAAATGATAGGATAGGACACAATACATTTTGGCTTACTTCAATTGTTGGACCCGATAGCTGTATTCTACTACCGATTGTTCAGTATGGATGGAGACAATATTTCTGTACTTTAGAGTGACGATCACCATTCATGTCCATAAAAACACGTCTTAAGATGTTGGTTTATTTTTCTTGTTTAGGGCTTGTAGAACTTAATTTTGAAATTACTGGTAATGCAGATTAAGCATTTACACTGTCACAATAAGCAATATTTCACATGACAAAAAATGAAGACCTCTGTAATGACCTTTATAACTTATACCTACTAGTGACAAAGTGGGTTGTGTAAAAAAAAGGATTCATGCAATTTGTTGCCATAAAAGTCTGATTTGAACCATTAAGAAAGTGTCACTGTCAAGTGTATTATACAACCATGTTCAGATGGAATCTAATGGGCAGAAGTGTTGGCTGCACTGCAAACCCCTAACTCAGGGGTGTCAAACGTCCGGCCCGCGGGCCGGATCAGGCCCGCAATCGGGTTTAATCCGGCCCGCGAGATGATTTTGTAAAGTATAAAAATGAGCTGCAATTTTTCAATAAAATAAACTGCTGTTCCAATTGTGTCCACTGGATGGCGCAATAGCAATTGTGTTAAGCAAGCAAACTGTTTATACCGGGGCAGAGCAAATAGGTCAAGCAAGTGCAGCCAGTCCGGATGAGCTACTTTGTTTTGCCCGCGATATTTATTACGGCTTCTACTTTTAACATTATGTGCTTTGGCACCCTCATTGCCCCAATATGTCTCTGTCAAAAAAGAGAAAAGTGGACGCAGAGTGCAGTGTTCCAAGAAAAATTGTCATCCTTCTATTTATTCACTGAATTGAATGGGAAAGCTGTATGTTTGGTGTGTTCACAGCATGTTGCAGTGCTGAAAGAATATAACCTTCGTCGCCACTATGTGAGTCTTCATGCCGACAAATATGACAACTTTCAAGGACAGCGGAGAAGAGAGAAGGTGAATGAACTGTTGGTGGGTCTGAAGAAACAGCAGTCTGTGTTTACTCACAGCCGAGACATCAGTGACGCTGCAGTGAAAGCTAGCTACCTCATTGCTAATGAAATCGCAGTGGCTTCAAAACCATTTAGTGAGGGTGAATTTGTAAAAACATGCATGATGAAGGCAGCAGAGATTGTGTGCCCTGAAAAGCACCAGGCTTTTGCAAATATCAGCCTGACAAGAAACACAGTTGCAGACAGGATTTCCGATCTTTCAGTGGATTTGGACAGCCAGTTGAAGCAAAAAGTAAAGTCATTTATTGCGTTTTCGGTTGCAATTGATGAAAGCACGGACATTACAGATGTTGCACAACTGGCCATTTTCATCCGCGGAGTTGATGACACATTGACCGTCACCGAGGAGTTCGTGGAGTTGGTGCCGATGACAGATACAACGACAGCAGCTGATATTTTCACTGCACTCGTCGGCGCGCTGGACAGGGTCGGAGTGGACTGGTCCCGCGCTGTCAGCCTGGCTACAGATGGTGCGCCCTCAATTATCGGGAAAAAAGCAGGCGTGACAAAGTTCAGAGAGAAAGTGCAATCTGCAAATGGAGGACGTGATTTTTGGACTTTTCACTGTATTTTGCACCAGGAGGCTTTGTGTTGCAAGTCATTAAAGATGGATAACGTCATGAAGGTGGTCATCCAAACTGTTAATTTCATCCGATCCAGAAGCCTGAATCACCGTCAGTTTGACAGCCTTCTCAGAGAGAAAGACCACATCTATGGCCTGCCGTACCACACTGAGGTAAGATGGTTAAGCCGAGGTGCTGTGCTGAGGCGTTTCTTTGATTTACGAGAAGAAATTGAACAGTTCATGGAAGAAAAGGGCAAACCAGTGTTAGAATTTAATTCCGCAGAATGGATGCAGGACCTTGCATTTATGGTGGATGTTACAGAGCACCTGAATAACTTGAACAAACAGCTGCAAGGGCGCAACAAAGTTGCCACGCAGTATTATGACAGCATACGTTCTTTCAAGTTGAAGCTGTCATTGTGGGAGACGCAACTCGCCGGTGGTGATGCAGCTCACTTCCCCTGTCTGAAAAATGTGTGCGCGACCCAACATGTAGCAGACATGAAGCGGTTCAAAGATAAAATAACGGGACTGTTAAGGGAGTTTGAGCAACGCTTTCAGATTTTTGGTGAACTGGAGAAAGACTTCAAAGTTTTTTGTTCGCCATTCACCGTGAATCCCTCGGATTTGAAGGGCAAATTTGCCGCAGCTGGCTTGGACACATTTTATCAGAATCTCTTGCCAGGTTACCCCAACTTGACAGCCCTCGCTGCAAAACTGTTGTGCATGTTTGGAACCACATATCTTTGTGAGCAAGTTCTCTGTAATGAGCATAAATAAAACAAAGCTGCGCTCAAGGCTCACGCACAAGCACTTGAATCACATCCTGAAGTTGGCTGCCACTCAGGATGTGACGCCTGATATTGATGCGCTGGTGAAAGCTAAAAGTTGCCAGGTATCAGGAGTCAAATAAACTATGCAACCCCACTTAAAGTGCTGCATGAGACACCCTGATATAGTTATGTGATCTGTGATATACTTCTGTGTATCACTGAGGCATTGTGTGTTTGTCCTCAGAATTTCAAATAACTTGGTGTTTTATGATTAATAGTGATGTTGTGCTTTTGGACACACTGTCCTCAGGCTCAAGCTTTATGTTTATATGTTGATGTGCTATTGTTTTTAATTGATTTTATTTTATTTGTATATTTAACCTATTCTTGACTCTGTGGTTCTTGCACTTGTTTGGGGAACAGGATTTCATTATTTGTATCTACATTTCTGCCTGAGAAATGACACCCTGATATAGTTCTGTGATCTGTGAAACAGTTCTGTGAATCACTGAGGCATTGTGTGTTTGTGTGTTCTTTTTCTTTAGAATTTTCAAATAAACTTGTGTTTTATGATTAATAGTGATGTTGTGCTTGTACTATTTTGGACACACTGTCCTCAGGCTCCAGCTTTATGTTTTATGTTGATAGTATTAAAACAAAGAAAACAATCTGAAGTTGTTGTTTTTAAGTTATATATACCATGATTTTACCGGTCCGGCCCACTTGGGAATAGATTTTCCTCCATGTGCCGTAACTATTTACTGGTATATTCTAATGAACTGCTTCACAGAAAAACAGGTTCCACAGTTGACTCAAAGGCTGCGTTTACACAGGCAGCCCAATTCTGATATTTTTTTGCACAATCAGTGTAGCTCTGAAAAAGATTGATTGGTCAAAAGCCCAAGACTTCTGTGTTGTACCATTGGATTAGTCTATTTCTTCTGCATCTGTAGATGCCAACAATTAGTCTGTGATTAATGGGGACTGAGCAAGAGCAGTGTTTATGAGACAAGGGCGAATCCCGAAAGGGCCCGGGGCTGGGTCTTTTATACAAAAACATCTGTAGCAGTGGTTATCAACCGGTCGATTACCAAACATTTCTGTAAAAAAACAACGATAAAGTCTTGTGTTCCTATTTTTTTGTTTTTGTTTCGTGCTGTTGGCCATAAGTGCACTTGATTCAGCAGCCCTAGCGCCGGGAAGGCAGTGTTCCCATTTTGAACCATTTCATGTTAATGAAGGTAGAATTCCACCTACCCGGCAGACCCAGAGAACAAATCAAGTGCACCAATAGGCCTACCGCTGACCAATCAGATAGCTCAGATCACTGTCTGCACAGTTTCGTCGAGCCATAGACTGTAAAAAGAAACCTCGAACGCACAGAAAATTTGATAGAGATTTCTAAACTTTAAAACCATGACTAGAGACTCAAGGAATACCGCAAAGAGCTGCTGTTTTAATGAGTAAGTTCATGTATGTTGTTATTCAGAACTGTCAACACTTTTATAAGCCATAAAATGCACGTTCTCCCTACTTCCACTCACGCTACAACCAGCACTGCAGCTGCAATGAATGAGT